GAAAAGATAATCATTTATCCGTAATGATTATGCGCCTTTAATATATATATAGGCAGAATAAAGTGCATTCATTTTCATATTCATTTTCGTTTTTAAAAAAAATGAGGGGGGTAGCCCTCAAAACACACCCCCCCCCCCCCCCCCCCCCCCCCCATACGCGCCTGCTCTACTAATTGTATTTTTTTTTAGTTGATGGCAGGTGTACTGTTAGTATTTTGTGAGCCAAATAAAAATGTTTTTTCGTTTTTGTTGCATTTACCTGGTTAAGGGCATAGATCAAGGGTCTCTAGTTTATTAATATGGTAGCCTATATTATCATTATTATTATCATGGAGCACAAGGATAATGTCAGTTATTAATACGTGTACAATAATTATGTATACTTAATTGATATTATTATTATGTATAATTATGGAAATTAACTAAACTTGAAACACCCTTCTTTTCTATTTTTGTGTTGATGCAGATATAACGTTGCCATCAGCCGAAGGATGCATGTCATCGAGGAAAGACACTTAAATAAGATGTTGTAACATCAAGAAGTCGGAAAACAATCAGAATAGATTGATAAAAATGTGGTTTGGCAACGTTTGGCAGTTTGTGACGATTCACGCGGCTGATAACGCAATCAACTATTGGAACATTTAAATCTTCTCATTTCATTGTTTACACAACAAACCCCATTGTTTACCAATCTATGCTGTATAGTATAGCAGAACGATTAAAAATATTGTTTGTTTGTTGAATGTATGGATCATTAATGAATTAAATCAATGTATCCAATATAGAATGTGATGTCTGCTCGCAGGACCCTGTGATAATTATTGTTACCCCAGCATTGGTTAGGTAATACGCCTACCCCTGCATGGTCGAGAGGGGCATAAATAATTATTGTATACACGCTGAAAGCACCGGAGCAAGGATCAAACCCAGAACATCATTCTAAAGGGGGAGGTGGAGGTGGGGGGGGGGGGGGGGGGTCTCAGGAGTTAAAGAGGAGGAAAGGAAGTGAGAGGGGTTTTAGGATAGATCGTGTTTTGATAAAAGTAAAATTCAAAATTTCAGTTCTGTATAATGAAAAATATGAAACTCATTATTTAAATTTTTTTTTTTTTTAAAGTATTCAGTCTTTTTCTGAAAAAAGCATTGCTTTGTTTTAGTTTTGGGGTTGAAATAACAACTGTGTAGTGTGGTAATATCTTTCAATTATGTAATTGTGATATATTTTCGTCCTGTACATTGTGAAATACTATGTACTATATTGTATTTATATTTGTTTATCAAATGATAAAAAAGCTTTGTTTTAATTATGTTACAGTTTTGTTTAAACTCTGTTTATGTACGAAAAAGAATTGGAGCTTTTAGAAATAATATCAATGTATTCTAACATGAACGTCAAGAACCATCACCAATAACAAGATCACAAAAACCTTCGAAAATCAACTCGAAGGCACTTTAAACGTCCCACAAAATCTTCGTCGGAATAATATTGTCATTGTAAAATAATTGGCATACAATTTGAATTGGTAATGGACAAGGCTATTTAAACTGCCTCAGGATGAATTTCCGAAAGTCTATTCGATAGTGTTCAGTATACTTCCGCATTAGTTAAAAGAAGCGATGTAACATCCTTGTATGGTCCTTATAATCTCACATATTAAGGGGTATGTCGCTCTAATGGGTAACTTTTTCAAAAATCCTTAAACATGGATTCCAATTTTAACAAAAAATACCTCTGAACATGGGACCGTTTTTTCAAAATTAAAAAAAAATGGGCTTTACTTCGAGAAAAATCCGCCAAACTAACCCTTAAAAATGGGTAGGTTTCGAGACTTCAGCGGCGCACCCCGTCAAAGCCAAATCCGAGTATCCCCCCGGGTCTTGCTCTTCTTCATGAATCCATCACTAAAACTGTAGATAATTTTGCATGTTCAACGTATCGTTAACAAAAATGTTATCTTTTTTTCGATACCCATAATAGAAATTATACCAGGGTAGGAATAACTATATGAGCCTAGTGTTAATATAGAACAGCTAGTATCAGAACTGATTATCCCCTCGTGCGCTGGCTTGAGATACAGTCCTTGCAAACATAGTTATGTCTGCCCCATAAAAGCATAGTTATGTATAGAGCATACAACCTACGATGGCGTGGACGACTTCGCTCTCTTCATCCTGGTCATCGACACGACATCGATGTTCCAAGATGACGGATCCGTACAGATAAGAGCTTTGTCGACGGCACGGTAAATAATTGTATTCGAACTCAGTGAGTGATGTACTATGCAGTAAGTAAGGAAGAATGAATGACTGAATGAAAGAATGGATAAATAAATTTCTTTATTTTTGTATTAACGTAGATCCTGAAACAAAATATAAAACATGTTTACTAGGTATGAACAAAGTATGGCAACAGAATAGCCGAAATGGCTAATGACGATGTGATTTCCCAGAAAGGGAGAGGCAGTCGCAGAGAGAATACTCGAAGAGAAAGCCCGGGGTGGGATAAAATGAAATGAATTTCTACATTTTTAAATAAATTGCAGTATACGATATTCATTCAATCACAAACTAAAGAGTTATGATTACAATGCACTATGAGTAACAAAAGATCACAATGCCACAATTGAACTGTAGGACGGAGAACAATAAAAATTGTCGATTAACTTTTTATGTAAGTGGTGAATAAAGGGATTTGACAAGTCTTGAACTGAACTAAATTGAAGAAAAAAAAAATTCTTTCCCTGTCCACCATGGGTGTCGATCCCGGGGGGATGGGGGGAATATATCCCCCCCCCAATATTTTAGGTGGGGGGGATGGCCTGTACAATCATCCCCCCAATAATTCACCATCAAAAAAAAAAATGAAGAGAAAAATTAAGGATGAGAGCCCGACGAGAGTAGTAATGGTTATTACTCGCAAGATGACCATCAATATACACATTTTGCTATCTAATTTTCATAACACATACATATATACGAAGTAAATAAGACTACCGTATATGAGACAAGAACAAATTTAATTCCCGCTCATACGGCTTCATCAGGAATTGATGAATTTATTCAATTTGTTCAATCAACAGCATCATAGAAATGCAGTGCGCCAAATGCAAAGACGCAGCGTCAAAAAGCAACGAGCTAAATGTTAAGCGCGAAGCGCAAAAATAGCAATCTGCAATGCATATCAGACAATCCTGGACAGTGTAAACATAGATGAACTCTGTGACGATTTCGTGATGAGATCGGAGACAAGGAGAAAGATTTTCGGACATTAGTATGACTTATAAAATAGTTCTCTAGTTGTTATGTTGTTTCCGTTCACCCTTTTTAAAATTCACGTCATTATATCTTTATTTTTGTTTTTTTCACTCATTTTATTTCCTGATATTTCCTAAAAGATTTTTCATTTTTGGAGAAAGATTATTATGTCACAACTTATTTGTAACACAAATTATTTTCAGTGGGGAAACTGAATTCAGACAAGGATTAATATAGAGAACAGTACAACGAATCGTCTTCTTTCTCTAATAATTCAGTGAAAAGGGCAAAGCTGTTAGGGGGCAACTGAATTCAGACGTGGATTAAGCGTAGTAATCAAATGAAACGTCAAAGTACACGATACAACTAAGCGTCTTCTTTTACGAATAATTTAATGAAACGTGAAAGCTGCCGCGTCAAGCGCGGAATGGGCGAAAATGAATACAGACAAGGATTCAGAGTAATAATTTATTGAAACGTTAAAGCTTCCGCGCTTCGCGCGGTAGGGGGGAAACTGAGTTCATGAAGGACACGATACAACAAATCGTCTTCTTTCACTAATGTGAAAGCTTCCGCGCTTCGCGCAGGAATGGGCGAAAATGAATTCAGACAAAGATTAAGAGTCGAGAATGGTACATAGGATCATCTTCTTTCTTTAATCATCGAATGAAGCATCAGAGCTTCCGCGCTACGCGCGGGGAAGGGGGGGGGGGGGGGGGAATTTGATTCAAACATTAAGGATTAAGAGTCGAGAATGGTACATCGAATCGTCTTCTTTCTTTAATAATGAAACGTCAGAGCTTCCGCGCTACGCGCGGAGGGAGGGGAACTTGATTCAAACAAGGATTAAGAGTCGAGAACGGTCCAACAAATCGTCTTCTTTCTCTAATAATTTAGTGAAACGTCAAATCTTCCGCGCTTCGCGGGGGGGGGGGACTCCCCCTCCCTGCACGCAACCCCCTAGAGACCGCGCTTCGCGTGCTCACTACCGCCCCCTAAAATGAAATCAGGGCTACGCGCTTGGGAGGGATGCAACTTGCCACACGCTTCTACCTCTTGATTGCTTTGATCCATTGCCGAAAATATTTTGGCACCTATCATCCCCCCCCCCCCCCCAACCACGAATACAAATCGACACCCTTGCTGTCCACCAAATAGATATTATAGGCCCACTCAATTGTTTTTTTAAGCTTCATATTAATGTCTTGTTTACTCACTGGTAGCCTCATCAATATTCATAATTATGTTCTCTCTGATGGCTCTGCAAAGACTGCAATCATAACACTACCCCGGCTTGAGCGTTATTTTTTTCGGCGGCACAGATTGGGGTTAGGTGCGATTTGAGCCTATGGGAAAGTTTAGGGTTAGGGTTAAATCAAGACCTCTTTTAAAAAAAAAAAGCCCCAATCTATACCCAGAAAAAAAGACGCACCCCGGCTGTATTATACTAGGGGTATAATGGGGGCGGAGCAGAAGATTTTCTCCCGGGAACATTGGCAGTTAGAAAAAGTAAAAGAGGATAACAATGTTCTAAGAAAATAAGATCCTGAAAATGTGTCTCCCACACTCGCTGAGTGGGGGCCAAAATTTAGAGTCCCCCTTCTTATATGAAGTTTTTTTCTTCACCTGTTGCATTCGACAAGCTATATGTTTCAGTGTTGACTATTTCTTTCGCCTTTTCGACATCAAACAGATCCTCGTTCAGTCTTCTCGAACTTTATTTCATATCAAAGGCAATTGCGTTTGCCGCCCTCTGTCGTCAAGCAAGCGCCATTGCTACAAAGTGCAAGATTCTAGGATCGTGTCAGAACACTGCTGCAAATACTGCTAAAAAATCATGAAATAAGCACTGAAATATGCAAAAGGTAAGTCGAATTTCATTTAGATTAAGTGTTTATAATATAATGTAATGTTTGGAAGTATTTGAATGGTTATCTGTTATGAATTGTCGCCTTCTGAAAAGAGTTTCACTTTGAGTAGCGGACGGTCTTTTCTCAATCTGACTGAGTTGTTATTATTATTCCCTTCGACTCTTTGAGGTGACTGTGCTGAGTGCCGTGATGTTGTTGGTGCGTGATACAGTGTAGGCCTATGACTGTATGATTGATGGGGTGCCCTTATTATATATCTGCATACCTAAAATTAGACTTGATATTAACATTGATGTTCCCTTATATTCCTAAAACGCATACAGGTATATAAATCCTCATGTTCTACATAGTAATTGTGCCAAAAATTTCGTCTAAATTCAAGCCAGAACAATTTAATTTTGAGGTGAAAAGACGGCCGTGTCATTTTGCAAAAATGCAAAATCAAAAGTGCTCATGTCTGCGTACTTAGCTTATTCATTTTAAACGTATCTAGTTTGGGATTTTACACGATAAAGATAGCATTTCTAGGCTTGTGAATAAAATTACTTGAAGTAGACTTTTCTCAATAATTTTTACTTCTTTTTTTGCATGAATACATAGATCTAGAGTCTAGATCTAGTCTAGATCTAGACTTTGCTATAATAATAGAGATTGAAAATTTTGTGTTCGTTGCATGTTTTACCTTTTGAAGAGGTACATGTATATCAATAATAATACAGTGTATATGTACAGTTTAAAAGGTTTCCATTCCTATTAACAGGTACTCTGAAGTCTTAACAGTACCAGCCGGCATCGGCATTTGCTAGTAATACCCTCCCCTTTCAGTTGAATGGACATCCATTCTAAATTGAATTTGAATTTGAAAAATAAAATTGAATATCTTTTTTCAAATATTTTACAAATATTTTACAAATATTTTTCAAATAGAAATAATCATAAACTGTTACAATAGTGCTTAACAGTGATACAATTATAATGTAAAATAAACAATAAATAATTTTGAAAGCTGTAATCAGTATGAAGGGGTGACCAAAGTTCGCGGATATTTTTCTTTTCTTGCATATTTCAAAAAATCCAGATCAACATATATCATGTTCCATACGTCATAAGATTCGTAATTTATCATATAATCAGATTATATAACATTCCAAGGCTTTATTTACTTCAAATCAATGATAAGACGAGAATATCGGAAGCCTTACCACTTCCGACGTCCGTCAAAAAGTGTGACCTAAGTTCGCGCATGATATTTACTGCCCTCTTGTGATGGGCTTTATATATGTAAACATTCCAAAAAGTTACGTAGTTTCAATCAGAAGCCGAACTTTATATTGAAACTTTGAAAAATATAATAATTTCTCTCTATCATTGAAATATTGCCCGATAAAAATACCCTTGTTAAATTTTGCAAATAAAAGACAATATTTTTCAATGTTTATGTGTTAATGTCAATGTAGTCCCTATCTGCATGTCATTTGTTTGTTTGAAAAAATTATCATGTGTCTCCATTTTATATGTCAGCCATACACGAGTTCTCGCTCTTTTCTCTCTTTGTCTCTCCTCTTTCCCCTTTTAAATTTGTATTCTTATGAACCATAGATTCATTGAAATTCACAAACACAGATACGGTGGAAGCAGGCGCGCAGGTTCCGTTTTTCGCGTAAGAAATTGGAATTTTATCATTATTTTTCGGAGTCGATCCCTCTAATAAACTGATTTTCATGTAAAAAAAACACAATTTGTTATGATAAAAAGCGTGAAAAAGCTAGCTTATTCACATTTTTATGCCGCATTTTGACCTTTGGAGTTGTCGACGGTGCTCAAAGATTTCGTTGTCTCAGTCCCACACAGGCATCGCGTATCGTTCTCCTGTTATAAGCGCTTTTAGTGTTAGTACGCGAACTTTGGTCACGCGCGAACTTTGGTCACACCACCATACACAAATAGTATGGAAATGTAAAATTGGCTGAATTGTAGTCTCTGCTGGACAACTTTTCCATTTGTTCCATCACAAAATGAATGAAATGCCATTTTTTTCCAAAATGTAATGACCCTGGATGGTCTCTTTTTTTAAAAAGGACCTGCATGTACAAATGTATGTGTATACATGTATGATAATATGCAATCGATATTATATGGATCAGTGTAGTGCTAATACTGAATAGGCCAAAAGAGAAGACACAAGAAAATAGAATGTGATTTTTTTTTTTACAGGACAAACGGAGAGAAGTCTATGACTACATGTATGTCAAAATCTATGGACCAAATTGCCAATTTGAGATTTGCATACATTTAGTGATTTCATATTTTAAACATTCATTGGTCCGATTTATTTATAGATAGTGTACAAAGTGTATCCCTTCTCATGTGCAGGCAGCTGTTAGTCGATCAAGGTTTCCTTGCGAGAATGATTTAGCCTGAAAGCTTGATCTGAACATTACAGTCAGTCCTAATGAGAGCTCTGGTGAAAAATCAATACCGGTAGATAACATTTCACTGACAAAAACTTACATTTACCCTGTACATTAACATGTAAGATAGTCTACTCAGTGAATAAAACGAAATTTCACCTATTGCTGAAGTAATCACACACTCCAGGGAATAATTTTATTCAAATTTTTTGATTAGCAATTTCAGGCGATGGATAAATATTTCAAATGAAATTCTGTACATTTCTATGGAAGAAAACTGCTACATAAAAGATATTTTGTATAGCAGTCATGCAAAAATGCATAGCAAATTGCGATGCGATACCAGGAAAATTATTCCCTGCACTCCAATGTAAAAAGGCTTGGAAAGGCTTGAAAAGGCTAGGATAGAATTAGAAGAATACAATTTTAATTTTAATTTGCCAATTTAAAGCTAAAAGTAAAAAAAAAAAAAAACCTTCTTGTTGTCATGATGTTCCCAAATGACTGGAGACTTTCATATCCATGACGGCCTACATGTACTGTACATGTACAGTTGGTGGAATATCAGCTTGGATCTTGAGGTCAACTTTCAACTGCATTAGTGATGAAATAAATACATTTACTTCTCCCCCTTTCTCTCTCTCACTCTCTGTCTCTATGTTTCTCTTTGTCAGTTTGTATCACTGTGTCATGTACATGTACAGTGTATGTGGTATATATTTCCTTTTTTGAGGATAAATGTTTTCATGTTACATGTACATGTATTTTATTTTCCAGGTTCCCTAGGGACTTCTCCCCTCTCTCTCTCTCTCTCTCTCTCTCTCTCTTTCTCTCTCTCTCTCTCTTTCTCCCTTTCTCTCCCTCTCTCTCTCTGTCTCTTTATCTCTCTTTTGATTTTTGCACGCTGTACAGGCCTTTATTTTTGTTTCCTCCTTTATATTTTATTGTTACCGATATTTCATTTTCCAGGTTCCCTCGGGACTGTAGGAAGTGTGCTGTGCACATTACATGTACTGGTACGTGTAATTTCTTCACAGTGTACACGCAAAGCAGACCTTGTGCTATGGATCAAGAGCTAGTGAATATAACCAAAGGTCATGTGACCAATGAAGCCTTGTCGTGGCCCGATTCAACATCTTCCAATCCAAATCAGGTAAGTCAAATTAAGATTTGAAAGAGAGCAAACTTAAATGCCTTTTTCGGGGAAAGAAGAGAGAAAATGATCGTCAATTGTGTGTGATATTCGATGTGGAAGGCTCTCCCTCGAGAGATTTGTAATAGCAGATCAATTGAAGTCCTTAAAAATAATCTTAAAACGTATCTGTTTAATTTGGTTCTGTCATTTTTGTATGTGCTCTTCTGTACCTTTGTTTATTAATTCAGATGCTTTTATATGTAATTTGTTATTTTTTTATACAGTAGGTGTGCCTTGAGCATTTGATTTCAGGTTGATTCGGCGCCCTAACATGATCTTAAATAGGTTTATCATATATTATTATTGTTATTATTAGTGATTTAATGTACTATTACACAGTAGACCACATGAACATGTAAGTGATAAATGCTAAACATATTCTTAAAAATTAATTTTATATTGTGATAATGAAAATGCACAACGGATAGAAAACTATCTGTACTAGATTTTCATTCAAGGAAAAATTTGCTGTAACTTACATGTGTGTTCAAACTTCAACACATCATTTTGTGCAGTGCCAGTGAGCTCACAAATGAATGAAATTGACAGGGCTTTTCCTTACTTTGATAGTGCCTGTGAAATAGTGAATCAGGAAATAGTTGATTACTGTGTATGTGTTGAATACTACTGAAAGATTTTCTCCCCTCATGAATATATCTTGCTTAGGCCATGTAAAATTGATTTCATGTTGATCGTCCCCGCCCGCTTCCTTTTTGGGGGCCGCCTCCTATTTTTTGTTATTTGTTATTTTTTTTGTTATTTATTATTTTTTTTTTTTTGAATTTTTTTTGATTTTTTTTTTTTTTTGAAAGAAAAAAAACATGAAAAACACTGCTAAAATGGCTCTATTTCTGATTTAAAAAAAAAAAAAATTGTCGGCGGCCATCTTGAAAAAAAATAGCCTCGACTTTCAGGGAAAATGTACCGAGCGGCCATTTTGAGCGGCCATTTTGAAATATCAAATATCAAATAACATGGTACACCCTCCTCCTCTTTTTCAAAAAATCCGGACGATCAACATGTAATCAATTTTACATGGCCTTAATCTTTCCTTGTGTAACAATATGCCAAACTTCTCACATACATTTTAGGCCTACCGGTAATATATACATGTACATGTACACCCTGTATGTGTATAGACTGCATGCAATTCTTTTTCTCAACATTTACACATTGTGTAAAACCCCAAGACTACCGTAATTAACTTTGTATAAATCGCCCTCGTGTATTAACTGCACCCCTCTTTTTCACCCTTAACAAAGAAACAAAAAAAAATTATTATTTTTTTTTTTTTTTTTTTGCCGACTTTTTTTTTGCTGACTTAAAAAACAGTAGAGGACCTAGGATAGAACCTTGTGGTACGCCGTGTAATAGAAGAAAAATTGGAGGAATTATTTTATCAACTACATATTGAAATCTATCAGAAAGATTACTTTCAAACCAAGATTACAGACAAATTTGAGTGTTGTTCTAGTTTCCGAGTGGTGAGTCAACACACCGATTACTGAGCTGGGAGACATTGCCAGGCATAGCGCCAGGTGGAGGGGCATAAATCGAAACTTTTTTTTTTTTTATTTATTATTTTTTTTGGGGGGTATACCGTGTATAAACCGCACCCCCGACTTTGAATTTTTTTTTGGCGGCAAAAAGGTGCGGTTAATACACCGTTAATTACGGCATACAAGATTAGAATGAGTATAAGAGTGAGTGAGATCATATATTCTGTACATGTACAGGGAATAATTTTCCTGGTATCGCATCGCAATTTGCTATGCATTTTTGCATGACTGCTATACAAAATATTGTTTGTGTAGCAGTTTTCTTCCATAGAAATGTACAGAATTTCATTTGAAATATTTATCCATCAGCTGAAATTGCTAATCAAAATATTTGAGGAAAATTATTCCCTGCATGTACATTAATTGTTGATAAAGGAATCAAGTTGTATCAAATGGAAATGTATTAGTAATGTATACATGTACAGCACAGGTATGGAAGAAATATGCCATACATTGGAGAAGAATAAAACTGAAAGAAACCTCATTTGTACATGTGTACAAAAAACCCTAGAGTGACATACATGTAATGAGCAGTTTGTCTTCAAATGGTAGATCTAATATTAATTTGTCTCTCGTACTTGATTGAATATTCTTAAACTGGGGGTTCTGTACCCCTGTACCCCTGTACCCCTGTACCCCATCAAGGCTATCACCTTTGAATCAAAATTTGATTTCTTTTGTCTGTTTGTCCAAGTGAAAATATAATTATGGGAGGATTAATTTTTGTGATTGTTTTTAAACCATCACCTTGAATTATTTCTAGAAAATAATAATAATAATAATGGTGGCTTCTTATATAGCGCACATGTCCGTCACATTGTGACGCTCCTGGCGCTGCCCCGATTATTACCCTGGCTTTAGCAAGGCAGCCACTGCGGCGCTCTAGCATTTAAAGGAATTAATTCCTGCCAGGTACCCATTATGTTGAAATTTAATCAAAAAACAGAGAAAGAAGATAGTTCAAGCATTTCAAGAAGTACAATTAGAGCTGAACCTACACGTACTCGTAGCGGTAGGATAGTGAAACAGCCTACTTTGTTTACTATTTAGCTTGTAAATAGACTGCATTATACTTATCCTTTTATTATTGTCAGTTTGTCACTATCTACATTCATTGTACATGTACATGTACTGTATATATAATTTGTGTTTACTAGTTGGTTCATTGTTCATGTTTGTACTTTCGTACACTATATACTTATTATTGTTTTTATCTTTGTGTCATTATCTATGTATAATGTATGTGAATTGTATTCATAAGTCATGCATTGTTATTTATACTTTTATGTTTGTTTGTACTCTCATACCCCGAGAGGGGGTCAAAGAGTCAATAAAATTCTACAAATTCTACAAATGACAGAGACCAACAAGAAGTTTCACATCATGCAAAGTTTGTGAAGTTTAAATTTGACAAAAGAATTAGTATGTTGGTTTTTAATCGCTCCCCACGGTTCCTCAGTGATGACACTTGAGATACATGTAGGGTTGATGGAGGGGAAGGGTGAGGATAGGGTTGCATGGGTAATGTACATTGTACATTCATAGGGCGAGGAAGGATGCTCAAATTTATTTCTAATCTTACTGCGATCTTCGTGGAATCCTTAGAATCCCCGACCAACTTCCGGTCACCCCCCCATGCTGACCATAGCAGTTGCTGTATGTGCTTTGTGGTAGGATTAGAGAACATTACTGATAATTGAAGTTGGCAGGCATGTGTTTCAAGAGGGGAGGGGGAGGGGGGTGGGAGTCCTGGGACTCATTTACTGTCGGTTTGATCGTTTTGTATTCATTGAGAGAAAAATGAGAGTGACTCGGCAGAAAAAGTGCAGCATTCAAAAGAATCGGAAGCAGAAACATTTTTAGAGAATATCTTTTAGTCATCTAGTCAGTACAAGTACAGAACAGTTTAAAACACTGCTTAAAATGTACATTTACATGTACAGTACATGTGTACAATTGGCTATTACATGTATGGGTTCATCTAAAAATTTTGTTTTCATTAATCGTAGCATGTCTGTCAAACTATTTCCTAGATTGTTTGCATATTTCCATCATTTTGTTGATCAAAAGTTTTGAGATACATTTATGTGATTGTGCATTATGAATTTTATTACTTGTATCTTCCTGTTAAAAATACGATTTTCACCTCTTCTGGGCAATGATACACATTTACCGGTAATTAAAGTACTATGATTTGCATGATAGCCAAGAATACCAAGTTGTGTAGTACATTTGTAGTCTCATTCTCTCTCTCTTTAAAAAAAGAAAAGAAAAGACTATTGACATGTACAGTATATAAAAGGCACTTTAGAAGTTCAGAAATAAAGTGAACTTTTCTTCAACACATTCCATGTACCAAGTGAAAATGTATGTTTTCTTTTTCTATTAAAAAAAAATAGTTCATGTACTTCACTTTTACAATAATTGTTCTTCTTTGTAAGAGGGTAGTATGCAAACTGTGTTTTCAGGTATACTGTACAACATTGTACATGTACAGTAGCACTCTAAGACACGATACAAGACTCTGACCACATGACATGTACATGTACAGTGTACACATGAAAACTGAAGTACACTGTACTTAAGTTGAAGACTTAAAGAGAAGGTTGAGTTCTGGGAAGAGGTGAAAAATAATTTGTGAGCATTACTCATTCTTATTATGCAAGTGTGGAAGAACATCAGTTAAGACATGTTCCCTGAAAAGCATGGCTCTTCAAATGCCTTCATATTCTAAATATGCATGTAACATCGTAAAAATCGGGGGGGGGGGGGGGGGCGGCTTTTTACGCCACATGTTCGTGTAGTCCCATATACATCTTTCTGTGCAAGTGTTTGTAACTTTACCAAGACTTGGCCAAATTTCTTATCATTTTGATGATTCCAGAACCTTGCAATACACACAAATTCTTATATGCTAGATGATCAACCTTTTCTGGTCGGTTCCACACCGTTTCTTTCACAATGCAATCGCATGACCAGAACTCAACTTCATCTTTAATCCAGTGCTTATGTACACATATGGTCAAAATGCATGTGCATGTACCGGTACATGTACATGTACTTCTGTACATAAACTGTGCGTTGTTGAGTAATACAAAAAAAGGTAACATAAGTCACTCTCTTGTCCTGATAAGATTTGGAATATTTTGCGAATAAGATCAATGTATAGGTTGAAGTCGTACATGCATGTACACCATTGTTTAAAATGTGTGGGGAAAAACCTGTCACAAACATTCCGTAGCGTAATGGAATTAAATGTACCGCTACTCATATTCATGGAATTACAGTATACCCTCACTGTGCTAACATGATTTTGGTCATAAAGTAACGGTAGTCTTTCCCTTTAACCTGCATGAAAGTGCACTGTGCAATATGTACAGTACCTACACCTTCCTGGCACAAGGTTTAGACATGTGAGGGTCTGTTTTAACAAGTGTTGTGCCTTTGTCCGTACTGTCTATAGGTCAGCAGAGGTTGTGAGTCAGCGCATGAGGCAGCCGATCTTCCTGACCGATGCTCGACGGTGGATGATGAGCCATCGTCTCAGATGGACTTTATGCCCTCGGATCCGCACACTCCTTCCCCCGTACAGATCCAAGGAGAGCAACTCGTCGCAGAGCCATTGGGTATGTAAATGTACTTTCTGTTTGTTTGTCTGTTTGTCTGTTTTACCTGACTGCTTTTAAAGGGATCGTTTAACAATGTTAAATCTGAGATACACGGCCCTACGTGTTATCAGTGTCTGTGATATGATGTAATATTGAAGCCCTAAAAAAATTGCGCTTCAAAATGATCAAGAAGTGCTTCAAAAAAGTAAAAATCTTTGAGTGACCGGTTTTACCATACTCGTTTTCCCCAATAGACTGTAGTGTTATGAAAACCGTCAGGCGAACGGTTTTCAAAATTTGTAATTCCAATCATAAATATCTTGATAATCAGACAGGCGATCGGCTTGTAAAAGTCACGGGGTTCCTGACTGATCTAAAGGTTTATAATTATCATTGCATCATGAGCTAAATCCAGAATATGTTTTCAGAATCTGAGACAAAGTTACCGGATCCCTTTAAGAAAGCATGTGTATGCTTGTAAGTATTAAAGCAACTAGGGGACCGAAGGCTTTTAAGTAAGCAACCAGGGGACCGACGACTTTTAGTTCTCAACGAGGGACTTGGAAATGACGATTGATGCCTCACCAGAGGGCACTAATACTGTTTTCACACTGGCAAAATATTGCTTAACCCCGTACTATAGGTGGGGTTAAAGGGGAACTTAGCCCTACCTACATGTATAGTCCGGGGTTAGGCTTATTCCACTTTCTTTTCACACTGGCAAAATGTTGCTTAACCCCGTACTATAGGTGGGGTTAAAGGGGGGAGGGGGGGGGGGGGGGTTTAGCCCTACCTATAGTCCAGGGTTAAGCTTATTCCACTTTCTTTTCACACTGGCAAAATGTTGCTTAACCCCCTACTATAGGTGGGGTTAAAGGGGGGGGGGGGGGTTTAGCCCTACCTACAGTCCAGGGTTAAGCTTATTCCACTTTCTTTTCACACTGGCAAAAATTTGCTTAACCCCGTACTATAGGTGGGGTTAAAGGGGGGTCTTAGCCCTACCTATAGTACGGGGGTTAAGCCTATTCCACTTTCTGTTCAGACTCGTATTTACCAAAGTGGGCTAACCCCATCTATAGTACGGGGTTAACTAACCCTGCAAATAGCAGGGCTAACCTCGCAATTGTAGTGCTAACTCCTGCTAACTCCGCAATTGCGGTGCCAAGCAAATGAATGAGAACAGAAACGAAAAATAGTCCGGGACTACGCAGTGAAGCGAATTAATGAATTCCATGGCCATGGCTAGTACGGGGTTAAGGAATTGCAGTGAGAAAAGCCAAAAAAGATAGTCCGGGGTTAAGGATAGTACGGGGCTAAGCAAAGTACGGGGTTAAGCAAAACAAGTGTGAAAAGAGTATACATTAAGTGCATCAACTTGGTTTCGAACCCGGGATCTCCCGGTTCCGAGACCACTCGTCAATCATTGAGCCATTGCGCCTCTACTATTTTCAAAAGTTTGAATAGACAAGTGCTGTTGTTTTTGTTTTTGGAAGTTGCATGTGGTATTGATATAATGTGCCAGATACTACTAAAACTAAGAACTGACTTTCATCCTCTTGAAATTTTGTTTAAAATTCTTTTTTGCTTCTAGGGGCCTTGAATCTTGTTGAGTCTATGCTTGGAATCTGAGAGGTTTAGGTTTATATAGGTTTAGGTTTAGGTTTAGGTTTAGGTTTACATTTAGGAACAAAAAATTGTATTGTACAGCTTGGCATAGTCTCATATACATGTACATGTCTTCATGTACAGTACTTACTGTTTAAAAAGTATACATTTTAAAAAGTTGGTACAAAAATCTAAAAATTCTTGATAATTCAATACCATTGATTAGCATAGATTTCATATTTGCATTAATAATGTTTTTAATAAAAACTACAGAAAAACAAATCAAAGTCGGGGTGCGTCTTATGCATGGTACATGTACACACACACAAAAAAAGTTGTGATTTATGCCCCTCCACCTGGCGCTATGCCTGGCAATGTCTCCCAGCTCAGTAATTGGTGTGTTAACTCACCACTCGGAAACTAGAACCACACTCAAATTTGTCTGTCATCTTGGTTTGAAAGTAATCTTTTTGATAGATCTTAATATGTAGTAATTTTAGTTTATAATAATAATTCCTCAAATTTTTCTTCTATTACACAGCGTACCACAAGGTTCTATCCTAGGTCCTCTGCTATTTTTTAATTTACATTAATGATGTTACGCATTCAGCTGCACCTCCCAGTTAAATGAAAGGCCTTCCCGCGTGGGTTTTTTAAATAGGGGTGCACCTTGTACACAGAGATTTACGGTATAATATCAAATAGACCAACTTGCTTACAATGTACATTTACAGTATTTTATTATAAGCACGTACAAAGGATAACATGAAAATGAACACAGACTTTTGACTTGCAATGTTTACATGTATTCCCTAAATTCAAGAAGAATACATTTAGTGTACTTTGTCAGTCCATGATTGAATGAACACTTTTGTTAGATTTCATTTTGTAATGATTTTCTGTACATGTACATGTACACTGTACAGCATTTATGGCCTCGACACTGTATAACTTATAAGTACTACAGTGTCGAGGCCATGTACGCAGTGTGACTTCATTTGTCTGTATTTCCATTTCGCAATACAACTGTACATGTACCAGGAGAATTTGTAACCATCCATATTCAGTACAAGTTCTAATTGATCAGTCCGATTTTCTGGATCTCGAACAGGGAGATGTAGATTAAGCCAACGTTAGTGGCATCTAGACTAGATGGCAATGCATGCATACCCCCTACATGTTTGTCGGCTAGCCAAGAGTTGAGAACGTGTACCCCAGCATGCGCTTGGCATGCATACATGTGTCATGTGAGATATGAAGTTGGAATAGGTGCCAGCAGCATTGGGTTACATCCCCCCTCGTTCAAGGATGGAAATTCAATTTCAAACTATCAAGGTCACGTGTTCCTCTGCCATGTCATCCCATACACATGTATCCGTGTTAGGAAAATACCCTATGGGGGATGGGTGGGGGGGGGGGGTGTTTCACAAAGACTAAGGTCGACTTTAAGTTGGACTTAAATATGGCTGGCGGTTCATGCCACTAGCTGTTTGCTCTCACCATTTACTGGCATTAGTCTCTCAAGGAAGGTACAGATCATGGTCACAAATCTACAAAATTCATTATTGAAGGAAGAAATACTATCTAAAGATCATAATGGTGAGAGCAAAGAGTGGCACGAATGGCCTGCCACTGTTGAGTCCAACTTAAAGGTGCTTTGTCCCATTTGCACGCCAACAAAATGAAAAGGTTTAATTCCGATGGCATTTGAAAGACAATACTAATTTAGAACTTCCCTAAAAAAGGGGGCTTTGAAAATGTCTTTAAGTGGGAAAATAACGACTATTAGTTGTCGAATCGACTTAGGAGCTAAAGAGTCAGTAAGTAGTAGTCTGATTTTTCAGACCATTGTACCGAATGGTTGTACGTTTTATGCTGCGCAAAGATTCAATCAGTTTAATTTTGGCCATAATACAAGAAGTGGGTTATTGACGTAGACAAATGCTCATGTAAACAGCTCATTTTATGTATCTTATTACCAAAGATGGAAAAAGCCAGTCAGTCACTCAATAGTGTCCGACAGTGAAGTCTAGCGAGTAAACGTGTTTCTTTGCATAATTTGAATATTAGGACACTGCTAATGTTTAAATTTCACAGATAGGACATACTGTACAAGGCATAATCATAATTCCTGCAAAGTTCTACAGAATTTGATGTTGGCTGCAAAAGGGAGATTGTATCTTTAAAGTTGATCTTAGTCTTTGTGAAACACCCCACTGGTTTGTTGTACATGTATGTACATGTACATATATTTCATCAGATGCTTGGTGTTGCTTCATCATACATGAAGTATTGGTACTTTCACATTCCCCTTTGATACCATGTGCAGGCTTTATTGTACATGAATACATAAATACATGTAATGCACATCTTGCAGAATGCTAAATAATACTTGGCATGTAGTGTATGTGAAGTACATGTATAGGGATAATGTAGTCATCTGGATTCAATTTCTGTGAGAGGGCAACTTTCATATTTGTATCTGCGAAAAATAGAGTTTCATTGGACGGTGTTCAAGTATAGATTTTCTTTGCCCAAGTTTGCTTCCACCCCCTCACTCCTTTCTCTTCTGTGTTACTGTTCGCTTTTTAGTGGTAGGTAATCATAGAAAATCTATATTGCCAAGTAGAAAATTGTCCCACCCTTTTTCTATGATTTTAGCAGAAAGAGAAAGATTTGCTTGTTTTTTTAACAGTTACTTCAGCAATTTCCCTAGCACCCGGTTGAATAATGGCAGGATTTCCAAAATTCTCCCCTCTTTTTATTGAAAAAAGTCAAGTACATAATCACGTGGGAGTGGGAAGGAATTCCTTTTAGTTACTTGGCCGTGGGCCAATGTGCATTTCATGAAAATCAATGAAGAGTACAGTTTGCCTGATGATACATCATATGACTTTTATGTAATATACAATTTGGAAATTTGAGAAATGTATTATACAATACGTATTTTGAATACTTTTGGACGAAAATGTCTTTTTTGTACACGCATCCTCAAACTTTAGTAGAGGATCATGAGAATCTTATCTACATGTATGTGTACACTATTTTCCCCCTTGCATTAATGAAGAAACTTAGTGCTATCGAGGTGTGTTTCCTCTTTATACAATGTACATGTTTACAGGGGGATAATGCAACCAAGTGAAGTTAATCGTACATTATTATTTGAAGCTATGTCTAGACATGCACGATTACGGACAGTTGTCTTTGTACTTGTAATACGTGCCGACTTTATGACGGGTATAAATTCAAGTGTTAAAGCTACCGTACATGAGCAGTGTATTGATTTGCATGACTATGTCACCAGTAGTATCCATGCTGCATGATCCGGCAGTCACTACGTAGTACGTAAGTGATATAGACTTATCACACCAAACATTTGTGGTCAAAATATACAAAATAAACATGTACACGTATGTAGCATTAAAAAGCTTAAATTTTGAGAAAAACACGATTTTAAATCAAAATATTAGTATCTGGAGTAGTGTTGTTGTTGTTTGATCATCATTCGTGCATGTATATGAATATTTATCTTCATGTGTGGTAGCCTGCAGTCAAGCTGATCGAGCTGACTGCATATGTGTGTGTACCGTACTTTGATCCCTGTGAACACTTGAGAAACTGTACAGAAGGTTAAAAGGGAAGTGAGTGATAGTCCCGTCAGCAGGGTACGGCCCCATGGAAGTTAAATCCAATATATATACCAAGCATACAGGCCTTACAGGGTGCACTATCAATTCAACATAGGCATTTTTCTATCATGCAGTGAGCTTAGAAAGTAATAGAGGGCTGTACCTTTTTTGTCAAACTAAGCTTCTGTTATAATGTTTGATAACTGTGGTGAAAATTATACTTTTAGGATTAATTCGTGAAACTCTACACATGCACCCAGGCTTTGCGTTAAGACTTGTGTGAAGACAAAGTTGAAAAGAGATATCGTAGATAATATGCATGCTGCTAATGATGTACATGTATACTTTGTAATGTACATGTATGTTGGATTGTCAGTTGAATGGTACATTGCATGCTGGTAAGTACCGGTATTTTATTTTCCATGAAATATGTTGTATTGTTCATTTGTATTTAAGGGTAATGTTCACCCTGAAAAAAAAGTTGTTTTTAAAAAAGCAGAAATATGAGAGAAACAAAGAAGTGACAGTTTCAGCAATATACGATTAAAAATAGGACACCTACATGTATGAATTTTTGAAATTGTCATCAGTGAAATACAAATTGGCACCATTGTGACGTATCTTGCGAGCTCCTCCCCAAAAAATATTTGGACGCCATGTTTTTTAATAATTTGTTTTTTTTTTTTTGGAATTTTTGGAATTTTTTGGAATTTTTTTTTTTTTTGGGTTGTTGTTGCCACCACCATACCTTTGTAGCAGTATCCCAGTTCTGTCGCCGAAAACGCATGCAATTTTACTTCGAGATGCAGTTGAAGGCGCCGATTTAATAATAATAATAACAGTAAACAATGCTGTTTTAAAAACCAAAGATGGCAGAATAATCCATTTTCCTACAAGTCCAAACAGAAATCCAGACATTTGGTCCCAGTTTCTGAGTGGTGAGTTTGACAGTGCTTGAGTTGGGAAACATTTTTACCGACGGCACCATGCCAGTGGCCGCCGCTCACCCAGGCATGGGTAAGCGTCGGCCTGGACAGATTTTTTTTTTTTTTTTTTTTTTTTGCGGCCGAATATTCGGGTACGAGAAATTGTACCTGTGTAGTTGTCAACCGTGCGGGTACTCAAGCATTCGACTACACGTCGCAGCCCTAATTTGCAATAATGATATTTTGGTTGAAAGTATGATTGAAAATGTTTGTAAGGGAAAATATTTATTTTTGAAGTTTTTAGTACAGGGTAAATAGGAGGGAAGCTCGCAAGGTACGTCACAGAGGTGCAAATTTGTGTTTGATTGATTCTACTTTCAAAAACTCATAACTTTCTCATTTTTCATTGTTATTTTCTCACACTTTCACTGACCTGTTCCTCTTATTTTTCTGCTTCTATTAAAACTTACTTAATATCAGGGTGGACTTCCCTTTTAATCTATGTGTTAAAACATACATGTACTGTAGTCTACAATACAGTCACTGTACATTAGTTGGTTTTGAATGACATTTTCATACATGGATGGACTGCTGATATTACATGTACGTTTGACTCTTAGATCCCGTTTACAGTGAGAAAAGGGCCAGGGCCGGGCCAGGCCTATACTCGGCCTGCACAATTCTGTGCGTTTACAGTGCTAGGCCAGGCCGTGGCCTGGCCCGGCCTTTTGCTTACTGTAAGAGGGGTCTTAGTTAGATGGCTGTGTATGAAACTTCAAAGTACATACTGTACCAACATACTTATAAATCGTGATTGCCCCCACTTTTGATACCCTCTCTAATTCATTATTATTGTCTACAGTGTATCTAACTGTATTTTTTTTTTGGGGGGGGGGGGGAGGGGGTTTTAAGCGAGAATTGCTACAATAGATACCATTGAATTTTCTGTTGACCCAAGATATGTACATTTAATTACATTCCTTCATTTCTTTGAGAGTTAATTTTCTTTTCTTTTGTCTGTTTTTTTCTTTCTTCAGTGTCTCTCGGAAATGAACCCTGTGTAGGACTCTTCATCCCACCAAACGAGGACGAAGTTGATGTTGTGTCGGTAGATGGCAATCGCAACAGCCGTTCTCCTTTCCATCTTCTTGAATTAGAGCAAGCAGCGGAGAATGCCATCACAAGACAGATCTTTGGACAGCCTGCACAAGAGTCGGTAGACTTTGATCCAGTACGCGTAGCAAGTCAAGAGGCTATTCCCGATCCCATGATAGCAGCTCAGGCACATGACTTAGACTATAACATGATGTCTTTGTCAACCTCGCCTCAGAATCCTTTCCAGAGTGAACCCCTCTTTTCAGACATCCTAAGCGATACCAATGGATTGGAGGACTTCGATAGCGTGCCACATCAAGCTATGAATACCAGTGTCCACTGTCCTGCGGTAGGGGAGAGTAGGAGAACTGAGGGAAGTAAGGGCAATGGCAGGGACTCTGCTTTAGCTAGTGAACTCGAGGAAGATGGTGCAACAAGGAGGAGAAAACATGGCGGTTTGAATAAACTATTTAAAGGCAAGAAAGACACTATGTGGGCAATAAGCCCCGGTAAGCGAGACAGAACACCTCCAGTTGCGGAAGAATCTCTTCTTCATCAATCAAATAATGGTGAATTATCAGCGGGTTATCATGCTCTGTCACCGTCATTCACCATCAGTCAGAACTCTGCATTTGAAGCTCGTGCTGCTCACTCATTCTCCGACGCTGATAGTACTTCATCTGCTTTCGCCAGTGAAGGCGGTGACGGAAGTGTAGCCAGGCAACCCATGGCCGAGGGCAAGATACCCTGTAAGATCTCGTTTGAAGCTCGGGAACCTGGATGCCTGGATACGTCCGACGTGGAATCGCAGTTCTCCTTCAGCAGTCACGGTGCCACGATAGGATCGGACACGGTGCGATCCATGTCTCGTGCCGGTGACGTGACCACCATTGTGGACTCGAGCAGCGAGGAAGAATCCGATGTTGACATTGTGACTCTGGATGATTCCATGAACTGCACGGATTCAAGTGGATATGGTTACGGAAGCGCAGCAATGTCAGACTATGATGTCATTGACCCCAATCTTCCAAGTACCAGTGGCTTGCCTTTGACCCCGAGCAGACAAGGAAAGACAAGTAAAAAGAGGAATTGGTGGGAAGCAGAGACAAGTTCTGACGCGGGTAAATCAGATAAAGCTGGACCGTCCAGACCAAGGGCTGGAGGTTCTGGTCAAGGCAAAAGTCCTGTTGTAGTTGAACTTCTATCTCTGTCCAGTGATAGCAGTAGTGAAGATGAAGTGGAGGTCATTGATCTCAGAAAGGATCACTTTTCGTACAAGAGGTAGGCCGTCTTTACACCTTTTCTCAGCATGACCTTCCTTCTCTTAGTTCGGTTTCACTGTCTCTAGTATTGAAACAGATATGTAGTGTTTAAATGAAAAAAATGAATTGCATTTATAGTGTATATCTACATTACCTATTCTAGAGAATGTTATTTATCATTTTGATTCTCCTTTTTTCTTCTCGGGGGTACCCATAGTTGTTTATGAATGTACATTCCCTAAAGTCAGAAATAATATTCATTAACTTTGAATAAATTTATTGTAGCAATACATTTTTATTGCAAGTGAAGGAAGATTCTGTTATTTCTGTCATTTATGAACATATGTAGAATTGCCTTAAGGGAAATTACCATTTTGGTCAATGTTTATTGATCCTGAAAATGTGTTTTGCTACATTTATAAACCTGATAAATAGTGTAGAAATGTTTTTAAACTCCAGGAGGATGTTTCACAAAGATCCTAAGTTGAACTTATCTCTCATCATTTATGGAAAGCCGTTAGCGTCTACGGAAATAGGTTGTAAAAGATTTATAAAAAGGCATAAAATGTTGATTCAAATCATTCATATTTTCTGTTATCAAGGAAATTTCATGTTCTTGATGTGAAATTTATAAAAAGTATAAAATACTTATATTTTCTTTTTTGAACATATTTTATTTTAAGGCTACTAATGGCTTTCCATAATGTTTAAGTCGAACTTAGAGATAAGTTCGACTTAGAATATTTGTGAAACTTCCCCCTGATCAGCTTGTTCACATACCTTAAATTATCACAACATGTCTTGATCTGTTTGTACAACTTGTAGGTTGGAATGTTCTGTTCAAAATTTCAATGAAAATTTACATGCTACACCTTTGAATTTTATTCTCTAAATATTCTATCTGTGCAACTTAATGATAGAACCTTACCATCTCAGAATCCACCTTGGAATGTTATTTGGGAAATCAATTTTGTTTATCTTCTGTATCAATTATTTATGTTTAGCAACCCAAACCAGCACCATAGCAGAGTAAAATCCCGGAAGAAGGAATCAAGATCGCCCGTCATTGTGGACCTAACAGAATCTGATGGGGGTAAGTTTTACAGTGAATCAAGGTTTAACAAAAATGACATTGCATTGCAAATTTTGATTAAAACATCTTTAATTTGGAGTTTTTAGGAGCTCTTCTCATCATTGATCATATATTTCATAGACATACAAGTCTTTAAGTCGTTGTAAGTAGTGGTCAGGATTTGGGATTAAAATGACATCAGTGAAGTATTGTGCATGTATTTCAAGGCTGGGAACTTAGTTTTACGAGTCAACTTCTCAGTCTACAAACTTGCAATTGATTGTTATCGTGTAGATTGTTGCTCTGCAACTCAACATTCAACTGTCAGGGCTGACTTATGATGACTATAATGTCGCCCAAACTTGTTTTGTTCAGTGATTTTGTTTCTAGTTATGTACGTTATTTGTTGATGATGTGATTTCTTTTGATTTTCCCATAAAAAAAATTATACAAAAAAAAGAAGAAAAAAAAAAGGGAAAATGAAACCGTCCAATTGAAAATGGATTGTGTCATGGACGGTCGGATACCGGACGGATAAACGTTTGACTACAGCTCTAGTTATAAGTAGTTATAAGTCGTTTAAGTCGTGTGGTCTTTATAGACGAGTGGACTTTATACGAAGGTGGTCCCTAAAAGCAGGTGTCACTATATATTATACTTACAGGATAAATATTGAAAGAAGACAGGAAGTGAATTTAAACAAGAGTCACATCTATACCCTGTCCTTCCTTATTTGCAGAGATTGAAACCAGTAGCAGTTCAACTGAAGCTCACCCTTCCACATCTTCCTCTGGTAAGCATCTACCTAGTGGAATGCACTGTCAAGCAACTCAAGACTCGTCCAGGAACGACGATACGCAACGTGTGACCTCTCCCGGGTCGCCCTCTGTTGCTCGGTATCCTACTTGTTCCCATGACAACCAATCTGCCGGTACACCAGGATCATCATCGTCATCGTCTCTGGTGGTGAGGAGTTGTAGGGGATGTAGCAGTTCAAGGAGACACCCCCACCATCATCATGTGGTCAGCAGGTAAGACTGGTATACCTAACCAGGGGGGTGTTTCACAAAGATCCTAAGTTGAACTTATCTCTAAGTTGGACTTAACAATTATGGAAAGCTGTTAGCATCTATGAAAATCATTTTGTCAAAGTTATTTTAAAAGGCATCAAATGTTGATTCAAATCATCCATATTTTCTATTGTCATGGACGTTTTATGTTCTTGATGTGGAATTGATAAAAATTCTAAAATACTTGAATTTTTCGCTTTTGAATATAATTCATTTCAAGACTACAAATAGCTCTCCATAATTTTTAAGTCCAACTTAGAGTTAAGTTCGACTTAGAATCTTTGTGAAACACCCCCATGTTTTAAATTTTTTGTTGTTGCAATATACCATCTAGATTACTGCAATACCCAAAATATTTCCATGATGTTGGAGAAATAACTGAAATGACTAGTATAAAATTCTCTTGTAGTCAAAATTCATTTTAAAAGAACAATCACATCAAAGCATTCTGTCTCCAGGAAAGAGAGGCTGACTTCATATTATTCCCTTTAAAATCTATTCTTATTATATGATATGAGCTTGAAAGTTGAGCTTCTACATTATGTAGTAACGGTCAGATGTTTCACGATCATAGCTTTGGCCCTCCCATTATTTTTCATCAGTGTGCCATGCCAGATTCAAATCATGGGGGAATATATTCTAAAGAGAACACACTGTTAAAAGCATGGATTTATTTTAAAATCTTCATCCTTGCCTGTCCTTCGTTACCATTTCCCAGTCAGTTTACTCACATGTTTGGATCATGATCATGAAGGCTGGCATTCATCACAGATGTTTGTAAGAGATGCCAGATTGATTTTATCAATGACACAGCTTGGAATGAATCATGTTAGTCACTGTGTGCTGTGGGGGCTTCTCATTCTCTGGAGCCATGCCAATACCACAGTGACTGATGATGGCACATTCTTACAAATACAGAGCTTATTGGCATTTATTAGGTTCCCCATATGCAGGGGGGGGGGGGGGGTAGTCTAAGAATTGAGGCTTGATAAGGATTGATTTCCAAGTAAGAATATCATTACTGCTAAAATGCATGTCCACAAGCATTTGGAGGGACTGCTGTTTCCATTAATTCTTGAAAGCTTGAACATTTAGCCAAGTAATAAAAAAGACTTTCAGGGGGCAAAAAAGAAGGAGAATATAGTCATGAAGTTTTGAGAAAGAAATATACTAGTAATTGACATTTCCAAATGAAAAGACTTTGGGACTAGTTAATTATTATTTTTGTGGAAAAGAAGTGAATTGAAGTAGGTAGTATCCCATTTCCAACTCATTTATTGTAATGTGATGCTGTACATGTACTGTCTATTGATTGTGCATTACAAATATACCCAAGATATTTAACATTTTTGGGGTTCTTAGATTTTCCTCCATTGCTGCATTTTGCTGCAATTGTACATCTAGTTATCCATATGAAGTGAAAGGTGTAAGCTAATCTGTAGACAAAAATTTGTTCATGAATAGTCTTCTTCTGATCTTTTGAAAAACAGTCTTCTTTGTTCTATTAAATAGATATCACTTTTCACCCTAGAATTTAGGATACAGGTAATAGATGTTATTAATGTCATATGGGGAAGGCATAATTTACCACATGTCAGCTTGCCAATCTTTTACTTTTAATCTTCAACAATATACCTGTATACTGTGCATATACTGTGTGTACTGTATGATCTAATTTCTTGAAACAACCTAACAGGTGCAAACAAAACAAAAGAAGAAAAGAAAACATACAAAAAGCAAAGCCCTCACAAATCTATGATACACATCAAATGTCAGAAAAAAGGGTGTGTATTCACAACTAGCCCCTGGCTTTTGACTTGTTGATTTCCACATTGTGCCATATTAGTAACTTCCTGTTGCTTACCTGTTATCATCCTGTATGTCCAGAGGGAGGGAGGGTAAAGAAGGAAATACCTGTGATCAGATGTGATGAATACCTGCCGTTTACCTGTGACCACCGTGTATGTCCAGAGGGAGGGAGGGAGAAGAATGAAATATCTGATTGAATATGATGATAAATTAATAATAGCATTATTAATGACAGGATCATTCCTCACATGAAAGGTTGAATGAAAGGATTCTGAGACCTTAGCATGAAAAGTGAGAAAATACATGCTGCCAAAGATACATGCATTAATCACTGATAAAAATATAGCAAATTCATTGGTCATTTTGATGAATATTAAAGGCAAAGAATGAAGTTGTATTTTTTAAAATTTGATTTGTGTGGTTAGTTGATAACAAATCAAAATCGCAGTTATGAGACTGAAATAAATTGATTTACAAAATATTTGATTAAGATACAGTATACAGTTTGTACATGTATTAAAGATTGATTCACTTATAGAATTGATATACTTGTACCGGTAATTAAAATATTAATGTAAAAATAAAATTGAACAGAAAAATATGACATTTGGAATTAAACATTAAAATGAATTAATTCCCTGTTACACTATAAGTTCTGTGATGTCATGACACACTGTCTTTTAATTATAACATAGAACATGTAGCTACGGTGTTTTAAGAGGAGAGATTTCAAGGTAAACGCTGTCATATCATTGGGCTGAGGAGGTATATGTACATGTACATGTGACAGTGCATGTTATTGTATAGTTGAATCATAATTTCTGTAAACACGAACAGAAAGCATTTCAAAATAGATGTAGTAGGAAGGCTATTCACTGGATTGATATAGGATGAAATGACAAAAGTCTGATAACAAATGATCCAATAAGACAAATATATTTTCATGTCAGAGATGTTAATTGTACAAATACATGTACAGTTAGTTTCTTGTGAGAAGTGATTGTTACACGGGGCAGCATGATTCATGAATCTATATCACTCCTGTTTAGTGGATGTTAAACAGTAACTAAAAAAACAAATTTCATCTTTAAGTTGGTCAATATTTCTGAGAGGAGAATTTTTTCTGAGCTTTGGTGACTATGGTATGACTTTTTAGTAGAGAAAACTTATCACACGTGCACATGTACATGTATAATACTAGGGACTTTTAGATTTGCACGACGAGCATGTGAACCGCTATGTGTGATATCTTTTTAAGGCAATGTGACCTCCTTTTAAGGCACTGTCGGGCACTGCCAGTGCCTTAAAAGGACGTCACATTTCCTTAAAAAGATGTCACATGTGGCAGTCCACATTCTCGTCGTGCAAATCTAAAAGTCCCTAATGATAGTTGTCTGTAGTGAAACTGAAGGTAATGATAATATGTACATTCATTGTGTGTTGTACTGTAGGCCTTCCTGCCAGCACCCTGGTATGTCATGTAGCAGGGTCAATCCACAACAAGGTCAGCCTGGCACGGAAACCAACGGCTGCAGCCTCAGGTCAGCATTCTCTACCACAGCCAGACAGTCATGGGAACAACCTGAAACCGGAGAGACAACTCATGATGCTTCCGAAGAGGTAACGTTACTTACTGTCCTCTGTATGTTGTATAGCCCCTTTGATAGTAGTGTATCAGATGGTGATTTAAAGGGGAAGACCACCCTCATATGGTTTTAATAGAAGCAGAAAATGAGAGAAACGTGTCGGTGAAAGTTTGAGAAAAAAAAACAGATTAGAAATTAGAATGGTATGAATTGGCAGTAGTGTGAGGTACCATGCGAGCTCCTCTCTTCTAATTATATAACTAGCCCCTTTGATAGTGTATCAGATAGTGATTAAAGGGGAAGTGCACCCTAACATTGAGTTGCTTTTTAATAGAATCAGAAAATGTGAGCTCCTCTCTAATACTTATATTTATCTTGAATGTATGTCAAAAATATTTCTTTAGCGAAAATAGATATTTTTGAAGTTTATTAGTATGGGATAAATGGCAGGGAAGCTTGCAAGATCTTGTCACAGAGTTGCCAATTTGTGTTTGATTGATTGCACCTTCAACGATTCATATCTTTCTTATTTTTTAATCGGTTTCTGCTCGGATTTTCACTAACCTGTTTCTCTCATATTTCTGCTTCTATTTAAAGAACTTAATATCGGGGTGAACTTCCCCTTTAATTTAAATAGTTTTGGCAAACTGTATGGCTAACATCCAGACCTGTACTCTCATAATTGTATTAACAGTGTATCCTAGACTAAACTTTGACTTGCTTGGTTTTTACAAACTAGGTATGTTATTGTCTTTTCCAATCAAATACAAGTTGTATATAAGTATACTATTCAGATGCTGTAGTACATTGCCAGAATGATGTTGATTAAAGGTGATACAAACTTTTGGTATGGGGTCATGAATTTGGTTCAAATGAACATATTGGAAGCATGTGCCATCCTACAATAATCAGTGATCATTGTCGCGGTTGACATCGAGTCTAAAGTTATGAAATCGTAAATAATAAACTCTTTATGTTGTATAGCTCCCTCTCAAGGTCAATATATATTAATTAAGCTATAAAACAATGTTTTTTGAATAAAATTGACTGATTAGCTATTACCATTTGGAAATTATACATCAGAACTGCATATTCTGAGATTTTCGTGGCCGCAGCTACCATTGTACGGCTGTATGCGCTATTTGAAATTTATCAAAATTTACCGGGAGCACCGGTTAATTTGTATATTTAATTTTCCTCGAAAGCAGAAGTGTTTTAGGGGCTAAATTTTCTAGTGCTTATAATACATCCACAGGGGCATCAAAATATATCAAAATTGTAAAGAATCACTATCCGGTTAATTTTCAAAATTTCCCAAAACTTTGTATTACCTTTAACATTCAATCAATGGCTAATTCTGTATCCACCATTTAGGCAAGATAACTGCCCGTTTCTGATCAGCATGACACATACTCTCTATTTCTCTGCGTGTAAAGAAGAATATGGACATGTAGTTAAAGGGATTGGGTAACTTTGCCTAAAATTCTAAACAAAATCCTGGATTTAGCTCATGCTGCAATCATAATTATAAACCTTTAGGTCAGTCAGGAATCCTATGACTTTTACAAGCCGATCACCCGTCTGATTATCAAGCTATTAATGATTGGAATTATAAATGTCAAAAACTGTTTGCCAAACGGTTTTGAACAGTTTGTTATAACACTACAGTCTATTGGGGAAAATGAGTACCGTAATTTACGGTGTATAAACCGCCCTCGTTTATTAACCGCACCCCTGACTTTGAATTTTTTTCAGCGGCAAAAAGGTGTGGTTCATACACCGTTAATTACGGTATGGTAAAACCGGTCACTCAAAGATTTTTACTTTTTTGAAGCACTTCATGATCATTTTTGAAGCACAATTTTTTTAGGGCTTCAAATACACCCTTTCACAAGTATCTCAAGATTTGTAAAACTGGAAACAATGTTAAACAGTGCCTTTAATGGTGCTATATGTAGCTCTTTATTACTTGGGTTTTCTTTCTACCTACCTACAAACAGGCCCGCGTATCATCTAGTAGCCAAGATCAGAACGATGCCCGCAGAAGAACCTCCAACTCCTCCTCCAACTCCAACTCCCTCCTTCAGCGTGCTCTAGGCTACGTTCCTCTGTTTGAGCGGGGATCAGAATCCGGTGGTGGGGCTACGTCAGGGTCAGCTCAACCCCAACCCCAGCCACAGGACTCCCATCCTCCTGCGTCATCTACTCCATCGTCCACGGCTGCATCCATTCTGCTTAGATCACAGTTCATGGATGGACGTCATATGATGAGGGAAGGAGGTAACAGATTCCAGGCTCGGTCAGGGCTCTTTAGTTGCTCTCTTCATGGACCAGGAAGACAGCATGTTCTCATACCAAATAGAGGTATTGAAACTCATGTTATTCTTAAATCTGTTCTGTTCTGATGTTATAAATATACACATATTTTATCCTCCAAATGCTGCTTTAAAATACATTCAACAGGGGGAAAAAGCTATTATAATAGTTATGTAGAAGATGTTGAAAATCATGTAAATTGTACTCCATTATAAAGAATTCAATTCTGTCTTTGTCTTTTGGTCTTCTTCATGTTTGCCAATATGTTAAGCATGTTTTTATTTATCCATCTATCAAAGTGATTCTGGAAGCTATCTTTGTCCCCTTTATTTGTATTTATGATTATGGCATGCGTTAATTGAGTGGTATCATAATTAACACTAATAAGTTGGTGAAGGTATTTAGTGAGTGTACTGATGGTATGCAGCTTCTTGTATGTGGTTTAGGAATCTTTAAACCATGTTTGGTTTTAGGTTAGCCAACTTCTTATGATGTGTTTACCTCACAGGTGATAAGAGAGGCCACGGAAGTAGAGTACATGGTAGCCAGCAGATTGGACATCAACAACACCACCATCACTTCCATCCCCACCATGTTCATCCTGTTCACTCCTCCTCGTCCTCCTCAACAACCAATTCCTCTTCCTCTTCCTCATCAGCCCACGGTCAGCAGCATCATGTCTCTGGTCCAGCGAGGCCGATACCCCATAATCCTGCACACTCCATTCAACAACACCACCAACAACAGCAACAAAAGCAGCAGCAACAGCAGCAGCAGCAGCAGCAACATGTGGCTCAACAACAGCAACAACAAGCACATCAGCAGCAACAACAGCAACAGCAACAGCAACAAGGTGTGAGCTCACAGGTTGCTGGTCCTTCGTCTCCCCCGCCAGCACCTTTCCATATTGCGGGAGGTACCATGTCAGGTGCAGGTCATCTTCAGCACCCTAGACCTCACCCCCTTCAGTTGGTAGCCGAGATCCAGCTACCTCAGCAAACCCCATCGGCGTCCGTCACCCACCAACAGCTCAGGCAGAGGCAGCAATACTTGGTGGAGTTGCAACGTCGATGTCTGCAGGTCCAGCCGGTCCAACAGGTGGCTCATAGATCATACCCGCGTACCAGACCTCGCATGCCAGAGTTCAGCTTTGCTCCTGATGTGTTGCCAAGACATGTTCACTGCCAGCAGCAACAACAGCAACAGCAGCAACAGCAGCAACAACAACAGCAGCAACAACAGCAGCAGCAGCAACAACAGCAGCAACAACAGCAGCAACAACAGCAGCAACAACAGCAGCAGCAGCAACAGCAGCAACAGCAGCAACAACAACAGCAACAGCATGAACCTGACCAAACGGCACAGTCTCAGTTGCCACAAGAGCAAACTCATCCCCGTCCGGAGCAGCTGACTACAGCTACAATAGGGGTGACCCGGGAGCTTCCAAGACCATTTTGTCACCCACAGCCCCAAGCAAGGCAACCTGTTCTTCATTCACAGAGGTATTAAAGACTTTATTTACATTCAGTATGAACATGTATATGCTAAGTTTTGTTGTAAACTTCTAGGCTGTGTGTTCCAGGAGTACATAATTTGTTTATATTTTACATGAGCATAGGATTCCATAACATATAATTGGCGAATAGTTTACATGTATTAAACGAGGTCGAGATGGTAGTCAGTGTAGTTGGTCACATAACCCCCACCTGATCCTGCATTATTCTTTCCTACCATGGGTTGCTGCAACAAAGTGGTAACCAACATCTGAGCTGTGTGTGCCTCCAGCACTCACAAAGTTTAGAAGCATAGAAATACACTGCTTTAGTGACCACCTGTCTACAGAGACCACATTTTGTTTCCCTTGAAAATGGTTTCTCATTGAAACATGTACTATAGGCACCCGTACATAAAGACCACCTGCCTATAAAGACCACTTTTCTCGATAGTCTTTATAGACGGGTTCCACTGTACAAGTAACACACCACCCATACGAGACTCACAAAATCAGATTCTTGTGAGATTGATTGATTGATTGAGTGATTTTATTTATTCTGTATCATAGGGAGACTGAGCTTGGCACTGGGGTTGGTCCAGATGGCAGGCAGCATCAACATCGGCATCTACACCATCACCTTCACCACTACCACCATAATGCGCCCCACCCTCACCTTCACACTCCAAACCTGTCTGGTACTACAGTTGCTCCTCTTATATCCAACTTGGTGAGTAAACACACGATTGAATTAGATATAGCTTGGCATGTCTTCAGAAATCAGTAAATTGGTTGAAAACGACCTGAAGAACTTCATTTATTTTCTTTAAAGGATGTTGCTTTTTTGTTAACTTCCCTGTTCTGAAGTCTCTGAAATTGGAAGGAATATGCAGGAAGATATCGATGCATTGAGAATATATTCATGTATACCAAATTCCGCAACATTGCCTGTGAAAAATTCTCATACTGCGTTCATTACAGATAAAATATGCATATCCCTCAATGTCATCAGTTTTTGTACATGATACAGTGTATAAGTAATAGAATACAAGTGTGATTGCAAGCTATTGATTTATCCCTATACATTTATCCATGTTATTCAGCTTGTACCAGATATTCCACCTATCCATACCGGTCACCCCTTCTACGCCCAAGCTCACCCTCTCTCCGTCATGAGGGCTCTGAGGGTCAGTCCTATGTATGAGGTAAGATCTTTCTTTCTTCTGTGCTAATGTCTGATACAGTGAAACCCGTCTATAAAGACCACCCAAGGGAGACAAGAAAAGTGATCTTTATTGGCAGGTGGTCTTTAAGTACAGGTTCCTTTAGTACAGTCAAACGTGTCTACAGCAACAGCCCAAGGGTAACAAAAAAAGTGGTCTTTGTAGACAGGTGGTCTTTGTAGACAGGTTCCTTTAGTACATGTTTCAATGAGAAACCATTTTCGAGTGAAACAAACATGTGCTTGTTGTAGACAGGTGGTCTTTGTAGGCAGGGGGTCACTAAAGCAGATTTGACTGTATTATTGTAATGAAAAACACATGGATTGAAGAATTATGACAAATTTCTGAAAAGTTTGATTGCTTTTACATGAAGTTGCAATATAGCGGGTGTGGCAAAAAAGTGAATGTATAGCATCATATACAATGATTGCAGCGTGTTGACTTCACCACATTTTCATTTCTGCAAATGGTGGCTTTAAAATAATTTTAGATCAACTCAATGGAATTGGAAGGGGTTCTTAAAGTGAATACAATTTGTAGAATGTATACATTTTTTTGTGTAATTTGCAAGAATTTGACTGGAACACTTGTAACATGTCACAGTAAATGATCTTTTATTTGTTTCTTCTTTTCAGTGCTAATATGAGAATGTGCAATAATATCCTGTTTTCCAATTTTGATTACTGTTATACAAATAATACACAATCTTACTTTATAGCAAGGCCATCAGATGTCTTCCCACAACCTTCATCCACGGTTGTTATCACCAAAATGCACCCCATGCAGATGGTACCGTGCATATAGTAAAAAATAATTATCGGTCACGTGATCCATTTAGACGCGTCTCATTGGCTACATTCTTGAAGCCATTTTATAAGTGCTAATAATTGCATTCAATTCCAAGTTTCTGAATGATTTGAGCTCATACTCAGTTCCTTTCTTTTACTTGCAGGAATTAGTTCAGCTAGGAGAACACCTAGGACAGGTGAACAGAGGAGCTTCCAGAAGCACCATAGAGAGAAATACCTTGCCACATAAATACAAGGTGAGATCAAAATACTTCCGGGAAGTCAATGCTATCATAACCTTCAGGAAAATAAAAAGTTGTTTAGTTGTTTATTTGACATTATTTTGACAAATTTGACTTTATCTTCATTCTCATCATCATATAGACAATGTGTGTTAAAGGAAGTTTTATAGATGGATGATGGCTGAGCTTTTTTTTCCAAAGTAAATTTTATACTTACTTTGCATTGTATGAACATATGATCTGTACCGTTACTTTTGGATTATATTTCTTTCCTATTCATAATAATAATAATAATAATAATAATATTCTGCTTTAAAATAACACTTAACACATCTAAGATGCCTCTAAGCGCTTTACAGGTCTACTATTATTTTGTCCTTTTTCGTTTTTGGTACCCGGAGAGGCTAACCTGTTCTCATGTGTTGAGTAAACAAAGTCAAGTAAAAAAAGATATGTTTTAATAATTTTACAAAGATTGTATGGGAAAAGCTCACCCGTGCCAATATTTTTCATACATTGTTCCATTTGAACATTCACTCCTGTACATAACAACATCATGATTATTAAAATCTGATAATTGTATTGTTGCTCTTTCCAGCTTCGTCATCAGAAGGAGAGTGATAGTAGTGAGGAGACGGGTGAAGTGGAGGGAGCAGCTAAGATCCCTGATGATGATATGGAGAAGTGTACTATATGCTTGTCTTATTTTGAAGATGACGAAGATGTCAGGTTAGTTCTCTTATTCATTACACCTTTTTAGGGGTTATGTGTTATACAGGGAAGAGTCCTTGATTGTGGTAGATATATTTGCCATCTACTTTTCTGTGATAGTTCTATATCTTCTTGAATTTACCGGTTTAGTCACCTGTAACTTTATAAACAGTTGACAATGTATTCATAATACATCAGATGCGATCTATAGAAATTTATTTATCATACCATCATATTAAACGATATCATATATTCATATCATCATATTATGGCGTAACCGGGTTCTGCCGGGGTAGCGTTCTGCCTTGCAGGCTTTCTCCACGCTCTCGACAATCATTCATCAACAAACTCTCAGTGGGCTTTCACAAAAATATATTGTGTAAAAAAAAAAACGTGGACTCTCATTTCACTCACTTCTGCAACCACTAAATGTACGACAGGAACTAAAGAAACAACACTTACACAGTATCTGCAGCTTAGGTAACTCTATCTCATTCCAAGTCACTGATCTCTACATGAGTACCTGTCACAACGACAGCTCACCAGTGACTGATTGACATGCTCATGACATGCATGTGTTTGTTTCACAATTAAATATAACGCCCTCTACATCTTACTAAATGCTGGACCAATTATGCTACAATATTGAATAACAACATTTTCCTTCTATCTTATCTGTTTTCACAGACGGCTTCCATGTATGCATCTCTTCCATGTGGAGTGTGTGGATCAATGGCTGGTGACCAACAAACGCTGTCCCATCTGTCGCGTAGACATCGAAACAAGGATGCAAAAAGAAGTCTGAAACCTGCTTTCTTATGAGTCCAGAAAGCATGAAAAGTCCTTGTAACAGGTGCACCGCATGATGTTCACCTGTGTTTGGAATACTTGAAATGACATTGGTGAACCCGTTTTTAATTATTTTATTAAATACCTTGCATTATTTTTCTCAGTCAATTTCAACATCTCTAGACACTTACCGGTATACGAATAGTCATCAGTGACTTAATAATGTGGTTTATATCAAGATTTTGATTTATTTATTCTCTTTTTTTTCTTTTTAATTGTTCGTAATGTTCTTTTTATCAAGGGGTATATGATATTTTCATTAATTTTACTTCACTTAATTATGTCCCCTTTTAAAGTCTTTGTCATAATCCAGGACTTTTTTGCAATATTTTTTATTTTAAACAAAATCTTTGCTTTATTTCTTGAACCTAAGATAACCTTAAATAAATTTGAACTTTTCGTTTCCTTTTAAGAAATTTTTTGTACCTCCATCCCTCATATTAAAACAAAAGATGAATATTTTCTCAATGTCGTTCAATACTGCTATGTGCGAAAGATTGTATATTTTCCACTTGACCTTTTTGTCTTGACCTCTGTACTAAACCCTCACATCAATTAATGAAACATGTGATGGTGATTATAGGGGATAAGGAGTTGCATCATAGCATTGACAGAAGAGACAGATTTGTAAATAATCATGTTTAGTTAGTTACAGTACTTGATGAAAGTTTGTAAAATATAGGGTAATAGGCCTCAAAGGAAGAGAGGTGAAGGTTACAAATATATTTCTATTTTGGAATTCCATTGAGAGATCAGTCTATGAGCCTATGAATAGAAAATCATGTCTGGATGACTATACATTGTGACATAGGCTTTAATACTGTTGTAGGATTTAATAATCTTTTGATTAAAAAACAATGAAATATGTTTTGCATGATTTCGATGAATAATCTATATATCTGGAAGATTTCATTCCAATATTTCTTATTTTTGACAGTATATGAGTTTATGTTCCTGTATGGTTGCGAAGAGATTCTATGTCGGGATGTCTATAGACAAATATGTTACCTTACTCCCTGCTTTTTTACTGCAAATTTTAGTCATTTCGTTATTTACTTTTTACTTCTAGGCTGATGTGAAGTTGCGTAATGTTAGTACAATACTTGAAATCCCATGGCCAGTGGGAGGATGCCGGTTACATGGGATCAATTAGCGAGATGAATGTTGATTTTTTTTTTTTATTTTGCGAGCATGTGGCTCGGATCGATATTAGAACATTGTAAATTATCCATGATAGAAATTATCACTACCAAAATGATAATATAGAGGGTGCAATAGCTACTATCTTTTAAGTTTATATTTGTATTTATGTTTTAAAACCATTCTTCTTTATTAAAGGCTTAAACACGTGTATAGTGCACAGACTTTGCTTCTCCATTCAACCATTTCCCAGATAATGACCTTTGTATTAAACAATAAAAAAGGGATATTAAGCATTTCTCTTCAATAGCTCAATCCACTGTTACAGGGGTATGTCAAATCTATTTAGAAAGTGGAAGCAGTCTTGTGGCTTTTGGTTCTGTATACCGGTATTGGAATAATGTAAGTAGCCATTATGTGGGTTAAATTAAATGTTGGAAATATTTTGTCTAGATGTGTTAAAAAGGAAAACATAATATTCTTTCTGGAGCCACCAGTTCCCATTAGTTTGAAATATCTTGTAGAGGATGTGTCAGAAACTTATGTGGTCGTTTGTGTGGGTCATTAGAAACCAGTTCCAATATTATTAATATACATGTATTCATGACATTTATAGAACATGTGAAAACACCAGATATCATTATGTGGCTGCTTGATACTTGTTTTCCCTGTAACATCAAACTTTCAATCAATCATAGTTTAAAACAGAGTCCATTTCTTGCTAAACTTGTTATTTTTGTCTCATTCATGTGAGTAAGTAGACTTATTAGCAAGTTAATAAATGATTGGTACTTTTCGTTTTGTTCACAATTGACATACAGTTGCCAATAGGAAATGTAATGTTTCCATATTAGAATGCTGCAAGATTTGAATTGTTGACAATTTACTGGGAAATTTCCAGAAACTGCTCAATACGATTTACATGTATCTTCTTGTTTAAAAAAAAGACAATTGAAAAGCATATTTTTTTTACCAGGCTTGCTTGAGTAATACTTAGAGTGAAATATTTGATGCCTAAAAGATTTCTGATTGACAAGATCTGAAAAATACTGCTCCTGTAATAACAAAATAGTATTGTCATAAATCATTTCATATACCATTAAGAATAATAGAAAAGAATTCAGTTTCATTTGATTTTGAATTATTGATAATACTAGTAGTATGAATAAACGTTCGATCTTGCAATATTAACAAATGGTAGTGATTTTTACATGACTCGTAGGTTTACTACGATCAGGCTTACAAGATCAGACCTACAAAACTTTGCCAAAACAACCCTGCATATGTAATTACATGTACAGTCTCATTCTGGTTATTTTATTCTTGTTTTTGAAGAAAAACAAACTAGTCCTCTTGATCAAATATTTCACCCTGCTTTGCTGTTTAACAGTTCTTGTGAATGTTAACCATCTCTTCAGATGTGAAGAACTTGTGTTTCGTACAAATGAACTTGATTCTGCTCATGTGATTAAGACTGACCATAGTATACCAAACAATTAAAAAAATATGTATTATGAAATAGTGTATATGAAAAAGAGGTTTAGGCTTTGTTTTATGTTTAAAGATAAAATAAATAAACAATAGAGGTCACTTCACTGTATGAACATAATATAGCATTAGAATTGTTGCACCGTTGTCCATTTCCCTCAGAAAAGATACATTTCATACAATTCTCCAAACAATATTTTTTCTGTGTGTACTTCCACTTGACTGCCATATGTGTTTCTTCATATGATTTTGCTCTCGTTGGAAACTTACATGCATTTGCAAGCGGAGTTTCACATTCTTTTAAAATCATTCAACACAAATCATGTGGAAAGTAGTTCAATTTTTCTGTTGAATATGTTGTTCAAAACATTTACTGGTACTGTTAGCAGGAGCATTATATGTATCTGCTATTATATGAATTTCTTTTGAGCTGCACACATCTGTTGAATATTACCCCTTACAATAGTGATTTAGGTGTTGAAGATGCTTGTATATTTTTCCTAGTTTGGTCCCACAGTAGAACATCTCTACATCAAATTTAAATGTGCAAATGTATTATTGTTATAAGTACAATCATGGCTTGAGAACATGTATATGAAGCATTGGAATAAAATTTAAAAAAGAAGAAAAGAGTAAACTAGTCACTATACAGAAGTTCTTTGTGTTTTTGTCTCTCAACGAATACATGTTGATATACAGTGCGTCCCAGAAAAAACGAAACCGAGAAGTATTGATGTTCTATCATAACTTAATCACAACTATAATTAATGAATGATACATATTTGGAAAGCTTTTAGTCTCCTCTTTCATGTGATGCTACTCAGATAATGCATATTTCACGCATGAGGGATTAAAAGCAATTTGAAGGAAGGAAACCAAAAAGACATTTGGCGGGCGGTATCTGAATTTCAAAGAAAAATTCACATTTCTAGAAAGTTGAGTTTCTGCCCTTCATATGACGCCTCTATCAGGAAAAATGAGCGAGGAATGACAAAGTTATGTTTGTTTAAAGTAGTGCTTGCATTTACATAATTTTATTAAACGAATTTGTTTTCACTGGCTGCCTGCCGTATCAATAAACAAAATTAACAAAAGACCTAACTCCGTTTCGTTGACAATCAGCCGTAGAGGAGAGTCTTCATGCATGGCTGATTGTCAACGAAACGGAGTTAAGTCTTTAGTCAAATCTGCTTTTTGCTACGGCAGGCACCCAGTGAAAACGAATTCGTTTGTTAAAATTATGAAAATGTAAGGGCTACTTCAAACAAACAGAACTTTGTTATTCCTGGCTCATTTTTCTTGATTGAGGTATCATATGAAAGAGCAGAAAATTAACTTTCTAGAAATATGAATTTTTCTTTGAAATTCAGATACCGCCCGCCAAATTACTTTTTGGTTTCCTTCCTTCAAATTGCTTAAAATCACTCATGCGTGAAATATGCATCACGTGAGTAGCATCAACTGAAAGAGGGGACTCTAAGCTTTCCAAATATGTATCATTCATTAATGATGGTTGTGATTAAGATATGATAAAACATCAATACTTCTCGGTTTCATTTTTTCTGGGACGCACTGTACAAATGAAAATTGCTCGTGTGTGTGTGAATATGTGGCTAACACTTTTTCTCTGGTCTTTCTTCAATCTTGTTGATCTTTTAAACAACTTATGGGATGTTGCAAGAAAGTTGATATTTGCAATCGATTGCAACTCAACTTTCTTGCAATGCCCCACTAGTCTCCCCAATTTGTCTAGGATTTTGTTTGGATTAAATTAAATTAACTAGATGTAGCTTTAATTCTCCCTCTCTTTCTCTTACTAATGGGGATTTTTTTTTAATTTGCAATTGATTGCAACTTTCTTGCAACGCCCCATAAGATCACTTGAGAAAGCCAATACTCGCATCACAATGGAGAAGAAATATAAACGCAATCATCACATAATCATCCATTTTCAGAATTAATGACAAAAATAATGTATCCATAGTTACATACTCCAGGTAGTAAACAAACCAATTTTCTTTATTTCACTAAGCGAAAAATGTTACAGAAAGTAGTTTCATACATCCATATATAGCAATATAATATTGTTATTTCAGTTTTAATTTAATTTTGTGATTAACTCCATCAAAGTCTTATATTTTAACATCATAAATAGTGTTTAAAATTACAATATAGGAATAACTCCTTCAATCTAAGGCAAAATAATCAGTAATATAGGCTCCAAAATTTACTTACTTGAATAACTCCATAAAAGTCTTAAATTTTAACTTGATAAATAGTGTTTAAAGTTACAATATAGGAATAACTCCTTCAATCTAAGGCAAAATAATCGAAAATATAGGATATAACATGGAAATGAATGTACTTATACAGTGATGCGTAAAATTGGTTACCATATGATTCTTGGCTGACATGTAGTTTTCTTTAAATCTCCTAATTCTGTCACACAGTTAACATCAAAGGCCAGTCTGAAAACTTTAACTAATAACGTCTTTTTCACCATGTATAATGTACTGTATTAAGCATGATTGTATCTAAGTATAGTTTATATGTAGCTCATTGTAAGCGCCTTGAGCACCCTCTGGGTGGATATGTTGCACATTATAGTCTTTATTATTAGTGGCGACATGAGACTCAAGCAGAAATGCAGCAGCTTTCTACACTGCAATAATTACAGTCCCAAATTTTCATCTGGTTGTACACTGGGTCCAAGACAACTAAGCAATTTATGCAAATGCATCGAATACCACAATAAAATCATATCCAATGGACTAAAATAGTTGAACACACCTACAATCAACCTGTCTTTTGAAGGATCACTCTAATTCCATTTTATTTAATATTACAAGCATCTAAAGATAGGAGAGGTCAGGGCCCTATTTCACCAAACTTTTTAACAAAACAAGTAACAATAACTGTTAAAAGCTACTAAAATCGTGGAATTTGATTGGCTGAGAACAAATATGTCATATATATTTAACATTTGTTATTGATAACGGGTTTTATGAAACGGAGCCCAGTACGCAATCAAGCACAATCCTATTTTGGTCTGAATATTTTGCATGGACAAACTCTTTCCATCCCCCATCCAATCTGGGAAGGTAGCAAGGATCATTATTCCAACTTCACATCCTCATTTCTTTCATCATTACATTCTCATTCATTGTTGATACTTTTGCGTGTAAGTGGTACCAGACACGATTAGCATTTAATTCTATTTTCTGGTCCCATTTATCCTTTCAATGTTAAACATTCACATTTGCTTGTTATATTGATGTACTTTTTGTTTGGACAATAAACTTCAAACTTCAAACTTCAACTTCATTTATATGATTAAGTATGGGTACAGGGATAGAAATATCAATAACGATAAAATAAAAATATTGATCTTGTACGAGTTACTTTAACATGATCGAGAAAACAGTGTTCTACGAAAGTGTAGAAAGAACCTGTATTGATGTTGAAACATACCAACGTGTACAAAAAAAAAAAAATTAAAATCATGCAAAAACACATCAAATCGTGAAGCGCTAAGGGTATGTGCCACATGGACAATTTAAACCTTGTTTCATATTTCATATGAGGTGAAGCTAAACGTGATGAACAATGGAATGTATTTCATAGAATCCATCGTGACCAGTTTCTAACAATTACAAAAAGTAAAACCTCTCTTTTAAACAATAGTCACTGACATTCATTATATTTCAAAGCAATAATCATCAAGGGACTTTGAAAGGCCAAAGGAAATTGCACTTACAAACTATCTGTAGTACTGATAACTGATCATATTATAAAACTAAAAGCTATATATATTTATAGCACTATCATTACCATGAACATTCATATCAGGGATGATTAGTAAATTCTTTAATCTCTATCTCAAACAATGCGCAATACTATTTTTGTTGTTTTACAATTCATTAAAAAAATACATGATACTTAAAGAATAAGAGTTGTTGACATGTTTATGTGTATCCACAATCTTAATGATTAATTGAAACTTCTACCACCGTTTCTGTGGAACTTCCATTAGTACATTGTTGAAGGTTGGTTGGTTCGTTTCTTTTACCCGACTGCTGAGAAAGCATGTGTATGGTTGTAAGTAAGCAACCAGGGGACCAACGACTTTAAGTCTTCTCCGAGGGACTTGGTAATGAGGATTAATTCCTTACTAAAGGGCATGAGCGCATTGAATCAGTTGCGAACCCGGGACCTCTCGGTTAAAAGACCACTGCTCTACCACTGAGCCATCGCGCCTCACTGAAATGAAATATTATAATAGACACTACCACGTGAGCAGTCGGGTAAAACAAACTAACAAACCAAACCAACAAATATGCAGCCACATATGCGCAGTCATGAACCAACAGCTCGTTGTCATTTTGTAGAAAATTTGTTATGATGAGCTATTTCTCACTTTTAAAGTAAACAGTTCTCAGACTTATTACCCCTGGTACTATTTTAGTCGCTTGACTCCATGAACTTTGTTGTGAACTCCGCCAAGGTCATGACCTCTCCATGACCGGTTCCTTTCTCCATTTTGATGAAAGAATCTAGATTCATTGTTGTACCTGCACACAGATAGGGAGAGACAGAAAGAGAGAGACAGACAGAGAGAGAGAGAGAGAGAAAGAGATTAATAACAATAACAAAAGTTGGTTATATAGCGCTCTTACACATATAAAATGGTTTCTCAGTGCTTCACAGAGTTCAAACAAATTAACATACAAGAAGCAAAAGTTAACAATAATCATTGAATGGAAGAGTTTTGAAAAGCCTTCTTAAAAAAATTTAAGAAGTCAGGCAGACAGATCATGGCAGGTCATTCCACAATCATGGTCATTCCACAATCATGGTGAAGAGAGGCCAGAGAGAGAGAGAGAGAGAGAGAGAGAGAGAGAGGGGGGGGGGGGGGAGGCAGAAAGGGAGAGGGGTATTAGGTTTTTCTAATTACCATCCAACATAATTAATTTCCACTAAATTATTACCTCTGCTTTTTTTCTTCTTCACTTTGACACTTTGATCATACTAGTTTAAGTAACATGACATGCTCACATGCATTTTAAACTATCAAAGTTTTCTATTAAAAAAAATTGCTTTCACTCTCACTGATGAGATCAGCTTCACAATTTGAATATGAATGCAACAAAATGTCCTATTTTACAGGAGACCATTCAGCCAATCTCTATACTGCCCCCCCCCCCAAAAAAAACCAGTCACCTTTGAAGCTCTCATTTTTCTTAAGAAATTTATTGTTGACAGGGGGTGATTCTTACCATCTTTAGCTACTATGCAAGGATGCGAAGGAGGGGGTGACTTATATTCTCCATCCTCTTTCTTCATGTGAGAACGATCCGATGCGAGCGTATCCAAGAACTCCTGTGCCGGAATCACCCTGAAGAATCTGAAGAAAGGATATGATAATAAGAACAATCCATTACAATTCATGGTGTAATGAGGATACAGAGAGAACACTAAAAAGAAAAAATGGATTATGAACAATAAATTCTGTATATATCTATGTGTTAGGTCACCACGTTTGTTGCTAAAGAGTATACTTTTGAACATAGATTTTCAAAAAAAAAGTAGATCATAATATTTACCATATATTTTTTTAAATATCGCCAAGGAACATATTCTATTATTTAAAAAAATATCATGTTATGTTAGTTTCATGAATGACTGAGTTTCTTTTAAAGGCTTGTTTAGATAAGGCGTGTTGCAAACTGCTGCAAAAAAAGTTGCCAAGGTGTTTTGATGTGTAAATGAATGACAACGTACAACATGGACTCATTCACTGAGGTCTGTGTAATAAGATATGTGTTATGAAGCATTCTACACTTTATGTCATTATTTTCTTTAAATGCTGCAGTTTTGCTAAGTCATATCTGAACGAGCCCGAAGTGATGTGATTCCTTAGTATTGGGGTCCTGATTTTCAATATTTCAACACATTTTCATGAAATACATAACCTGTATTCTATCTACCGGTAATTATCAATGGAACACACGTACCTGTAAAATTCCTCCATCAGACGATCGTTGGTACCCACTGCTGTGGTGACGTACTTTTCAAAGTCGACAGGGAATGTATAACTTGTATCCATATCATAGACCTGACTACCTGAGGATGGATGCTGGTGGACCATAATGACATGGTAATCCTGAAATAAAACAAAATAATTGAGGAATAAATAATACAGGGATTACTAAACATGCTAATTATGGTGATCCCATACTTGCTACTGCCATATTTGCCCTGGGTTTCTTTCATTAACATAAAAAGATGGTTCTAGGGTTAGTCTTGTGACTTCAGGGGTGTTGGATTATGTTTAGGGCTACGGCCTGGGTTAGGTATAGTGTTTGGTTCAAGTTAGGGGTTAGGAATTTCTTATTCTATGTGATAATCCCCATAATGTTTGTGGTTTCCCAAAACTAAAATTAGACTTTCAGAGCATGCATCATAGAACTTATGTACATTCACATAGGTGAAATAATCTATTCAAAGAAACACTTGGCATGACAGGGTACATGTTTATTATATTCCGATCTATCAAACTATCCAGAGCACTTCATTTTGTAATACTAGCTATATGTAAAGAATAAAGAAGTATACTGCATTTCTATATCTATCTCACATGGATCAACAGAAGCACAGAGTATTTGAATCATAAACAAATAGAGAAGGCTTACCCAAACTATAGGAACTTCTTCACTGGGACTTTGTTTCTGCATCCAAAGAGGAACCTAAAGAAAAAGAAAACAAAAAGTGAATACATTTACCAAATATTAATTGTAATCATTGAAGTAACTACTACATGTATATTTTTAGTCCCATCTTTATGTCATATGGCAGTCACAAATGACTTTTGCCACCTATGCAGTAAATTCTTGCTGTCTGTAATTCCTCCAATAATCATGTATCATACTTTAATATCTTTTATGAAATTTGAAGAATAGATATTATCTGAATAATATATCTTCATAATCATTCATTATCGAAATTCACATTTTTCATGATTTAACTGAATAAATACTCTATATACATGTAAGTGAACCCACACAAAAACATATTAATATCAATATAACTTGGATGCTAGTGTGAGGAAATAAGATCTTTAGGGGGGAAATTTGAAATTTGTATTATTAAAGAAAACATTTAGTGGATAGTAAGGCAATGGCGTCACAGACTCATGAGTGAATTGCTAATTTGTCTTGTGATTTTCAAAGTTTTTCATGTCATTTTGTTGATTGGTTTGTCTCATTTTTCTGCTTGTTTTGAAAGTAAAATTCTTTTAGGAGTGGTCTTGCCCTTTTAGTATTGAATCACATACCGGCCCTGGGCTCCACACCAACTTTTTGGAAAGGGGTCCAGATTTGAATTTAAATATCCTTTATATATACAGTACATGAGCCCTATATATGTAAACATTTAGACATTTTAGGGGTCAGGACCAAAATTTTGGGCACCCATGTGTCCTGGGCACTTGTTAGTGTCGAGCCCTGGCCCACCCTCCCCCCCCCCCCTCATATCACATTCCATCCATCCACACAAAACAAATCAATACAGAAGTATGCATGTCTGCATGATGTGAAAGTGCTCGCCATATTTGGGAGAGAGTCTCCCATTTGCAATACCAACTTCTTTTATCTACATTTGCTGCAAATGGATTACCTCTACTCAAACTAAAAATGCAATGAGCAGATTCCTCATGAAAATGATCTTTTTTTGATGACCTACATGTACTGTAAGCTTTTGTAAGCTACATGTAAATCTCCAATTCAGGAAACAGTAATGAGAGGGAGTCTCCCAAATTGGCCCTGCGCCTCTACCGACAAACTAAAAAACTACTTACCTTTCTCTCATCATTTGAGATGAAGACAGCATAAGCCCTGCTCAATTCATTGGGGAAATTCTTCTGAACACTTTCACACATCTTCCAGGCATTTTCCTCGCTGTTGGAAAAGAAAAGAAAAGATCAAATGTTATTCAATCTGCTCTCTGAAAAAGGGATTTGGTTAAGGCTAAGCCAGACGTATTCTCAGCAGAACATGATGTCAACAGACTTGTTACTTGTTAGTCCATGTACTGTAGAGACACAGAAAAAGGCATGTGGGTCGTGGTCATATGGACAAACAAATTGATTGTTTAAAAAATACAAATTAGATCTAGTGATCATTCTTTTATTGTCAATTAAAATAAAGAAATTAATATAACTAGAGCCCAAAATGCACACTGCAATCATAATTAAAGGTAAAGACCGGTATTGGAAACGCCCCAACTTCAAAAAAAGGAAAGGCAGGCTCTTATTACCAATCATGTGAAAGAATATGTTTTGAATAATACATGATAATAAAAATGTTGACGGGAAACCGCCTACTAATCGATATATTTGGTAAATTAGTGTATCTCTCGCCTGGTGAGAGATACAAATGCACGTGTCGCGCACATGTGTAGTCCCATACATCTTTAGGGAATTTAATCACCTAAATAAAAGAAATAGAAATAGATTTCTTTCCTACCTTGTCTCGTAGAAACACCTGTTGAGTACAGATACTTGGAACATATATTATATCACAAGTAGTAGTTCAAATATTGCACAGCACCCGTAGAAAGAATATGTAAGACCATGTACAAAGTAATGACGCTTCTTCGCGAATTAAGTAAAGAAGAAGAAACTTATAATCTCTATAAAGTAATAAGGCCTCAGAACCGAGTAGAGAAACAAGCGAAGAAATAGGACAAGAATTAAGATGAAGCTGAATTAGCTTTGCTGTAGATCGACTAAAGACTCTCTAGAATACGTGTGCTCTATATGAACAGCTCAGGAGAAGTGATGAAAATAGGTGTGGCAAATAAAGCAAGCAAGTGTAATGTCCCTGTACAGTATAAGCTATACCAGTACATTAGGTGGTTGCACATCCCAACCCATAGGGTATGGAATGTGCTTGCCAGAGTAAGTATTTGTGGCACTCTAGTAATGCAACAGGTGTCACTAAAGAAATGAGTGACAATGGAATAAAAGGCTAGACTTCAAGCCACACAATAAAGACAAGACAATAATATTTACAAATGCAAAGTTCTCCAAAGGTCAAGTCACTACACATCTTTCTGTGTACAGTGATTCTAACTTTATGAAGACTTGGCCAAATTTCTTATCATTTTGATGATTCCAGAACCTTGCAGTACATCTATGCTAGATGATCAACCTTTTCTGATCGTTTTCACAATGTTTCTTTCACAATGCAATCGCATGACCATAACTGGTCTTTAGCTTTAAGTACAATGCATGACTCATCTGCTCATGAGATATGAATTATGATTATGAATGAGGTCACACGATTTCTTAGTAAATTTTATAGTGAAATATCCATCCACTACAAAAAGTTCTTATTATCCTACATAATCCACTGTAGGTCTACATGTATATGAATTTATTTAAAAATATATAAAATAGCCTTTTACGTATAATTCAAATAAGTAATGTGAGCCTCTTTAGCAGGTTTAGTTTCTCCATTGTTCTTTTTTATTTTTATAAACCGACTTCAAATTATACATATGGGACCGTTATAAAAATCGTGACTAACAATAAGTTAATTGAAGAAATATATAATTGTTCTCGACTTACCAATAGCAAGTACAGTAAAAACACTCAGCCAAAGGAGGCAGGATACTCAATGGGATAGTTTCACTCGGCATTATGATGTGATTGTTTTAATCTTCTAATTAATTTCCGCAAACGAACAAACTTGTCTTTCAGGTTGAACCGACGATCGAGCGGGTGAGGTCATGTGCAGAATGTTAATGGAGCACACAAAGCAAAACGATATTATATATAATTTTGATGACAAATATCTAGAATATTCTAGCTCCAGAGGGCTCCTTCCCCTTCTTTGTGGAATGAATGTTCCGGAAGTTTGAATAGATTTGGGCGGAAATTGTAGAATTACCAAGTCTGATTCTTTCAACCTTGAAGATTCTTGCAGAACTTGAGATGGGTGCTGTATCGGAGGAGGGGGGGGGGGGGGGGGGGGGGGGGATTCATTTACGCAGTCTCCCATCTTTTTTGGTGAGAACGCGACCGATATGTTGTATGACTTTCAGACTTCCGGTATCAGACATGTTTTTTTGAGTTTGAGTTTGAGTTTGAGTTTATTAACAACAAAAATAATAACAAGTAAAACATAATGTATCAAGCATGATTACATAAAATATAACAATATAACACAAGATCGATATTGTTTTACAAAGTATGTCGTATACAAAAGGAATAAAATATTATATGTACACTTTTGTTGTTAAAGGGGGTACCAGAAGTTAGCACAAGTGCTAGTCGAGTCTGGTTCCCTGTCTTTGGCAAGAATTTTAAAACTATTTTTTTTTTTACATCACTACATTATATACATGTAACATAAACTATATAAGTAAACAAAGAAATAGAATAGTCATTTAGAAATATTCCTTACTTAATATACATGGAAGTCAAACGTAAATGTATAACTCATCTGCATGGGAGCGGTAATAATTTTTTGTAGCCAACATCTTTAAAGCCGGTCATTTCTGACGTATAGCCCACTTGTCCACATATCGGCGTTTGGGCTCAGACACGATTTTGCCAGGGGGTTGACGTTTCTTGACCGAGTTTCAGAATGGCAATTTTCAAATATTTCAGGATAGTGATTAAGAGATCGAGTAATCAAAATATTGACGGTGTTCAAGTTCTCCAATATTAGCATACAACCTGTTCATTTCAATTTACACGTTTTAATAGGATATCAGCAAACTTGGACTTATGAACTTTTTTTTAAACATGCAATGCTCTGGATGCTAGCTGAGAGGAATTATCAGCACGAATTGAAAGCGCAAAGGCTATAAAATAATGTGTTCTAGATTTTTTTTAAATAAATGACTGTGCCTGATCAAAATAACCATGCAATAGCAATACTACGCTCTTGAGTGTAATATTCAATACTTATATGTACTTTCCTGAATGTAAAGAAGGGTTGACGAGGAAATGTGATCCCTTTGAATTTTTGAGCCAAAAAAGAAGATGCCCATAATTATGTGCGTGGACCCCACAATATTATGTCTGTTTGTCATTTTCCTTGTATTTTCCTCATTGTGTTATTTTTGCAAACAATGTGTGTGTGTGTGTGTGTGTGTGTGCGTGTGTGTGTGTGTATTCTCTCTCTAACTAACTCTCTCTCTCTCTCTCTCTCTCTCTCTATAATTATATATATATATATATAGAGAGAGAGAGAGAGAGAGAGAGAGATAGAGAGCGGGAGAGAGAGAGTGCCTCCAAGTAAAAATGAAAAAATGAAAGCAAATGGTAATCGTAAACAAACTATGAGCCCTATAATTATAATTTCCTCAAACAATAGAAAATGATATAAAACTGTTGCTTCTGCATAATACAGTGAGTATGTCCAAGAAAAATGGAAACCTGGCATCAAATGGGGATTGTGTACAAGCTTTAAGCTATAGAAATATCATTCCATGGTTTTTATAAAGAGGAAGTAATATGGTTTCATATGATATAATTATTGTTAACATAACTCTCTATACACGCTTCACTGGGCAACATTATCATGGAGCTATAAATCTAGACTGGAAATGTGCAATTTTGCAAAGCCATTGTGGTGCACAAAGAATTCCTTCCTTCATTGTATCGATGACTCTTTCTGTGTATTTTTTTGTGTGTGCGTGTTTGTGTGTGTGAGTGAGAGATGAAAGAGAGAGAGAGAGAGAGAGAGAGAGAAAGAGAAAGCTGAAAGAAAGAGAGGGAGAGAGAGAGAGAGAGAGAGAGAGAGCGAGAGAGAAGAAAGAGAGGGAGAGAGAGAGAGAGAGAGAGCGCGAGAGAAAGAAAGAGAGGGAGAGAGAGAGAGAGAGAGAGAGAGAGAGCGAGAGAAAGAAAGTGGTGCATCGGTAGAGAGAAGAGGGTGGAAGTAAAAGGGGGCACAGCTTGTGTAATAAGTGAGCAGGAATATTCAAGCGAAGAATAATGCTGATGAAATAAAAGGTAACGTGCAGTTATTTATTCATTTATTTATTTCTGATATTTAGACAGGGTGACTTATTATCACCAATAATGGTGGTCTTCCATGAGACCCTGTTAAACATAATGAGGAACAATAGTTTAAACAATATAATATATATAATAATAATAATAATAATAATAACAAAGTCATGAACATCAATTCATAACGGCAATAAAGAATAAGTAAGAACATGTATAAACATAATATACAAAGTATTTGGTATCCTCGTATTAAATGAATGGTTTGTTTGTTTTGTTTTACTTTGTTTTACGTTCAAGAAAACGTTTTTGCATATTTATAATGTCTTTATGTAACAATATAGTATAGACGGTAATTAGTTTTTAAATTCGATGAAAAGTAACGATTAGTATTCATTTAATTTCGTTTATTTCCCTTTCCAACAAATTTTGGTATGTATTACACTTTGAAAAAGGCAACATTTAATTTTGAGAGTTCATCAACAAAGTATAAAAACTCAGTTAAGAAAGACATTAGGGCTACCAAAATTGTTATATACATATTTACAACAAAAACATATTACAGGATAGTAAATTATTGCTGGATAATATGCAAAATTAATGCATGTAATCTAGTTTAGCAATTGAATGTACACTCTTAAATAAAATTAAAAATACAAATACATTTATAACTGATAATAAATGATATGAAATCATTCTCTCAGTTTGAAAAGCATTACAAAAGTTATCTGGGCATATGATGTCATGTAACAAATGTAAACGTATTATAGTCCTTAGGCTACAACAAATTATGATTGAAACACCAGTTCTCCCATAAGGGTCTGATTTTATTAAGACTAGCAGCGAGCAATTTCCCAGTGATTTCGTCATTCAAAATGTACACAAACAAGACTGTGTGTGTCAACGTATGGTGCAATAATAATAATGTCGTCTGCTGTGGCCCAGTCCGAGAGTATTGTATAAAACAGCTCCTGCTAGTTTTGGATAACAACATTAAAATCAGAACTGATGGAAAACTGACGGTAAAAAAGCTGCTGCAATACAGCTGATAGGTAAGTCTGTTTGCTTGACTTTCATAAATGATCATAAAGCATTAATTAACGTGCAATGGAAGATTCGCTTCTCGATGGCGACTGCGCCCCCGGTCGAAACGTCCGCAGTGGCGATCGGGAGGGAGGGTCGCATAAGGAAAGCAGAGAGGATTTAAGGAAGGAAGGGAGATGAATATTACGACCATTGTATTGTCATCGTTTTTATTGTTATTATTATGATAATGATTATGATTATTTTCATTGCTGTTAAGTAACTGGTGAAACTGCCACAGCATGCAGATAGAGAGTGAAACATAAGCCAGGCATTATGACATATGATATTAATTTGCATCAATTTTCATAATTCATATACTGCTCTTTTGAATTAAACTCTCACCCTAGTTTGATGATCTGCACTTGGATATGTGGTTATATATATATCTAGCCTTCCAAATATATATGATTAATTATCAGTATAGGATAAAAACGAAATTTTGCCGATAAAATTATATGGCTTTATCAGGAAATTATTTTTATTAACTAGAAATGGTCAAACATAGCTACATAATGCAGTGAGTGTTGATGAGTTGTGTAGAATTCCTTATCTGTATGCGTGCAGTTTATAAAAAAATCGTTGCTACGAAAGACAGTTCTATATAGTTTTCAAAATAATTGTATTTCTTACAGGTAATTGACACTCAGGAATCTCCTGAGCCACACACAAGATACATCAAACATCTCTTGATTAAAGTTTAGCCTTCCAAATTCAACACCCCCAACTCACATAATAAAAATCACAAATGCCTGGACGAGGTCGAGGTCGTGGTCGTGGTCGTGGTCGTGGTCGTGGATATCACGGTCGTAGCCGAGGCGGCGGCCGAGGGACCGGAAGGAATCAGAGCGGTCAAGGTCAGCAGCCTGATCAGGATATAGATGAATGGAACCTCACTGAAACAGCTACTTCTGATCAGGACTTTGTAAGTTGTTTTTTTTTTTCAAAACAAAAAGGTAGTCTGATTTTGAACTATTCCACATAACATTGAACCTATTTTGAGATATGATTCCACCATCAGAGTTGTATAAGTACGGTGGCAAAATGTGGCCAGGCAAGAAGGTGGATTTTATGAAAAATTAATCAAATAACTATTAAGTTTGCAGGAATACAGTGCGTCCCAGAAAAAAACGAGAACTATCGATGTTTCATCATAACTTAATCATAATCATAATTGATAAAATGACACATATTTTTAAAGCTTAGATCCTCCTCTTTCATTTGTTGCAAGTCATGATGCATATTTCAAGCATGAGTGATTAAAAACAATTTGAAGAAAGGATACCAAAAAGTCATTTGGCGGACGGTAGCTGAACTTCAAGGAGAAAATAAAATTTACAAAAAGTTCATTTTCTGCCCTTTCATAAGACACCTCAATCAGGAATAAAGGAAAAAAAAATCATTTTCACTGGCTGCCTGCCAAAGCAACCAACAATAAACTCCGTTTCGTTGACGATCAGCCATGCATGAAGTCTTTCGTCTTCTGTGTTGGTAGGAAAGACAGCTAGTGCAGTTATTGACTTATTGTGCTAGAGAAATATTTATGTGAAGTTCGAAATAATCTGTCTATTTTTTTCTGCGCAATTTGAAATAGATTCATATAAACTCCAGAAACAGTTAAATACCACCTTCAAATGCTTGCATATTTTTCTTTATAAATGAATGTGTATTGTGTGTTAAAGGGAATCTTTGAATATAGGATTATGAATATTGAATATCATCACTCTTATTTCAATCACTTGTGTCTATTAGTTTTTTGAGAAAATGAGCAGCATGTCTTTATGTTTATTAATATGTTAATGTGCAACCTTTCATTTTATTGCATGGTGACAGGAAAAACGACCCGAGTTGCTCTTCACATCTTCCAAAGTGACCTTTGAACAGCACTTCGCTGCTCAAGAAAGCTACAGGAATATTTATCTGGCTACTCTGAAGGTCCTGCTTGCCAATGGCGTCAGTATCTCACAAGGTAAAGGATTTCTTCACAACGCGTAAAATGATAGCTCTGTGTATAGCTCTGTGCATTATAGCTCTGTTTTATGAGCCACAGAAATGTGAAGTGTATTACACCTTAAGTCACCACAAATTTTGTTTTTTAACATGAATAGATCATCATGCTTTGAGGCATCACGAAATTCAAGTGTAGAATAATTTTCTGCTATTATAGTCTGGGGTTTAAAACCACATCACTGGAATGGCTGGGAACTAATTCCTACAACACATCCAAAAGGTATTTATTTACCTGTGACAGTTTTGATGTCTATGATTTAGGCACTTTCCTCTTACTTCCTTGTACTGGTAAACTAAATTTAGCTACCAACATTATGTTGGTTTTTATTATGTTTATTTTGTTTTCCTTAATCAACTTGTAAGTTAAGTATATAAAGTGCTTAGAAACAAAATGTAACTTGATTGCTTTATAAATGTAAATTATTATTGTTGTTGTTGTTGTTGTTTGATGTCATTATTATTAGTATTATTATTGGTATTGTAACATTTTCATTATTGCTATTAATATATTATTCAAACAGGGATTAAAGTTCGTGCATTGGCTGTAGCATGGGCTCGTAAGGACCACGCCCTGGCCGAGACCTTCCTTCAGGACTCTGAAACCTTCACCATGGCAGAGATCCTGAAGGCTCTTAACCTCCTGGATGCAGGACGTAGGATGCGAGAGAAAGAACGTCGCCTCAGGCAGCTTCAGGTCCAGATACAGGAGAAGGTCAAGGTCAACCCTAAGAAGATGTCAAAGGTCAAATCGGATATTGACAACCTTAATGCCACCAAGCCTAAGGTGAATTATCTGTTTTTTGAAACGAAATATATATAGTTTGATAAGAAGTTGACGGTTAATTTCACTTTGCATTCAGTGAGGTTTATATTGCCTCAGGTTATATGATGTTTTTAACTTCAAGGTAGTTTAATGTGTTATGAACTTATGGACATGTTAGTGAGCTAAGGTTAAACATATACGTCTAACTGTGATTTAATGTATGTGGAATCACACTCATAAAGATAATGCGTGCAAGAGAATGTAATGACATACATCTATAGGTTACAAACACAGGACAAATACACAATTTAACAAGCACAAAGAATTGAATTACTTTGTTTTGAATGGCTACTGTGTGCGTGTGTTTGCATGACAGGTTGGTTCAGTGAGCGGAGCGCTGAGTCGTCATATCCGCCGTTGGGTACGCAGTCTGACCAGTGCTCAGCTGGAATTCTATGCTCTGCACTATCCCAAGGAACCATGGAAAACTCTGGCTGATATTTGCCATCTTAATCCAAAGAAGGTAACCTAAATGCAGTCTCTCATTTTTCGTACATGTCATGCTTTAAATTAACAATAACATCTACATGTATGTAACATATCAACAATATTTTTAAATGGGTGCAAAATTTTTGAACTTTCGGCAAGACCATCATTATCATATGTGATTTGGTAAAGAAACAACAATTTTTGTAATCCCCATTACTTTGCCATTATACGTTTGTTTATACTTTATGTACTCAATTTAATATGCATGTACTATGGTTTCTATTGTGCTGGCATCTTATTTTACATCAACATGTGCTTAGTTCACTTCAAATGTTTCCCTCACCCCTCCATCTCACATATGCCAATGATATGCCAATGATATTTGTAGTTTCAATCTTTTATAAAAAATTCTATTCCATATAATACATTCCATGTTTATTGTGTTCAGATACGTGACTTTTTATTAGAGCAATGTAGCAATGAAAGAAAATATTGATTCCAGTTGAAGAAGAAAAGTTAATTAATTTATCCCTTGAATAATCGCTTGAATAATTCCCTTCCCTAAAATATTTTTGCCATGTAGGACTTTCCTGAGAAGCCATGGTTCCTGTCATACTGCTTTGGTGAGCCAGCACCAAGTGAGAGCTTGGTTGCCAAGTGTGCTGGGATGAACGCTGAAAACATCAATGAATTGGTAAAAGGAGTTGATGTTCCGTACAGTCACATCAAGCAGTTCACCCTCAATCTCACAGAGGAGAGCAAGGAACGTATAGCATCCTACGAGGAGAAAGTTGACACCCTCCTGTGGTGAGTGCCATGAATCTTTTGTGACCCATTCATCGAACGTAGCACTTGTCACTTTACTGGCATGGTTTCATATCCCACCGCTGCCACCGTCATAGGAGACGACGACGACACTTCAATCTCAATACTTGCCATGTCAGTATTTTATGTTGGCAGACTGATAGTCATGGAGTTTTGGACAACCACGAGAGGACTAGTTTTAATGACACTTCTCTAAAAATAAAGGCATTACTAGAACTAATGATTACATCTAGCTACACCTCTTGAGCTCTATAATACCCTTTCATCATTAGATAGAATCCAAGATCATCTACTCTAATGATCCCTATATTCGCTATCTCTTTCTAGGTACTATGAGGATCTGCATTGCCCTAAGGTAGATGAGGTGATCTGCCGTCGTATCAGCGATGGGGAGGCAGTGACTCTACCTTCAGGCAAGCTGATTGAGAGGTTGCTTTTGATGAAGACCCAAGGAATTGGGACCTGCGTCATGGAGTCTCTCATCCCGGAGGCAGCAAAGAGGCTCAAAGCCATGAAGTGAGTTTACAGCTCAGTAACTGATATAAAATGTACAAAACGAAAATGTAGGTGTTGTACTCGAGTGAATTAAGCACTTGACTGGAGATTTAAAGGTCACAATTTTGAGCGCGAGTAAATCACCAATGTCCTTTGGCAAGACATTAATCCGCATTTACTACTCTTAACCCAGGTGTAGTTAATGGAAACCTGATGGGAAGGAATTCCTTCAGACTTTTTGTTTGCTTAATGAACAATCCAAGCCTGTAACAAAACATATGTCTCAGGTTCGGTCAGGGAAAATTGTGTAACTTTGAAGCCATATATGATTAATCTGGAAACGATCATTTGTTTTCTGATCAGGGTTACCTGGTGGGAAGGAATTCCTTTAGACTATTTGTTTGTTTTATGAACAATCCAAACCTGTAACAAAGCATCTGTCTCTGTTTTGATCAAGTGAAAGTTGTGTAACTTTGAAGCCATATATGATTAATCTGGAAACGATAATTTGTTTTCTGGTCAGGGTTTCATTGGAGGCTCCTGTAGCTATACTTGGTGACCGTTCCCCTTCCATGGAGGTTGCCATCAAGACCAGTACTATCATAGCAGGTCTTCTGACTGCCATCACAGATGCAAAACTCTCCTTCTTCTCGTATAAGGACTATGTGCCTGAAAAGATCCCGAAAACCATAACTGAGGTAAGTGATCCGCAAACCCTCAAACTCCTTTTGTCTGATGACTTAATGAGATTAGCTCTACCGCTGCTCCAAAAGTACTATGGTAACTTAAAGTTTAACTGAGAAAGATTATCTACTAAATGCCATACTTTGATCCAAACCTCTTTGATGTACGATTGCCATTAGAGTAGATCATAGCACTTCTAGTAAGCCTACAATGAAGAAACAAATTTTGGGAAGAATTGAACAATTCGTCGCTGTTTTCACGAAGTGACGGTAGTGAAGAAAAAAATTGCATTCACTTTCCGTTACGATTTTCCTCACTACCGTCACTTCGTGAAAACAAGTACGAATTATTTGAAAATAAAGCAATAATATTGTTATCATGATATGCTATGATTGACAGATTCTTGAGATGGCCTCTACGCTGAGGACAGATGGAGGCACGGCCCCTGCAGCCGGTCTTTGGCCGTATTTTAGACGCAAGGAGGTTATTAAGACATTCGTAGTTGTGACGGATGAGGAGGAAAACAGTAATAATAATGGCTATAGGTAAGTTCAAGATTAAGATTTGAATCTAAATTGGTTAGGCAATTATTATTCAAATATGTACAAAATAATAATGTAAAGCAAATTGATGACTTTTTCCTTGGTCTGTACCTATTTTGCCAAAGGAATATGGAAATTGAGAAGAAATATTTTGAAATCTAGTGAATTTAAAGCTATGTCATTTGTTATCTCATCATGAACACACCAATTGCTTCTGAGTCTAAATATTTGAGATATGATGCGGGCATACTGGAGGTGTACCAAGTACACAGTCCTAATCTTCATATATGGTTAGGTTTCTTTGGCGTTATGTTACTAGTGATATCATGTTCATCCTTCATCAGTTTTAGCTCAATCTTCTCACAACACTGGCTAGGTGTAGTGCGAAATATTTTTCACAGACCATTCTAAACAAATCATCTAAATGCATACATGTTGACACACGCAGCTGTTGCCTCAATCTCTTCCATAGATTATACATCATTGTACAGTGTATGCACCAAATGCCGAGATATACTCTTGTTTTTTTCTCTACCTTCAGCTTCCAAGCGCTATTCAAGAAATACCGGGAGGAGGTGTACAGCGATGTCAAACTGGTCTTCATCTCCTTCCTTCGCAGCCAGCACGCTGAGGGTCAGATGGTTAGTCAGCTGACGGCTGATGGTATCCACCCCATGCAGTTCAAGTTCAGTCTTGTCCGGCCTGATCTGACCAAGCTTGACAGTGTCCTGGGTCTACTGTCCACTTCGACCGCTGATTTCAAGAAGGAGGTGGACCGCATCGCCCAAGAAATGACTGATGCTCAGACCAAGGAGTTACTCCTCGCTCAAACCAATGCTCAGAAACAGGCTGAACCATGAATGGAGCTACCGTTTTACGGCGCTTGTATTGACATTTATGACATAATAGGACATTTGTAAACAATATAACAGCTCATGTTTTTGTTGTATTTCTGATAACTTGTGCAATGTGTTTATGGTTTATTAGTTACAGAATCTAAGTCCTGTTTGTGTATATTGCTAGTCAGTTTTCTTTAAAAGTGTTATGTATTGTGCCTAACATAATAAAAACCATTTTTTTTTTAATTGTGAAGACTTAGTCCCTCATGTAAAAACAATTGCAATTAAATTTATCAATTAAGTACACCCTTACCAACATTACCCGATCAAAAGCATGCATTATTAAAATGGGGCTGTTGAAATATGACGAGCAAATTCTTGGTAATACCAACTGTTCTTTTTTTATCTGTTCTGACTAGCAATTATCTGATAATCTGTGATTTGTATTGTTGGTTCTTGTTCTGCAGAAGCCTTATCATGATCAGCTCGATTATTTTTTCCTGTCAGTCATTTGCCAAGGCAACACATTAAGAAAAGGAAGATGATTCAATTTGAAACAAATTCTAGTTTTGATTACAGACAGATTGTGTCTTTTTAAAGCCTCCTTCCGATATGCAGTGGTAAATCGCAGCATAAAAAAAATAAAACGATGATATCTCTATCTTACTACACAGAGCTCAATGAAAACACGTATGACCTTTGTAACACTCAGTACCGTGTCATATCTAAATAAGCTTTAAAGCCTGTCTGTACTAGTTCGGCCAGGGGGGTTAAGACCTACCTGCAAGGTTACTGACAGATGGTTATCTCATCAAGTCAGCTCTGAATTAACATAAGAAAAAGAGGATCATAGGGGACCAACAGGCACCGATTAGGCATTGTTTGCTATATAGAGGGCGCAAGTAGCTACACGTAATGCAAAGGGGCTTTAAGAGTGCAAATCAAACCTGGGAAATATAGACTAAATCACTTTCGCTTCTTTCTTCTCAACATTAACTTATGAACACAGTGATATGTAGTGGAACATCTGTAGATGCAAAAATAAGTTGTAGTGGTTAACAAGGCAGTCGAGATAGAAAACAACCACAAGTGATATTTACTTTTCAAAAAGATTTAAAAGATTGTGGATAATTACAGCAAGTATCTTGCCAGTTCTAAAGGGATTACAGGTAACAACTTTATACCTCTTGTAAATTTGAAGTCTTTTGTGTTTTCTGCAACTTAAGAATGAAAGGTGGACCGGTTGAATTAGGGGCTTTGTTTAATAATTTCAGATGGAAGCTTTAATAAGTCACATTCTCAAGGTTGAAACATAAGTTACAAAACCTGGTAAGGATATGAATAATTTAGTCGTTTAAAGTATGTATGATAAGTCAGACCAAAATAGATTTTCTTGTCTTTCTTTCTTTACTGTTTAGCCGTTACCAATTCTCCGTCAGATATCCTGATTTACATCGAATTAAAAATCCTTTATCACATGTTACCCTGTTTATATATTTTTCACTTTATTAATCACTACATGTAATTTACATGTAGTGATTAACGGTATGCAACATATTCTGACATCTGGTTTAAGTGCAATTTGTATACTATTTTTTATATGATAAAGCGTTATAAGTTTTCTATTTTGTTCATTTGTTAAACCTTAGATTTTTAAATGTAGAATGAGAATAGGTTTTAAAAAATTATCATAGAAGTACAGTAACTATGTGTTACATGATTTCAAATTCCTTGTATTTCGTCATTATTATTATTTTTTTAATAGGGTGATTCACAATAAAACATTATATTCATGACCATTATCATGTACTTTAATTTTTATCATGGCAAGTGTTATTCTAAAAATCTTATAATCATATTATTTGCGATATTACTTAGGTAATATTGCCTCTCATCATTTTATCACAGATCATAATGTGAATTATTCTGCAATAACAATGATGATTCAATAATACAATGTAGTTGGGAGAGGATTATATTTATCTCGTGATTTTATATAGTCTATATACATGTAAGTGTAATAAACAACTTGCAATTACTTTGATATTTTTCGTTAGCTATTTGTGTGCTATTTAAATTATTGATGTGTCACATTACGAGAGAGAGAGAGAGAGAGAGAGAGAGGTAACACACACATACTCTCCCGCTCTCTCTCTCTCTCTCTCCCTTTCTCTCGTTCTCTCCTATATCTCTCTCATCTCTCTCGGGGCGCTCTCTCACTCTCTCTCCCTCTCTCTCTCTCTCTCTCTCTCCCTCCCTCCCTCTCTCCCTCCCTCTCACCCTCTCTCTCACCCTCTCTCTCACAACCCTCTCATTCACAAATATCTTTCTCCCTCGTCTCTTTCTCTCTCATCCCTTTCCCTCTCTGTAGTTTCAAGCTCCCCAATAAAAAATGAATCTGATGAAGTGTGGGCTGCATGGGAGGGGGTGGGTTGATGGGTTTTGGGCGTTAAATTACGTATTGCTACTATACCGGGGAGGGGGGGGGGGTGTTGTGAGAAGGAGCCATCTCAAGTGAGGTGGATAGTTATATTTTTAAAGACAAAAGGAAAATGTGGTCCTCCGGGGGATGCAAATTTTTGGGGTGGATCCTAGCTGATGTCTATGGGGGAGGGGGGGGGGTATAATGTTTAGGGGGCTGTGAGCGGGGAGGGGGATGGAAACAAACACTGATTACCAAGCATGAAATATACAAACAACAATTCAATGAAGCCTTATTTGCTATCTTTAATGCAGATCATCTCTCAACATAATCATCGTGCATCTAGAAGAAGAGTACCTATATTGTCTTGGTGATAACCGTAAAACAGTTACATGCATCAAATTAAGCGCCATACAAGTTCAAATTATCCTTTTTAAATTCTAAGTTGAAAATGCATTATCAAGAACAGTCACATTGATCATATAGCTACGTTTAGTCTCATTTGACAACACCCCCTATCGTCAGAGTCACCAGCCTAACATGTTAGCCTATGGACTTTTACCCAAAAAAAAATCGTTACAAATTCATTTTTTGTTTAAACGAAAAGCACATCCACCTCGACGTACATTATCACTAGCTCTTTCATTCGAAACTTCATGTCTCATTGACTTTTGAAAGTTCACCCACCGTAATTTCACCAAAATAGGTCGCAAGCTCGCCATTGCCTATATAACACATGTACAACAAGTCGAACTTTGGACTCAATTTACCACGCGATTGTAAGGTTATAAGTCAAGCACACGAAGGATAGAAGCATGAATTATCATAGATCAGTTCTGCTTTGTTCATTATGTCCATTTCATCCAACCCCCCCCCCACCGTAATTTTTCCATTTAGTAGAGGCAAGCATTTTGCCGAGGTAAGCAAAAACATGAATATTCATGAACGGTCAGACAATACAGCCTTTTAGTACGTAACGTATAGTGAATGGGAATGGGCGATGATCCGTCCAGGATGTAGAGGTCAGTGGTTTGTCTTGGCAATGTTCCAGCGAGCGAAAATGAGACAACCGGAGCAATATGTTCAACAAAATCCTGATACATGCTAAAAAGGCCTACCTTAAATACAGATTATTATGTATTATGTGTAGCTGCATCATTGATCATTGAAAATAATATTAAGTAACTTAAGCGTCCTTCATCAGTGAAGATTGAAATATAAATAAGTAGACTTAAAGATTTGAGTATTCATAATAAGACTTATGCGTATAGCTGCACTAAAGATTGAAGTATTTATAATAAAACTTGTGGTAGCTCTATCAATAGAGATTAAAGTGTTCACAATTAGACTTATATTAGTAACTGTACGTATCAGTAAAGATTGACTTGTTCATTGTTAGACTTATGCGTAGCTGTATTAGTAGAGATTGAAATAAACAGGATAGTGATCACTGACGTCCTCCGCCTGTATGAGAGAGAGAGAGAGAGAGAAAGAGAAAGAGAGGGTGAGAGAGAGAGAGAGAGAGAGAGAGAGAAGGGGTTGAAAGTGGTCAAAGTACGTTTTGCCCAATAGTATTAAGAATTCACACACAAAATGGGTTAACCAACTACACAAGTACGATGATATAGTAACTTCGTGACGATGAGTTCATGGATAATTACTTTTTAATAGGGCTAATACTGTAGTATAATTCTCGACAGATTCCAGCTGGCCAATAGTAAATCCTTCTACAAGACGTAATTCTAGTCCATCATACAGTTTGAGTAATGCTCATAAATAACGTTATATTAATCACTGAAAAATAAGATATTGACAATACATTGTTATTGTTAGGATATCAGTTTAAATAATGGAGATTCCTTCATTTACCTCATCCTGTGAGAGGCCGTAATAGGACTGATAGTTGAAGATGTATCCAGCACCTCTGTTCTCCATCCCCGAACCAGCCAGTACAATCCTGTGTAGGTATAATAATATTAAACCGAATATCATAAACGAGCACTAGTCTTATTGAGATTTGATATTTCCGACCAGCAAGGGTGTTTACTCAAGAGTTAGGCAGATATCGAGTTTTGCAATGATGGCATTGTTTAGAGTTAGGCAGAGATCGAGTTTTGCAATGTTGGGATTGTTGTTCGTCCATACAACATGCTCAAATCAAAGTTTTCATTATACCTGGGAAAATGTGGAAATGTGACGCTACTTTTGATGGGTAGTACTAAAGACCGTCTTTGGCATTGCCTCATCCCGACACCATAGATATTTTTTATTCTGGTTGGATATAGACATATTTGCTTTTCATGGCGGAGGGGGAGGGGGGGTATCATAATTCCAGCGTAAGGGACTTTAAAATACATCAGTTTAGAATGACTGATTGATCAGTATAATTTTGATTTTATTTTTTTCTCACTAAATTTTGAGTTTCGTTATCCTTTGCTATGAAGAAAATTGAGAATGATCCTACATGACATGCAGCCTTTTCACATACAGCTAAAATTCATCGTATCTAGAGATGATAAGTACAAACGTGTTTAACTCAACAGTTTTAAACATGTTTATAGAAAATTTTCCCTGTGTGAACATCGTTTATACGATGTTGGGATAGATACGAAGTCGCGATGCATACGCCCCTAAAAGCAGGCTGCAGATACGAAGTTCGTATCTAGAAAGCTTGACATTTTGTGTGTGAAAGGTTATTCGTGTTTAAACGTTTTTAAACTGGATGGAGCGTGCGCTTTGATTGATATAACATGACCTTAAATGCGCAATGGCACTACTGCGCATTTTACGAGCAGTATCACGAAACGATTAACGATCGCACCGAAATTTCTGTGTGTAAATGATGTCGTATGTACAGGTGATTAGTTTAAAGCCCTTTAAACTAATCATGTTTATAGAATTTTAGTTGTGTGTGAAAAGGCTGTGTGTTGCGTGCCATACGCCTAGCCAGTCGCTCCCGCAGCACGACAACTCTCAAGCATTGCGGATGTACAAGTGCCATTTCTCTTCTCTTCTCTTCTCTTCTCTTATCTTATCTTCTCTTCTCTTCTCTTCTCTTCTCATTATTTACCTGTCGTATGCACAGTCAGTAGACTTGACCGTGGTATCAGCACTGTCTGAGATGAGCCAATCAAACCTGCTGTCTGTCTTGAGACTGATCTCGGACCAATCCGAGGACTTGACGTAGTTACAGTCAGCATTGAAGTCACCCATCAAGATAGAGTTCTGTCAATCAAGTTTTGTCGGAAACAGAAATAAAATTGAATTGAATTGAATTAAGTTATTACATTAAACTGTTATCAATAAATGAACTACAATACTTGGAATCCAGTCTGCATACATAACGTGTTGCTATGTCGTGCAAGCTTTCGTGTTTTCAATAACAACCTTTGTTAAAAAAACTATGCATAACATTTGAATATGTTAGTAGACCGGGAATATATGGCACAATGGGGGAGCGGATCCCCTATTTTCTTTTGCTAAAAGTCTCTTTATTGGGGGCATATTTTAAGTTTTTTGCTTCCCTTTCCCCACTCCCATTTAGGGAATCTCGGGAGGGCCGGCCACCAGGAGTGGGGGAGGGGGGGGGGGGGGGGGGGGAGAAGGGGGTTAATGATGGAAGGAATAATATTTGAAAAATGCGTGCCGTCCATAAAAATGAAATAATAACGATGTACATGTAATACCCATTCGAAAAACACCTCCAATATTCTAATCCTAATAAGCAAAAATTTTCCTCAGCCAGCCTCATCTTCTTTGTGAAAATGAAACCTCTCGCTATTATCACTGCTACACAATCAGTATCAGTATGACTTCAAATAAGCACTATATGCTTTTTGATCGCATATATAATCATAGCTTTCTAGCATAGAAAGACTCACCGAAGTGCCCAATTTGGAAACAGCCTGTTCGTATACATCGGTGAGTGCATCGATCTCACTTACAGCATCGTCTGGTTTGGCATGGAGACCAATCACTGAAAACTCAGAAGCACCTTTAAAAAATAAAGAAAAATGCATCAAATAATAGACATCTTCACAAACGAGATATACACATACACGTCTCATATCGTATGAAATGGAGAAAAGCACGAATAATTCAGGGACACCTTCACAAACAAAAGAATACATGATAAAATAATTACGGAAATGTATATTCTGTCTCCTTCTGGTTGATTTTTTTTTAAAATCAATTGATTCGATTTCTGAGCGGTAGTTTAAGAGGATTTAAAAAAAATTGATGTTATTGAATCTACAGTCACTAGAGCACCATCTACGGCATACATTGCAATCTACTCTGATACTACAATCATCTAAACATTTAGTATTTCTATGTTACTTTCATTTTTGTGCCAAAATGATGAATTAAAGTCTATTTTTTCATCATTCTGTCAGAAGAAAAAAAACATTTCGCATAATGACCACATGGATTGGACATGTTTTTTTTGTGTATAATAATTGTAAAATATTTTGAATAATGTATGGAATCTATAAAATAAAGAATCAATGGAATAAGTTTACTTGTATCGAAGCTGCTGAAATGGACCACATACGGTTCCCTCTCAAACTCATCTTGACTTTCTGTAAATGTGAATGAACTCTTCACTCGAAACTTGCTGGACCTATGGATCAAATGTATACATAGTGCACCTCCTTAAAAAGATTTTATATTTAGGAGAATTACAAATGCAAGCGAAATGTACGTGAATGATTCGTGTGGATAGTCAAGGGAACTCCTCCCCCAATCGTCTATTAGTAGGCACAAATAATATGTCATTTATAATTCTTGGTCTTGGGAGGTTAAAAGAAAGAGCATATGCAAACCATGTTGTATCATGGAAAACATACTATTTCAAGACTACTGGGCCAGAAGGGATTAGACCATACAGCGAGGTCACTGACAGGTGGCTTTCTTATTAACTCAGCTCTCAACTAACATAATAAAAAGAGATCATGGGGGACCGACAGGCATCGATTGGGGAAGTTTTCTACAGAGGGAGCACGTAGCTACAAGTAGGACAGTGGGGCTTTAAGACATAATATGATCTCTGATGATCATTGGGGCGGTGGCAGCGGTGGGATTGAGGTAGGGGATACGAGAACAGAGAGATACCGGGGAATGGTTGTTTGCCTTTATTTGGCTTTATAGTATTTAGAGATGCCTCCTTCAAGCCAGACTGTGGTTGTACTGCTCTCTGGCTGAACTGAACTAAATAATTGTATTCTTCGAATCGTAAGTTAAAGGATAGGAATAACTACTCGATGGTATAGTGTTTCAACTTACTTATAGAAGTAGGCGTATTGCTCCTTGCTTGAAGACCTTCCAACACGTGGGCCTAATTCCATGCTGTATTGGTTTCCAGAAGCACTGATTGAGACGACAAGAGGATATAAGACATCTGCTCAAGTTGCGTAGAAATAAATGCTAATAGTAATTGTGATAATAGTAGTATATAAAAGCCACTTTTAAAGCGCCTTTCTGATATTAGGAGCTTAAAGATGTCATGCCTTTGCCAACGTCACTAATGTTTTAATAATTGTTCCATTTGTGGACAACTCTCCATGCCTTTTGTACATCGTAATTCATGTTTTTCCTTCTTTCTTGTGATTGAGATAATCTACTCCCTGAAAGCAAGGTATAGAATGCAAAATGATATTCTACTTCACATGTTATGAAGTCGGATCAAGAACACAAATAAATACGAAGAAAACGAAAGAATTGTGAAATTTGATGTACAAAACGCATGGAGAGTTGTCCACAAATGATGTCATCAAATTGAATATCGCCCTCTAGTAACTATTCATTTCAAAAAGCTTTAATTTCCTTATTCCTTGACCGATTTTTTATTTTTTCACTGATTTTATTCAAATATCTTAAACTTTACAATAAAAGTAACTTAGTATGAAGGTTTTGGAGGCAAATTACATTCTTTGTGAAATATGATCAACATTCAAAATGTGTATGCTAGGCTAAACTTAACAAACTAAATCAAACTCACTGGCGTTATGATAGGGGGCTTAGGGGCTACTGCCCCCGCCCAAAAAAAAAAAACACGGGGATCGATGACGAAAGGGGGAGTCCTCCTCATGGACAAATGTTCAAAGGTATCGTCCTGCATTATATGGAGTTTCAAAATTGTCATGACAGGTTTTATCGCTGTCCATCCCCGTATTAAGAGAAGAGGGAAAAGGAGTGGATAGTATAAAGCAGCTTTTTTTCAACAGGGGTGCCGTAAGAGTAATTTGGATGCATCAAGAATTATATTTCGATTTCGTGAAACACCATATATTAGAAATCGTTAGGGTAGGGTATTTAATTTCAAGAGGAAATAGTATTACAAATAATTAAAGTGTATTTATTCGTCGCTCACTCCGCGCGCTCGCATTATTTAGATTTAAGGTGTTTCGTTATCTTTAGGCCATCTGTTCACGTGTTTTCAATTCAATAAAAACATGAATCACTAAAAAAAACAGCGTAGAACACTACTTACGAATTCACCGCATCCAACAGATCGACGATTGCATCTCCCGAACTGTCTCTAATTTCTTGGATCAGAACCATATCATATCTCGTGATTATCTAAACGAGGAACAAGGGAGAAAGCAAATTTAACATACTTGGGAATTATACGTAACATAAACAAGTGAGGGGAGAGAGAGAGAGAGAGAGAAAGAGGGAGAGAGACGGGAAAGACATAAGGACTTATATAGTGAGAGATGGAGAAAAGTGAGAGAAAGATTTAAAGTAAGATATATATATATTTCGAGAGAGAGAGAGAGAGAGAGATTGAATTGGCGATCAGCCTACAAATTATTATTATTATTATTTTTGTTGTAAAATGAATTTATTGATGAATATATGCTTTTGAACAAATTAATCAATCATCCACAATCAATTGAAATAACATCGTAGCATCCTTACAAAGTTCAAATAAAACATGTTTCGTTTTCTTGAATAACAGTGTTTTCAAAATTGTATAGATTTTTTTTTTTCAATACTTTTCCATGTTTAATCGGTTATGGATTAATCTTTTGAAAATACAAAGAATAGAGACTTTATGAAACATAAGTTTGCGATTTTCTGCTTGCATAAATATTAGATAAACTGCGTATTTTGCACATATGATAATAAATTAAAACTTTTGAATATTTTGTTTTTCAAGTTATAACCTTTAATTAAAACTTTTTATTAAAACGAACGAATAAAAATGATTATTAATCATACCTGGGTGAGCACATCAACGACCTCGGGTTTCCCCATCTTTGTCGTTCCCAAGACCTGGATGTTGAAAGCACAGATCTTAACGGCATCCACTACGTTACAGATAACGGCGATCACCGTCACAGCGGTGAGAGCAGAACGGAAGAACTTCATGATTGCTCGTTTATCCTAAAATAATACAAAACCACAACAAAAAGTAAAATATGACTTGTCTTAAGTGTGGATAATCCTGTTCAGAGAGAGAGAGAGATGAAGGAAGGGAAATGTTAACATATAATAGTTTCTTTTCACCACCTGTGGATGATATTAACGAAGATGTTGGTTGATAATCTGGGAGGGCTAAGATTGAACAAAGAAACTAAAAATAATCATTGGTAGTACACGGCTCCTCGTCATAATTTTAAAGTGTACTTCAAATTAAATATATATACGATAGTTCTATATTATGTTTAATATTTTGTCGTTAAAAATATATTGATTTAGGGAAAAAATAGAAAATTTTATAAATGAATATTGATCTTAATTACAGGAAATATATTACAAAACTAATCCTAAAAGTATTATTAAACGTTTATACACTCACCGATGAAGCGATGTCGATTCGCGAAGATATTTCAGAAACTGACTAGCTTGTCACAGCTGCTTGTAATATTTATATGTGTGTCGTCCTCAATGCCTAATCTTGTGTTGACTCATTTTATCATATATCATTCATCGTGATAAGAAATTAATATTTTTAGGGGAAAAAAAAAATCATCTCTCGGTTTATCTAGTATTAAATTTTTTGGCAGGAGCTTAGACAAAATATGCGTGCTCAATTACAACTTCAATGACTTGTATGGTGCTTGAAATAAACCGACTATTTTTTGCTGGTGTTATGACTATTTTATAAGTGTATCTAGCATGCAATTTATTTTGAAAATTGTTATTCATCGGAAACACGTTGGTTTAACCCCCACATTCAATTCAATGGTTTATTCGAGGAAAAAAAATGTTGGCATTAAAGCTAATACTCTTCCTCTCACAAGGGTTGGTGGATTAATCGTGTAAAGAAGTGTAAAGAAAAAGCATTGAAGGGCAATGCGACCCAACCCTTTTAATTAGTTCATTTTTATGAAAGCAGAAAAATAAGATGAAAAGAATGGCGAAAGTTTGAAATTAATCGGACTAATGATGAGAAAGTTATAAATGTTTGAAAAATAAGATCACTCAGTCTATACGAATCTCGAGTTGGCAGGTCGGTCCGTGGATTGTGACGTAGTTGCGGATAACCCTCCCGTTTGCTGTGTTAAAAATATCATTAAATCCTGTTTTATCCTAAGTGCCTTCTTCTTTGGTGCACTTCTCAAAATTATTATGGATAGCATATATCTGAAGGTCCTCTAAAGAGAATAGACCAACCTGAGTCATCCCCCCCCCCAAAAAAAAAAAAAAAAAATTGTGTTAATAGAACAAATGGGTTACTCAATGCACAGGATTACACCTGTTCACCAACGTGTTCGATAAGACATGATAAACATAATTATATTTGTTTTGTCACTACCTTGCACTAGCTCACACTTGCACATATCAGAAAACCTTCGTTCCTGACACCATCAGACTGTGGAACGTTCTCCCTGCAAGTGCAATCGCCTGTACCTCAGTAGCCAGCTTAAAGACTGCAGAAAACACAGTTGCGCTAGGATTGCGCCTGTTCTTTTTAACCGCACATAGATTAGATCTTCCACATCACTGTACATATATATCTGCACAACCCCAAAGTACGAAGATACACCAACAACATGGTGGCCTGTACTTCAACAGAAGAAGAAGAAGAAGATATCATTTTTTTTTTAAATGAATAATTTTAAAGAAAATCCACCAAGATGACACCTCAGGGACAAGGAACGTCTTTTCGACAATTATGATCCTCACTACCCACAGGCATATTTTTCTACATTGGTGTAAAGAATTTAAAAAAGGACAAAGAAGAATCTCAGGATTACACCTATTCACTAACTTAACGTGTTTGATAAGATATACCACATGTATATGTTTGCTATGTTAGCGCCTTAGTGAAATATAATATATATCATTATAATGATACAATATAGAGCTTTGTTATAATAGTATGATATAAAGACGAAGACATTTTTTAAACTAGATGGAATTTTGACTGCGCGCAGTCGAAAATGATGCCTCCGCCATAGAGCAATTTAAACAAGTTTGGAGTTTAAATCTCCAGTGGTTCTTGAGATATCATGATAACAATCTCAATGTATGGAATTTCATAAGTTGACCTCTGTGACCCTTGACCTTTGACCTACGTGCTCCAAAATCTAATCAGATCGTCTTCCTATGGTGATACATACTATCCTTAAGTTTGAAGTTTTTACATCTCCAGTGGTTCTTGAGATATCATGATAACAATCTCAATGTATGGAATTTCATAAGTTGACCTCTATGACCCTTGACCTTTGACCTACGTGCTCCAAAATGTAATCAGATTGTTTTCCTATAGTGATACACACTATCACTAAGTTTGAAATTTAAATCTCCAGTGGTTCTTGAGATATCATGATAACAATCTCAATGTATGGAATTTCATAAGTTGACCTCTGTGACCCTTGACCTTTGACATACGTGCTCCAAAATCTAATCAGATCGTCTTCCTATGGTGATACATACTATCCTTAAGTTTGAAGTTTAAATCTCAAATGGTTCTTGAGATATCGCGCTAACAAACTCAATACAAGGAATTTCATAAGTTGACCTCTGTGACCTGTGACCTTTGACTTACGTACTCCAAAATCTAATCAGATCGTCTTCCTATGGTGATAAATACTATTCCCGAGTCTTAAGTTTAAATCTTAAATGGTTCTTGAGATATTGTGATAACGGTCAAACGGGACGGACGTACGGACGGACGTACGGACGTACGGACGGACAACCCGAAAACATGAAGCCTCCGGCACCACCTTCGGTGGCGGAGGCATAAAAAGTGAACAAAATTTAGAATTAGATTGACCAGGGTGAGAAGATGTCTTTTTGACGTTTATCATCCTCATGACTCAAAGACGTCTGAAGATAGGTTTCAAAACTGAAAACAATACTACTACTACTACTACTACTACTACTACTACTACTACTACTACTACTACTACTGCTACTACTATTACTACTACTAGTATATACTACTACTACTACTACTACTACTACTACTACTACTACTACTACTACTACTACTACTACTACTACTTCAACTACTACTACACCTATTACTACTACTACTATTAATAATAATAATAAGAAGAAAACCGATGTCACGGACGGTCCGTCGCTATCCCCTACAAACTCACATAATAATATACGGTTATCACGAACAGGACTATATACAGTAGTAGTTTGAACGCCAATGACCCGAGCCAACCACGTGAACAAATTATCTTCGTAAATATCGGGTAACCATGATAAGGATATTTAATACAGATACAAACAAATTATCATCAATCATCTCAAATCAATATTGGTGTTTTATCTTAACCTTATAATACACAGATGGTTGGGAGGATTTAAATAAGTTCATTCACCTGAAAAATACACTTTGTCCCACGCATGACATGTGTGGATTAATAATGACGTACGGTAAGAGTTGAAGGCAAACGAATTGGACGCCTTTTCCTTTTTCCCTTCAGGTTTGCGTTATTTTCAAAAACATATTTATTAATTACGCTCTATGAGAATTTCAAACAGGCCAAGGTTAATTAGTCAATAAAGCAGAAACAAAAGATAAATCAACAGATCGGCCAAATCAATCAGTTAGTCAATAATATCAGCCAATCAATACATCAATAATTCAATCAATCAGCCAACCAACCAATCAATTAATCAATAAACCAATCAATCAACTAAGTCACTCAATAAAACAACCAACCAAGGAATCAATCAATCAATCAATCAATCAATCAATCAATCAATCCATCCATCTATCAATCATTACATCATCCAAAAAGAACAACAAATCAAGCAAAGAATCAATCAATCAATCAATCAATATAGAGCAAAATATGCACAAGCATTTTGATCGAGAGGTTTTTGTCATTCAAGAAGTTTATTCAATTTAATCATCATTTCTTTTATTCCATCTTCGATCGCTAACCCCTAATAACTTATTTCAATATTGTGAACAATACTTTTCCTAATACCGGTATAATCAAACTATACATTATCTGTCTCACTGTGTTTCAACATTGTTAACTTAAAACACGATAGGATAGTGAAACAATACAAGCCCCGTTTACAAAATATTTTTCAATCCTATTGCGCTCTTTCAAGATGAATAATCTTTGCCAAAGATCAAATAATGAAGCAAGAGGGGTATACACATAACTTTGTGTTTACATCTGTTTAGAAAACGGGTTTTATAGTTTAGAATGAATTTACAGGCTGGTCAATGAGGAAAATTTGAATCATGGTTGATGTTTTAAATACTTTTGTTCCGGCAAGTTCATGAAGTTAAAGCGAGTATAATATATGCATTTACATTTTATAATTTTTTTTCTTCTAGAAATTGTAGGCAGCAAATGAAACCTTGAACCGAAAGAGCACTACGATTGACCTTGAGGATTTTGTGAAACAAACACTTGAATGTTACATGCAAGGATACGTACGAAGTGCTGTGACCTTAATCTCTCGTCAAATTCAAAATTTTCTAAAGACTACCTGCACTTGTAACCAACAGCGGCATGAGCGGATTTGAGAGGGGGGGGGGCAGTCCTTCAACAAGGATGTCGGTTTTTATTGATGGTCTACTAGCAGCAGTATTGATATTTCATCCGGTGACAGGGGAAGGGGAGGGGGCGTCTTAATAGTAAATCATCACGGATGACTGGGAACCCCCGTTTCTATATACGGCAATTTCGTACTTTACTCCTCTTTGTAAACCTTGAGAAAATTCTCAATTGCTGATCTTTTAACTTACAAGTTATGAGGCATACGCTAAATAACACACTATCTTAATAATTGAATCAGAAGGCTTTTTCCTGCTAATTTTTTGCAAGATCTTTTGATCCATGAATCAAATAATGATTATTTCTATTGCAGTCCATAAGAGAGAAATTTAAAAAAAAATCAAAAGGAATTAATCAATCGTCCATAATGACACGATTTGATACGACAGAAAGATGATCACCAGTTTTCAGTCAATTTTCCTCATATGATGAGAGTAACATCGTCTGAAAATGAAAAAAAAAAACAAAACAAAAAATGAATATAAGTCGAATGAAAAAAGAAAAAAAAGAGACCTCAAAAGCCTTATCATCATTTTGTATCAGGCTTCTAATTGAACTTAGTGGATTAAGTTAATCGAAATAACCATGATCATAAAACACGATTCGCATACTTTTGCAGATGGTGTTTTTCTCTCTGCATGTGCAATTGCATCCTTGGAGAAAACATGTCATTGTAAATGGCGAATATGCTTGCTTATACACAATGTTAAGCAGAGTAATTATTTTCAAAACTAAAATTGATGGGTTCACTTACCTTTAATTGATAGTGAAGTAGACTGGGTAGTGATCACTGATATCTTCAGCCTACGAACAAACATAGAAGAACAATACAGACAAATATCACACATTTTGTATACCCTGTATATATGAATAATTATAAACGAAATATAACTAAAAAGCGAATCATTGATTTCAAGTAGAGAACCTGCGTTGGGAAGAGGTGATGAGTAAAATGTTACATAATGTATAGTGATTGATAATTATACGTATATAAATTATAAAGAAACAATATCTCAAATAGAAGATTGTCCCATGAGAGTGAGAAAAATTTGATGATAGGAAACATAGGCGGAAATGGGGGGGGGGGGGGGGGGGGCAGGGGGCAATAACCCCCAACCCAAAAATTGGGCATTTTGCCCCCATTATATTTTTAGGGGTGAGAAGACATGAGCCCCTGAATGCTGGCGTACTGAGGGGGGGGGGGGTATTTCTAATTCGATACCAGTGATTTACAAAATATTGCTGAAATGACATGATTTTTCTGATATTTTTTCTCTATTTTTTTGTAAGTCATACTTTTTATGCGTTTGTTGCAAAATTAGAAATTCCCAAATTTGCAGTCGGGCGACAAATATGCTTATTTAGAAGTCTTCATGTCAGGGCCTGCAGAACGGCTGGGCTCAGGGGCACAAGCCCCCCTCACTTTTTGAAAAAGTATGTTACAGAGAAAAAGAAAGAAAGAGAGAGAGAAAAAATAAGTGACCTGCCAATGTCACAAATGAGGTATCAAAATATGCTCATCTGACCGTAATTGAATGCCTAAAACCCCTGAGCTTACGGGGGCTCCGCCCCCTGGACCCCACCAAGGGCCATAACGCGGTCCACTGGATGATCATCTGACCGTAATTAAATACCTAAAACCCACTGAGCTTCTGGGGCTCTGCCCCCGGAACCCTTCAAGGGCTCTAAGTGGGGCCCCTGGATGCTCATTTGACCATAATTAAATACCTAAAACCCCTGAGCTTATCTGTCCGTAATTTAATGCCTAAAAACCATGAGCTTCCGGGGGCTCAGCCCCTTGACCCCTGCCGGGGCTCAGGCCCAAGAACCCCACTCCAATTTACTCCGCTCTACCTGATCGGTAATACTCCACTTTGAAAAACGTTCCACGGGGCCATGTAACAAGAGTGGTGGTGATGCAGATTTTTCTTCTGCCCCCCCTTCCAAACGGTTTTACTCATTGCGCCACTGCCCCTGAAAGGTGAGCCCCTGGCATGTTTGCCCCCCCCCCCCATCCCAAACTGCTTCCGGCGCGCCTGATAGTAAAGATAATATGAATGTAAGGAGGGTAAATACAAGTTTGATAACTAAACACATTTTCCTATTTTTAGTAATATTGCATCTGGACCGAACCTCCCTCTTAACCATGCAAAGCTGAGTTAAAGAGAGAGAGAGAGAGAGAAACAAAAAGTATCTAGAGTAAACAAATAAAAATGAAATAAAGAAAGAACAGGGCCCTTTATCAGAAAGAGTTACGATTGATTCAAATCAATCGCAAATTGAAATTAATCGCAACTGTGTACTTAAGAGACTGGAGTTGCGATGGATTTTTAAGTTGCGATCAATTCGAATCAATTTATAATACAAGGGCCCGAATATGCAATGACGTACCAAGTCAGTGGTTATACCATATCTTTCATGGTAGTTGAATATTCCTGCATCCTTGCTGTTCGCAATCAAATTTTGACCAGCAAGCACAATCCTTGAAAACAAACAAAAGATACAATCTTTATATTAAAAAAACCCAGATAAGAATCCGCAATAGAAAAGAGGGACATTTTGACATTGTTCAAAGCCTATTCATCATTATTAAGAATACTAAACTGAAGACTAATGTGCGTGTACGTCTGAGGTTTATCAGGGTGTCATATTAATAATTAGCTACCCAGAACAAATTTTTAGGGTGGTGTTAATGTAAATTATGAACATATAAACATAGTCTTCCATAATTACGGTTATAAAGGTGTTATTCATGCTGCTGAAATGGAAGGATTGAGAATACCTGTCATAAGCACAGTCTGTAGATTTGACGGTCGTATCAGCTGAGCTGGGGATGAGCCATTGAAAACTCGTATCCGTCCAAAGACGCACGGTCTCAAACTCCGTACGAGTAAGATAGCTGCAGTCGGCATTGAAATCTCCCATTAGTATGGAATCCTATCAAAAAGAGAAGTCCATTCATTCCATTGTATAGAATGATAATTCATTCTTGTTGTATTTGATTATTTTAGCACCATAAATCCGTTTCTGCTTGCATACGAGGACCTATTTTTTTATTGTTTTATTGTTGTTTTTTTTTTTTGGGGGGGGGGGGAAGGGGTGGGGGGGGGGGAGGGTACTATCTTCATGACCACATTTTTAGTTAATGTAGAATAAAATGGGCATGTTAGAGATAGAGGGACAGAAATAACAAAAAACGAGAGGAGAATGGGGTAAAATATGAGGGAGAGAGAGGGGGTGGGAGATAGATACAGAGAGGGGGAGAGCTGGAGGTGTCGTGGTGAAGTTGTTCATTCACTTGACCCTTAACCATGAGGGTTGCCTTATTAGGCTGGCACTACCAATACATCCTTTAGCAAGTTATTGATCCACGTTTGCCGGCTCTCCGCCCAGATATGTAAATGGCACTCGAAATGCTATAGCACTACTTATCTTTGGCCGGTCGGCTATGACTAGGGAAATATTGTAGCGCCTGGAGCGTCACGGCGTGACGGACATCAGCGCTAGAATCAAAAAGCCACCATGTGTATTTATTGTTGTTATTGTTATTGGACAGAGAAAAAAAACGAGTATTACTCCAAAATTTGTTATGAAACCGAAAATGTATCTTCCTTCTTATGCCCAATAAACACATCCATAATAAAACTTGAACAGATTTAGCAGTTAATGAAGCAACGCGTTTCGGGTCGAGCCGCAGCAAGGGACAGGGTTAGGATTAGGATACGGCATTTTTCAAAGGTTTAGGAAGCACGATCACATCGAAAACAATCAGATAAAGACATTCTTATGGAATGGAATGACATATTGCCTTAAAGAGGGGGGGGGGGGTAGGGGCACAGGCCGATTGAGCCCCCAACCAGTAATAAGGGACATAACATACTTACTTCGACACCAAATCTCTTTTTGCTAGCGGCATAGACATCGACCAACAAATCCACCTCGTTCACAGCATCAGTGGGCTTAGAATGGAGTCCGATTATAGAGAACTTGGAAACCGCTGGAAGGATTTATCATTTTGACAACAGAGATCCTTTATGATATGAACTTAATTTACATGCACATTGGTCTTGATAAAAAAAGATTTCATTATATGTCTGATCATCAAAAAGCTCACAAAAGGTTTAAAGTATTTTTACGTTGATTGTTCATCTGTGATAGTCTACTTTATATGGGATAGTCTTTCAAAATAAATACTGCTCTCCGAAGGAGCTGGAACAAACAAAATATAGAAACAAACGAACAAACTTGGATTGATTTTCTACTTACCTGCCCCCTTGTCCAGGTTTTCGAAGAGAACGACGAACGGTTCCCTTTCAAAACCATCCGTTTGATCGTCGTAAGAAAATGAGTCCAACGCTTGGAATTTATCTTCCCTGTTTAATGATGAAAACGAATGGATAGATGAAATTGATGACCAACACAAGGTATATAAAAACACAAGACGATTGATCAATTATAACAAAGAAAGTAGATGGAGAGCGAGCGAGAGGGAGGGAGAAGAGAGAGAGAGAGAGGGGGGGGGAAAATCAGGTATACATGCTTCAGTCATGACCATGGTAGCGGTTATTTGAGGAGAAATACAAATATGATTAGTTCAAAATGTAAGAAAAGAAGAACTTACCATCCTTAAGCTTGTTAAATTATTCTAAGGTGTGTATATATCTGTGTTTTCCTTCATTCTATATTGATTTATTTATTCATTTTTCTATCACTCATTAATTCACTAATCAATTATTAATTTGTGTATTATGATATCCTTGACAAAAAACCCACAATCAGCACAAGACTATTTTAACCTTAAGAACATGTGAAACATTAATTGTGATGCAATGTAAGTCATACCTGTAGAAATAAGCGTATTGCTCCTTGCTACTACTGCGCCCGACCCGTGGCCCTAGCGTCATCTTGAAATTCGAGCCAGGTTGACTGAGGAAGATTTAAAAAAGTGAATAAATATATAAGGTGAATAGATATGTGATGACCTCTCTTTCTTTCTTTTAACTCACGAATCCATGGATTTATCAAAATCGTTATATATTTCAAAGGTATATACAGTGAGTATGAAGAGATGATTAATGACCAGAAAATAGCACTTGGCGACATCCGACAACCTAATTTGTGTTGGCTCAGTCAGTAGAGCGTCCGCCTCACAACCGGGAGGTCGTGGGTTCGAACCCCGGCCGCGTCATACCAAAAGACGTTAGACGGGAGTTGCTGCTACCTTGTTTGGCGTTCAACAATAAGGGATAGAGCAACGTCGATATGGCGCTGCTCAGTGGCTGCCGGGCTCACGATCAATCGGGCAAAAAGAATTTCCATTTTCGGTTTAACTTAATAAAATTTGGAGTGGACTTTAACAAGATAATAATAATTATTATTATTATTGTTATTAAATATTCATTATTTCACAATTAGAATCTCTAAAAGAGTTAATGAAGATGCACATCTAATAACCCAATCCGCTGAGAATATTGATTATTTTGATATTACTCATTTGCTTTAAACTATAAAGGTCGTGGGTTTCGACATTAACAGTTCACTTTTGGATCTGGTAGGTCTTACTAAAGCTCCTTGGAAACGATGAAATAATATCAATAAAATATATAAAAATAACATTAAAAGAGATCCCTCAACCATTTCACCATTTTCAACTCCTGTGAAAAAAAGAAAGAAGTCAGTAAAGGAAAATTCAGATTATTCCTTCGAGTCTTTCATTAACTAATACTGTTAGGGCTGTTGAGAGTCAAAAGGGCGTTAACCCAAATACCTTTTACAAAGAGTTAACACCCTTCTGGCTCACAACAGACAAATGGCTTGCTACGAAACATCGGATCATCGCGTCGGGTCGGGTCGGGTGGTCGCGTTACCTTACCTTTTGTGAAAACATGCCCCTTTATTCACGAAATTTCGGAGTTAATGTTTGCGAAATAAGCCCCTCTCATCTACACATGGTCTGATCCAGTTTACCCGACACTTTGTGAAAACCCTAGGGCAAGTTTAGGAAAGGTCGCGTCATCTTCCGCTTTCGTGTTACGAAAGGTCGTGCAACGCGAACACCAACCGGACGCGATGACCCGATGGTTCGAAGTAAGCCCAGACAAATAATGATTAAACAATCCGCGCTAACTGCATGGTATCTTTACCTGTTGACTGCGTCGAGTAGCTCGACAATAGCTGTGCCTGCTACATCTCGTATTTCTTGGATGAGGACTAAGTCATACTGAGCAATGATCTAAATAATATATAAATAAGAGGTTGTTTTTTTAAACACAATGAACAATTAAAATATTCAAATAAACGTAAACAGTGATGTACATGTATTACATAAGATGAGTTAGCCTGAGCATTTTTCAATTTTAAAAGTGAACTTTGATGATTACCAATTACCTTTCAACTTATTTGTACAGGTTTCTTTTGTTGTCCTAAACTTTATCCCTACTTAAGTTTAACGGTCAAACCCTCTGGGACGAAGTGATTTATCGGTCAGGGCACCGTCTTATGAACAGTTGCGATTGATATAATATCAATCGCAACTATGTTCATAAGAGATAGGAGACTGCAAACTTGCAATTGATTGGAGGACTTGCGACTGATTGAGATCAATCGTAACTCTTTGTAAGACGGGGCCCTGATGTCAGTCTCCTGGTTGTGAGTAAAACCCCCAAAGGGTAAGGTTGTTAAAATGGTAAAATAAGGCTTCAAAGCTGGTAGGAGAAGGGTTACCTACATCCCTGAGTCCCTGAGTGGTATAATTATTTTGATAGCAAGAGTTAACTCTGACGTCCAAACAATTTAATTTCCTAGCAACACGGTATTATATCTCAATAATTTCCTCACTTAAAGATGATCAACTTCAAATGTCAAAAGATGAATAGCTGCCCAATGTCACTGGAGAGTGATGAAGAAAAAAAAAGAGCTCCAAAAATGTTAATTGGAATTATTTTCATGACTGCGTAATATAAAGACCGTGGCAATCTCTTTTGTCATTAAAAAGAGAGACAATTTCGAGTATTATTATCAATGAAAATATTCGTTAGTATCATTTTGAAGGAAAAAATAGAAATTGTGTGAAGTGGAAGCAACGTGTAACGTATTGAATCCAAAATGAGAGGAGTATCAAAAAAGATACTGACATTCCTGTACTTGAAAGATGAATGATGGCATGAATAGAAACTACATTGAATGGAAGAAAGGTGTGGATAAATAATGATGACGAAGGACTTGGTTACCTGTTTCAAGTAGTCGACAACCTCCGGTTTTCCCATTTTACTCTGACCCAGTACTTGTATGTTGAACGCTGCAATGGTCGAACCAGTGCAGGCATAGGCGGCTGTCAAGAAGGCCGCGAACACCACGACAGAGGCGAAGATGTAACGAATAGAAGCCATGGTCGAAGTCGATATTCGAAATTAACCTGTCAAGAAAAACAAAAGCGATGTATCATTAATATACAAGTTTTGCTTAGAATGTCTTAAACCATTGATACGACAACTACATTGACCTTATACCCAACAAGAGCTCTTTGAGGTGTGTGTTGGAATAACGAAAGTGTTGGTGTTATATAGGGGATTTTGGATTCCACAATTCCCGTACTAAATTGCACCCGCAAGCCTACTGTATAAATTAATGTAGTCATATCTTGATACAACATCTGATCAAACATCCAGGTGTCGATTTAATTGCAACAGAATACATGGAGAAAGTCAATAAACAAAACTGTAGAAAATGGACTATGCAATCCAGCCAAATTAAATAATTTGACGTTCATAAGTATTACCATCTCGGACATCTCCCATCTATGCTATCGTTTTCAGTTGCCTGTCTCGCGGTTGATTGGGTGAAAGAGAAGGGGAGAGAGAGAGAGAGAGAAAGAGAGGGGGGGGGAGGGATAGAGAAAGAGAGGTTTGTTTAATCTCATAATCCGCCGATCAACGTTACAACGATTCGTCTTCTTTCTCTAATAATTTAATAAAACGTCAAAGCTTCCGCGCTTCGCGCAGGAGGGGGGGGGGGGGGGGGGTGGAACTGAATTCAGACAAGGATTAAGAGTCGAGAATGGTAATATGAATCGTCTTTTTTTCTCTAATGAATAAATGAAACGTCAAAGCTTCCGCGCTTTGCGCGGGGGAGGTGAGGGGGAACTGACTTCGGACGAGGATAATTTTCGAGAACGGTACAACAAATCGTCTTTTTTCTCTAAAGATTTAATGAAACGTAAAATCTTTCGCGCTTCGCGCGGGAGGAAACTAAATTTAGACGAAGATCACGAGTCGATAACGACACAACGAATCGTCTTCTTTCTCTAATGATTTAATGAAACGTAAAAGCTTCCGCGCGAGGGGGGGGGGGGGGGAACATAATTCAGACGAGGATTATTTTGGGGAACGGTACAACGAATCGTCTTCTTTCTCTAATAATTTATTACAATGTCAAAGCTTCCGTACTTCGCGGAGGAGGGAGAGGAAAAACTAGCCCCTCCCTGCACCCACCCCACCAAATACATCGCTGATTTTGGATTCCACAATTCCCGTACTAAATTAATGTAGTCATATCTTGTTACAACATCTGATCAAACAACCAGGTGTCGATTTAATTGCAACAGAATACATGAAGGATGTCAATAGAGAAAACTGTAGAAAATGGACTATGCAATCCAGCCAAATTAAATAATTTGACGTTCATAAGTATTACCATCTCGGACATCTCCCATCTATGCTATCGTTTTCAGTTGCGGTGGATCGGGTGAATGAGAAGGGGAGAGGGGGAGATAGAGAGAGAGAGAGAGAGAGAGAGGGGGGGGGGGAGCGGAGTGAGGGAGAGGTCCAGAATTGTGAAGAAGACATAGATAACTATAGATATTAAAATCAAAAGATAGATAGAGAGAGAGAGAGAGACAAATATGTTTGTTTCATCTCATAATCCGCGGATCATGTTGCCCAAGCCGGATCAACTGTACAATGCCTAAAATCAAGAAAAAGAAACATTTTGTTGTAGCAACTGAATGTTTCAAACGAACACAATATAGCATTGAGGAAATGATATAGGCAAACAAAAGAAGACTTTAACACTCTTCATAATAGCACGGAGCACCTCTTATAGCAATTCTTCAAAGATACACAATGGAGGTAGGGGAGGGGGGGGGGGGGTACAATGGAACAAAGTGCACCAAAACAGCAGTATATTGTTTTAATTTGTTTGAAAAATGGGACATTATATTTACAGATAAATTAAGAAAAAAGATTATGGCACGTTTTTAAATTTACGAAAGGGGCTCTTTCCATTGTACAGGCATTTATGCCACTTAGACATTGGAACAGTTCTTGATTTTCGGGAAAATAAGTTGAATGTGCTAATCTTCTGATACGCTTATTTCTTGATTTCGGGGGGGGGGGGGGTGATATAAAATAATGGTTTTGTTATGAACATGGCCCTTCCTTTTTAAACATTAAAACAAAATAACAGCAGAAATCAAATTTTCACAAACCCCTAACCAATGATTTTAATCAGGTTGCACCAAAAGATCGGGTCCCTCTTTCCTTCCTTTTGTAACTTAACTGCAATTAACATTATGCTATTGATTAGTTTAATATTTTATAACGTTATACCTTCTCATTTAATCTTGATTTTTGATTGTATTTATACTTTCTCAAATGACGTAATTAAGTTAGTGTAACTATTTCAAATTTTGTATAAGAAATATGTTTGATCTTTTGCTAACATTTGTTAAGCACGTTGAAATAGCAACACATTGTGGGCTATAATAAGCCTGACAATATTATTATTATTATTATTATTATTATTAACACGTCTGTCAAGAAGAAATGACCCTGCGATATCCCCGATGGTTGCGAATGAAGAGAATCAACGCACATGGAGACAAATCCAAGTGAGATAAGATTGTCATTGATTGATGGAGAGTTCAAAGTTTCTAAGAGTGTGTTCACCTTTGACCTGTAATGAAATAGAAACTACTTCATTAAAAGAGATCTTTCTGTCGAGTTTTACTCACACCCTGCTGACTGTCTTGTGAACAACCTCAAAGCTTCATCACAACCATGGCGCCTCTATCAACGATTCTTTTCTGCGTGCTTGCCGCATCTTTTAGCTGGCCGCACACCACATCTGCGATTAAGATATCTGCGTTCAATATTCAAACATTTGGGGCCAGCAAAATGGGCAAGCCTGAAGTTGTCAACTACTTGAAGCAGGTAGGCATGAATATTGAATATTTAAAATACCTATATTTTTAACCTCCATAAGATATGTATTTTACTTCTACTACTGCTACTACTAGCGGGTACCCATTTAACACCTGGGTGGAGAGTAGCAAGTGCAGGTAAATATCTTACCAAAGGATATTAGTGCCGTGTCGGGTCTCGAAACCTCGACTTTTGCATCTCCAGTCAAGCGCCTTAAACCACAAACCTACGCGAAAAAGCAGGAAACGATCTATCGCCAACTCTCAAGCAGATTTATTTACCTGCTGATCGCAAATTAGGGGCCAGCATGTCTGAAAAATAACAAAGGGGTAAATCCGATTTCTCACACTCACTCAATTAGTGCGTGGTGTACGCGTTTGTGTGTGTGTGCGTGTGTGTGTGTACGGAGGGTTAGGAACTTTTTTTCCGAATAATACTTTCTCATCAGCCCAACCCTGAATCGGCATACCTCGATAACGTCATATTTTTTGTCATATTATCTCACAATAGTGTACATTAAAAAAAAAGTTGATAGCTCTTTCTTTCATTGACATTTTCGTTTTATTTTTCTTTCAGATCATATCATTTTATGACATGGTTCTTATCCAAGAGATCCGAAACAAGGACGGAACAGCTATCGAACAATTGCTTGATGAGGTCAACAGGTTCGTATATAATACACTTGAATAAGACTGAGTAATTATAATGATTACCACACTCATTTCAATTAGTGTTCATGCGACAAAGAATAAATTTGCGACAAAACTTGATACCATTTAAAATATATGACGCTTACTGACTGTTTTTAATATTTGGAGGAAAACGGTGAGGTAAGGAAAGTGTCGTTAATTGCATCTAGTTGTATATATCATGCATTATAAGATGATGACGTGGATCCTAATCAAATCATTTGAAAGCGTACACGTGACCAAGCATTTATTTTGCCTAACGCGTAATTTGGATAATGACCGGTCATTATCCAATGTTAAAGACCGGTCATTATCAAAATCATATAATTAAACATCATTTTATGAAACAAATAAAACATAATTTTATAAAACATATGATATGTGTATTATTTGTGTAATGTGAACCCTAAGATATAATCATATTAGTCATGTTACAATTCTCTCTCTCTCTCTCTCTCTCTCTATGTTGTTCTCTCTCTCTCTCTCTCTCTCAGGTGAAGAAGCATGTAGCCCTTTCGAAAATTCGTGTACTTGATCAATAAGTAGCTGGAAATTAAAAAGCATGAAACTCACAAGGATTCTTGTTTTTGTTCTTGTTCTTGTTCTTCTCCTTTTTTCCTTCGTCTTCATGTTTTTGTTCTTCATCTAGGTCGTTGTCGTCACCTTCTATCTCTTTTCTTCATTATTATTATTATTATCATTATTGTATGTAAACAAAATATAATTATAATGCATATTATCATTTGATTATGATATTTTTGTTCTGGAATATCATTATAGCTACTCCCCAGATCACTACGAGATGGTAATATCATCTAGACTAGGACGAAGCAGTAGCTATAAGGAGCAATATGCATACTTCTACAAGTAAGTAGCAAATGTATTGAGAAACATTTTAGAAACGAAAGCCCAATGTCATTTCATAATAAACATCCCTGACTTTTAATTGTTTCACTGTTCAAAAACATGCTTCAAATAGCGGATTCTTAAAAAGAGTGTAGTGAGTTATTAAAAAGAAAGTGAAATTAATATTGTTGGTATATCTCTTCTGTACTTATTATGAACGCGACTTCACACTCCTAAACATACTGGATAAAAATAGCGAAAAATGACTGTAATATAACTAAAATATAGGAGATTTGACAAAATGTATTTATTAAACCGAATTTGGGAGAGTTTTTTTTTTCTTCTTTTGAATCTTGCATAACTGCTCAAAGAAATTTAAAAATGGTTCTTCAATTTTAGTTGGGTCATCTAAGATTCACAACAAATATCTAAGATTTAATGAACTTTATAACTGAAGCATTGTGCTCTGAACTTTGTTTTTAACAATTAAAAAATGTAGATGTCTATTTTCATAAAAAAAAGGTGAACAACAGAATAGTGGATCTAGAGGAGGTGCACCTTTTCTGTCTATATACGAACTCCCACCGTACTTACGATTTCAAGTTTTCAAGGAGTTTGTTTTATAATTTGAAACATATTTACAAAACATCTACCTGTACTGATTGAATGATCTTGAAGGTAAGATGAATGTATAATTAAATTATGAAAACAGTCACACCTATAAATCAGCGTGTCTATATCTTTGTATTGCATTAGGACCAACGTTTTGAGTGTTGTCGACGAGTTTGAATACCCAGACAACGGTGTTATTGACGAATTTGAGAGAGAACCATATGTAGTCCTGTTTTCTGCACCTTCTACATGTGAGTAAATGTATTTGGAATGTATTGTTATTTAGTGGTATTCCTCTTGTAATTAAAATCAATAGGCTTGCCTTGATGAAGGTGACGTAAAGCTCTTGAAACGGAAATGAGAAAGGAATAAATATTGGTCTCATGTTGATCAAGAAACCCTGAGCCTATCAATCGCAACTCAAAAACACGAGAGATAGGAGACTGTAAACTTTGGATTGACTGGAGGATTTGCGATTGATTCGGATCAATCGCAAATCTTTGTAAGACAGGATCCTGTACTGTTCTTGTAGCATTATGTTTGTGGGCTCCGATGAATTTAGTGTACATATTTGAAAAATCGTCCTTTCCGTACAAGATTATCAGTGACGACATCCCAGTGTTAATAAGGAAATGTGTTTTGAACATCATTATCTACCACGTCATATGAATTTATCACATTTTACCTGTTTTCATCTCAATTAAATTGTTTACAGTAACTTTACATTATATGCTTATCCAATGTTGGTCCGCAGCGTCAGACAGCCCCCAAATAGTCCAAACTTTTGCAATGTCATCTTGAATGGAGTAATAAGCTAATGAGAAAAATAATACAGATTCCTAAGTGTAATCTAATTTGTTTCTATTGTATTTGTATTCCCTGATATATCTTTATGCATGATTTGTCTGTAAAATAGGTTTTTCTTCACTTATTATACCGTGAGTGTTTGAATGACCATTACCCTCGCTGTTTCCCATCTTCTTTGATTATTGTAGCCGTGAAGGAGTTTGCAGCAGTAGCCCTCCATGCCAAACCCGATGAGGCTGTGTCAGAAATCGATCTCCTGGCTGATGTCTATGACTACACGCTCACCAAATGGAACAATCCGGTATGACTGTATGGCTGTCTCCTTCTTGAATATTTCTATAACCTTTCCAAAGATTAATTGTTGGCAAGAATAGTTCTCTACTACCATTTATTATAATCTTAAGAGGCAGAGGAATGATGAGAAGACGATAAAGAAGGAGATTAAGGGAAAAGAAGAAGAGGAAGAATAGGAAGAGGAAGAATATAAAAAAAACCAAGAACAAGTACAAGAACAAGAGGAAGAAGAAGAAATAGAAGAAGAAGAAAAAGAAGAAGAGGAAGAAGAAGAAGAAAAGGAAGAAGAAGAAGAAGAAGAAGAGGAAGAAGAAGAAAAGGAAAAAGAAGAAGAAGAAGAAGAAGAAGAAGAAGAAGAAGAAGAAGAAAAATAATAAGAAGAAGAAGAAGAAGTAAAAGTAGGAGAAGAAAAAGAGGAAAAAGAAAAAGAATGAAGAAAAAGAGGAAAAAGATGAAGAAGAAGAAAAAGAAGTTTGTTATTATAAACACGAATGTTTTTCGCTCATACTATTGTTACTCTTGCTCAGGCTTCAACTCATTTCTGCTAGCCTCCCATTACTACTCCATACTACTTTTTGAATAACTAATGATCATACTTCATTTCACCATCTGCTGGGTCTATAATTTTGGTACCGGCGGTATTCACGTCATATTAAGATAGTCATTACGATTACCAGGTCGTGATTATAGTTATTTCTCTAAAAAATCTTTCTCAGCAATATTTTTTCATTACAGTATTTGATTTTCTTTTCGTGACATCCATACTCAGAATGTCGCCCTCATGGGGGATTTCAATGCTGACTGCAGTTACGTAAACGGCGATGAATGGTCCCAGATTCGCCTCCGAACTGAAGACCGCTTCGATTGGGTGATACCTGACACAGATGACACCACAGTCTCAGGAAATACCCACTGTGCTTACGACAGGTATACCTCTTTATTATGCATATTCTGCTCTTTCAAGAGTATGGTATAACTTTAAAATAAACACAGGCAGACGAAGTAACATGGATATTTTAAGGATGTTAATATCCTCATAAACTGCAAAAAAAAAAAAAAAAAATCTCGCTTGCCATCATGCCCAAACAATTACTGGTTGATAGGAATATATCTATTTTTCCGGAGAAAAATGCAATTCAATACATATTCTTCTCATATATGCATTTTCCTCCCAACATTTTATGCCTTGGGCATAAAAGTGCCCATTCTTAGTTCGTCTTATAATAAGGTACAATATATCCTACCTTTACCTTATATTTTTAAGCAAGTCCTACATGAATGATGCCTTCGTCCTGATCCTTGTTCTGTCCGCTCTCTCCTGCTCCTTCTATGTTTAATACCTCAACGTGCAAAGGCGTTCATGAATATTGTGATAATTATTACCACTTTTAAAACCCATTAGAATTATCAAACTTGAGGTCATCCATTGTCATTTCGGGGACCGACACTTTTTTTTCTCGGATCAGGGATATTTTCTAAGACAGGATCACCGATCTGGAATTACGGAGTGTCTATGAGTATACAAACTCTTTGATATAAAAGTTGAAGAGCGGAGATGTAATATTCATTGGTTAAAAGTTGAATGACTAATCAATGGAAGGCCCGCAACATGGAGTATCTTATTTAGGTTCCCATTTAAAATGTTTAAAAGAGGATACAATCCAATCAGATTTTTCATTGTTTTTCCGTTAACAACTACATAATATCTCGTTTTCCTGCACAAAAGGTGATTATTTCGAGATTCTAGAATGATCATCTTATAAGCCTACACTAAACAAAGGACCCAGATTTATTCCCCAAAGATCGCGCTCATTCCTCTGACCTTCTTTCCTTTCTAGGTTTGTTTTAGCAGGCACTGAACTCCAACAAACCTCTTCGGGAGCCAAACCTTTTAAGTTCGATGCTTATTTTGGACTCGAAACCTCCGATGTAAGTTTTTTCCAAGCAAATTTTAAAATTCATATACTTTACACCTATACTGTTAATTGTTTGTGAGGGTGTGTGTGTGTATGTGTGTATGTGTATATGTGTGTTTGATCAGCTAGCGGAGTGCATGAATGACTCAGTCTTAAAAGAAAAAAGAAAAAGGAAAGGTTCTGTGTACGTCAAATAAAAGAGCTACGAGACAAAACAACGAATAATGTGGGAGTATTATAAAATTTGTAAATGCCAGTCATAATTTCGAAATAAGAACGTGTGTGTGTGTATGTGGGTGTTATAGTAGAGGGAGTGAGAGAAGGAGAGAGAGAGAGGGAGGGAGTGTGAAGAGAAAGAGAGAGAGAGAGAGAGGAGAGAGAGAGACGAAGAGAGAGAGAGAGAGAGAGAGGGGGAGTGTGTGTGCGTGTTTGTGTTCTAAATTATAGCTGATTTCATTCAATATGTTTTCATTCTTAATTTATGAATTATATTTGACTGTACTAAGTTAATCGAATCATGTCTAATCATTATTGAAAAGAATTGTATTTTGAAGACATATTTGTATTGTTTTGATATTGAATGAAATCAAAATTGATACAAAATTATGGGAAAAAGTATGTGTGTGTTTGTAAGAGAGAAGCAGAGAGTTTCTTATTCTTAGTATGCCTTTGGTATCGTGCCTTATAAGGATTCTTTTCTTTTTCAGGCCGATGACGTAAGCGACCACTATCCCGTGGAACTTGAAATCAACTAAAGTGACACAACCCAGCACACGATCAAACTAGATCTTTGTCCAGATGCTCCCTAAAATCAATCATGATCCATCAAAATACGTAAATTAACCCTGTCCAAATATTTGAAAATATCAGATAAAAATCGGGTAATACGTCACGGGCTTGATAACACTATTTACGCATATTATATTGTTTAATTTGGAGCAGACTTTATTATCACAGATGTGTTAACTGTTCTTCTTCACACGGTATTTATCATCTTTAGTGGCAACATGGTGATGAAATATAATATTGACATCCGATCTGAGAAACAGTATGATTTATTTGGTGTGATGCCTCAATAAAAGAATAATGCAATAAAATAGAAGACAATGTTTACATGCGTACATCAATGACATTCCTTCGATTAATTATTGTTATCATATTCTTACACTTTAATCACACAAAAATGTAGTTTAAAAATCGACAGTGCAAATAAATCACAATTACCTTTTTTTTTCCTAAAATGAAATTAACGTGACAATTACAATTAACAGAGCATGTGAAATTATGTTTTTCTTTGTTTTCATGAATATGGTAAATTGGTTAAAATGTATATGACTTTGGTGCATGATGTATCTTGCAGCATACTAACCGCATAGGAAGCCCGCGAACTAACCATACGAAAATATTAGAAGGCATTTCTCAGTTTTGCTGATTTTTAAAATTCACTTTTAATTCCACTGATAAACTTTGAATCCCCAAATTAAAAAGAGCAATAAGGAATGAAGAAAAAATACAAAAGTAGAATATTCTGCGCAATGGTGAGTCCAAGTTTTTAATAAAGATATATTAAACATTAATTAACAGTTATAACAGTTTTAGACTCAGAAGTAAAGCAATCAAGCTCCGTGAAAAATCTGGGTGTATGGATTGATTCTCGTTTAAACATGGAAAAGCACATATGGAACATAATTATGCAAATCTGCCCTTTTTGTATGTTATAGACTCTCTGTCACATTCGTAGATACTTGTCTTGTCGATACAATTTTTAGCAGTTGGGTTGATTGTTGAAATGGAATATTAGCTTGCCAGATTACAACATTACCAAATTACAGAGTGTTTAGAATGCATGTGCACAACATGTGTCAAATTCCTCAAAATTCCCCAGGTTTCACCTATTTTAATTAAACAGATTGCCAATTAGGAATATACTTGCAATTAAGAAACATTTGCTTGTTTATACAGCATTGAATAATCGAGCCCAAATTGTATGTTTGAATTATTATCTTTTAAACCCTCATCCATACGCACATAACTTATGAAGAAAACACAGGACAAGCTGCATCTAAAGCTACCTCACACAAAAACAAAAGTAACTCTTGGAGATTGCGCTTTCAGCTGCACTGCTCCAAAGCTTTGGAATGACCTACCAGTAGACATAAGAAAAGCCTCATCTGCTGCTGTCTTCAACGTCTTGTTACAGACGCACTTGTTTTCAGGTGCTTTTGAATACTTTTTTAGTGTGTCTGTAAAGGTAGCACTGTTAGGAGTTTTGTTTTCATCACAGTACAGTTGAGTATATTTATATTTTAGCTGTGCTATATATATATTGATCTAGTTATTATTATTATCATTATATAGATATTAACTTAAGTTATACTTCAGAAAAGTCAGACAATCTTCTTCAGCGTTACTAAGCCCACATATTCAACATGTATTATAGTTCATCACCATCAGCAATGCGTGAATTGCTAGTTCATCACATCTCTTATATCTAGTCAATGGTAAGTTCCACAGGGAAATGATCGCTGACGTCTTTTGCCTGAGAAAAACAGAACAAAACAAAAAATCAAACAGAAAGTATAGTTTAACTTATACACGGATAGAGGCGCGTGCATTTGCCATCATTAAAGGGAAATCCTACTTGAAAAGACATCTACTGTAAATTAAAGCAGACAAATCAGAAAAGCAGTCTAATGAAAGTTTGAACGAAATCGTAGGAATAAAGGAAAACTTCTAATTTTTAAATTTTGGTTTATTGCTATACATAATTATGGGTACCTCAAATTGGCTAATTCGGTAACGTTGCTGTATTACAGTGCCAGACAACTTTCCCATTTGTTTCAACAAACAACAAATTGACTTACATTTCAATTTTCAAAATAGTATTAATCTAGAGGTGTTTTTTCTTTGAAGAGGACCTAAAATAATAATATACTATATATAATTTATTATGAGAAGTGTCCAAAAGGAAAAGGCACTGAGAAGAAAAGAAAAGAGAAAATAATGCTATTTTTGGACACGATAAACAGGAGAGTTGTCGGTGTATACGATCACAAAGTCACAACCCACGGACCAAACTGCCAATTTGAGATTCACATGGTTTTGGTACTCTCATTTTTTCAAAACAATCATAATTCTTTTATGATTGGTTTGCTCGATTTCAAACTTGAGCTATTCTGTTTCTTTTATTGATCTGCTTTCATACAAATTAACTTATTACAAATGTTGGATAGCCCTTAAAAATTTCATTCTATCTAATTTAGTATTGTTGGATTCAATTACTTTGCAATTCGACATTATCTAAATACGTGTACCTCTATGAAATTACAATAACATAATATGACAAAATTATGAACTTACGCCTTCATAGTCTAGTCCGAAGAAATCATCAAAATAGAAAACGCCTGCACCAGAAGATGTAGCCTTTATAGTCGTACCTGCTAACACAAATCTGTAAATGAAGAAATACTTTTATAATATTGGATGGCTTTGAGTGTGATACAAGAATATATTGCTCGAGCTATGCAAATATTGAACGAGTCGGAGACGAGTCCGATATCGTCATGGCGAGAGCAATATATTCTTGTACCACACGAAAAGCCAACCAATATTATAAAATTATATCAGGCTGACTAGCAAAATAACAATGTAAATGTATATTGTGTCAACAGTTTAAGTTCCCGGATGACAGAGTAGTACGAAAACAATTTATTTATTATACCACTTGGAAGTCTTATGTAGATGATAATGTGAAATACTCACGCAATACTCTTGTTGAATCAATGACAGGTTATTAAACGGGTTGATGCTTATAAATCAAATATGACATTTTTTTTTTGACGTGAGACGACATATACAATTTGAGATGGTCTCAGTGAGGAATTAGAACCTCCAAATGGGGTCTTTAATACAAGCAGGGGCCCGGAAAGTACCACTGCTTTCAATTTAAGAGAAGGGTGTAGTCGTTACAACGATTAGTAATTGTGATATAACCGTTATATTGATTGAAAGCCTCTGATTTATTGAAGATTATATTTAACTTTACAGGATTTAGTATGAAATATGAGTATGACCATGAATTAAAATAAGTCATAGGGAATGACCAGGTATATAAAAGACTTGCCTGTCGTATGCACAATCGGTGTTTCCAGAGACCGTTGTATCTGCCGTGTCGGATATCACCCAATCAAATCGTGATTGAGTACGAAGACGAATGTCCTGCCAATCATTCCTTCCCACGTAAGAACAATCTGCGTTCAGATCACCCATGATAACCACGTCCTGTAAATTACAATATTATCTGACTTTAGACAGTAAGATCGACAGTCACTACACAAACACAAAGAACAGTATTGGATTGCAAAAGTTCAGGAGGCAAAATTTAAAATCTGGGTATCCATGTATGTGCATTCCGAGGTAACGCTCCCCGAAAATTTGTCTTAAAGATCGTCCCACCCCTCAACATTTTTAAAACAATGCCGAAAATTGTCAAAATAGTGATTAAAAGAGAACGAGACATTGTATAAGATCTGAAGTGCTTTGTAAGGCAAAATTGCATTTGTCAAGAAATGAACTTCTCTCTTTCAACCATTGCGCTCCCAATGATACAGCTTTAAAATATAGTACATGTAGTTCTCTAAACAGTAGATATTAAAAAGCAGAGATGTTTCTTTGTGTGTTTACAGCTGCAGTGCAGTACGATACTCCAAATAGAGCCTGAAAGATCGAATTCATGGGGGGGGGGGCAGAGGGTGGTGCGCCTTCTCATGAGTATGTTTCAGTGGAGTAATTCCTGCAAAATGAAGAAAAACCAGGTAGCTCCTGTCTAATTGATATTTAAACACTGTCTCTATATGCCCGCTAAGGGAAAGGGGAAAAGGTGTGGATAATGGTATTTGACTCGCCCGTGTGATAAAAAGTGCTCTAAAATACAAAGTTCCAGACTACAAAGTGCGAAATGAAGGTCAACATTTATCACTTGGTCTCACCCTGACTCCCCACTGACTGACGGTATAGTCATAGACATCGGCCATTAGATCAAGCTCGGTTACAGCATCATCAGGCTTGGCGTGCAGAGCCATTACGACGAACTCACCCACACCTAACAGAGAAAGATCAGGAAAAACGAATCCGAAGTTATTTAAGTAACTGGTGTTTTTTAAGTGTTTATTATGTTACATAATTTGCATATAAGGAAAAGTGTAACGACGGAAAGAAAAGGAAGATTGAAAGAGTGAAGACACTAATTCAATCTTTCAGTCTTCCTTTTCTTGATAGATATCGCCCGAGCTCCACTCTTATTAGCTGCACATCTAGTTTACTCGTAGACCCATTTTACTTGAAATATAAACTCGTCACTTGGTAGGCACAAGATACGATCAGACACCAGTGAAAAACAATCTGATCTGAAGAAGAAGGGCTCACAATGCCACCATGATAGCACATGCACAGTGTGGTCTATGAGACTTACCTCACCGTATTATGAGGAAACCTTTAAACAATTTTCATTTGGAGCATTTAATGCCCCTCTAAAATGTTGGGAGCCCTTAAAATTGTCATTTAAGACACATTTCTGCAAGGAATTTCAAAACAAATATGTTTGAAGTCGAATATTGATGAAAGAATGCAAAAAATAGGTTTTCTACGTACAACAGAAAACCTAAATTATGTATTTAATATTTGTCTTCAAACACATTTCTTAGGGGAACTCTGTGCAGAAGTGTGTCTTAAATGACATCCTCTTTCACATTATGTTACAATTTAAGTGAAAGTTTTCCATCAAATTGTTAGCGAATAAGGGGCTCCCAATTTAAGAGAGGCTTTAACTTCAGTATCTCAGGAAAAGGGTCCCCTTCCTTTTCCATGAAACACAAATAAGTAACGCTTTCGTTTACCGCCTTTGCCTCATAGCACAGTCTCCCGTCTTGCAGGCAATGCAGCAATGAGGTTACTACTCACTAACCAGCTACCCCCCCCCCCTGGATGGAGAAGGGGATCATGAGAGTTTTACAAAAAGTACGCACGTTAATTCGCTACACTTCTCGTAAAGAGTAGGGTGTAAACCCGGTGTTAAGTGTGCTTGCGTACAACTACTGGATATCTTTCTACAAATCTTCATGATAGGCTGCATAGTCCTCTTAAGATTAACAGAAGTAGAAGAAGAAGTAGTAGAAGACGTTATGTCTTTGCGATATCACTCACGAGTAGAAGGGGCGGTAAACCGAACGACGAAAGGCTCTCTTTCAAAAAGATCTCCATTATCCGGGTACTCAAAAGAATCCACGACGGTCATCTTGTCTGCCCTGACCAAGAAATAATTAGAATGAAATACAAATAAGTAAGCAATTGAAAAGTAGATGAGGCGGAGATATCAGGACGTAATTGTAAAACAAGAAATATGTAATGTTGAGCGATCATTTGTTTAAAATGGCTGTAGAAGCATAGCGCGATTAGTGACTCAAACCTTGAACCTAGTAGAGGTTCGTGGTGAAATAGAGGTCCACACCCGAGTATAAATATATATTTGTTGGGTTCACAGTGAAAATTCAGAAATACCACCCGATGAGGCTCACTCTTCTCTTCATATTAGTTCATGACTCTAATGCTCTAAGCCATCGTTTTGAATGTTCAAATTAAGTATTAAGATTCTTTCAATATACGAGGACGGAAATGAACGCTGTGAAACTGGACTAGGTCTAATTGTTTTGTCAACATTGACACATTTGGAGATTTTTTTTTTTTTAATTCACAGGAAATATCAATAAATTTGTAAACGCCTTTTCTGATATTCTTGCGGACATGTAGTGTCTTTTGTAAAAGCTTTCCACATAATAGTTATTTCGATTAAGTAATTAAGGAGGAATAATGTGTCGCTATTCATATGAATTTGGTGAAAGTGGGGGTAAATATTTTAAGTTGTCTTACTTGAAGAAGTATGCATACTGCTCTTTGTAGGAACTGCGTCCTGCTCGTGAAGAAATCACCATTTCGTATTGATCAGGTGAATAACTGATCCAAAACAGAAAAAGAATTATGAAGTCAGATAATAGAATATTGCAAATATATTAAAGATAACTGTTGACGAAAATCATCAGAGATTGGATTTAAAATCGATCCCGAAGCTTTGACTTTATACAACTCGTTAGTTGAAACGTAATTGTTTGCCTTCAAAGAACGCTTTACTTTGATCAGTGAGTAGTTGATTGGCTTTCATTAATAATTGGGATATGCATTTGGAATTAATGCTATTCATACATCACTGAAGAAACGAGAATGTATTGAATTAAATTGAGAAACAAAACAATAAAGTCACAAGGACAATTTCTTAATTACCTATTGACCTCATTGAGGAGCTCAACAATAGCCGTTCCTGAGCTGTCTCGTATCTCTTGGATCAATACCATATCGTAGAATGAGATTATCTATTGAAAAACAAAATGATATAATCCAGAAACAAAAACAAAACTAGCATTAAAACAAATAAATAAACAAACGAAAGGTCCGCCATGTATTTTCCTTTAGTCCAGACATGAAATTTGGCCATTAGAGAAACGCTATTCAAAATTTCTAGACACAAAGTCTAACGTTATGTGTGGTCTATGATACACAGGGAACACTTTTCTCTTCACTTTTAGGACAGTGGTGGGCTGCTGATTTAAGTTGTAAACAGTTATTTTGAATTAATTATCAAAGTATATAATAACATACAACCATGATCATGCCTATATAATGAAACAAAATAATAATAACCTGTTTCAAAACGTTGACTACTTCAGGCTTTCCCATTTTGCTTTTCCCCATCGTCTGGATATTGAAGGCTGCTATCTTCAGTGTTGCAGATACAGAAGACAGGCAGATAGCAGCGAAAATCAAACCTAAAATCGCTCCTCGAGCCATCGTTACAAATTCAGTTTCGTTTGAAAGGTAGAACAAAAGGACCAGGCAGTTTGGAGACGAGGCCTATTCCAGAATATCCCGTTTGAAAAGGCAACGTCGCAACTGCTTCTTCCCGATAGTGAGCAGTGGTATTCATTCTAAAATGTTAGATTTCATAATCATATTAATCGCCTTAGTAACTAACAAAAAGAGGATCAACGGATTATTGACGCATGTCTGATAATGCATCGAGATAATCCACGTCACAATTTTGTATGGAAGTAGAATTGCTGATAAAAGTTAATTCATTTGCAGGGTCATATACGAATTAAATTTGAACGCCTCTTAGACTAATTATTCTCATATTGCGCATTGCTGAAAGCCCTCATTTACATAATCATATTCGGTCTACACAGCGGAGAGAAATGTTGTTATTTTCTACCACACAGTGATATTCTCATCAGTTGCTGTATTCTGCTGAGGCTTCCTGTGTAATGTATCAGCATACATTTAATAAATTATGAAATATGTTAAATACCCTTTTCTGCTTATTATCCAACAAACTATAACCGTATTTGAGGAACCCACCCCCTCGTCAGATACACCCAGTGGCTGACATCGTAGTAACAATTTCTAAATCTATTAGATACTGCACTCTTAACAAATTCTTGAATATTCCCCACCTTTCCTCCGTTTTCCATTTATTTATAACTATCATAATTCGTCGAGGCTAAAATGATTCTCCCTCATTTTGGTAGTTTGTTTAATAAAATGTCACAGCTTGTTATGCAGTATTCTAACTTTGATGGTTTTGGGGTGTGGTCAATATTCCACGTCTCATTCCTAAAGGATAAAGATCCGATTGACCTATCTATCACGATAAAAGCACGACATATAATTGGACAGAAGGTACTGCAGCATCCCATATAAACAAAGACAAATGGGAGAGAGAGCATGATCTGATCATGTGTTGACCATGCACTGATCATGCATATTTTAGCCAAAATTATTTCCTGATACCCAGGGGCGTACGCAGGATTTTTTCAAGGGGGGGGGGGGGTCAAGGGGGGGGGGGGGTAAGCGGACACATTTTTTTTTTTTTTTGGTCTCGAAATTTCATAATTTGACATTTTTTGTCGTTGGGGGGGGGGGGGGGGGTAAGGTCACCTTATTTAGGTTAACCGTGGGTATTATTATTATTTTTTTTTTTTTAATAATAAAAAAAAAAAAAAAAACCCCAAAGGGGGGGGGGGGGGGTTTAGGTTTTTTATGGGGGGTTTACATACATAAAAATACCAAAGGGGGGGTTTGAACCCCCAAAACCCCCCCCCTGCGTACGCCCCTGCTGATACCTTGCTCCTTCTTGTAAGTTTGATAAAAAAAAATTGTTTGATAGAGTGTGAGCTTAACTTTTTTGAGATTGTTCTTCATAATGGCCAAAAAAGCAACGAAGCCACTCCCACAGCAACACGCCTGTTATGATTAACAAGATAGTGAACTACGAGAACTCAGCTCAACTATAAGTTTATAAAGACTTGTTTCATATGACTCAAGAAAACTAACAAGAAGGTATCATTTAATTATCAATTATATGTCCAGATGATGTGCATTTCATTACCAATAAACATATAATCTATCTCTACAAATTTGTTATGTTTGGGGCTTTGGGTCACTCTTTTTAACGCCCCACCATGTAATTTAGGGGACGGGACACCACTCCAGGTAAACCTTAAAGCTCTTTGTTTAAGACTAATCAAAGAACCAGAGTTGTGAAGAAGGAGCGCTCACATAACTAAAAGTAGGGTCGCTACCGAAACAGGGCTAACACAGCCGTACAAAATAGATAAAACAAACAACAATTGACATGCGGACGCTTAAAGCTGGCGCTAAACTTAACAGATAAAATGAAGCTTAAATGGGGGTGTGGTGAAAGGGGGTGTGGTGTGGGTGGGCTAGAGGGGGGGGGGGGGTGAGAATGTTGTGATAGGATGGTAATATGTAACTTTAAACCTTCCTCTACTGTTATTTTGATTATACACTGTTACATGCAAGACTTTCTTCTTTTTTTTCCCTCTATGTTCATTGATTAATGTAACTTATGAAATGTCTTGTATCAAAGATCTTGTTTTATATTGCTTATCTTGATAATTTCTTGCTATGTAAATTTCTTGCTATGTGAAATTATGAGGAAGGAAATAAAATATCATTTAAAACAAAAATTAAATGGAAGGCCCGGCCCATTTTCGAGTTGATTGGAATAAATGGAGAGAAGAAAAAAAGAGCGGTGAAAGTTTCATCAAAATCGGATGTAAGAAAGTTTTTCCAAAGTTCGCATATATTCATTAACAATGACAATTATGTACCACATAGACAGTATGCAAATTAGCGAGTTGATGATGTCATCACTTACTTTTCTCTATCTGTTTTGTAAAATAAAATAAAATAACAAAAATAGCACTTTTCTGTTCTGGGAATGTAAAACATGGCTTTAATCATCATAGAATACTTGCAAAAAAAAGCACCATTACTGTCACTTATTTTAATATACAGAGAAAAGTTATAAATTAACTTGATGAACAGGTTTGTTTGAGAAAAGGAAAAACTTGAAATTTCACAAAAACATATGGGGAATAGAGAGGGGATGACATCATAAACTCGTTCATTCGCAAACAGCCTATTTGATACATATTACTGTTTCATGAAATTGTGCGACACTTTGAAATTCCATAACCTTTTTATTTTTGTCCGATTTCAATGAAACTCTCGCCGTTTGGTTTGTTCAATTTGTCTTTATTTGTTCTGTTCAACTTGCAAACGGGACGGACTTACCCTTAAAGGTAATACAAAGTTTTGGGAAATTTTGAAAATTGGGTGGATAGTGATTCTTTACAATTTTGATATATTTGGATGCCCCTGTCGATGTATTATAAGCACTAGAAAATTTAGCCCCTAAAACACTTCTGCTTTCGAGAAAAATTAAATATAAAAATTTTGATAAATTTCAAATAGCGCCTTCGGCCGTAAAATAGTAGCTGCGACCATTAAAATCTCAGAATATGTAGATGTGATATATAATTTCCAACGGGAATAGCTAAATAGCTTTATAGCTCAATTAATATCTTGACCTTGAGAGGGAGCTATACAACAAAGAGTTTATTATTTACAATACACCAGTTTACAGTTGTGTGCGCCATTTTAAACAAAGCCAATGACCTAGAGGTCATGTATTTATGCGTAAATTAAGATTGCGCCCATGCAAATTTTGATGATATCACTGCCTACGCGCTGCGTTGTGCGCGCACATCATTATTTGCATGGGCGCAATCTTAATTTACGCATAAATACCTGAGGTCAGAGGTTATTGGCCCCAATTTTTGGGCCAATAACCTCTGACCTCTGTCTGCGCATGCGCACTGATACAACTGTAAACTGGTGTATTTCATAATTCTAGATTCGATTTCAACCGCGACAACGATCACTGAATATTGTAGGATCGCATATGCTTCCAATATGTCCATTTGAACCAAATTCATGACCCCATACCAAAACTTTGTATTACCTTTAAGAATAACACATAACATAACATAGCTTTAAAGTTATGATTTGTATGGCGCCGGTAGATAAACTAAACGATGTTTTAATACCAATAAATCAAATCAAATCAAATCAAATACAGCTGTAAATATTGTAAGTCCACTGAAGAGTAGTTGAATGGTGCAAAAGTTTAATTTTTTTTTGTCACGTGTAATTAAACGGGGTGTTAATTGATGATTGTTCCCGTATGTATTTCAGAATAAAATAAACTAAAAATTTAAAACACTTAAAGCTTTTGTTTGAAATAAACTTCAGACAAATTATTTATTTTCATATCTTGACATAATATATACAACGAAGGAACCAATCTAAAAAAGAAAATATTGAATATGCAAAGGAAGATAGCCTGCACGACTTAATTGCGTTTATAATAAGAAACATAGGGGAAAGTTCTTAACAAAATGATAGATGTGCATGTGAATAAGATAATTCAAACAATAAGTTCCTTAAAACGCGTGTTAAAAATATAATGCCCCAATAAGAGAGTATAGTATATACACTGGAAAAGATAAGTGAACTCCGTTAAACGTATATAAACACTTTTAAAATGCATTTAACAATATACAGTATAGAAATTAAGATTCACAACAACAGCAACAACAACAAAGGTTTATAATTTTCGGATTACAGATATACATCTATTTGAGAGGCATGTAAAAAATGCAAGGCTTGCTGATATGCCTAATTTTGGAACCTTAGGGAATACTGCCAGCTGATGTTTTTAATCAAATTTAGTTTGAAAGCAAGACTTTGGGCTATTTTATTTATTATTTATTTAACAGGGTGGTCTCATTTCAAGTCCATTTCAAAGAGCCCTGCATTCACATAAAAACACGTACAATAAAAACATGAATTCAACACATATATACAAAGGTAAAATTATACATGGCATCGAAAGTAAAACTTTGGGCTATTTTGGCGAGCTAAGTTTTAATACCCAAATGCGCAGATATAAATCAAAGTTCTTATACAATTTAAAACATTCTTTTCCTGCAATTGACCTATGCTTTTTACAAAGACGTGAGGTTTTAAATATGATATTTCAAAAAATACTTACATTAGTCTGTATCTGACATATTGTAACCACAATCACAATGAGTACAACCATTTTCATGACAATGCTAATCATCATCCAGACTGTAAAAGTCAACTTATTATTTTGATATTTAACATATTTACAAAGCCATCTTCAAATAATCATAAGTGGGGGTTAACATACTGTTCCTGATATTACTAAGTTTTTCTTTCTAAAAACGTGGCATGAAATTCACATTCTTACTATTAAAAAAACTCGCCCAAAACAAAAAACGAAAACAACATTTCGAATTCATCAACATTGGTGGTCAAATGAACGATTTCCGGGATTGACATAATAATATACAATAGTAAATAAAAAAAATATTGTATTAGGAAAATAGCATAATCTTATATTTCAAAAGAATATTGGTTATTAACAACAACAAAATGTAAGAGGACACTTTTTTTTTTGGGGGGGGTCTCAAAATTTGAAAATTTGACATTTTGTTCCGTTGGGGGATAAGGTCACCTTTTTTAGGTCAGCCATTGGAATATTTTTTTTTTTTTTTTTATTACAAAAAAAAAAAAAAAAAAAAAATCAAAAGGGGGGGGGGGGGTTTCACAAAAATCATACACAAAACATACACATAAAAAAACTCAAGGGGAGGGGTTTAACCCCAAACACCCCCCCCCCCCTCCCCTGCGTACGCGCCTGGGTAATTATCAGAACTTTCGTCAAGCACGCTTTCATAATCATGCGCCATATAAACTGGATTTGTCCTGTAAATATGCTCCTCGGCAAAATGCTGGGAGCTCCGTAGCCCTCGGCTGTAGACATGCCAAGCTTCCCTTGTATAGCGCACATCACCTGACATTCTTGTCTGCTTTTCAGCCTCTTCAAGCATCTTCTTGTTGTTCTCATACTGAATCTTTCGAAAGCTGTAAAAAAAAAATGTCCACATTTTATAGTTCACAATTAAATTATTCTTCAAGTTTCGTATTTTTCAAAGTATGTGAAAATTGATTTTGCCCGATGTATATGTCTTGAGAATGTTACATAGTAAAGCTTACATTTAAAAGTCTTTAGCAAAACCTTTAATTTAACTAGTCCATCTTTCATTTTTGAGTCACACGAAGAATACAAAAATACATCAAATTTGCAAGCGGTAATTTAGTTGTTAACTGTATACATCAAGGATAATACCCAACCTATGACCGAATGACGTGAATAGAACGAAAAAGAAGAATAGAGTTGAGAAGGAAATGAAATAAAGAGAACTTGGAGACAACGAGGAGGATACGGAGTGAGATAGTGAGATGGATAAGAAGTTCCGGGTTTTGGAGGCAATAATTTAAAAAGCCGTATCAGCTATCTGTTTACTAGTTGGAGGGGCGGTACGTGTATTACTAGTGGCCGAGCGAGTATTGTATATGGATGAATGGGGTAGATCAACTACATGTAGGTATGCCGGGGCTTGATTATTGAGACATTTGTAAGAGTTACAATTATCTAGACGATACATCACCAGAGGTCTGACGGCTCTGTGACAAGAATCTGTCTCTTTAAACTTTCATATTTTACTAAAGTTACGCTAAAGTGGAAATTAACAGAATTTTATGTTTTTTAAAACATGAACTAATTATGCATGTGCTTGTCAATGGCAACATGCAATATGCGAACAGAAATTATGATGCTTCATAGGAAGAATGTTATAGCACCCCGGTTATGAAGAGAAGCAAAGTGATTCCAACAGAATATACTTAATTCACTGATATAACATACTGACCTCCGCTTGACCACCAGATGCGCCACTGCCATAGTTGTAGAGAGGAGCAGAAAGATGCCGACTATCACAGCGATTATCAAGACATACCAGTACTCAGCCAGCCATCTCTGAATAAGGTAAGTTTTTATTTGTCACTGAACGTTATTTGTACAGAATGGTATAAGTCAGCTTTTAAGCATTCAACATTTACTTCGGTAATAATCACGACAAAAGAGTCATTAAAGCAATGTGTACAGAACATTTCCCTTCTCAAGATTTATATACATGTACTATATTTCTCACTTTTTTTGTAAGAAGAGAAATAATGAACTTTCTGTTTCTATTTTTTTGGTGCGGTCTCTGGGCAAATTTATAAATTCATCTTGTAAATAGTCTGATATTTTGTTTTGAAGCAAACAGTAGTATCTGTATTTACCTGTTGTTGTGGTTTATGTTCAATAACTTCGCCGAAGTAGAATTCGAATGACTCTCTATTGTTAAGATCTTCTTCTGGAACAGCGTTTAATACGGCGCTGATCTCATCAGATGTGAGTAATGTCCCATTCACAAACACAACGAAAGTAACACCAGTGATTTCTTCTCTAAAAGAAATAAAAAGAAAAGGAAAAGAAAGAAAAGAAAAGGAAAACACGTGAATAATTTGTAAGACACACAAGCATCCAGTATATAGTATGCTAAATTAAGCCAAGAAGAATTTAAGAATGATGATGATGGTCATAATGTTGTTGATGATATGGAGGAGGAGAAAGATAGGCCTAAAAGATGAGGATGATGATGAACGATGATGAGGAATGATGATGAAGAGGAGGAGGAGAAGGAGGAGGAGAAGGTGGAGGATAAATGATGATGATGATGATGATGAAGAATAAATGTTTATGAGGATTCGCAATGGCCCCGTGATAGAGCTGTGCTTTTGTAACCGGGATGTCCCTGGTTCGAAACCAGGTCGATGCGCTAGTGCCCCTTCGTAAGGCACTTATCTTCAATATAAAATAGGGCATCTGTTAGGAAGTATCCTTTTTGCTGACAAGCTAAGGAAAGGACTCAAAGTCGTCGGTCCTCCGATTCCTTACAAACATACACATGCCTTATTAGCAGTCAGGTAAAACAAATTAACCACAAAAGATGAATGATGATGATGATGATGATAATGATAATGGTGATGATGTGATGACGAGGAGGAGGATGATAAATTATGACGACGGTGATGACTACGTTGATGATGATAGAACATGTGAAAGTGACAAGGGTGGTGATATCATATATAGTTATTTAGGATATGTTTTCTTGTCTTGTTTTTTTTCCTACTACTGATGACCTTCTGTATGTACCTTATTTATTTACTAGACTGACTTGATTTGTATTACTACCAATCGCAATAATCATGATTATTGTATTTCTTATGTATTAGTTATTTGTGATTTGTGAACAATTTAGCCACTGACTACTAACCTTTATCTGCAATAGATCATGAATGAATACATTAACAAAAACATCTCAGCTGATTCTATTCTTAGACAATATTCAAGTATCTAGCGAATTAAAAATACAAAAATAAACAATAAACAACGGGAAAACCCCTTTAGTTTAAAAAAACAATTGTCGAAGGTCATGGAATACATCTCATCAGAAAGAAGATGGTAATGACTGATGGATGTCAATCATGCTCACCCTGTTTCCGGCGTATAGTAGTTTGATGTTTCTATGATGAGAACAGTGACGTTTACACCATATACGTCAGAAAATAGTGCTTCCATGTCTCGTACAAAGTATTCCCGATCGACGCTTGAGCCATAAATAAATAGACTGTAAGAGTAAGACTCCGAGTCTAGAAGTATATCCAATAAAAATAGGTATACAGATTACAATAGTAAAACAAAATTGATAGTAGAGTACATAAAGAGACATTGAAAAAAGAAGAAATAAGGAGTGACCGAGAGATAGATGGAGAAAGAGAAGGAGAGAAAGGTGGGTGTGGTTTCGTGAATATTACAAGAAGATATCATTTGGGCTAGCAGTAAACTATTAACAAATTGCCATCGCTAACCCATTCTATTATCTCGTCATACTCCTGTAACTTTATGGATTAAAACAAATTAAGAAAGTGTGAAGAAAACAAAACAATTCTTCCCATAGAATTACTTCTACGAACGAATCCAAATCTTCTTACCTAATTCGCATAGTTCACCAATAAAACCTTTTGGGCATTGGCATGCCCATCGTCCGGCGTCATCACTCTCACATTCTCCTCCATTGAGACAAGGGGTGGATGTACATGGATTAATAACATCACACTTCACTCCTGAGAAGCCATCCTCGCAAAGACACCTGAAAATACGTAAACAAGCAATATTGCAAATAAGTCGAAAAAACAAAGTACAAGTACGTAGGACAATTTACTAGAAAAGCGCATACAACAATATTTCACGTTTCTTTGTTTAGAGTTTATTGTTGTTTCGTTTTTTATTTTATTACAGTTTCAAAGTGCTAATTATTTTGTTCATGCTATTGAATGGTTGAGAACCAGTCTTTAGAAACTAGGTATCAAGAATTAAACTTTGCATCCTACCTGTAAGCATCTGAACTGAGTTTGTCGCATGTTCCTCGTTCACAGGGAGATGAAACACATGGATCAGTGATGATGTCACAACGTTCCCCTTCGTATCCCTCAAAACATAGGCAGGCAAAAGATCCTACAGTGTTTTCACATATCGAGTTGCCAGGACAGACATTTTCGATGTCGCATTCATCAATATCCGAAGAGCAATATTCATCGATATATCCCGGCAAACAGGTGCATTGGAATCCTGGTGATAGGTCAGAGCAGGAAGCACCATTCAGACACGGAAGGTCCAAACAGGCATTGACAATACTTTCACAATAAGATCCTTCATAACCGGGACTACACGTACAATTAAAACCATTCAAGTAATCAGTGCAGCCTGCACCATTTTGACAAGGATTACTTGTACATTCATCTATTTCTTGTTCACAATATGATCCTTCATAACCTGGACTACACGTACAATTAAAACCTTCTAAGTAATCGGTGCACGTTGCACCATTTTGACAAGGATTACTTGTACATTCATCAATTTCTTGTTCACAATATGATCCTTCATAACCTGGACTACACGTACAATTAAAACTATTCAGGTAATCAGTGCAGTTTGCACCATTTTGACAAGGACTACTTGTACACTCATCAATTTCTTGTTCACAATATAATCCTTCATAACCTGGACTACACGTACAATTAAAACTATTCAGGTAATCAGTGCAGTTTGCACCATTTTGACAAGGATTACTTGTACATTCATCAATTTCTTGTTCACAATACGATCCTTCATAACCTGGACTACACGTACAATTAAAACCTTCTAAGTAATCGGTGCACGTTGCACCATTTTGACAAGGATTACTTGTACATTTATCGATTTCTTGTTCACAATATGATCCTTCATAACCTGGACTACACGTACAATTAAAACTATTCAGGTAATCAGTGCAGTTTGCACCATTTTGACAAGGATTACTTGTACATTCATCAATTTCTTGTTCACAATATGATCCTTCATAACCTGGACTACACGTACAATTAAAACTATTCAGGTAATCAGTGCAGTTTGCACCATTTTGACAAGGATTACTTGTACATTCATCTATTTCTTGTTCACAATATGATCCTTCATAACCTGGACTACACGTACAATTAAAACCATTCAAGTAATCAGTGCAGTTTGCACCATTTTGACAAGGATTACTTGTACATTCATCTATTTCTTGTTCACAATATGATCCTTCATAACCTGGACTACACGTACAATTAAAACTATTCAGGTAATCAGTGCAGTATGCACCATTTTGACAAGGATTACTTGTACATTCATCTATTTCTTGTTCACAATATGATCCTTCATAACCTGGACTACACGTACAATTAAAACTATTCAGGTAATCAGTGCAGTTTGCACCATTTTGACAAGGATTACTTGTACATTCATCTTTTTCTTGTTCACAATAAGATCCTTCATAACCTGGACTACACGTACAATTAAAACCTTCTAAGTAATCGGTGCACGTTGCACCATTTTGACAAGGATTACTTGTACATTCATCTATTTCTTGTTCACAATATGATCCTTCATAACCTGGACTGCACGTACAATTAAAACCATCCAAGTAATCAGTGCAGTTTGCACCATTTTGACAAGGATTACTTGTACATTCATCTATTTCTTGTTCACAATATGATCCTTCATAACCTGGACTACACGTACAATTAAAGCCATCCAAGTAATCAGTGCAGTTTGCCCCATTTTGACAAGGATAACTTGTACATTCATCTATTTCTTGTTCACAATATGATCCTTCATAACCTAGACTACACGTACAATTAAAACTATTCAGGTAATCAGTGCAGGTTGCACCATTTTGACAAGGATTACTTGTACATTCATCTATTTCTTGTTCACAATATGATCCTTCATAACCTAGACAACATGTACAATTATAACCATTCAGGTAATCAGTGCAATTTGCACCATTTTGACAAGGATTACTTGTACATTCATCGATTTCTTGTTCACAATATGATCCTTCATAACCTGGAGTACACGTACATTTAAAACCATTCAAGTAGTCAGTGCAGTTTGCACCATTTTGACAAGGATTCCTTGTACATTCATCTATTTCTTGTTCACAATATGATCCTTCATAACCTGGACTACACGTACAATTAAAACCATCCAAGTAGTCAATACAGGTTGCACCATTTTGACAAGGACTACTTGTACACTCATCAATTTCTTGTTCACAATATAATCCTTCATAACCTGGACTACACGTACAATTAAAACTATTCAGGTAATCAGTGCAGTTTGCACCATTTTGACAAGGATTACTTGTACATTCATCTATTTCTTGTTCACAATATGATCCTTCATAACCTGGACTACACGTACAATTAAAACTATTCAGGTAATCAGTGCAGTTTGCACCATTTTGACAAGGATTACTTGTACATTCATCTATTTCTTGTTCACAATATGATCCTTCATAACCTAGACTACACGTACAATTAAAACTATTCAGGTAATCAGTGCAGGTTGCACCATTTTGACAAGGATTACTTGTACATTCATCTATTTCTTGTTCACAATATGATCCTTCATAACCTAGACAACATGTACAATTATAACCATTCAGGTAATCAGTGCAATTTGCACCATTTTGACAAGGATTACTTGTACATTCATCGATTTCTTGTTCACAATATGATCCTTCATAACCTGGAGTACACGTACATTTAAAACCATTCAAGTAGTCAGTGCAGTTTGCACCATTTTGACAAGGATTCCTTGTACATTCATCTATTTCTTGTTCACAATATGATCCTTCATAACCTGGACTACACGTACAATTAAAACCATCCAAGTAGTCAATACAGGTTGCACCATTTTGACAAGGATTACTTGTGCATTCATCGATTTCTTGTTCACAATATAATCCTTCATAACCAGGACTACACGTACAATTAAAACCATTCAAGTAATCGGTGCAGTTTGCACCATTTTGACAAGGATTACTTGTACATTCATCTATTTCTTGGTTACAATATGATCCTTCATAACCTGGACTACACGTACAATTAAAACCATCCAAGTAATTAGTGCAGGTAGCATCATTTTGACAAGGATTACTTGTACATTCATCTATTTCTTGTTCGCAATATGATCCTTCATAACCTGTACTACACGTACAATTAAAACCTTCTAAATAATCAGAGCAGGTTGCACCATTTTGACAAGGCTGAAGTTCACACTCATCTACTTCGTCATCACATTGGATTCCTGTAAAACTTGATGTACACGAGCAATTATACCCATTGATGAGATCGTTGCAAGTAGCACCGTTTTGGCAGGGGTCGTTTAGACAGTCATCCGTATTTGTTTGGCAATCCGAACCCTCAAATCCGTCGCTGCAGTAAGCTATGTATTCGACGATTAACCTGTTTTGAAAGAAAACCGTACACTGTGTTTCTGTTTGAATTTAAAGCATTTAAAGGAAATAATTCCTGCCCGGTACCCATTTACTTCACTTTGGTGGAGAATGTAAAATATAGAGAATTGCTGTATTTTGGTTGTTGGGTGCGGATTGCGTGCATTAGTCGTTGCTGGGCTGGACGAGCATTATAGCTTGCCCGGTCTAGCGGCGGCTGATGTATATGCGGTCCGCGCCCTGGCTATTGGAGTGCAGTGTCCATCGGCGGGCGAGTGTGAAAGCTTGTTGGTATTTCCATTCGACTGCATTTGAGTGCGTTGCGGAAGTGACCTATTGGCATCTCATATTATTATGTGAATGTTCTTTAGAAATTTGTTTTGTAATTCGTTTTGTAATTCATGTTCATTTCAGTTTTTAACTGCCAGACACGAAGATGTTAATAAAATCCATTTATCTATCTATCTAATATCTTTTTAGAGGACATTAGTGCTTGTATGACAGGGATTCGAACCACGTACCTTGTGCTTCATAGTGCGTGGACTTATCCACTAGACACACCATTCTCTCGTTGATTTGTGTATTATAAAATATGTTTAATTACAATGAATATGCTCCCATTTCAATTCCAAAAATTATACTTTAATCCTTAAAAAACTTACTGGGTTGTCCTGCTACTGACTCCTCGAAGTGTAGCAGGAACAGTGACAGCAGGTATGTTGTCAAGACTCAGAACATAGTTATCAATCTTTTCTTTTTCAAGCGATCCATCGTAATCCTCTGCGGTAATGTTAATTTGTAGACCAGATTCCTGCAAAGGATTTCATCACAATGAGGTAAAATTGTCACTTCGGTTGCAATATTTGCAAAAACGAAATGTTTTATTCCTGTGTATTTTATGCATGTATTCAAATGTCTTAGTGATGTATTATTAAATCATTCATTTTGATTAAATTCCAGGGGAAATTAAAAAATATAAAGATACAAGGGAAGTAAGAAATAAATTCTACTAGGGCCCGAGGATAGACACAAGAAAACTAGTCCCTGTTAAAATGGTTCTCCTCTCGATATATGCATGTCATTCAAAAATCCCGTCATGGTTTTCCGCAACTTGGGTGAAAATGCCACTTTCAAAAGGATATTTGAGAACATGGTTAAACCCCAATCTTTAAAACAAATTAACATAATGGTCTAATAATTATGGGTCCTCCGGATACTTTGTTATCTTATCACTTTCCTGATGATTATATTATACCTACCGGCCATTTATCAATAGTGACTAAAATCGGATTAGGAAGCAGTCCAAGCGAATCGGGTTCGAAAGTAATATCTGTGACATCCTCATCAATCTGCCCGGTGGTTGCATCAAAATAAGAACATGTAAGAGAGCTGAGAAAAGGAAAGAAAGATGTAAATCGGAAATCTTTCGTCTCAAGTCATACAGCAAACATAATAAAGACGTTTGGAACCGGCCAAGTTTGGACGAAGGAATCTCTTATACTATTATTTAATTATCCTTTTATTTGTTTTCATATGAAAGCATGTTTTTATCCCTTTGAAAACTTGAAGATACTTCCTTTTCTTATGATTATGCGATTAAGGGATGCACGGTACAGCTTAATGTGAGGTAAGTAGAAAGCGAGATCCTGCAAAATGCAATTTTATTGTCATGGTGTCTTCTTTTCTACATAGCATTTGCATTTTCGTGTTTGATTTAAAAAAAGTTGCTCTTGTTGCAACATGTTCTCCATGTCGCCACTACACATTGGTATTATTTTTTAACTATGAATGTTTCTTTACATTAATTTCCATTTTTTAAGGATTATAGGCTTACTGTTCCAATAAGAAAAATAGAACCAGCCACCAATACAGAGCATGTAAATGTCACACGTACGTATGCTAACTACGCGTTGAATAGACACTTCGTGAACGGATATTTTGAATAATTTACATTTTTTATATTGAGATTTAAGTACCGGAACGTGATTCATTGCTACTTCTTATCTTATGTCGTATATTAATAAAAGGTCTCACCCCCTGTATAACTCACTCATCATCGAGGCAAATATGGAAACCAGGGTCACAAGGGGAATCACAACCAGGTAGTCCATTTTGTTTAGGATCGCAACAGGTACCATCTGCTTTTCTTGTATTACCGTCATAGGAAGTAAGTTGGAGCTCAAATTCTATCGATGATGTTGCTAGAGGCAAATACGTCAACTGTACGATGGCGATAAAAGATATTTATTTAAATAAAATTATGGTAAAATAAATGATTTCGTGAAGAGAAGCGTAGTTGCGTATTTCTTTTCCTTTTTTAAATATTTTTTATAAACGGTGTGTTAGCTCGATAAAACAGGAACAACTTCACCCAAGCAGCAATTATTCCCCTGTAGTTTGTCTGGTTTGGAGTGTAGCATTGTATGGCTCTGAAACTAGGACAATTAGGAGAGCAGAGGAAAGGTTGGTTGACAGTTTGGAAATGCGGATATTGAGATGAATGAAAGGACTTAGATGGAGGCATAATATGGTCACCAATAAAGTAGTGCTGGATAGAGTTGATGTACAAAGAAGTTTGAGAAAAACAATCTGGAGACGGAAGCAAAAAAACTAAATAGGATACATCTTACGGGGGATAACATGCTCAGACAGATGGGCGGAACATAGGGAAGATGAAGACCAAGACGACTTGGTAGGTGAAAGTTCATATGACATAATATGAAGAAGAAGGCTAAAGATAGAGAGGGATGAAGAAAGAACTAAAGAAGGCTGTTGTGTGTGTGGGCCTGCCTTTGGCAGAACATCTGAGAGAATGTATTTCAATGTAGCCCTCCCCTCCCCCAAACAACAAACAACATGAAAATGATTTAGGAAATGTGGCGTAAAATTCAAAGAATTTTAGAAATCACAAGAAATATATTTACAATTCCTTAATTGAATAATCTCAAGTGGAATTCCACTAATTAAATTTCTAACCGATAAACTACTTACCATAAGAAATAAAGTAGCTCCTATAATAAAGATTGCGAGTAACATGTACTGAGCCATTATTCTCGTCCGTGTTGTAAAGCTTTGTTTTCAAAATGCATAGCACAATCCGAAGTAGATGAGGTCATTTGCACTAGTGTTAAAATTCCTATTCTATCTCTGTTTTCAGTTTTGTATATACGAAGCATCTTCAAAGTGATTAAAATCTGTCCAATAACACTTTAAGCTTGACAAAGAGCTTCTATATTACGCAATCTATATGGATTGAGGAGCTATTAGCTAATCATCACGTAAGATAGTCCACTGAGGAAAAGATGACGGGGTCAACATAAGGACAACATCGTTATTTCATTAACAATGGTATGTGCAATCAACTGTAACTCTTTCCCACTGCAACCCCCCTCTCTTTCTCTCTCTCTCTATCTCTCTCTCTCTCTCTCTCTCTCTCGTCTTTACCTATCATTTTTCTCTTATCTTTGATATACTTTGCATCACCAGGTTCTCCCTAATTATATGTATTTTGCTAGTACACCTACTTAATTGTCAGGTCTCACAAGGCATCATGTTTTGCTTATCTTGGAGCCCTGGCTAGTTCTGTTTAAAATAAGTTCATATCTCTTTATGTATGCTTTAATGTATACTGATTATATATTGTATTCAGAACTGAAAATTAAGGATATGATCTACATATAAGGTTTGTAACATGGAAAGAAAACAAAATATTGAGAAAAGGAACATTTCGTTGGAACTGGAAGAAAAATGAAAATATTGATAATAAGATTTAGAAAGAACGAATGCAAAGCGACATGTACCTGTATATCAAAGGACATTTCAAAGTAGAGAGTTGTGTGTGAAAACAAATATGAATCGCAAAAAATGATGATAAACTATAAAATGAAGAACATATTTTTATAGGAAATGTTATCACAAATCTAATCCATCATTAAGACTTTTTCACAAGTTTTGGGATAGCTAAATTAAAAAAAAAAAAAAAATATTAATTGGGGGTGGGGGTGGGTGTAATTTTACGTCAAATGGACTAAAGATTTGGCGGTATTGGATTCTATATAAACCAAGGGGGGAAATAAATGGAATGGTTCCTTTCCACCGAAACCTTGAGATTCTGAAATTTTGTTCGACCTTCGTTATTTACTTGTAGAATATAGATAGCGTTATCAGTTGCTGTGGTGTTATTCTAATAACAAGAAAACAGACAGTTCTCAATCGGATTACCGGAGATACGACATTTTATTTCCTATATATATATATATACTTTTCGCTGATCTGTGGATAAAGCATAGCAGCGGTACACAAATACATGTCATTTTAAGACGTCATACAATCTTCGCTTTCAAATAACTCTGTTTTTTTTTCTTTTTACAAAGAGGAATATGCACAAGGGGAAATTAAAAAAAAGGGAGAGATACGATACAGGGAAGAGCGAGAGACAAGGGCAGAAACAATATTTACAAAGCATTTCTAACTTGCCTAATGCTGTATCTCAATCAGTTTTTGTAATTGAGAAAAATGAAAAGATTAAATCTCAGAATCATAGTGGCTTGACTATAGTTTCTCTCTGACTAAAAATAATCATTGTAAAGGTTTTGAGGTTCTGTGAAGCAACGAAATTGCGAACGTAACATTGTGCGATATTTGGACATTCTTAGCTTTGGAATACACACAGAGTGTATGGTTCTATGAATCCCCACATCATGTATATTATACACATTATTTCTTTTTAATAGAGCTCTATCCTACGTTACCCCTTGCCATCTTCAATATTACCATTTCACAGACGCCTTTTGAAATCTTGTTTATCGATAAATCATTGAGTACACCTGGTTAAATAACATCCCATGATACGAAATCATTTGTTGTCCGTAAACAAGTCTTTATTTGGTTGATGCTTACTTCGTTATCCAGGTCGGCGCATGGTCGGAGTTCATTTTTTCCGACCCGGCATCACATTGTTCTTACAGGTCAGTCTAACCTTGATAACAACTGATTGGCCCGGAATCAGAAAGAAGAAGGAATGGATGGTGAAATTAATTTAAAAAAAATTAAAGTTGCTTCCCAGGAAGCTATGAGCTATACTTAAAATAATCGCGGAAAGATCGGTGAGAGAATAAATACAATGCTATAAACAAGATGGAGTCGAGAAACGATGAATAGTGCCCCATTTACTTTGACTCTCTATCGAGAGGTTGGGGCTCGAATCTCTTCCTGGAGCGCATGTCCATAGACAAGGGATTTAATATACAGGTGTCATTCTTCTCGACCAAGGTTTTTTTTCCCCCATATTATATTTCTCTTTAGAAACTATGCGGCTCTGGTAACGGCTATCAAAGCCAGGGTAATAAAAGTGCAAAACACTTTTGAGGCGCGTGTATTATGTTATATCATTGGAGTTTATTGGAACTTTCATAAATGTTTTACTTGTAGAACCTGGTAAGGACAAAAGATCAAAATGTTGCCAATGTTTATCCTTTTGCTATGGTTGCTCTAATTTTTCACGGATCCCACCCCTTTAAGAGATCTGCACTGGATACCAGTACGCCAAAGAATACCAATCAACATTTTGTTGACTGTCTCTGAAGCGCTACTGGGTCATGTCCCTAGTTGTGTTGAAGAATTGTTAACACTAAGTCTCACAAAAAACCCACATCCTGCGCAGTTTCAAAGATACACCATTATTTCAAACCCCATCACATAAAACAAAATAACTTTGAGAGATCGATTATTTGCATGCGCAGGCCCCAAACTGTGGAATAACTTACAGCTAAGAATTAGGAAATCATCATCGTTGAGTACTTTAAAATAAAAACTAAAAGCACATCTCTTTTTCCATTCAACTTTATATTGTAGATTTACACACATCAGGAGCTGTTGAACGCAGTAAATATCTTTGCATAGTTTCTGCGCTTTATAAATGTTTTATGATTTTACTATTATTAGTATTATTATTATTTTTGTATTCTCTAAATTATTATTATTATCATCATCATTATATATTCCCGTACCCACAATCAACGTGTTACATAAAAAGCTGAAAGTGTTACATGTTGAATCAAAAGTCATGAGAGGATCGAGTAAAAATTAATTAAACAAATATATGGAAACAAACACAAGGTTATATCACATTGCATTTTATTCAATCCAAAAACACTTTAGTTGACATAGAATGACATATTAAACATTACTATATGCTTGTTTCAAAGATTTCAAGATATTTTCTTGTCAGCGCTTGAAGCAAAAATGATATATTCCGTTAAAAAAATGGTGCAGAGGTATAATCTAAAAGAAATATAAGATATTAATGTATTTACAATTATACTCTACATATTTACACGTACTCTCCGTTAAGATATTGTGTTATTTAGGTTTCTTTGTATGTGTTTCGAAGTTTTTACTCATGGAATGGAAATGGTATAAGAATTGTATTTATTAGATATATTACCTGCGTTATCTCTTTTTGATAAACATGCCAGAAAGATGTGTGTGTCTCGCGCCCTCCAACATACACACGACTTATAAAAAAGCAGAAATCTATTACATATCTATTGTCGCTACATATAATGACTATACTGAGGTATTTAAAAAAAAATCTACCCATCGCTTTAGATTGATTGTAGTGTATTATTGATTATAGATATACATTTGATGAGAGGAGATTAAGTGTGGGGAGATTAAATCAATAATACCGTATCATATATTACAGGGCCTTTCAATGACTATTCATGAATCTCTTTAGAGAAACCTCTATCACCCATCAAGGTTAATTAGCATGTACATGTAGTATGATATCGTCTTTATCAGATTAGTCTGCGGCTGAACATGGTGAAAAGTGACATCAAAAGATCAAAGTACAACTTACTATCGCTTTATCAACGTTTATTTATATAAAGCATGTACGGTATTGGTAAACAACCGATCCAAAGAGAGATATTAACTTCACTCTACTAGAGTAAGATCAAAATCATCATAAATAAATATTGAACAGCGAGACATCCCGTAGGTCTCCGAAGTCGATTTAGATCCTACTTTAATTTCCAATTTGACGTTCTAATTATATAAGAAAGCTATAGTGACCAATTTATTAAGAATGTTTTTGATTAGGGGTGTCTGTGAACAAATCAATGTCGTGGAGGAGAGATAAATAGTACAACTGGTGTACATCCTAACTGCGCACTTTCATTTCGGTCCGCATCATACCATAGTTATATCCATGAAGATGGTACCAAGAAGCCGAATTAGCATCAGAATTCGATGCGGTTCCTCCATCCACATAGTAAGCGTTAAGATTACTATGAAAACATGCATTGTACCACCATGCACCGTGGTAACTGTAGGCACAGTTACTGCCCCACGAGTCGTGATCTGCGTCATAGGTCGAGAACTGCGCGCCATTGTGGTAGGACAACGAATCACTAGCATCTCCATAGTAACCCCAGAAGTAGCCCCGGTAACTGTAAGAAGAGACACAGATGCGTGAATAATCTGCGACTGAAGTATTTACATAATAATTCTGGAGAACCCCCCTCCCCCTCCCCCCCAAAGACAATGAAATTCCTTTCTGGTTCATTGCTCGTCTGATTTTACTCTTTATTAGGAGATGTGACAAGTAGATAATGTATACGTGGTATATACATATAATATCTTGGTATTATTATTGCTTTACTTTTTATTATAATGATTATGATAATAATTATTATACATTAATTAAGGGGAAATAATGTATCAAGAAATGATTATTTATTCATGGTAAGACGATAATCAGTTACAGATACTGGACAATTCTGGCAAGAAATCGACAAATTTGTTGAATTTGTGCCGAAACGCTCTGAATACACAATATTCTCTTCTTCAATGTGATACTAATGGAGACCATAATGATAGCCTGGGGGGTGTTTCACAAAGATCCTAAGTAGAACTTAAAACTAAGTTGGACTTAAAAATTATGGACAGCCATTGGAGCCTTAAAATGAAATATATTCAAAAGCAGAAATTGAAGTATTTTAGACTTTTCATAAATTTCACATCAAGAACATAGAATCTCCCATGATAATAGAAAATATGAATGATTTGAATCAACATTTTATGCCATTTAAGATAACTTTTACAAAATATTTTCAAAGATGCTAATGGCTTTCCATAATTTTTAAGTCCAACTTTGAGATAAGTTCAACTTAGGATCTTTGTGAAACACCCCCCTGGTTTGAGTCAACGTACAGTGATCTTAAACAATGGTCTTCATCGTTCACCATAACATTGTTTCCTTAGCTATCAAGTATAAGATAAACAATATTGATCGACTAATCATCGAATGAGCAAGTCCCTCAACTGAAGTAAGAACAATTGCAACGTAACAAAACTAAACTAAACCAACCAACCAAACTAAGACACTTACTGGTCGTTGCTAGCGTGGCTGTAATAGTAGTATCTGGCGTAATACCAGGTGTTGCTCCAATCTTGCAAGTCTATTCGCAGATTCACAGTGCCTGAAGCCAGACGGTATATCTTCTCAAGCCCCAGCCAATACTCCCCGCTGACCGAACCAAACCCATTCACATAGTCCGACCATGTCCGATAGAACTCCACAGAACCGTCTAATCGTTTCTAAGAATACAAAATAAAGACATGCAAAAAGAAATCATAAAAACACATTGACCAATGGGTTATTGTATGCATTCCAACATAATTGCATGCAAATATAATTACAATCTTGGTATCGTAGTATCGAATACTTGAAGAAGAAAAAAATTATAAAAAAAACAAGTATTGTATTAATGTTGAAATATCTAGTGACTTCGAAAGGCCTGTTTTGGGTACAAGTTACTTTCCCCTAGCAACTTAATATACAATGTAATAATCATGTGTTTTTATAGGCGTAGCCAGCGGGCACAAGGGCCCCCTGTTCATCCGCTAACAAAGACCTCAAGAAGTGGCCCATTTGATATTACAATGCATTGACAAGTGTTATTTCCGCTCGTGTGGTAACAAATGAGGTAAATTATGGAGAAAAAGAATAGAGAGAGAGAAAGAGAGATAGAGAAAGAAAGAGTGAGGTTGGAATGTTCCCAACTACCAAAAATCACGATAAAGATGCAATGCTACCCTCAATGTGATTGATCGTTATGCTTTGTTACTGTAGATTACAGTAGACTCAAGATAACACAAACCTGGAATATTGTCCAACCGCCTCCATCATTGTCCATATCACAGTAGACATCGAAAGCTCCTGATCCGCCTGGGTTGATTTGTAACACTCCGCTAGTAGTATGACCAGCATCGTAATACTCCTTGCACGTGGAGGCTATGCCATCATAATGCACCGCTGAATAATCAATATAAAAATACGAAATTGTTTGAACAGCTACGTATGAAATGAATTAGAATAACAAAGAAAAAGACTAATATTTAGCCTTTGATGGAATTAGGCGGACATTCTGAGGAAACGAACAACAAACATATCAACATCTTTTTGGCTTAGACTTGAAGATTCATCCCAGAGCTCAATCGATAACCCCCTATCTTCATATGCTTTTTATTTCCTTCTAAATTATGGCTGACAGTTTAGTATTACGATAAAGGGTTGAGGAACTATGGATGGATCTAGAACATCGTAATACACATTGCCTTTCGCGTTTAACATCATGTCATTGTCCAAAAGGTCCAATTTGATATACTGTTTTCTATTCATCATCCCATCGAATTTGGCTACATTGATTAATAAAGGAAAGTGTGGAAGAATCTGTTCCTAAAACTCAAAGACTCTCTCAACTAGTAAAGATCGCAAACCTTGGCTGCATTTTGACGTGAGAAAATTAGGTAAGCACTCACAAAGTGTGCAGTGTTCTCCCATGAAGTCTGAAGGGCAGTCGCATTTGAACCAGGGAGGATGGCAATACTCCGTACAGGTAGCTCCATTGTGACATGTATCATCGGCATCACTGCAGTATACTTGAGTATCCTACAATTCAAGTGTATCAAAACAAAAATACATGTATGATTATTCGTATCTTATACATTAACAGCTCTTCAGTACCATAGTACACGAAATTAAACATAGTTGTACCCGAATACCGTACACAAAGACGTTGGCCCGAATTCTCAAAGGAGGTTTGTCGACAAACCCAGGTTTATGTACGTCATATGACGCGTTTTGACGCGTTTTTACAAACCTAGTTTTGTAAAAAAAAAATGCGTCAAAACTCGTCATATGACGTACATAAACCTAAGTTTGTCGACAAACCTCCTTTGTGAATTCGGGCCGTTATGTCTAAACATATTACAATTTTCACAATAATAGAATGTCCTTGAAATGAAAAAGCCCACAATATTGCTCATAACATTATTTCGGATAAAACTTTCCTCAACAGCTGAGATTTGTTATTGTAATATATATCATTTCGACCCTTGAAAACAAGAAAATAGATCAGTGCAACCTTAAGCATGGTCACACGATAATGTCATACAGTTGTATTTCAAATTTACCTTTACATTAAATAGACAGCAATAATTACAATAAACAGATACATTTTATGTCTATTGTACACGAGGTGTTATTTTAATTGCGGTCATTGATGCACGAGCAGATCCTTTGGAAGTAATCCCAGACGCCATTAATTCAAGGGAATGTACTTGGCACGAACTTGTTTGATTTGGCAATAAAGAAAATATATACGAAATCAGAAAAAGCACAAGTGAGCCATTATAGAAAAAGATAATACAACCACTGGAACGCCAGGGGAAAACAAGGTTAACGAAATAACTGTGGCAAAAGGCCTTCTGTCATAGTTCAAGTGGTTGTAGACATAAAAGTACTTGTCGTATGATATAAATCCAACAATCCATCAATCAAACAGTCAATCAAATGCGTTTTTAACAGCAATTATGATTGTCACAGCTTGCACAAAATTTAATCTAAAGTATGATCAGGCATGCATACCAGCCAATGCGACGAAGATGAGGGTTCGTAATAATTGAAACCATCACTAGATACAAAATCATTGGCGTAACTGGATTTCGTTGCGTCATTGACGTGACACAGTTGGAGGTCCGACGCAAAGTTGATGGACTGGCACTCGGCACCATGTCGTAGGCATATCGTCAGACATTCTCCCGGAGATCGTACTCCTGTGATATTTCTCGCTAGATGATTATCAAGCATCATATCCCGATCCGATTCCGTGTCACTCTGCATGTAAGCGTATGAGGAGGTGCAGGTTGAGCCATGGCTGATCCTCGTGATGACGGACAGGATGATGACGATGTACGATGTCCATCTAAGATGGGGAGCTTGTAGATAGCTTGCCATCTTGGAATACTGCCTAACAGTGTTTTTTGTGTAGAGGAACCTACAATCTATTTACAAGACTATATTGATTAAGGCGGATAGTCACAAACACCCCCTTCACGAAATCAATAATTACTTTTGTACCTATTGAATTGGGTTTGATGCGCCTCCTTCACTACATTAGTACTCCTGCCATGTTTTCCTTAATCTATAACCCGTGCATCTATAAATATATTCATCTATGTTTTTACCCTTTACCCAAAGCATATATACCGAGAAAGTGAAAGTGTCGTGGCAAAAGCGAATTAAAGTGAATCATGTCGGCGTTGCATGCGAGACGTCATAATTATTAAGAAAGAGCATATGCAAGGAATTAAGCGGTGTTTGTATTTTTCAGGTTGTATTCCACAATGGTACGTCAAAGATCGCACCGGTTGGTGACGCAGTCTCACATTAACTTAATTAGGCCTAGTAGGCAACTGTCGATCACAAGGTCACCGGTTCAAGTCCCGCCGCGGCACTAATGTCCTTTGGCAAGACATTGATCTACATTTGCCACACTCAACCCAGGTGATGTAAATGGGTACCTGGCAGGAATTAATTCCTTGAAATGCTGGAGCGCCGTAATGGCAGCTAGGCTAAAGCCGGGGTAATAATAAATGCGCCTCGGAATAGAATTTCTTGATAGACGGCGCTATAGAAATGCCTATAATTATTATTATATTAATATTATAGGGCATCAGTTTTCGATTCTTCATCATAAAGTGCGCAAACCATTGGTCTCGTAACAAAGTAGGCTTATTAATTTGGTAGCTTACATTGTTCGGCCTTCATTACTAAACAATAAAAAGCGAGGTATAGTCATTTTCATATTTCTAAGAAGGACAAAAAAGACAGGACACATGTAATAACCATTTAGGTTACTTGCGGGGCAGGAAGTATACAACCAGTCTTCATGGTAGCCAGAACTAGAGCAGCTCCATTATGCGAGGACAGCGAGCCAACACCGCTACCGTAATACACCCAGAAATATCCACGATAGCTTAATTGGTAAAAGAAGAAGGACACAACCAAATCATAGTTGTAATTGTGGATAAACTGCACTACGTTAGTTTCAAAACTCGCTTAATCATTAATGCAACAGGAAGAATGAAGAAGGAAATACATCCTTAACGAGATTGAGAGAGAAAGAGAGAGGGAGAGTGAAGAAAAAAAAAAGGGGGGGGGGGGGGTGGAGAAACGAAGACAATTTTTTCAAGAAGTATAGAAGTAGAAGTATATATATGATGAGCGGATGACTATAAACCGAATTCAATTATTTAAACTTGCTGAAATTCGTATTGTTTGAATCCAAGCAGCGCATTTGGCAAATAATTTACAATATTTTCCTATAAATTGAAAGTTAGAAATGTAGGCCTACTACATTTATTCTACAATCATAGCTAAAAAAATACGTTTTTATTGCACTAATATTGACAAATATTACTCAAAATTTTAGTTCAGCCTACAGCTTATTACCAATTCTTTTTTTAAATTTAAAGTTTAACATTTCATATGTATTTTTGTTTCATTATTGAGAAATTGAAAACTTCCCTTTCAATGGGCATGGTAAAATGCGCGCAAAACAGAGGACATTAAAATCAATAAATTGACATAGATGCATTAAGTGCAAGTTGAGCCATGGACGATCCTCTTAATGACGGGCAAGATGGTGACCACGGTTACGATGCTCACGTTCCAAATCATTTTGAACAAATGTGAGAATAAGATTCAAAGCAGAAAAAAGGGACTGGTCTCCGATTCTTAAGTGCTCTTGACGCGTTCCAAAGTATCTGTTGTTTTCCTCATCCTTTTGTACTTCAAAACCGATAATCAAGAACTGGCCATTGTATGTGTGTGGGAGGGGGGGGGGGGGGGAGTGGAATATTGTATCGCATAACATGTCTTCAGAAATTGTCTTTAGTTAAATCGATTTTTAAAGATGCAAAGGATGACTGAAAAGAATATTTGCAAAGGGCTAACAATAAGCCGAAACGCGTTAACACGTTTTCTGTAATACAATGTATTGATAGTATAAAGAGCTACTAGAGTCATTCTATTTTGTTCCCTAAAGATATTTGCCTATTCTATTTCATAGTTAGGCCTATATATCATTAACCATTATGATTTTGAAATGTTTCAACGAATCTTAGCCCATCCTATGACGTCCCAAATTTTAACTACGTGTTACCACATTTTGAACATCGTACGTCACATATTGTTCAAAGTCAAACTATTTGAAAACTTATAAATTCCGTATGAATGTTATTGTGTTTTTTCAACGCAAGAGTCATTTGGCTTCATACTGTCATTAAAACGCTTAATGACACCGAGAGGCAATCTATAAACCACAATAAGAGAATATTTTGTTTTGTTTACTAATCAAGCTCACGTGGCCTGACCTCCTACGTTAAGGGAGCCTTTGTTGTTGTTTTCTTTAAACGAGACCTACACACCTGCCGATTACGAAAATCTTGTCACACCGCACCCCCTCCAGACTTATCCGATACGTCTACAGCAATGATAAGAAAACAATCTTAGCCAAAACAAGGAGGGGAAGAGAAAGAAAGACAAAAATAGACGAGTGGGAGGTTATTTAGAATTTGTTGTGCTTCGTAGGATTAAAAAAGCCATGGTTTTAGTGATGGAGGTACAAACTTGTTATCTCTGGTTCATCATGTTTTCTTCATTTATATGACCTTTTGATCCCCAGATCTATAATCAGATGAGCCTTCAGGGTTTATCTAGTTATCGAGTCAATAAGATAGTGAACAAACAATCCAAATCATTATACCTTCTGCAATATCTTGACAGGGAGCCTACAAATAAGATAAGACCTCATCGAACAAACAGAAACAAACAAAAACAAACACACATTGAAAACAACATTATGTAAACGACGGGTCACTTCGATTATGATGATAATGAAATGCTAGTCTCTGGCTGTGCTCTTTGAAAATAGATCACGGGGGTGGGGCACCTTAGTTATTGATGTCCTCAAATGTAGTGACATTGTTATTCAATTTAGCTAACAACGCCTGATCAAAATACCATTGAGTGAGGAATCGCAACCGTTTCAATTATACAGTGCAAGTCCAAACAAATAAATAATGCTTTTAAAATGTCGTATTGTTTGAACGAAGAACTGTACATTTTTGGAACTATTTTACATTAACAAGAAAGTCCATTTTTCCAGTAAGAACTTTTTTTATTTACCATTTTTGTAGGTCAACTCTTCATGGTTGACTGTGCAGACGACCAGGTTAAAACCCACTTGCGCCAAATCAAAGTCTTTCCTCGTCCAAAATAATATTATACTTTTAAGACCAACATGTTTTACAATAATAAACAAGCTTGAAAAACATACATTATCTGTTTTTTTTCTTCTGTTGAATGCATAGTTATGAATAAATGTTTGCGAGTCTAAGCCCAACTTTGCGCGATAGGCGAAGGATACAGGCGACAAGGAACACGAAGGAGACACAAATCAACTTTCAAACTTTCTTTTCTTTTGTTACGTAAAACATTCAGCCTTCAAATCACATGTATATGAATATTTGTAGTGTGATTCCAATATATGATGGTTGTAATCAGACACAAGATTGTCATGTATTCAACGTCTTCGGCGTAGTTGGCGCAAATAGGCTTTGACGTCACATCACCAAAATTGACCACTGTTCAGTCAATCGTCAAGGGTTGCCCGATACTATGATATGAAAAGAAGCAGAGATAGTGACTTGATTATGATAAATTCTACCATATTTACACAACCTCCATCTTGAAACAAAAGAGTAGACCATCGAATAGCACCTTTTTCTCGACTTGCATTGAAGTAAGGTAGTATGTCAATATATCCTTTAAAAAGATATGATTATCCTCATTTTATTAATGAGAGTAGAAACACATATAATGATATCTACGTCAAAAAGAAAGTGGGAAGGAACAAAGTACTACGAGAATTCAATTGGGCATATTAATATGTACAACACATACATTCCGGCGACCAAATGAACAAATTAGTAAAATAAATAAATTAATAAATAAATAAAGATAATCAAATATATCAAACAAAAGATCCTTTGTGGTCAATAACCTTTACTAACCCTGGACCAAACACTATACCTAACCTGGGAAGTGTTTCACAAAGACTAAGATTTAAGTTGGACTTAACTATGGCAGGCCGTTAATGCCACCGTTTGCTCTCACCATTCCCGGCATTGGTTTCTCAAGGGACGTACAAATCATGGTCACAAATGTACAGAATTTACCTTTTTGATAGTTCATCATGGAAGGAAAAAATAGAATCTAAAGATTATAATCGAGAGACCAAAAGTGAGAGCAACCAGTGGCATGAATGGTCTGCCATAGCCGAGTCCAACTTAAAATCAATCTAACTCCTCGTGAAACACACCCCTGAAACTTAATCTTTATCCATGAAATAAAAGCAATTACAACCCTAAACCTATGTCAGAGCATCTCTCATTCAGAATTAGATGGAAGCATTCGCCCCACTCTTTTTGAAGTTTGATGAAAAAACTGCATAATTTTTGTATAAAATGTTACTTTTTATATCCCTTCTACTGTACTAACCCTCCAACATGCAAAAATCCTGAAAAAATGCTCAAACCACAAAGATATTTATGGTTTTCTTTGAAGGAGCACTGTGCAACACCCTCTACCAGTAAATTCTCCCAACCATTTTGGAATATTCCCAACCGTTTTCCATGAAAACAAGACATAAGACAGGCTTTATAAATCTTTCAACACTTAAATGTCTGGCATGGTATATAGAGCCCATTTATTGCTTTGGGGACGATTTACATTCACCTAAAATTAAATAAATTGTAATAATATAGTTGGGAGAATTAAGGAATCAATCAGATCAGTTATTCCCAATGTTTATCATTAGTAATGGTCTGTTTTAACTCAAACTTTCAGATATCTTTAATTGTACATCTATCATTGAAGTCACTACCTTAGCACCATTTTCTCTCATCTGAACAATGTTACCAAGTCCCTTTTACTATATTGTTACTGAATACTCTTGTTAACATGCCAGGACACTGATACAAGTACAACAATGTACACAGAGATATGCTCTGCACATAATAATAATGCCTTTATTAATCAAACTTGAATACATCGATATGACCAATATACAGATAAGTACTCAGAAGATAACAAAGCTGGATTAGCATTGAATACAGGTATATTGTCCTACAGTATACTATTAAGGAATCAAATTTTACATCAAGGTGAGTCTGGTGGACGAAGGAAATGTATCACTCGATACTATTACACATAAATCTCATTAATAATAATTTCAATAATTACCTTTTAAACCTGTTTTTCAGTTTACTGAAGTTTATTGAAATTAACGTAAAGATGAATCAAATTATAACAGCGATTCTCGTCCCAATATCTCTGTTTGGTAATGACCCAAAATGGGACACTAAAACTATACAAACACCAACATGTTACACATGAACACATGAAATATTAAAAATAAGCTAATATCAATATCTAAGTCACTGCAGTAAGACTGATTTAATTGCAACTAGTTTCTTAATCATAATACCCCCATTATCCTACTTATTAAGGCTAGACACTGAACAGCAGTGATTTAGGTCTTCACAAAGAGCTTGTGAAGAATAAAAGAAGAAAGAAAAGCTAATCAATATTGTTAAATGCCCAATGTTAAGAACTGTTAAAAAAGATTTTGTTGTTTGAAGTTCAGTTTAATGAGTTGGAATTTTGAGCAATTTTTTATTGAAAATACCAAATATTTTTTTGTTTACACCAAGTATATGAATGATTACCGTAAATGTGAAGTTTGACCATAGTACTTTGAAAGTATATAAAATACAGGACAAGCAAGATAACAGATAACTAAAACTCTGAAGGAACTCTATCCTTATTCATTACCAGAAAGTAGTTTTCTGACATAATCAACACACAAATGGGGAAATGAGGTGTTAGTGTCAGCTTGCTAGTAATTAACAGATGAATTTTACCTATCTTCTTTTACACACAATAACAATGAAAACATGGACCCAATACATCATACCCTAAACAGACAAAATAAACAATTGCTATTATATACTGCAACTCTGATTGCTGGAAACTGCAGACAGAAGATTTTTGGCAATGGCCTTTACAGCATGTACAACAAAACCAAGAATACTTTAAATAGGCATAAAGTTGAATATGAACAATAAGGCATGCGCACAGGCAAACTGTTTGACCTGTAACTATATTTTTGTACATAATACATTTTGATGGTCAGATTACTCCTAATATTTTCATCAAACTTTTGCATGGAGGCTGCAGTATATAAAACAAATAATGACTGCAAATTTAGGGAGTCACAAAATAAACTCTAGCCCTCAGTGTATCTCCAGACAAAACCAATGCCCTGAAACTGATATCACTGTTTCAAGATCACTTCTAGCAAAACAACTATAACCATGGGGGTGTTTCACAAAGATCCTAAGTTGAACTTAACTCTAAGTTGGACTTAAAAATCATGGAGAGCCATTTGTAGCCTTAAAATAAAAATCTATTAAAAAGCAACAATTCAAGTATTTTAGACTCTTCATAAATTCCAAATCGAAAACATGAAACTTCCTTGATGATAGAAAATATGAATGATTTGAATCAATATTTTATGCCTTTTAAAATAACTTTTACAAAATATTCTCAGAGAAGCTAATGGCTTTCCATAACTGTTAAGTCCAACTTAGAGATAAGTTTAACCTAGAATATTTGTGAAACACCCCCCATGTCCCTCCCAGTAGTAGATTTGGTGTAAAAATATCAGCTCGGTATGAGTTCTAATCATCTCCTTCAAATTTCTTCAACCTTCCACGAAGGTCCTTGATCTGGTCGTTCTTCTTAGACAGCATAGACTTGAGATTTTTGTATGCTCCAGTCTGGCTGAACTTCTTCTCCAACTCCTGCAGAATGGATCGAGAACAATTTGAAGGAAAGAAAATAAAAAGGTTAAAAAATGGACTGCAAAGAAATGTGAGAAGAGACATTAAAGGCATCGTTTAACAATGTTAAATCTGAGATGCACGGCCCTACGTGTTATCAGTGTCTGTGATATGGTGTTATAGTGAAGTCCCCCAAAAATTGAGCTTCAAAATGCTCAAGAAGTGCCTCAAAAAAGTAAAAATCTTTGAGTGACCGGTTTTACCATACTCGTTTTCCCCAATAGACTGGAGTGTTATGAAAACCGTTTGACAAATTCAAAATTTGGTTTCGATTTCCAATCATAAATATCTTGATAATCAGACAGGCGATCGGCTTGTAAAAGTCATGGGGTTCCTGACTGACCTAAAAGTTTAAATTATCATTGCAGCATGAGCTAAATCCAGGATTTTGTTTCAGAATCTGAGACAAAGTTACTGGATCCCTTTAAAGGTACTATGTCCCTTTTGCAGCCAACTTCTATTTCTATGGAACTTTGCAGGAATCTGTGAAATCTAAACGTTAGCAGCGTCCTAATATTCAAATTATGCAAGGAAACCTGTTTACTTGCTAGACTTCACTGTTAGACACTATTGAGTGACTGGCTTTTTTCTTCTATGATAATAACATACATAAAATGAGCTGTAAAGGTTACATGAGCATTTGTCTACATCAATAACCCACTTCTTGTAATGGCCAAAATTAAACTGATTGAATCTTTGCGCAGCATAAAACGTATGACCATTCGGTACAATGGTCTGAAAATCAGACTATTACTTACTGGCTTTATAGCTCTAAGTTGATTCGACAATTTATAGTCTTTATTTTCCCACTTAAAGACATCTTCAAGCCCCCCTTTTTTTGTAGGGAAGTTCTAAATTAGTATTATCTTTCAAATGCCGTTGGAATTTAACCTTTTCATTTTTGGGGCCTGCAAATGGGGACATAGTACCTCTAAAGGGAAATCTAACTTAAATAGATAACTACTCTAAAAGAAAGCAGAAGAATCAGAGAAGCAAACAGATGAAAGTTTCAATTCAATCTTACTAAATATAAGTATACTTTAAAACTAGATATAAGTTGGCTGAATCGGTAATGTCCATGTGATGAGTTGCAGGGCTTTCCTTCTGTTCCAACATATAACATGACTAAATCTAAATTGTCAAAAGTTCATTTCTCAGGGTCTATTCTTTTTAGAGGACCAAAACTAACATGCCAATTATAATATATTTGTGCCCCAACGGAGAAGGAACTTACAAGAAAAACAGAAATGATTGATATTTGTGTACACGGCAAGTGGGAGAGTTATTCCTATGTCACAATCCACTGACCGAAATACCAATTTGAGAGTCCCATAGACTTAGTGATCTCATATTTCAAACATTCATGACTACCTTACTTTTGGTCTGATTCATTTCAAACTTTTGCCATTCTGTTTCTGTTATTTTTCTGCTTTCATACAAATCAACTTATTACAAGGGTTGAATTGCCCTTTAAACTGAAGAAGAGAGAAATTAGATTTTACTTAAATGACGAAATTCGCAATGATAACTGGCAAGAACTAAGAGCAGAATGTTAAACTTTTTCACAGGAGTGTCAAATAAAATGCATTGCTAGGAGACTGGGTAGAGAAAGGGTTAGAAAACAGAATACTTATGGGTGTAAGCCAACAAATTAATTTACAACAATTCAAACTTCTCCCAGGAAGCCTGACAATCAAAGCTATCGACCCAATGGCGGACTGATGAATATCAATAAGTCAGAATGAGTCAGGGGATCTGAGTAACTTGTTTCCAGTTCAGGAAGCCTAACATTCATCAGGGGTGATAGTGAGCACTAACGAAAAAAATAAATCGGTTTTTCCTTTTTTTTTCCCTCAACCACGCCCCCTTTGAGTACCAAAAAAAGAAGAGGATTCGGGGAAAAGGGCATCTAACAAGTAAGAAAAATTGGGAAATAATAGGGAAAAATAGGGAAGAATAGAGAAGATAAGGGAAAAATTGGGAAAATCAGGATAAAATCAGGAAGAAAAAAAATAATAATCGGGAAACCGATTAAAATCAGGTTTATCAGGCCTGATTCATATAATCATGACGATCGACAGTAAGTACTGTAATAATAAAGTGAACATTTGAGGGACAGTTGATTCACTTCTACTTGGAATACACATCTGCATCAAGTTTTCTACAAAACGAATGTAACTCGAGTTTAAAGGAATTGTAGCTTGATGTGCTAGAGGTGTATTCAATACACAGAACGGAGCACCCCGATATAGAAAAAACCTTGGAAGCAATATTCCCTATGAAATGGAGGTTCCAATTTTCAACCACCAAGGAATAGTGATCATGGATATGTATGTACTGATTCCGTGTAATTTACACATTTCTTCTTAAACATATTAGCTGAGAACTAACTCCCCATCGATTTCTAGTACATTTCAAATTTCTCATAATTTACAAATTACTAAGCCATTACTACCACCTGCTTGAGTAAATTTCACTTTGAGAATTTCCTGTGCAATATACACTCTACCAATCAAAGATATCCAGGAAAAGAGGCCTGTATTTCATGTTTCTTTCTTGATCAATAAATCAATGCTCCTAAAATCCCACTAACAAAAGTATATCCGAGCTCCAGTATATCAAAGTGAAAGCTTTCCCTAAATGTAAACAATTCTATCGTCTGTTAAGAGCAAAAGAGGGCGTTAACTCTGTGTGAGAGTGTATGAGATAGCATCCTTCTCGCTCTGAGCAGACATTATCTTACCTTTTCTTTCATTTCCAGCTGTTCTTGAACCTCCAATAATCTGTGCTTGGAAGAAATAAGGTCTCCTTCCATTGTATCTGCTCTTTCGGTGGTCAGCTTCATATTCTGTACAACACATTTAAGAAAAAAAAAGCCGATTATCACAACTATTGTCTATAATCTATTGTGAAAATATGTGAAAAATTAAAATACTTTTTTGTTTAAATTTATTATCGTCACATATCACAGAAATTGAATACCTCAGAGGAAACTGATTCCATACTATTTTACGACCATTAAAAGTATTTTTGAAAAAATATCTATAACAGTTTTTTAATGATTCTATTCATTTATTTATTTATCACTCATCTACTTATTCAATGTTTTAATCATCCATTAATTTTTCATTTGTTTGTTTGTTTGTTTGTTGTTGTTGTTTTTTTTTTTTGGGGGGGGGAGGGGGTCGTTGACATGAATCAATCTTGAGTTCATGCTGCCAAAATATTTAATACAGCAGGAATTATACTCATCAACATGGCGATCTCCACAATTAGACCAAACAAGCTTCCTACATCCTAATCTATCATCACCATCTTCATCATCATCGTTTATATTACAGTGTATCTTAATTATTATCATCATCATCATTATCATTTTCATCATTACCACCATAACCAACCTTTCACCATCATTCATATCATCATCACCATCACAATCGCCATATTCATCATTATCATCATCTATATCATTATTATCATCATCGTCATCACCATCATACCTATCACCATCATCATCATCTTCATTATAATATCTTATTATTATCATCATCACCACCATCACCATTCCCTATCACCATCATCATCATCACCACCATCACCATTCCCTATCACCATCATCATCATCATCATCATCATTATCACCATCATCATCATCATCATCATCACCATCATCATCATCACCATTACCATCATTATCTTCACCATCATCGTCATCTTCATTTATATTATCTTATCATCATCATCATCATCACCATCACCACCATTGTCATCATCACCACCACCATCATCTTCACCATCATCATCATCACCACCACCATCATCCCCACCACCATCATCATCACCACCATCATCATCACCACCACCATCATCATCACCACCATCATCATCACCACCACCATCACCATCATCAGCAGCAGCAGGCCTATCCATGTACCTGCTCCATTTGAGATTTAAGAGCACTCATTTTGCCCTCCACGTCACCCAAGTCAGCAGAGACTATAGGTTGCTTATTGCGTTCACTCCCCAGCTCATCCTGAGTTCGTCTCAAATCTGATTCTAGTTTACTTCTGTCCTGTAGAGCTCCTGTGGCCTAGGAAAAACAACAACAAAAATAATAATAATAATATTCCGCTTTTATATAGCGCCCAATACATCGATACAATACAACGTTTTACAGATATATTATTACCCCGGTCTTCAGATTCAGGCTTACCCTCTCACAATGTATGCCCATTCTCCACTCCATAGGGAGCATTCTGGCCATTCGCCATTTTACAAGCGCACAAACATTGAACAAACAATGAAATGCAGCTCTTGAAGGTAGAAGAGGTCATGAATTATTGTAGCATTTCTATTGTGTCAAGTAAAATGCTAAAGAGGAAGAGAGAGAGAGGGGGAGAGAACCTAATCTACATAATATGCATAATGTTCACTACAAGCAAATATGTATGTATGCATGAAGCATTGGACAACTACATGACAAAGGAAGTGGTTTACATCACTGTCAAAATTATCCTTTCATATGAAATCTGTAAATGAATGAAAATTTGTAAAATAGATCTGTAGAATACCAAAACAAGCAAACAAATTGTGATACCTCCATAAATAAATGCAAGGTGCATGGCATGACTATTAAGGATGCAACACTCCATAAATCATTACCGGTACCCTTTCTCTATTTACATAGTTCAGTCAAACCTGTCTATAGCAACCACCCAAGAGAAACACAAAAAGTGGTCTTTGTAGACAGGTTCCTTTAGTACATGATTCAATGAGAAACCATTTTCAAGGGAAACAACAAATGTGGCCTTGGTAGACAGGTGGTCACTAAGGCAGGTTTGAGTGTATACTATTTATCTCACCTGTGACTCCACTTGTTTCAGTCTGTCTTTCAGCTTGTTATTTTCTTCATTCAGCCTCTCAATTTCATTTTGAAGGAGCTGAACGCCCCCTGCTTCCATAGGATCCAGCCTCTTGAGTTCAAAGGTCGGCTTTGAGGTCGCCTATCAAATGGCAAATAAGATGTATAACAAGAAAATCAGAGACATATGTACAGAGTTGGTTACACACTGACTTTTTGGAGACATATTAATTGAAAAAAAGGGAAAAAAAGAGAAGGTAAACAGTCAAAGAGAAATGAATGCAAATATTTTTTCAAGAGATAATTACTACAAGACATTCTAGGGCCTAGGATTTTTCCAATTACTTCATATCAACTTCAGAGATAGAGGAACTCTGTGGTCTTTTGGAGGAATCCTACTGTGAAGTTCTGGTTCAGAGACATACAGACACAAGTGTGACTCAATAGATGTGCTAATTAAGAGTGATCTTTATTCAAGGGGTTTTCAGAATGCCTCTGTAGGCTCATCACTTGACTTTATCTTACATTGAAATATACCGGTAGGTGGCGCTATTACATACATTGATATGGAGTTACATGAATACATCACACCTACTACCATGTACCAAGTCAGGAATATAATTCTGTATATGTCTATGAAGTTTGTGTGTTACTTACCGCAGATCCAGAAAAGTTACTCTCCTCAAACTTGGCAATCATCTCTATGAGCTCCCTACGATCGAAAAAGAAAGGAATGAAAATGAATATTTCTCCACCATGAAATCGCCAACCAAATAAAGTCCTTGTACTTTTTTTGGTGGAGTGGGGGGGGGGGGGGGTATGGGGGTGAATGCAATATACTTAATGTCAATCCCCTACTGCCACATTCATACTGAAAACAACATTTACTTTGGATGACAAAGTGTTATTGTCATACATGTTAGGTTCATGGAAACATGCAAGTCTTTTTATATTTATAAAGAATTGAACAATTTAATATATTGTCAACAACAAAAAGAAAAAGAAAGAAATAGGTCTATAATCTTGTTCGAGTATGTGAAAATTGATTTGTCCTGATTTAGTTTCTTGAGAATGTGACATATTAAAGCTTACATCACATCTAAAAGTATTCAACAAAATTCCTAATTCAACCAGTCTACGTTTCCTTCTTGAGTTACGGAAAAAACACAAAATTACATTAGATTTAAAAGGGATATGAATAATTTAGTTGTTAACTATATGAAAGAATAATCACAAAAAGATAATAACAATAATAATATTCCGCTTTTATATAGCACTTAATACCAATGTCTCTCAGCGCTTTAAAGATATAATACCCCAGTCATTGGATTCAATACTTGTCCGCACACACTGTGTGCACAATCTCTACTCCCTGGGGAGCATTCCAGCAAGAGAGGTTACCTGTTCTCTAGCTCTGAGATGTCTGCCTGAAGCTTGAGATGCCATTTTTCTGCCTGCTGGAAGAGTTGCCTCAGGAGCAAGACGTTGGTGTGAGAGGTGTTGATAAGCTCCGATTCCACTTCACCGCGTACCACCGCCTCTAATCCATCCAGCATGTCGGTCACCTCATCCACCGTGAAGGTGTCATCAGTAAGCCTGTATCGGACCAGATCACATAGGGGGTAATCAGAGTTTAGAGAAAGACAATACAGGGGTTGTATGGTCGGAGAGTTCTTGCTTTCTGTGATTCTTGGGTTAGATTAAACTACTATTAAAAAAATCTTCCTATATAACAGGCAGTTAAATGTCAAGTTGACTTCTGGTAACCAAAGAGAAAAAAAGAAAAAAAGAATACCCCCCCCCCAAAAAAAAAAGTTTTGCATTAATGAGCCCAACTTTTAAGCAAATATCTTTTAGTTGGGATCTTTGAACTTTTCGCCAAGCTAAGCCACATCTACGTACCTCCACACAAGTTTGTGAAGAAATGTTAGGAAGATACACATAACCAATATACACAGTGAAACAGACACATTGAATTCATATGTGAATTTAACCAGAGGCAAGAAAAACTTTGGACCTAAGTCCATGAAAACATTTATCTTTAATTTTAAATTCAGATACCTGGAAGTTCTTCCATATGTCACCAAAGTTTTGAACGGAGGCCCATCACCAGAATCCTCTCCATTACCAGAACAAAACATTCTCTTTCATGTAAGACATGACGTAACAGAAACAAAAATACAAGGTATATGTAGGGGAAATATAGACAAAGAAAGATCAAGATCAAGAGAGAGAGAAAGAGAGAGAGAGAGAGGGGGGGGGGGGGGGGGGGGGGAAAGGGGGGGGGGGGGTGCAAAGAGACAGAGGAAGCATGGAAAAAAAGAGGAGACAAGGAGGAAGGGTGGGGAGCGAGGGAGAGACAGAGAGAGAGAGAGAGAGAGAGAGAGAGAGAGACGGAGGGGGAGGGGGAGAGAGAGAGATGGAGGGGGAGGGAGAGAGAGAGAGAGAGAGAGAGAGAGAGACAGACAGACAGAGGGGGGGGGGAGAGAGAGAGAGAGAGGGGGGAGGGGGGGGGGGGGGGGGGGGGAGAGAGAGAGAGAGAGAAGGGGGAGGCACAGAGAGAGAGAGAGAGAGAGATAAACTTTCAAGATTTTCATTACATGCTGCATACAAGCCTCTTACTCACCTGCTATCTTTCAAATCTTGAAAGCAGACCTCCACACTGCGCAGGTTCTGAGTCCGTTTGTAGCTACCAAAGCGCATGTAGTTCACAACAGTAGTGTGATGGTGATCATTCAATCCAAGTTCCCCTGCCTACAAGTCAGTGACAAATAATTGTTCTTGAATTTAATTTTGGAAAATAGCTATATATGTATGTATCAAATATTCAATGATCTAGGGGTATTCATAGAACTTGTTTGATATTTAGGCAAATTTTAGAAATCATTTGAACTATATCCTCTGTTAAAATTACTAACCACAGAATGTTAAGAACTACTTTGGGCCTCCACAGATGAAATGAAAATCTTAAAGGTATTGCAAAGTTTTGGTATGGGGTCATGAATTTGATTCAAATTAACATCTTGGAAGCATATGCGTTCCTACAATATTCATTGATCGTTGTCGCGGTTGAAATCAAGTCTAAAGTTATGAAATTATAAATAATAAACTCTTTATGTTGTAAAGCTCCCTCTCAAGGTCAAGATATTAATTTAGCTATGAAAAATGTTTCTTGACTAAAATCGACCGATTAGCTAATCCCGTTTGGAAATTACATATCACAACTACATATTCTGAGATTTGCATGGTCGCAGCTACCATTGCACGGCCATAGGCGCTATTTGAAATTTATCAAAATTTACCAGGAGCACCGGTGAATTTATATATTCATGTTTTCTCGAAAACAGAGGTGTTTTAGGGCTAATTTTTTTAGTGCTTATAATACATCCACAGGGGCATCCAAATATATCAAAATTGTAAAGATTCACTATCCACCCAATTTTCAAAATTTCCCAAAACTTTGTTATTACCTTTAAAAAAGGTTCCATAAGTATTGAACAGGTCCATAAGTATAAAACAAAATGCAATGTACGATCTCTGTTTAAATTAGGGTTTGGCACTACATGTAGAGGCCTTGAACCTGTTATCAGTGATAACTGACAAATGACAGTTTTTGTTATTATAAGCTATTGAAATCCTTGCTTCTGATTGGTTATCAGCAGATTTGTCACTGATTTTTGTCATTTGTCATTTAAATAGGCTTTGTGAAACAGGTACTTGGGTGTACATGTATATTGGCTCATAAATTTAATGCTTGATCCCCATGCATACAAACTTTAAATGCTCAATCTGGATCCCTGCCCAAGAAAGTTAGTGTGGTGCTCTGTCATAATTAATATACTTGAAAGCAAAAGCAAGCCAAACACATTGGAATAATAAAGAACCCCAAAACAATTCTCGCTACCCCAAATAGCGATTCTGCCGAGATCCGGGGAAAATCCTGAAAACGCGCATTGCATTATGGGATAGCTTTTCGACATTACAGCTTCCTGTGCAGGCGGCGCGATAGCGCAAACGTAAAACGCCGTCGCCACACAACGTGTATGCACCGAATATGTCGTCTGCTCGGTCTTGTTTTTTTTTGCAAATATTTCAACGTTTATTTGAACATTTCATTCGTTGTTTTTTGCGTCTTTTGACATCAGTGACGATGGTTTTCTTTTGTGAGGCTGCACAGTGCTGGGCTCATGATTCCAAGCGTAAGAACCCTGAAAAATGGGGGTGGATGAAGGCCGTGACTTGGGATGGGACTCTATACCGGAAGTTGTAGTGACGACCCGAGAGAGTGAAAATTACCTCGTCTCGCGAATTTCGAGATTTTCGTACCTATTTAGGGTAGCGAGAATTGACAAAAGAAGAAGAAGCAATATCCTAGGCAAAATGAAATATAAAACAGGATTATTATCAAAGTACCCCATTTTATGGTAAGGCCCAAAAAAAACATCATTCGGTTGTCCTCGACCGCCCGCTCGTCATTTTCGGGCCGCTCATATTTTTAATTTTTTTTTTTTTATTCATTTTTTAAAAAAAATTTAATTTTGTTTTGGTGGAGCAATCTAGGTATTTATTAAACTTGCCATTTTTATTTTTCTATGTCAAAATGCCGTTCATTCAAATCGGGTTCTGAGCATTCTTAAACTTATTTTAAAGCCCATCTGTACTAGTTTACAGGAGAGATTAGACCACCCTGCAAGGTCACTGGACAGGTGGTTATCTCATCAAATCAGCTCCTAGTTAACATAAGATAAAGTGGATCATGGGGGACTAATGGTCACCGATTAGGCATTGTCTGCTACTTAGATGGCGCAAGTAGCTATAAGTAGTACAATGGAGATTTAAAAGGTGCTGTATTTCAAAGCCAAAAATATTTTCTGTGTTGGTCTTGATATTCATTGTACATTAAACTAGTCTTTTACCATATTAAAGTGTTCTATAGACTTTGTTTGTTTAAATGATTGACATCCCAATGATTTATTTATTTGTATGGAAACAAAATTATTTAAAAAAAAAAATTAAAAATATGGGGGGAAAAAAATCATATAAAAAAAAAAGACACACAAAACATGAAGTTAAAAAAAAAAAAAAAATCTGCCCGCCCGCCCCTACTCCAGAGAAGCAATCGAGGACAACCAAAAGATTTGTTTTGTTTGGCCTAATGGTATTTACTGACTCAAGATGTTACAAAGGTATTGAGAAATGTATTCAAACATGAACATCAGGGTTAATTTAGTCTGGGCAGGTCCAAGCTATTTGGACCTGCCCGTCTACTAATAATCATAAATTGAAAATAAGAAATATAAATTTTATCATATCCAGACAATTGCATTTTCTAAAACCAGTAACATCAAGCTGTAAATAACTCCAATAAAAAAAAAACTCTAAAAAAGAGTAAAATCAAAATACGATACTGTGTATGAGACAAGATATACTTCCAGACTTTTGTATTTTACATGTGAAGCACAAATTTTTATGGGTAACATGTGAAGCACAAGGGAGAGAGACAGAGAGAAAAAATAAATTGTAGATCCTAAATGTACAGATGTTTTAAATGTTAAAAAATAAATTGTTCAAATACAGTATAGGCCTACCCTAGTGTACATGTACTTTCGCACAACCACCAGGCATGCTTCATCCCGTCACACCCATTGGTTCCTCTTAATTCCAACTCAGCCATAGACTCTAACACTCTACACACATAATGTAACTTGTGTGAGATGAAAAGAATCATGCCTAGTGCAAAATGACATGAGTGCCTTACATGTATCTTGTCTCCATCACTCTCAATTCATAAATTTGGTGTAATTGCTTTTTTCTACAGACGTGTATCAATTCATCAATCGGATATATATGATTTTTTTACTTGTGGGGACTCAGTTTCCAACCAGGATCCGTCTGAGCCAGTTAAGACTAGCAGTTTAAATGCATATCAATGGCAGGAGTAGGACTAGACCGAAAACTTCAGTCTCTCTAATCGTCGGTTGTTCCACTGAGACTACGTCTGGCTCCACTAGACCTCCGATTATAGAGACTGAAGATTGTCCTATCGGGACTGTACGGAACCAATGGTTCGGTTCGGCAGGACCGCGATGAATGAGATATGCTACGAGATTTTCACTCTTTACATCCTCACACATGCTGCAATATGACAATAATTAGAGTTTAATTAAAAATAACATATATATAGCTTATTTGACTTACGATAGCTTGCTCATTTAGATTCTAAATTAATGATTAATCCGAGAAAGTCTCGTCAACATTATCCGTCTTGGTTTTAGTTGATGAATATTAATTTTTTCTTTTCGAACGTCCAATAGCTACCGTAGCTACATACGAGTCGGCCCGGCTTGACCAACGAACTCCCACGAAACGAGTGCTCTGATTGGCCATTGGCTATGTTTTGGTAGGTGGACCCGGAAATATATCGGCCGCCGGGTAATATTTCGAATGCATGAACGTAAGTGCTTCGCGGTTCTGAGGAACAAATTGGATAATTCATATAAGTAAGTCCGAAAATTTCATATTCTATAATAGGTTAGCAAATTTTGAAAACTGTAATTAGGAGATATATAGACCGACCTAATTTACATCTGATTTAGAAATCAGGAAATTAGATCTAAATAAAGAAAATCGGGGGAGAAATGTCGGTAACGAAAAGCTGTTACGCTGTGGCTCTAATTTACCCCCACGGTACAAGATCTCTGGGTTGCCATCTGTATTGGGGAATGACAACAAATGTCAGTTTTATTAAAGAAATGACCCAAATCAGATGGTTATTGCTGTCTAGAGTAGGACCTATCTAAACTAAACCCAAGTTGGTGCGGTGGATACAGGTTAAGGTAAAGACACCCCCCGCCCCCCCCCCCCCCCAAAAAAAAAAAATTGTTTTTGTTGTTACATACTCCCTCAATTTTTGCTTGTCACAAAATAGCTAGCCAATCAAAAATATTTGTGTGTTTTCTGCAGAATCCAGGCTGTGGAAGACTAGAACCATTTTCGTCTGTTTGATTGATAGCAATTTGCAAAAGTATTTTTTATTTGAACAATTTAATGAGAACGTTAATAGATTCGCTTCTCGGCTCTAAACTGATTTGCCAAGGCCTGGCGCTGGCCTGCCCAATCATCCTGCCATCCTCCCCTCCAATCCGAAGAGCCCTTTAAGTGATAGCCCAATTACTCACATCCACCTACTTGACACAATAGCGTCTCTACATGCCCCCTTTGTAAAACCGACGATGAGACAGTGGAGCACTTTGTTGGAGTCTGTTCCAACCTGGTGGACCATCTCAGCTCCGTCAGGATTCCATCAGCAAAGTCAAGGAATGCCTCATGGATTATCCCATCTGTTTAAACCTGTATGATGATGATGACCTACAGCAATTTACCCCTTCTACTCCGTTACCCTTTCAGTTTCATCCATGAATGGCTTATATCGCTCTTTTTTCTATACAAAATTGATGCCTTTCGTTCCAATGCCATCCAAATCTCCTAAGACTAAGTAGCTGGTTGGATTTACACATTTACTTCATTTGGACTTCAGGAATCTCCAAAATAGTGAAGGGATCTGATCAACTAAGAAGAAGAAGATCCCCTACTTCTACGCATCTTAGCATTGACCACTACATTCTGACATTGTTAATTGCTGGTGTGTGTGTTAATTCCTGCCTGCTACAGCTACAGTGCAAGTCCTGTAGTCTATAACGAGTTAACTAATCTAACGTGTTTAGACCTAATTATAATACGACCCTTATTTACCATTATTCGATTCAGAACCGGTGCCTTCTGATCAGAGATTTGATGAAAGTTACAGTTGAATCAGGTGAACAAATCTTTCTGCAGAACACCAGCAGTTTTAGCTTGCTCAGCTCAGCTCACCAACTGGAATCATGTCCGCGAGCGTTAAACGTACTATAGACTATACGGTACCGGAATTCGGAATTTAGTAGTTTACCCCAAACCAGGGTAACGGATCGGAGTACGAGCTGCAATGCACCTGCACTGATCAGTGTGCACCTGACATACCGGTATAGCTTGCGCGCGCGGAACACAACATTGGTGGTGGCGCCGCACACTTTCTGAAGGAGTGAAGGAGCGACTTGAAATAAGGAGCGACCTGTAAAGCCTCGGCCTCAGAAACAAGTCGGCAATGTCAGGTGCAAGTGAAGCTGATCAGGTATTCAAAACCCTTATAGACTACATCACGATAATAGGGTCCAATAAGGGGGAAGCTAGAACTGAAAACCCAACACTACAAAGCACAGGCAACAGGAATGTCATTATGTGGGGCTGGGCTTTGTTACTTTGTAACATTAACACTTTTTTAACAGTGAAGAAAGTGGAACTACATTTTGCATAATGTTTGAGAGACTGTCTTCCATGACTGTTGGAGATTTAGCTTTCAAAAGAACAAAATAAAAAACAACAGCAAAATGTTCCCTGCTGATGTTCAATCGATCAAATTTTTGAGTCGGCAGTTAAAAGGATTATTTTTTCAATCTCGGCCTAGGCCTACTGATCACAATTTTAGTTTGAGCTGAAGTAATTCCTTTGCTGCAACTGTAAATAAAGTTGCATGTTTCGTTTTTCTTGTACAGGGGGAAAATGATGAAATTGATGTGGTTTCCATGGACACCAAGTCTCCAGGAACAAGGGAGGAGGCGGCCAAGTCACCAGAGGAAGATATCGTCCTGGAAGCAATGGTAGACGATGATGGAGAAGATGATGAGGAATCTCATGTGACGATCACCCACGAAGAGGAGGAAGGAGTGAAGGAGGAGAATGTAGACGTGGAAGAGGAGGATGAGGCTGAGGGTGCTCAGTGTTACTGTGAAGGCAAAGGAGAAGGTCCGATGCTCCCTTGTGAAAAATGCAAGAAATCTTTTCATTTAGGTAGGAACCTGATAGGAGAGTATACAAATAATACACAGCAGTGAGGGCATTAGTAATTTTACTAATACCCTATCAAAATGATGTGTATTATTTGTTTTATAAGATAATATTTTATTTGTTTTCATCTTCTAAAAAAATCTAATAACCATCAATTTTCATTTTTATATACCGGTACCTACTTTAAATTATTTTGATGTTTATTTGTCAATGGCGCACAAAACAACATCTTGTCTTTTTTTATGGAAAGAAACATAGTCGTACTTTAGATATTGTGTAATAATAGTACCCATTTATCTATTTGGGACCACTTGAAAAGCATTCCAGGGAGTTAGTAATGCTGCTAAATTTGAAGAACATACAGTATTAGATATCGGGAGTAAAGTTAAATATAGATTCACTGTTAGTTATTTTTTTCTTCCTAATTTCAATGCAAATTATGTTCGAGTGGTCCTCAAAGATGATATTTTCTTTGTTATAAAACCCAACTGTCATAAAATGATGGAACTTACTTAATACTAACCATTGTTTTCTTACCATACACTATACACAGCTTGCTTCAGCACTGGCAACCCTACAACACTAGAGGGGGACACCTTCTTCAAACTGAATTGCAGTGCATGTAACATTCCTGAAGATGAGACGGTTGAAAGATTGCGGCTCACATGGTAAGATCTTTTATTTTTTATTTGTTTTCCCAATTTTTTTCTTCTTCTTCTCTTTTCTCCCGATTTTACCCCTACTTTGCCTTTTTTCCCTGAATTTGAGTAGGTTGAGGAGCCCCCCCCCCCTTTTTTTAGTGCTCACTATCATCCCTGTAAGATTCATAAGATTGCTCACAGGCAGCTACAGTGTGGGAATATTCAATTTTCTTTTTCCTTTTCCATGTATGGGTATTGATTTTGATAGGCGAAGTCAAGGTATATATGGTCCATTGATATCCAATACATTACCCAATAAATCTAAAAATGAGCATAATTTTTTTATTAATAGTAAGATTTTCTTTGAAATTAGGTCTGATCCCAGCTTAAGTTAGGTCTATCCGCTTGATGTTATCTGAAGTGTGCTAAAAATGTTATGTAGTCATTACATATGGACCATGATGCCTATCTTGGATACATGTGCCCTTTGTAATTATTTTCAAGCATCATTTTGTATCCAATAATGCAGTGTGTGAGACAAAGTACGATATTTTTGATGAGCAAATGAAGAAAAAAAAATGCAAATAACACTGAACCAATTTTTCCTCTATTGCATTTAATCTTAAAAATGTAGTTAGAGGATTAACATAACTTATATTCTTTTAATCACTGTCTGCATTGAATACATAAATTATAAAGACATTTATTGTGCTTCATGTTCCTAGGCAACAAGTTGTGATGCTATCCCTGTACAATTTAGGACGGATAAGGAGCGGAAGAAGAGGGTTCTTTCGCTGGAAGGAGGACATCTGCGAGTTCATCTCCTTGCATTGGAACCTCATCTTTGGGGCACAGTAAGACTGCTTTCTATTCTTCAATAAGATGCGAATATAAGTCCATCAGAGATTGCCATATTTTCATATTGCTTATATTTCCGTTTGATATGCACCAAGCTATCCTCAGGCTCAGTCTCCAGTAGACTGATTTTATTGTATGTTAATTAATAAGAAATCAAGTATTATAGTGATACTTGTATTCTATTATTTTGAAATGATTTATTTAGTTATAAGGGTGTAATTAAAGGAAAGGAAAGACTGAGACAGATTAAGATAAATCTGTTTTCTTTCTTTGTATATTTTATTAAATTAAGATAAATCTTCATAGGCAGAAGAGCATAATAAATGATAAGTTAAAAAAAAAAATCTTATTACATACATACACAAAAATTTAAAGAGATGATTGGTACTGCAAAGTCAATAAAAATAGCAACGTAAACAGTCATTCTGAAGCGTTCTGTCTTGCCCTTCATCAGAGTACATTGTAAGTTTAATGCTACAGCCCGTTAGTCATCAAACGGCTGGCTTTACATCTCCTTTCCAGCAGCTTATCAAAATTTGTTCATCTTTTGTGTGCTTGTTCGTTTTGCTTCAGCTGATGTTGTCTGATTTTCTGCTTTCCGTTCATTCTTGCGATTTACCCCGATGAGGGCAAGACAAAAAGCTTTAGTTTATCTGGTTTCGACACATATATTTGTAATCAGCTATCTTTAATAAATGGGGCATGTTTATATAGTGGTGTATAATATGCTACTAGTACCGTAGCTCTTTTACATACATTGATCTTATGATTATTAAATTACTCACTAGCTATTTTTGATTAGTGGGGCATGTTTATTTACAGTGCGTCCCAGAAAAAACGAAACCCAAGAATTATTGGTTTTATCATAACTTAGTCACACTTATAATTAATAAATGACACATATTTGGAAAGCTTAGGACCTCCTCTTTCAGTTGATGCAACTCATATGATGCATATTTCACGCATGAGAGATTACAACGAATTTGAAGAGAGGAAACCAAAAAGTCATTTTGTGGACGGTATCTGAATTTCAAAGAGAAAATCACATTTCTAAAAAGTTGAGTTTCTGCCCTTTCATATGACACCTCAATCAGGAAAAATGAGCCAGGAATGACAAAGTTCTGAGTGTGTAAAGTAGTGCTTGCATTTCCATAATTTTATCAAACGAATTCGTTTTCACTAGCTGCCTGTCGTAGCAACAAGCAGAATTGACAAAAGACTTAACTCCGTTTCGTTGACAATCAGCCATGCATAAAGTATTTCGTCTACGGCTGAATGTCAATGAAACGGAGTTAAGTCTTTTGTTAATTCTGTTTGTTGCTACGGCAGGCAGCCAGTGAAAACGAATTTGTTTAATAACATTATGGAAATGCAAGCACTACTTTAAACAGACAGAACGTTGTTAATCCTAGCTCCTGACTGAGGTGTCATATGAAGGGCAGAAACTCAACTTTCTAGACATGTGATTTATTCTTTGAATTTCAGATACCGTCCGCCAAATGACTTTTTCCTCTCTTTAAATTCATCTTAATCACTCATGCATGAAATATGCATCATATGAGTTGCTTTAAATGAAAGAGGAGGTCCTAAGCTTTCCAAATATGTGTCATTTATTAATTATAAGTGTGACTAAGTTATGATAAAACATCAAAAATTCTTGGATTTCGTTTTTTCTGGGACGCACTGTATAGTGGTCTATAATATGCTACTACTAGTAGCTGCCTTACATAAATTGATGTTACTATTATCATTATTATAACTACTATTAGATTACTCAATGTACTAGTGAATTTTTCATAACTATTTGTGTCTAACCTTTCTCCATTTTCAATGAAGTAAAATCAAGACAACCACTTGGCATGGTACAGTTGCTGGTGTATTGTCAGTAGGTAACAAACAGCTCTTCCGGTCTGGGGCGATGGAGTTCAATGAGACCGGATGGTGGACATTGATTGAAAACAGACCCCCAACCCTCAAACAAGAACCGTCATTAAAAGGTAAGGTTCCATTTTAATACATCCTCTTCAATATACAGTTAAAGTTAAACCTGTCTCGGTGGCAACATCTCTATAAAGGCTACTTGGCTATAGTGACCATATATTTTGTCTCCCTCAAGAAAGAAATGTGTTTTGTAGAACCTGTCTAGAAAGGCCACCTCTCTACATCGGCCACTTTCTCTGTTTCCCTTGGGTTGCCTTTATAGACAGGTCTGACTGTACTTCTTGGTAAAGGTAATGACTCAAAGATGTCAAAACTTTCCTTGATATTTTCTCTTTTTTGAATAAACACTATGAAGGTAGAACGCAACCCCTGTAAGTTTCAACATAGAATGCTGGCATTTCAAGGAATTACATTAACAGTGGTCATATTTTAGGATCCACTTTTTGTCCACAAACATCTTATTTCACTGCTGAATTGTTAATAATATATATATCTCCATAATGGAATTGTTTACAAATTTAGATTTAATGAAGATTGTACTGTGTATGATAGTAAATCTCAAAAATTGGAAATGTATTGTTCTATTAAGGGAGAAAAGTGCATTTACAAGGGGAAAAAAATTAAGTCCGGCTGGACAGAAAGTCCTGATTTATTTTAGCCTCTTACAGCTAATTGAAGAAAAATGACACCAACTTTATGACAACGGTTGACACTGTGTATTACCTTTGAAGAAGAATATGTGTATTTGATAATTATGATGGGATAGAGATTGTATCTATATGTATTAAAATCCAAAGGTTATAAAGGGAATGTTCATTTTAATCATGATGAGCCTAGATGTTGGTAATTTCATTAGAGACAATTTTTATGCCTCCGTTACGAAGTAGCCGGAGGCATTATGTTTTCGGGTTGTCCGTCCGTCCGTCCGTCCGTACGTCTGTACGTACGTCTGTACGTACGTCCCGTTCTCGTGATCACGTTATCTGAAGAACGGATCAATGGATTCCTACCAAACTTTGGTCATTTATGTATCTAGCAAAGTCGATGAACTGATTAGATTTTGGGGTCACGAGGTCAAAGGTCAAAGGTCACAGGGCTCATTATGTATGCAAAAACAGCTCGTGATCACGTTATCTGAAGAACCGATTGATGGATTCCTGCCAAACTTTGGTCATGTATGTATCTTGTAGAGTCGATGAACTGATTAGATTTTGGCGTCACGAGGTCAAAGGTCAAAGGTCACAGGGCTCATTATGTATGCAAAACGGCTCGTGATCGCGTTATCTGAAGAACCGATAGATGGATTCCTGCCAAACTTTGGTCATGTATGTATCTTGCAGAGCCAATGAACTGATTAGATTTTGGGGTCACGAGGTCAAAAGTCAAAGGTCACAGGGCTCATTATGTATGCAAAAACAGCTTGTGATCGCGTTATCTCAAGAACCGATTGATGGATTCCTGCCAAACTTAGGTCATGTATGTTACTTGCAGAGCCGATGAACTTATTAGATTTTGGGTAACGAGGTCAAAGGTCAAAGGTCACAGCGCCCATTATGTATGCAAAAACAGCTTGTGATCGCGTTATTATTAGAACAGATTGATGGATTCCTGCCAAACTTAGATCATTTATGTATCTTGCAGAGCCAATGAACTGTGTAGATTCTTGGTTCATAAGGTCCAAGGTCATGGGCTCATTATGTATGCAAAAATAGCTTGTGAACGCATTCTCATTAGAACTGACAGATGGATTACTATTTAACTCTGGATATCTTGCAGAGCCAATGAGCTGAGTAGATATTAGGATCATGAGGTCAAAGTTCAAAGGGTCATATATGTATATGAGAAATTGTTTGTAATCACGATATTCTGAGAACCTGTTAATGGATTACAATTGAACTTGAATTTGAAAAATTTCTTCCGTTTTGGTTTGTAAAATTGCTCTATGACGGAGGCATCATTTTCGACTGCGTGCAGTCGAATTCCATCTAGTTAATGATGTAATTGTAAGGTAGTACTCTTACAATACTAGATGTTTGTTCCAAAATTATAATCAGATACAGAGTGTCTTATCTCATGGTGATAATTTTTGTAAGGTACATTTGATAATTCAAATGATTTCAAGAGTATAATGCAAAATACCATTTGTATATTCTTTTCTAGCAAAACAGTTTGCTGGGAGAAAAGCCCGAGCAGTATTTGAGCCTACCATCAAAGTTGAAGGGTTACGGAATCGAAAGAGAGGAACGTCGGCAGAGTCAGCAATAGAACTCAAGGAGAAACGATCGAGAACGCAGGTTTGTGTGGATACTGTATTCTCTCTTTACAATGAGTTCTAAATTGGTTATTATGCAAGAGATGGGCTGTTTGGAACAGCAGAATTAAGGGCAAACTAGCAAAATAGTGCAAGAAAGTACATTCGCTGAATAGTGCAACTCCAATTTGCTCATGACCAAGTATTGTCCAAGCCGTTCAGAACTATTAGTTTTATTATCACTTCCTTCATTTATTATTCAGCAATCATAACATTCATTTGTGTAGTCTCTGTATTTTGTTTGTTTTGTGTAGAATTGATTTTTGTCTTTATCAAAACTCAGATTAATATTAAAGAAAAGCTTCCTCAAATTTATACATAATTAGAGGGAAAATTGGCTGTATAGGTCACGTTTATACATCATTGCCATGTTGGCTTGTCGCTCAAACCATGTTTTTCTTTATTACGTAGGAAGCTAAGGACATTCGCAAAGCAAAGCAAGCATCAGAAGAGGAGTACAAGAAGAAACAACAGAAAGATAGCAAGGATGATGAGAGTAGTCTGGATAGCTTTACCGGAAGTGAGGTGAATGATTATCATATATTTGTCTTAAATGTATATACCGGTACTTGAGATTGAATTGAATTATAATAGCAGCTCGAGATCTGAATTACATTCAGTTTACAATAAAAGCACATGTACTACAGAGCTGCCAAGTCTCCCGGATCCTGCGGGAGACTCCCGGATTTTGACCCAATATCCCGTTTTCCCGACCCCATGCAAAAATCTCCCGGATTTCCAGATTTTAAGTTGTATTATTTTCACAAACGACTGTTTCACAAGACTAGCATGTTGAGTTCGTACGTACGTATACAAACAGGTCAACACATGGCAATTCTGTAATATGAATTTTCCTGTTATCCAGTCGTCGAATATAAATTTACCGTGATATCGTACTTTATTTAACAGCGTAATAAATGAGAGTTACGCCGAACGACTGGCGGGCTAGTCTAACAAACCATTGGGAACATGTGATAATGTGAGTGGTGTTTGTGTGATAGCAATTCGCCTGCTTGCTCTGCCGGGCGGCTTCCTCGCCGGCCCCCGTAGCGTCCCGGTACGTTGGTGCCGGTTTCCAATCGGTCGCGTCAGAGCAGCCAGAAGTTGCACTGATACAACAAGCAGACTTTGTCTGCTGCGATCGGCCCAAAAAACTGCACATTTGAACATCAGTTTTTGGATTGATTTGGGGACTTTTGCGATGTGATTTTTAAGTGGATTATCATTTGATACCAACATGGCAGTGTTACTGCAGAGTGGATTTTGAAGCCGACTTTTTTTTTCTGATCTCCTTTGCCGTTGGGAACGCATCGATATAACTTGCATCTTCCGAAGGCGTAAGTCAACTTTGTCCAAAACAAGGCTGTATTTTGTTTGACTATTAAAATATCATCCAGGACAATGTCGAAGTCGAAATATTATCAGAAATATAAAGATGACTACCACTTGGAATGGCCTTGTGTTGGGAAATCTACGAAAGGCGAATACTACGCATTTTGTACAGTTTGCGGCGCAGATATCTCCATCAAGAGTGGGGGAAGAAATGATGTATTTCGCCACATCACATCTGACAAACACAAGCAAACCGCGAAATCAAGGGGCAATACAAAAGGAATACAGAGCTTTTTCAGGTTAGTATGAACAGTTCTTAGATTTGTAAAATCGAGAAATAGTCTACCCCTCCATACCATAGACCTGCGTTCATTTCGTCAGTAGTTGGGGACCTCATTAATCTCCAGAAGAGATGTGTCATTTTCATCTGTGCAATACTTTGTTGAAAAGTACCCTTGCATTTTGAACAGACAATCAGAGAATGGAGACCTGGACAAGCTTGAGCTGGAATTTGCACAATACCAGGTTGAAGACTTTTCAGGGGAACCAGAGATCCTGAACAAAAACTTGAGAATAGACAAGAAATGGTCTGCAATTTCAAAGATGGAGGATGGCAATGGCTCAAAGAAATACACACTTCTGAGCAAAGTGATGAAATCTTTGCTTGTGATACCACATTCCAATGCTTCATGTGAAAGAGTTTTTAGCATTGTTAGGAAGAACAAAACTGATTTCAGGGGATCAATGAATTTGAAAACACTTCAAGCACTCCTAACAGAGAAAATTGCCAACACAGATGTCCCATGCTACCAAAGGGAGTATAGCAAGGACCTCCTTAGCAAACTCAAGCAAGCAACCTACCAGTCACTTCAAGGAAAACCCTCAAGCACACCCCAGTCCTTGCCTTCCACAAGTACATCCCCCATTTCACAATAGAGGTAACAGGAGTTCATAGTCTGAAATATGATGTGAAGTTCATATGTTATCAATTGTATGCAAATAAAATGTGCCATATCAAAGCCTTCCATTTTGAGAAATCATTGAAAAAATGTGTTCTAAAAGGGTTTCAAAGAGGCTTAAAACCAAGAGCTTTTGGGGGGCCTGCCCCCTGCCCCCCCCCCCCCCACCAGGGGCACTAAAAGGCCATTCTTGGTTCCCGCCAACATGAAGTCGTTCGATGCTGCTCTCTCAGAAATCTCCCTGATTACCCAAATCAAATGTTGGCAGCTCTGGTACTACATAGCAATGTTAAAACAAATTATTACATAAAGCCTATATGAATACATTCAAAGATACAATTAATAAGATATAACATTATAACACAAACTAAGTATAACCAATATTATTCTAAAAGTCGACACATACAGCTGTGATATTGTATTTTCTTATGATTCTGAAACCTAAGGATGAGCGAAATCTTGAGGGGAAAAAAAGCCAGTACAATCTTTTGAAAGTTTTGGAAGTAGGTAAGAGGAAGAAGCATTTATAAATGAATCGTAAAAGGTGAAACATTTGTATCTTAGAGAAATCACTTTTTATTTTCACATGTTATCAGAAAGTTCAGGATGAAATTCCTCGTCGCATCATTATTACCACTATTCAAACCACTATTAGAAGGTCCTGAAACATTTGAGTAGACCCAATCACTGCTGCTGCTTTGTAACACCTAGATGCAATTTTCTTGTTATGATTTGTAGAACCTTGGCCAGCCAACTGCAGTACCAGATTCACCATCGATCCTCAGTCTACTTGGAGGAGACAATAGTTCAGATTCATTCACATCCAACCTTCTTAATGAGAGCGATCTTACACCAGAAGGTAACGACAGTACATTTTATTAATATTTGACAATTTTGCCTGAGCCTAGTCTATGGAAGAACAGGGCTCCATTTCACAAAACTTATCATCAGTGACAAATGACAGTTTTTGTTATAAACTACTGAAATACTTGCTTCTGATTGATTATCAGCAGATTTGTCACTTATCATTGAAAAAAGGCTTTGTGAAACCGGTCCCAGGCTAGACTAAATTCAAACCATAGTCAACGGGTGAAAGATTTTGTTGTTGTTGTTGTTTGAACACCTCAGTGAGCTGTCACTTTTCTTTTGGAAGAAATGTGTGTGATTTAAATACAAATTCACATTAAAAATACTCAGTTTTGTTTCCCCACCTTCCTTCATCAGTAAACCTTCCCAGCATGCTGATGGCCGGTGACGAGGAAGAGGTACTACACCATGGCGGAAGCAAAGGTCTGTCTGACCTATCAGCACTGCCCTCGCCCATCATCGTCAGCCGTCAGTTCAGCAACGATTCTTCGCAAGATACTCCGATGGAAGCCATCAGTGAGATGCCATCGTTTGCAGGATCCCTGAGATCTCTGGATAGTTCAGCGAACAGTGTCAGTGGGAAGGAGACCAAGTTGAGAAAACACAAGGTCAAAGGTCAAGCTGAGATGAAGACCAAGGACGGAGCGGAGGAAGATGAAGAAGATGCTTTTAAACCAAAGTAAATATGAACTGTTGTAACCAGTGCAGTGATAGTAAGCAGAATGTTTATAGCTAATGTGTTGTAGGTTTAATCAAAATTTTAGGCCAAAGTGTTCACGGATCTAAAAATTTGTACAAATGATACTTTATACTCGTGCTGTAGAACCAACTGTGTATTATATAAAACTGCAGTATCTTGAAATCTAATAATAATCAATTTGTGTATGTAGGAATCCAAAGTTGTTCATTATCAAAGATAGAGTGGAACCTCATGATAACAAACTCCCCAGAACCTAAAAAAAACCTGCATAAAAGAAGAAGTGTGTCTGGCAAAGACACCTTGTTTGGAATTGAGTTTATTCTAACGGTGTTCTTTTGTAAAGTTCTTTACCAGGTGCAACTGTGTGGTGAACACAATGAAGCGTTAAAATATTGTGACATGCTGTCAAACCTGTCCTAGTGCCACCTCTCTATAAAGGATATCTGTCTATAGTGGCAATGAATTTGACTCTTTTAAGAAAGAAACGTGTCTTGTAGAACCTGTCTACAGTGGCCACTTTTTCTGTCTTCCCTGGATGGCCTTTATAGACAGGTTTGACTGTAGTTGTGTGTATTCCATGCTCTTCTTTTGTTCTATCAGATTTCTCCCAATGAGTGTGTATGAGGAGAGACAGCTCCTCAAACTCCTAGAATCCTGTTCCGAAGCAGTGGATGTGGACCCGGTTGCTAGGAGACTGAGGAGAAAGCTTCTTATTAGACAGGTATGTCGTCAATATCACTCATATTTTGGTTGCTGGTGTAACCCTAACCAGAACTTTATTATAAAAATGTTGTCTTCCATTTTCATCCAATGCCCTGTGAGCTACTAGCCTCTTTTATGGACAACTGTCCACGAAGGAATTTTAGCTTGCATTTCATCTCTTACTTTGATGCTCTGTTGTGTATGATTTTTTTTGGGACACAAGGTTTCAAGATGTAGGCAATTTCTTTATATTATTCCTTTGATTTTGGTCATTCTTCTTTCCTAAGAGGTAGTTTTATGATCTTTATTGACACTTTATGATGTGTTTTGAAATCTGATAGATTATTATCTGTGCAATATGTGGACTAAAATTCAGGATTTCTGTATAGATTTGTATTTGACATTGTACTTTTTTTTCTTTTCAGGAGAAAAGAGCACGGGGTCAGCCCCTATTTGACCTTGATGCCTCCCTGCAGCAGATGCTACAACGTCGATGTCACATGACACCGTCCAAGATGGCCCGGTCGGTCTTCACCCAAAGTCCTCGCAGGGGAGGGGTCAATCCCCAGGGAGTAGGAATGCAGTATGTGTCATCGAGCCAACAAGAAGGAGATTACAGGATTCTAGATCGATTCCAGGTAGAAAAACTTCCAATAGTCTTTGGGATCATACCCATCCTTCATTTTTGGACTCAACTACCATGTCTGTAAGCTTCTAGTTAATGCCTGTAGGCTAATCAATTTTTATGTGTGAATAGTTTACCTTTGGTATCTTTTGATGTAGCCTGATGATATGGAAAAAAATGGTTAGCCTTTGTGTGACAAGAAAAATCACAACTACTTTTGATTATTGTTCCATTTGGTTGCAAGATTAATCTTAATTGGGCCAAGCTTGGGGATATGGACAAACTTTTAATTTTTATTCTAACGCTTTTATCATGTGTAGCCCATGTCCATTTGACACATCCACATTTGTTTTTGTATATGATTTCATCAGATGTCTCACTACTCAGCTCCCAGTGTCCATCAGCCTCAGACGTCGTTCAAAGCTCGTCTCATCGGTTGTAACGAGTCCGCAATGATGCAGAGTATTGTCAGTCCTTATACAGCAAGGTAAGATATATCTCTTGTCTCAATACATTGATCCAACCTAAAATACCAAATCCTTATAAATTTGATGAAGGTGTGAACAAACCGACTCACTCCTGCTATATTTATGAGCTATTTTTATTGTTTGCGAATGGCGAAGTTAATTGCAACAGTAGCCATCAGTTGTGACCCATGGTACGCTGCAACATTGTACACTAATCAATTTCAATTTTAGTAGCATTCAATTGTAAACAAATTTCGTGCAAAAAGGGTTGAAGTGGTTTCCATTTAGCAGAAAATTAAATGTGCTTCATTCAACAATACATCAGAAATTATTTGGTCCAAATACAAATGGTTAAGTTATGGAGTCATCTTAAGTAATAAATGGATATGCATATAATGTAGTCTATTCATAAAGCTATTCAGTTGTGAATTGAATTGTGCAATCCAAATCATCTTAAACATAAAGACCAGTTATGGTCATGCGATTGCATTGTGAAAGAAAGGTTGTGGAATCAGAAAAGGTTGATCATCTAGCATATAAGTATTGGTGTGTACTGCAAGGTTCTGGAATCATCAAAATGATGAGAAATTTGGCGCAGTCTTGGTAAAGTTACAAGCACTGTACACAGAAAGATGTATATGGGACTACACACACGTGCGCGACACATGCGTTTATCTCTCACATACCAATAGATAAACTAATTCACCAAATATATCAATTAGCAGGCGGTTTCCCGGCAAAATTGTTATCATCATGTATTAGTCAAAACATATTCTTTCACATGATTGGTAATACGAGCTTCCATTTCATTTTTTGAGATTGGGGCGTTTCCAATACTGGTCTTTAACTGAAAACCTTACCATTATATTAACCCATTGACTACTGAATCTTCTTTTTCTCATAGGCTTAATACAGGGACCAACAGGTTCCAGTAGGCAATGACTTAAAAAATAATGCAGAGTTTTACCCTCCAGAATATTGGCAATAACATTACAATGATGTGATGTCATGATTATATTTGGCAGAGTCCTGAAGCCTTTCATACGACGTGATACAGAGTCGAAGCCCCTCAAGCTTCGTCTACTCCAGGAGATTTTAGAGCATCATCGAAAAGCGGAGCCATCTTTCAAGGCTCCTCCCGTTGCACCCATCGACTACTGCTACGTTCGCCCTCAACACATACCCTCCATTAATGCCCTCTGCAGAGAGTTCTTCTGGCCAGGCATTGACTGTAAGTGTTCAGTTCAGTTCAGTTCAATTTGATTTAATTCCACTAGAAGCATATACACATAAGAATCAGAAATACAGGACAAATGCAAATCGTTATACAGTAAAAACTGCTTTAGTCACCACCTGTCTACAAAGACCACATTTTTTGTTTCCCTCGAAAATGGTTTCTCATTGAAAAATGTGCAAAAGTATTAACCTGTACATAAATACCACCTGCCTTTAAAGACTACTTTTCTTGTCTCCCTTGGGTGGTCTCTATAGACAGGTTTCACTGTATAAGTAAATTAAATATGAAAATAATTTCAACTGGCTTTGGGCTTGTAAGATGAAATGACCTTTATCAATTTGATCATAAGTGCTATTATTTTACCGAATTATCTTCATGTTCATCATTACACCCTGGTATTATCTCATTATTCTCTTGATGCATGTATGTAGCTAGCACTGTGCTCTCTGTTTGTGCATTCCCTAAATTGTTGATACAAAATCAATTTTCATGCATATTTAAAAATTAAGAGAACTTGTTGTAGTGTCTTGTTGATGGCTGGCTAAATTATTCGCTACTTTACTTCTAAGATTCAAAATGATGAATAATTAAGAATGAATTTGAGTTGGTTCATTCATTTACACTTGGTATTCATCATTTTTAATCCATTTACCAGTATCAGAGTGCCTCCACTATCCAGACTTCAGTGTGGTGGTTCTGTATCGTAAGGTGGTGATCGGTTTTGGATTCATGGTTCCTGATGTCAAATACAACGAGGCCTACATCTCCTTCCTCTTTGTCCATCCGGAGTGGAGAAGTGCCGGCATCGGTACCTTCATGGTCTACCATCTGATTCAAGTAAGTGTTTTCAGAAGTCTGTTGTGTTTTCATGTGATATTTTTTTAGCAATTTGGATAATTGAATTACAGGTTTAAGGATGAACTGAGGTCTGTAGACATAAACGGTAGTTATCGTCAAGATTGTGGTCAAGTAGTTTCAAAGTCCCAAGTCTTGACCTATGGTCAGGATTACTGTAATAGAATTTTTCTTTTTACGTTTATATTTGCAGTATTTTTAGTCCAATATCCACATTACATAAGTGTCATCGTTTGTGCTGGTTTTTTATAGTCATCAATAATTTAAACTTTCATAGACTCTGCACTTTTCAATTATTACCATATCATAATGAAATTCATAATGTATTGATAGTTTGGACAAATTTGGGTGAGGGGAGGGGGGGGGGGGGGTTAATATTTTGTTGTCAAGAAAGTCAATTTGTGATGTAACATGTAAATGTAATTATACCCATAAAAAAGTTGAAGACCATATTTTTTGAAAACAGTGATTATGATTCAAAATAAACATTTTGTTCCCTCTAAATATATCACAAATACTAACTTATTTGTTACATTGACAATTTGACACCATTTTGTTTCTTATTACTCAATCTGTCCTGTATAGACTTGCATGGGCAAGGATGTGACGCTGCACGTATCGGCCAGTAACCCGGCCATGTTGCTCTACCAGAAGTTTGGCTTCAAGCAGGAAGAACTCTTTCTGGACTTTTACGATAAATATTACCCCGAGGACAGTCAGGAATGTAGGCATGCCTTCTTTTAAGACTGAGAAGATAGCACCGATGCAGCTGGATCATGGAGTCTATTATTTAACCTGTTTGACATGATTTGATTTGGTACAATATGCATTTGCTGCAGAATACAGCTCAGGCTTAGTTTTCAACCTGTTAAAGGAAGTGTAGCTTGGCAAATACTGGTTAACGCCATCTACGTCTTCTTTTGGACAACTGCATGTAAACGAATGGACTCGATTAACAGTAGTCAGGTACTTTATCTCTACTTGATCAGCGTTTGCGAAACAGGCTGCAGTTCTCCTCATGCTTCGGTTTTGCTTATGTTCACGCACGTGATTGCTGTATTGGGCCCGAGTCAGGCCACAGGAAAGACACATAGTCTCGTCAGGCTACACTCACTTTAACTCTTTCGAGACGATCATTCCACATTTTGATCCCCGGCCATAGAAATATCCCAGATGCATGGGTAGAAAGAGCAATAATTTATGCACACATTGCATCCACTTTTATTTCATGACTGTATTGCGTTTGATTCCAGGGGGGTGTTTCACAAAGATCCTAAGTTGAACTTATCTTTAAGTTCGACTTCAAAATTATGGAGAGCCGTTAGCTTCTTTGAAAATATTTTGTAAAAGTTATTTTAAAAGACATTGTTGAATAAAATCATTCATATTTTCTATCATAAAGGAGATTGAATGTTCTTGATGCGGAATTTACTAAATGTCTAAAATACTTGAATTTTTGCTTTGGAATATGTTTTATTCTAAGACTACAAATGGCTCTCCATAATGTTTAAGTCCAACTTAGAGTTAAGTTTGACTTAGGATCTTTGTGAAACAGCCCCCAGGAATGTTTTCAAAGGAAAATAATCTTTTGAATTCTTAAATTGGCAACACGTTGACATATTAAAAATCATTGTTTTTCGATAAAAATGTGCAATTTTTTTACTTTTTCAAAACATTCTCGCCCATGTATTTTGTTTTACATTTTATTTCAACAATGTAGCAATAAAAGCAAAATATGATTGTTGTCAATTGAGGAACAATATGTGACCCATTTAGCCCTAAAAATAGATTCTGTCCTGAAAGGGTTAATCTAGATTTTTCTTGAGAATGAGTAACCAAAGTTCAGTTATTTTGCACCCAAGAATTGTTGAACTTGCATCCTTAATGTGTAGGGCTTTGAAATCATACAATGCTGGTGCAGATTCCATCTCAAAGACCCCAATAGGCTGTCAGTTTAAACAAATATGCTCACTTGTCTGTGAGTACTTACATCCCCAATTTATATGAAAACCAATGCAGGCATTCATTGTAAATGAAATGACAGGTAATGAATTGCCTGAGGTAACTCAGGCTGGAGTATATTGTGAATGTGTGTAATGTTAAAATCAAATTTTAACAAAATGGTGTTATACAGTATTAAAATCAAATTACACATGTATAACCAACAGGTTACAGTCAGCTAATATTATTACCTATTTTTTCTGCTACAAAGACTAGTATCCATGTGTAAGCTGCTTAATGGGTAGTTTTATAGAAGGAGCACTATGCTTTGTAGCATACATTTGTACAGGATTTCAGACCTCTAGTTGATTTTGTTCACCTTTAAAGCAAGTATTTTTAAATACTCTGTCTGAAATTCTAGATACTACGGTTGTGAACTTTGAAAGTTTTCAGAAACATGATGCAGGCAGGGTTTGGTATTGTATTATATCCTAGGATGAGGATAATATCATGTCAATTATTCACTTAACCATTTGTCTAGTTTATTAGATTTTCAGGCCTTAAATTTCAATATTTTTAGGGCAAGGCCACTTTTCTGTAGGGCACATTCCTATATTACAGCACAAATAGGAAGAATTGGAAAGGGCACAAAAAATCTCCAAGGCCAATGAGAGGGGCATGGGGGCCACTCAAAGGGGCATCCACGGCCATGGCCTTGGATTAATTTAAGCCCTTGATTTTGGTAAACATTAAACTTCGTGAGAGGATTCTGGCTCATCTCTTTTGGTATAGGGAATAAACATAGTGGAACAACATTTCTTTTATACATGTACCAGCCAATGGGTTTTGTATCTCAGTCTCGATATTTCAGTCATGATACATGTGATCCCCTATCTGATTATATCAATCATTTGGACCATAAAATTGATGGATGCCATAAAAAAGTTCAGCAATAATCTATAGAAATCCTACCCATGTGGAAATTTCACATGGGCAGGGATATCAAACGATTATGACTGTGCAATTCCTTTGCAGTCCATGTAAACTTTTTTTTTTTCTGAATTGCTGATTTTTCAAGACTTATAGCTTTATAAGCTAGAAATTTAGAGAATCATGTAAATGAATATAATAACTAGGTATTTGTCATTGGCAATAAAAGAGAGGATCAGATCTACAGAACCTGTCCAGCTGAAAAGCTGAAGTGTAATTTTCCAAGCTAGAGAGAAGTAAATTGCAAAATAGAAGAGAGTAACTTTGTGCCAAATGGAAACCATTATCGGTAGATACGTGCACTATGAAAAGCTGAAATTATTATTATTATTATCATTATTATTATTATTGTTATTATTTATTATTATTATTTATATTTTCATTATTAATATTATTGTTATTACTATTGATCATTATAATCATTATTAATATTATCCTCATTATTATTAATAATGTTTGAATATTAATATGTTTATAATTATTATATTTTATTGTTTTAATATTATTATTGTTACTATTATCTTTATAAATATTATCATCATTATTATTGATATATTTTAAATTGTTATTATGATTATTATATTATTATTTTTTTCCTTCTAATTATGATAATACTTTTTTTGTACATTAATAAAAGTGTATTCAATACATTTCCTGACATAATATTCGTCTGAATGGTAATGATGTTTACGAAGATTGACTTATTGAGTTGATTGAACTTGAGATTTTAGTGTTGTGTACACACAATTTAGTAAAACCTATTACCGTTCATCGCCCTGTTATAAATAACATATTGCATCTGGTAGAAGAAGTAAAAAAGGGGGAGAAAATAGTTCATAGGAAACATGTTATAAAAAAGAACAAACAAAAGAACAACTTCAGTGATGCTGATTTACATCATAATGGATGAAATTGTTGAGTAAATCATTTTATTTAAATGAATACACAATTTTGTAAATTTATAAGATGGCATAAGATATATATACAAAAATATAAAGATATCTCAGTATAAATAATATACATGTATATATATTTATATAAATATATATAAATAGAGAGAATAGAGAGAGATACAAAAAGAGAATTGGCACTTTAATGAAATGCATATTAATTATTATCCAGCTTTGTAATTTCAAAAGATTGTGGGAGAGAGATGAGAGAGAGAGAGAGAGAGAGCCCGAGAGAGAGAGAGAAGAAGAGAATGAACGTTTGAGAGTGAAAGAGATTGGGATTGGGGTTGGGATTGGGATGGTACAATGACCTGATATTAAAGATGAACAGTGGGCAGGGGGTCGGGGGGGGGGTGGATGGGCATGCATATAAATGCCCTCCTTTTTTAATTTTTGTTACTTCTACCCGTATTTCAGGGGGTGACCTAAATCTGTGCAATGACCCCCCCCCCGGCCCATTGGAACAACTTGAATCCACCTCTGATTATTGTTACATAAAGAGCACTTTCTGTGGGAGTTCTTATTGTTGGAAAGTATCATCAGATTCCAACCTTTTTGGAACAACGACTCGGCTGAAGTTAAAACATAAAAAGGCCACCAAAGGCCACCAAAGCAAATTGGCAATACTTTGTGCCCCAATTTATAACCTTCTAACTTTCTTTACCAACACACGATATCTACCAACATGGCGGCCTCTGGTGAGCGCTCGATATTTTTCTTACAAGAAACTATTTTGGTTTACTCATTTTGTTGATGTGATATATGAAGTTGATTACAGTCTTTGAATTAATTATTCTTTTGATTTCTGTTGAATTGGTTGTGATTCTATGACTGCATTTTATGAATGAACTTGTGTCAAGCTGTGTTAGGAGTTCACGGCGCGCTCTGCTTTTTCGGTGGCGTTTGTGTGGGAGAATTATCAGAAACGTGGGCATGTGTGTACACATGTAGCGTAGTCGTGAGCGTGAAGGGCGGCAGTGCAGAGCGAGGCTGAGGTTCGACCATATGGAAGTAGACATTCGTGAACAAAAATTCATGCCTTATTTCCATGGTTTATAATTATAGTTGACCAGTATTGATGGTTTACAATCTTACTGGATCTAGCTGCCACTGTGCTTAAGTTTAGGCCCTTTCCAGAAAACATGCCCACCTCCTGATTCTTCCCGAGATTGAGGCTGATGTCGTGATAAATTAAATTTTTGGGGCTAATTCAGAATCATAATCATATCCATACTTTGACCCATAACTCTGGCGTGGAGATACCCCACTAAAACATACCAAAAATCAACTAAATCTTAAACTTTTCAAATAATGGTCATGATTTAAAAGTCAATATATTTTTTACCTGTTTTGTGTCGATTTTCTTATCTTTTTTGAAGTATTTTTCCTAAAAACGAGGACTTATGATATACACTTTCTCACGGGATTTACGGCAAACTGCTGCACAATACAATTGCATATGGTATCGGGGGTGGGGTGCAGGTGTGCATGAAAATAGCGACCGTAATAACAAATTATTAACTTAAACTGTTTTGCACAGTGTATCCCCATGCTCGCTGCTCCGATGGTGTCAGTTGTTGCAATTTTGGACTAGGATGACAGTCATTAATACTATAGATTCGACTTGAAATGCTCTAGAATAGATGGACATTGTAATTTATATTATAGTCACGCAATGAGACAACAGGAGTGGGGAGCATTATGCAAGATCATGCTACTTGCAAGACCAAGTCCACACAGTGGTTTGTCCTTGAAAAATGGAATGTTCCCCCAAAAGAATGATACAATGAAAGATTAAATTTTAAAAAGATACACCAAAAGAAATCTGTGGCAGAGTCAGAGAATGGACAAAAACATTTGCCCTTTCTATTTTTGTAATATCTAGTATATTTAATTATTTATCATAATTGTTAAAACTAAATACAGAATTTTCATCATTATCGGGGGATCTAGGAAGGTTTCTAGAGAAAGATCTGCCAAAATGCTCAATTGCTAGAAGGCATTCTAATGATCAAGATAAATGATGCACTTCTAATTTCCATAATTAAATGGAAAACAAAAATTAACAACATACAAATCATTAATCTTTTATCATACTGCCCAAACTAGGTCAATTTTTTGTTATTGTTTTTTTTGCACTCATCCCTTTCCTGCTTTTGCATTTAAATAGCAAGTGGTAGATTTCTTGTCACAGCATTTTTCAAGTGATAATGAGGAGTCATTACAAGTTTTGCAGAACTCGGGGGGGGGGGGGGGGGGGGGGGGAGGGGGATGACTTGAACATATTGATATTGGGAGAAACCCGGTCCCTGAACAGGATTTTTTTCCTTGCACACCATAAATTATGCAGAGCATAGAGTACTGGTATGCAGCAGCGGGACCAGTCAGTTTAGATTAAATTGCTGAACTAATAATGGGACGGTAAAGACGTTGACTGCTTGAAGACTGCTTGAAGAAAGAAAAAAAAAAAACTTTTCGGGAAAATAATTTAGAATGACAGCTACAACATAATCGTTTCTAAGATTAAGGAATGCAGAAAGGGGTCATGCTTTGCAGTACCGAGGGTTCTCAGAAACAAGTCAAAATATGACTCGCTGAAGACTGAGCAATTTACAGTAGTACCACACACAAGATTAAAATGCTGATCAGGCTACTAAGTTTAAAATTAAAATATAATGTGCTTCAATTGTCCAAATTTCCACAAAATAATGGTTTACCAAAATTATTATGATGAAGGAAAGTAAATTCAAGCTCTTGAAAGGACATCGAAGTCCCTTTTAATCGTTTTTCAATGTGCTTGTATTATGCGGCTAAGCTTAAATTGGGAGTTAAGTTTGTCATGCTAGATGTGCGTGGTTACAGCCCTACACCGTCGTACATACAAATGAAAGTCTGAACTGATCGGAGCAATGGGCATCAAAGTACAAACCAACTAGAAATACTGTATTAGACTTTATGGCCCAAATTCACAAAGGAGGTTTAAATTTAACCCAGGGTTTAAAATTAGCCAAAATTAAGCGTACTTTGCCTTGCGTGCATCTACATGTAATATTGGACCTCTGACTGTATCATGCTTATTTTAGGCTAAATTTAAACCATGGGTTATGTTAACCTAAGAGCCTAGATGTAGGGAACAGTTTCTACTCAGGCCTAGTACAGACTACAGAATAACAAGACTTTATTCCCATTCCCCGAATTGTACATTCATATGTCTAGCAAGTAGCGATCTCTCAGGCGAAGTACAAAATAAACAAAACTGTTAATAAATAATGCTGGAATGATATTTAAAGAGTTTAAACAAAATTACTTTAGTGCTTATTTGGTACTAAAGTGGCGTAAGCTATCTCGGCAGTAACACCCTTTCTTTCATATTAGAAACCATTAAATGTTGAATTTTTTGTGTTTTGTTGTTTCAGGAAAGAAGAAGGGTAAGAAGAAGGGGAAGACTCTGAATCTGAACGAGTTCCTGTCAACAGGTGATAATTCTCCTGCTCCTGGTACCAGCTTTGTTTTTGCTTCAAAATCATCATGGGCAGAGGAATCAGAGACTGCAGATGGAGATTGTAAGTATCTGCTGCAACCATCACCAAATTATTCCTCACAGTTTATTGCAAATATTAACGTGGGTTTTGGTAGTGTTTCCAATATTCTGTCATCTATATCTGTTCTACAAAATCCAGTCATGAGAATCTAGAAAGGATGTTGCATTTTCATTGATAATGCTCATGATTGCTACTGCTATGAGTTTAGAAGTGGAAAGAAATCGCAGGATGTATATTGTGGTCATAGGAAGCATTAGAAATGTATGTAAATTTGGCTTTGTGCTAAATGTATGCATTCAGAGGTGTATCAGTGAGACTGAGATCTCATGATTTTATGTCTTGCCCTTCAACATTACCTTCTCAAAGGCTCAACATAAACCTGAACTCGAGTCCGAATCTAAAGAGAACCTTAGATGCGACCATGTGACCAACTCTTGTTTAATCTAGGTTGCTTTTACTTTTGACAGACAACGCCCAGACCTCATGGGCAGATTCCAGTTCGGCCGGCATGCCAGACCGTATCTCTCTGCCTACCGCACCAAAGAGTGCCCAGCAAGTGGAGATAGACAAGGACAAGCTTCCCCCGAATCCACCTTACACCATCTACCTGGGCAACTTACCTTTCGACTGCGAAACCGACGATATCGAGAAGTTTCTCGTTGCAGCCACCTGTAATGTTAGTGTTATCTACCAGAATATTATTTTCTTTTTTAAATTAAAACATAATCCAACCCTTATAATAAGTTGATTTGTATGAAAGCAGAAAAATTACCGAAACAGAGGTCAAAAGTTTGAAATGAATTGTACCAATGGTATGGAAGTTATGAGTGTGTGAAATATGACATCACCAAGTATATGCAAATTTGAAGTTGGTAGTAAATTAAAGATAACAAGAATAGACTGTCGTGAGAAATAATTTTTTGGAAAATTTAAATTTTAGTCATTTTGTATGTTGGAAGAGATAGGAAAGTAGTCCGGCAGTACATCTCATTGACATTACAGCTTCAGCCAATTTGAAGTGCCCATTCGTATAGTGATTATAACTTTAAAAAATTCATAACTTTCTTATATTTAGTCAGATCTAATTGACACTTTCTTCAGTCTGCTTCTCTGATTTTTCTGCTTTCTTTTAGAGTAGTTGTCTATTTGGGTTGGATTTCTCTTTAACACTTATTTTTTTTCCATTTGAATGTATTATGTATCAGATGAATGTTTCAATTGTACCGGATAAATGATTTTCATAATGTAGGCATATCTAGTCTTTCAGTATTTTATGTCTGTTGAAACCCACGAGTACTGTAATGTACTTGTTACTGCCACTGTATTATTACATGTAAATATAAAAAATTATCTGTTCACAACTGAATATGTCTTTTGCAGCAAGGGAATTTCCATATTTATATTCTTCATTTGTTTAATTGTGGAATATAGTAGTAGTTACTAGTATTGTTGTTAGCTCTCTCTGTTATTATGCTTTTATGTTTCTCTTGATGCTCAGGTGAGCGATGTAAGGTTGCCTACAGAGGGAGATAGTGCGCGTCCCAAAGGCTTTGGATATGCAGAGGTTGAAGACATGGATTCATTGTACAAAGCCCTCGCCCTCAATAACACAGTGAGTGGATTTCTATTTGCAGTAGATGCAAGTCGGTTTTTTATAACTAGCTTTAATTTGATTACATGATGTTCATTAAGTATTTGTCTTCCCCAGGGCAAGGATATTGATTGCAGAGGTGCTCTTGACCACCTGAACAGTACAGTAACCTAAAAATCATGCCTTATTGGCAGAGTATTTATGACTATTATATATGTGTTTTAACATTGTTGGATTATAGATAAATAAAATTGAATTGAACTGAAATTGATGGTCCTAAAAATAATTCCCCGAATAGCAAGTTGATAGTCTGGTTTCAGTTGCATTTAAAAAGAAAAAAAAAAAAATATTTGTTAAAGAATATTTGTTGATTTTTATGAATTCACTATGATTGTTATTGCGAGATGAGGAGTTATTTTCATTAAATTTCCTTTCACAGCAATTGAAAAACAGACGGATTCGTGTTGATCTAGCCAGTCAAGCACAAACAGGTATGTTTTTTTTAATATTATGGATCAATATATGTGAAGTCGAGAGATATTTGTTTAAATTCTAGACAGTTTATTTAGTTTATTTCATATTATCAGAAGGATTAGCTGCTTATCTATTGAGCTAAATCATAAATGTATGGTGAATTGTGTTGATTTTTATGTTCTCACTGAAAGTGTTTTGTTGATTGTACGGACATTGCAGTGTTGACATTGTCCTAAAGTTTCAAGTTAGTTGTGATAATCATGTATGCATGTAAACAAAATTCAGTAACTCGTAGACGTATACACAATCTTTTAGCATGTATGTATATTGGATCTCTGTGAAATGTTTACATTAAAGATACTATGTCCCTTTTGCAGCCAACATCAAATTATGTTGAACTTTGCAGGAATTATGAATATGTCATGTATGTCCTTTCTGTGAAATTTAAACGTTAGCAGTGTCCTCATATTCAAATTATGCAAGGAAACCCGTTTACTTGCTAGACTTCACTGTCAGACACTATTGAGTGACTGACTGGCTTTTTTCTTCTTTGATAATAACATACATAAAATGAGCTGTAAAGGTACATGAGCATTTGTCACATCAATAACCCACTACTTGTAATGGCCAAAATTAAACTGATTGAATCTTTGCGCAGCATAAAACGTAAGACCGGTACAATGGTCTGAAAATCAGACTATTACTTACTAGCTCTATAGCTCCGAAGTCTATTCGACAACTAATAGTCGTTATTTTCCCACTTAAAGACATTTTCAAGCCCCCCTTTTTTAGGGAAGTTCTAAATTAGTATTATCTTTCAAATGCCTTTGGAATTTAACCTTAACATTTGTTTGGCCTGCAAAAGGGACATAGTACGTTTAAGGCTTCAGAATTGATTCTCATTTGTTATGCTGGATATTCATAAATTTCAATAAATTAAAAACAGAATATCCATATTTCATTCAATACCATGGTTTATAACTCTTAATTTTATCTTTTGCTTCCATGTACTTGTAGATGGAAGAGGTGGTGACAGAGGATTTGACAAGACGCCTGGTGATTGGAGGAGGGGTGCTGACACAAATAGAGGTGGAGGAGGTGAATGGAACCAGGGAGGTCAGGGAGGAGGTCAAGGTACGCAGCAAAGATCAGTGCTATTTATTCAATTGATACCATAGGCCTGTCCTCATCGGCTCGAGATTGCCAAATTTCCCGCTATTTTAACTATCCCGATCGCAAATTATCGAGTTTATTTGCGTCTTCATCAGCCCGAAGTTGCAATTAGCAGGATATTTGGTCGAGATAATCATCCCAAGATATCTTGGGCTAGTTTGAAAAACATCCCGCTATTCGTCCGATGCGACTTCACCAGCCCGAAGACTCTGCACTATGCATGAACGCTGAGCAAAATATCTTGAGCTAATTTCTCGAGCTTGAGTTTCGTGTGAAGAGGTCGAGTCTCGAGCTGATGAAAACGCGATTTGTAACTTCAGCATTATTTCCCAAATCAGAAATAGCTGAGCTGGTGAAGACAGGCACCATGTCATCCAGCTGCGTTGCTCTCATGAGGGACTCCATTGGAAACTGATTGAAGTGTAGTCATTGCCTGTGCAAGTAGGACTCTAAAACAGTACATATTACAGTGTAGTTGAAGACTGTATGCATGTGAGGCATTTTTTGTTTCGAATGATAAAGAAAAAAGAACACCCTGTAGATGGATAATTCTGCACTCCCATTCACTTCTGCTTTATTTAAATTGAGTGTACAGAAGAGGATTGAACAGAGAATCGCAAATTTAAAATTTATATTATATACTTGAAAAGAAATATTTTTTCCCTCTTCATTTTAACTGAACTAAATATTGACATGCGTTGAGTTCATTTACTAAATTGACTCCAACTTTCAAGCCTTGAATGGATATGCACATATAACGTGTTAGTGGAATTGAAGCTGATATGAAATGAATCTTGGGTTTCATAAGAATGAAGTGACATATGATTTGTTAAACTAGTGCTCAGAAAGTAGTTTATCATGAATTGATTGAAATGGTTTTCTGTCTTCCCTTTGCAGGTGGAGATAGGTACGGTAGCTCTAGCAAGCCTAGCGAGAGCGATAGAGATAGATGGCGAGATAGAGGAGGCACGGATACCCCAGACAGGGGCGGTGGATCCTTTGGTAACAGGGGATACGACGGTGATAGGGGCTTTAGCAGGGATCGTGGAGGAGGAGGAGGAGGAGGTGGTTTTGAAAGGAACTATGATCGTGGAGGCGGAGGAGGCGGAGGAGGGTATGAGAGGAACTATGACCGAGACAGGGGTGATGGTGGCTTTGGTAGAGAGTGGAATCGTGATCGTGGCGGCGGTGGTGGAGGTGTTGGATCTGAGGAAGGTTCCGGTGGGGGTGGTTATGACAGGCGGAGTGACAGAGGCCCTGAGAGATTCGACAGGGGAGGAGGACCAGACAGAGGATACGATAGAGGCGGACCGGACAGGGGCTATGAGAGAGGTGGTCCTGAGCGAGGTGGTCCCGATCGCGGAGGTCCCGATAGAGGAGGATACGGCCAAAGCAGAGGAGGATATGACAACAAAGATGAAGGAAGAGGTGAATTAAGCTTTGTTGTCTCTCTTAAAAAAAAAAAATCTAACCATCTCAGATTCAAGTCAGCTAACAGTTGCAAAGTCAGACAGCAATGGTTACAGATACATTGTTTAAACATATCGTCGGCCAGGTGGCAGAAGGGCGTTAGCGTGCGAGCGACTCGAAAACTACTTTTCAAATTATTCACATTTAAAGATTTGTTTTATATTTAAACTGCTTTCTGTCCCGAAAATTGGTTTAAAACATAAAAGACTAATAGAAATGCTGTAGTAGAACACGGCCACTATTTTTTTCTCGGAAATGAGTCAGTTTTATAGGCGATTAAGTGCTAACGCCCTTCTGCCTAAAGTTTCATTATTGACCTGAAAGTCGAGCTAACGCCCTTCTGCCAGCCAGGCGACGATATTTGTGGCTTACACCCAGTAAATAAGATCGATTGATCGATCTGTGATTGAGGAAGCATTACATTTATAAAAGATACATTGTTGTATATGAAGGGTAGTATTCAGTACTGGTCATGCAAATGTATTGTGCAAGGTGGTAGAAATGTATTGTGAATGTTTGATTATGCAGTCATTAGGAGGACAATTTGTAGAGAGAGGCTTTGGAATCAAAGAATTGATAATAAATTGAATGAATCATGCCAAGGCCGGGTAGTAACATTGGAGCACCAGGAGTGGCAACATACCAAACATGTACCGGTATGCTGTAAGAACCCACTATTGTTATTGAATTACAGAGAGTAAAAAAACATTGCATACAAGTATGGGTATATGGGACTACACAAATGTGTGGCATGAAGGTAGTTAGAATATTAGAGCATTGCTATGAAAACACTTTTCTAGTGAGCAGAATACTTTGATGTACTTCCAGGTGGAAATTGAAAGAATATTGGAACCAAAAACCCCAAACCTCGTTACTTTTCTCAGCACTATTCGTCCATCCAAGAAAAGAACTCTTTGTCAGACATAATCAAGTTTGAATCAATCAAGTAGTTATAATGTGCAGTGCAATTTTAAGATCACGTATCTCAAGTTCATTATTTTGTCAGACAAGGAACTAATGATATGTAAATACTCTTTCTAGATGACTGGAGAAAGAGTGAGGAAGGCGCTCCTGCTCCTGCAAGGAGAGGAGGTGATGAAGACTATGCACCTGCTTCTGAAAGAGGTAATATAGCTTTGGATGGCAAATTCATTGTATGGAATCTGTAGTGGTGTGTTTAAGGTTATGCCAAATGTTCTTGAATACCTGGAGGTATCCAGCCTGTCTATTGTGATATTTGACAGTGGATTGTTGTGTGGTGTATAACCAGGAAATTTCATAACATGAAACATTTATTGGAAATGACAGGTGTTTTCACAGAGGCATGAAAGTATTAAATTTGGACCCCTGTGAAAACTTGCAAGGATTTTGCTTTCATACAAATGCCTATGTCCACCATGCTTTGGGTGCCAGTTGTGTTAAGGTAATACGTTTGGTCTTCACAAATTTACGAATAGGTCTCATTATTTATTAATTTCTGTGCGCCGATTGTGTCGATGCCATGTTCAATGGATTTACGTTTGGAAATGGGGAGTATTCAAGTGATAGCTCAGTTGGTAGAGCAGTGGTTTCGTTATCCGGTGACCCAGGTACAGTGCCCTTTGGTAAGGCATTAATCCTCGTTACCAGGTCTCTTGGAGAGGACCTAAAGCCGTTGGTCCTCTGGTCGCTTACTAATGAGCATTTATGCTTTCTTAGTACTGTTAGAAGTCAGGTGAGATAACCACCACCACTATATTAATTCGTTATTGTACTTATTTGTGTCGTCCATAGGACCTGGAGAACCACCTCGTGAGCGGAAGAAGCTGGTACTAACGAAGAGAACACAACCAATAGAGAAGAATCCTGCCAAGGCCGCCAGTGCTTCCTCCATCTTTGGAGGGGCCAAGCCAGTAGACACTGCTACCAAGGAGAGGGAGATTGCAGAGAGGCTCGAGAGGGAGAAGAGACAGTATGAGCAACAGAGAGTGACACAGAATATGGAGAAAGACATCTCAAGGAAGGAAGGGTAAGATCAATATCAACATAAAACTCTAAGGCCCGAATTCACAAAGGAGGTTTGTCGACAAACCTAGGTTGTACAAACCTTGGTTGGAAACACATTGAAATGCGTCATATGACGCACATAAACCTAGGTTTGTTGCCAAACCTCCTTTGTGAATTCGGGCCTAAGCGTTTATTTTTAACCCCCCCCCCCCCCCCCAAATCTACCATTACAAATTGTCACTACTCGTTTAAAAATGTAAAGAAGATGTTTTTAGATTTTCATGTAATTCCATTACTTAGCAACATTTCAACCTCAACAAAACAATCGCAGCTAAATAGCTGTTGTTAGACCACTTTGTCTAGAATGGGCATGTTAATATTGGAAGTGTTGTTCCGAAGGATCTAAAAGTAATTTCAACTTCTCATGTTTTAATCATTGGAATATATAGAGTGATGAAGTTAATGATATGTTTGATTGTTCCCTTACAGCCCAGAGCATACCAATGCCCGTGTAAGGAGAGACAGTGAGAGATCCGAAGGGAGGGAAGGAAGAACTCGTCACAGTAGCTCTGGCTCAGGAAGAGGTGGTCCCAGACCAGGTGAGAGTAAATCTTTCAAGAGTTGCAGATCATTAGAATATATAAGCATCTAAAAAGTCATTAGAATATATAAGCATCTAAGAAGTCATTAGAATATATAAGCACCTAAGAAATTGCAGTAGCTTCAATTTAAGAGCTTTTCCACATGCAGTTTGTCAGCAAATTTGCATTAACAAAAAAATCTGTTTGTATTTACAAGGACATACATGTTCACTGCTCTTTGTGAATCGATTAAATGAGACCAACCCATTCAAATTTGTATGGTCAAATATAAAATTTAAAAAAAGTGCCAGAAAGTCTACTCTTTACTTGGGGTGTCATAAGGCATGGGGCTAAGGTTCTTTTGTTGGAAAATAGTTTATTTGTTGTAACCCATTTGTGTTTGGGAAAAGAGTATTCTCAGAGATGATTGAAAGCACTGCCATGGCTGTTGATTTTTATTGTGCTTTTATTCCGCCTAGCCACAAAGTCGATCATGGTAATGCACGCAGTCACAGTTCCATCTAGCTTGTTGTATTATTATCCCAAATGGTCTAAAGAATATATGTAGTGAAATACACGATAATTGAAATATTTATTTCATGTATTGCATTTTTCCAGTAGGAAGTAACTGATTTATGTTCTTGGTGTATTATTATCCCGCGATTGGATTTTTTCGCAATTGTATTATTTTTGGTATAGACATTTGCCTTTTTCCTGGCTGCAACAATTCATTTGGGTTATTTGTTTGATGGTTCATTCTGTAGTAATAATGAGAAGAGAAAGTGAGAGGTCCAACGATGAAGAAGTGTTCCATAAGGATGACCAGGCACCCGTCTCTCCTACTCCGACATCTCCACCTCCACCCAAGACACCTACCTCACCAAGACAAGAAGATGTCAAGTTAATACCAGCCCCACCTCCCAAGGTAAGTTAGAAGAGTATGTGATAATCTGGTACAGTGAAGCCTGTTTAGAAAGACCACTCAAGGGAGGCAAGACTAATGGTTTTTCTGTGCAGGTGGTCTTCATGTACAGGTTCCTTTAGTACATATTTCAAAGAGAAGCCATTATTCAAGGAAAACAAAAATGTGGTCTTTATATACAGGTGGTCGCTTAAGCAAGTTTGACTGTATCCATTAAAGGGTACTATTTCCATGTAAATATTGTCTTTGTTTATTCTTTTCTACTGAGGAGAATGTTCTTTTATGCCAATGTCTTAAAAAAGAATAATATATATCTATATGTATGTTCTGGATGTGTGGTATAATGGAAATTATTGATCTAGCCACAAAAGCAGAAATGGAAACTAAAAATCGATCTAAATCTGTCAGTACAAAGGAAAGACCGCTGCAAAAGAAAATTCATATTTCAATCTCAACCCTACAAATTTCATTTCTATTTTCCTGTCCATATTTTTGTATCAGTTATATTCACAGAAATATTTTGTTCTGTTTTGTTTAAAGGTAAAGACCAGTTTTGGAGAAAAAAAACCTCTCAAAAAATGAAATGGAAGGTCTTATTACCAATCATGTGAAAGAATATGTTTTGACTAATACGTGCTGATATAAATTTTGCAGAGAAACCGCCTACTAATTGATATATTTGGTAAATTATTATATCTATTTGGACCTGATAGATACCGTGCACGTGTGGTGTAGTCCTATATACATCTTTATGTGTACAGTGCTTGTAACTTTACCAAGACTGGACCAAATTTCTTATCATTTTGATCTATATAATTTTTATATGCTAGATGATCAACCTTTTCTGATCGATTCCACGTTTCTTTCACAATGTAATCGCATGACCATAACTGGTCTTTATCTTTAAGTTAAGATATAGCAGAATGAATAACGGCTAACAATTTAGGCATGTTTTTAATAGAAGGTGTGTGTATTGGGTTTTTACAGACGTGTTTCAATCAGATTACATACATCTGGGGACCGACCTTTAAACGTCACCACCTGAAAGACATGAGTCCGTTTCGAAACTGCGTCCTCGTCTGAATCAGTTTGTAACTTCCACTGTTAGCTGGATTACAGGCACACGCCACAACACCCAGTTAAACTCTTTTGCATCATTTTTATTTGGCAGGAGAATGCATGGGCCAAGCGCAGTCACAGTGACACGGTAGCATCACCTCCAGCTGGCTCTGCTGGCAGCAAAGCTTCACATGGTCCAGGGGATCGATCATATGGTGAGACAGGGGCATGGAGGGATGGCGATAGTAGGCCTAGGGGAGGAGGTAGGGGAAGAGGAGGGGGACCTCCAAGAGGGGGACCTCCAAGTGGGAGAGGACAGGCACCTAGGTCTGGTAAGTCAGACAGTCTCACTCTCGTCCATTTTTTAAAGTGTTCAATAGTACTCCTCAAGTATCCATTAAAAAAAAAGAAATCTCTTTGATATGAATGTTGGGAATACATTCTACAGTTTTGTACTGTTCTGGTTAAGTTTTTCATACCTCTTTTGGTTCATTCCTCAAGTCAGATCATCAAGCAGCTTCATGGCAGAGTTAAGAACTATTTTCCAAAATTGAAAATTATAAAAGGGTTGTTCTTATCAAATATGTTTGTATGTATGAAGTGCTTTTGACAGATCCATGCACAAGATATTCTATGAAGGATATTATATTACAATGCAAATGAATGTCTATTTGCTGTTAACTTCTAACATGCTTTGCTTCTTTTGATGTCCGAAGGTGGTGAACGAGGGGGAGGAAGAGGAGGAGGAGGAGGAGCTCGGACTGATGGTGAAAGGAACAAGCCTCCAGGTCCTCTGCCTAAGTATGAGGAACCCAAAGCTAGGGTAAGTCGGTCATTGTGGTATCAAACCTCTTTGACGTTTATGCTATCCATAAGGAAGTTGTAATTTTATTGAAGAAAAAAAAGAATTAAATTTGAACCAAAGGAGAATTAAACCCAGCCTGTTAAGTCTCATTTTCTCTCTTTTAGTGTCTAACAGTGAAGTGTAGAAAGTAAACAGGTTTTCCTTGCATAATTTGAATATTAGGACACTGCTAACGTTTAAATTTCACAGGTAGGACATACGTGACATATTCATAATTCCTGCAATTTACTACACAATTTGATGTTGGCTGCAAATGGGACATGGTACCTTTAACAAGAAGGTTGAGTACTCATATGCTAAGTGATCGATTCCACACCGTTTCTGTCACAATGCAATCGCATGACCAGAACCCAACTTTATCCGTAAGCAGAATAGTCATGTATGGTGTGTCTGGCTGTTTTATTATTCATATGTAGCTCTAGTCTGATCAGTTGTCTGAGAGGCCTCTGAAAATATGAATATTTTGGTTCACAGTACTGTTCCCCTTTATTGTTTGGATAGGTATTGTAATAGATTCTTTGTCTGAGAGGGCAAATTGATCTTGAGATGATTCTCTAGGACAGCTACAACCCCTGGGCCATGATCCCCCACACCCCTAGGACAATGGCATCCAACTAGATCTTGAGGATATCTACCCTTAGACAATTCCCTCATTTCCTGGGTACTTGTCCAAGGGGGAAGGGGGTTTTGTGTTCCAGCAATAATAGTCCAGAGGGTGGTCCTCTAGATATGCCTTCAGTCAGACTGAATACAATTTTTTTTTAAAATAAAATATTTTGACGGTTAGTAGACAGTTTTATTTTCCTTTTCATTTTATACAGGACTGGTCAGATGCCAATAAGTTTTCATCACTCTTGGAAGATGATCTTGGAAATACATCAGACTAAAATCTTATTGTATGATCAAGTCTTGTGTAAGAGAAATCTGTTCCACAGTGTGGGGTATTAAACTGGTGTAAGATTTAGGATTTTGTTTTGCTTATTACTATTAGAGTATCTATATTTTTCCATGTTACCTTGAGATTAACATTTTCAGGTCTCAAAGTTCATTTCAATTTCATTTTCATTCAAGTTAATAATATATATATATATACCATTGTTTTGTGGAGTTTATTTGAAATGCCCTCTCTGTGATGCTAATTCATGATTTGATAGTTGTGACATGAACAGAGTTCAATTGCAAATCAAACACCTCTCTGGACAAAATCATTTGGTATGCCATGAAATACACATTCGATTTTGAATCCCATATTCACCATTCAAAATTTTGTAGGTTAAACAAAAAATATATATATAAATTTGGTTGCCTTTCAATATGGAGATAAAGGAATGGTATATATTTCAAAGGATTTGAAGCGGAGGCCAGATATTTTTACATGCCTATGAAACTTGTGAGTGAATGAAGTAACTTCTACTTTTATTTCAATGGATTAAGATAGATCATTAGTAAATAAAATGTAACTATACTACAGAAGTAATAATGATAATACTTAATATTCCGCTTTTATATAGTGCTTAATACATCTGCAATGTCTCTAAGCGCTTTACAGATATACTATTACCCCGTTCATTGGATTCAATACTTGCCTGCACACACTGTGTGTACAATCTCCACTTCCTGGGGAGCATTCCAGCCAGGCGTTACTTGACGCCTAGCAATGATGGTCACATACTATGGGTACCCTTTTGGTGATTAAGATTATGTTAAAGAAAGGGAATAGCTGGTATGAATCTTGAAATCTTGCAAGCTTCATGATGATGAAGTTTTACCCTCTTCTCCTTAATCGTAAAAAGTATTGGAACCACATAAGGTGGAGAAAATTTTGCAGAAATGAATATCAAATGGGTTTTATGCAAGGCAATTTTTTTGTTATTCCAGACATGATGTATGCAAATATGACTTCAGAGAAAGTTTTTTAACTTGAATAAAACTATCCTGACATCCTTAGTTCCTTCCTTTTTTTTAAGTATTATAAATTTGTATTTAGATACTGATTGTCGATGGTTTCAGGTGTTGATATGTGCTTAAAATCAAAATAATTCCAATCCTTTTTACAACTGTTGGAAGAACTTGTGTTGTCCTAAAGTAGCTTTTATTGTATGTATAAAACAATTTTACCTTAAAACTTGTAGAGAATTTAAACTTTGATTCACTTCAAATAATTGGAAAAAAACCTGCTACTGATTCAAGGAAAATGCATTGTAATAGTAATCTTGTAAAAGTGTTTCAGCTACAATTGCATTTTTATGTTTAGCTTTTCCCCTTTTTTATGCATAGCTTATCATGTTTCAAGTATTTGATGCCATTAGAGATTGTAGCATGATGATTTTCCATTCTTGTCATCTTCTCTTCATAGTTCATACACACAAATGAGCAGTCAAAGACTAGCTTGTGGCATTCGTGTAAATTTGTTTGAAGAAAGTGACAACATTTTAGATACTGCTTGCAATATCATTTTTAAGATTAACTGTGGAATTCACATTCTCAATGAGAAATGGTTGGCTTAAAAATGACCACGTATTATGATAGTAGAAAAGAACAAAAAGGAATTGTCATTTGTAAAGAGAATCATTAAAGCATGGACATCATTGAATTCTATAGAAATTGTTGTACAGTCAAGGATATTGGATTGTATGCCAAAGTTAGGCAATGGTAATCCATTTGTTATTAGACTAGTGCCTGTACTTCATCTGGCCAAGCATATTAAGATTCTTGCTCATCCCTTTGAATATATGATACATAACGACAGATTTTCATATCACTTCATCTTCTTACAAAATTTACTTGTCCAACTCCATATTATATAATTTTATTAAATTGTTTGGAGAATATAGCTGTGTATTCAGGCAAAACTAAATCGGGTAAGAATAAACGATGTACTAACATTTCTGCATTTTCTGCATCATATTTGCATATATATTCCCCCCTCCCAGGGATCAGATGCTTTAAGAATATTAGTTATCTAGTATATTTGCATTTTAATTTAAATATTCGGATGAATATAAGAGTTTCCATTCAATGTCATGTGTCTATTTAGAGTACATGGTTAGGTCCATTAAGAAATATGACTGTGGGCGGGCCTTGCGTAAGATGAAACTCTTTATCTTCTCTAGCTTTCATTTGCTAGGAATATATCATGAAATGTTAAGATCTGCTTGGAATATTCCTTTGTTAAAGCTACTTATCGTCCGATTATTTTTATCTTGTGGATATCATTCATTTTGCTGCTTTAACTTGATAACCTTTCTGTTATGATATCCTTTTACTTTTCTATTGAAGAGTGGACAGATATCTTTAAGGACATTTTGTAGGTAAAAATGTATATAAATTTGAGATTTCAATTTGTCGTATGATGGAAGCATATCTGAATCATTTTATGTAGAGGGAGAGTATTGAATAGCCAGCTTTTGAATGGTGACATTAAATACTCCTATACGACCAATGCCAGATTTAGAATTCATAGAGGCAAAGCCCAATACTGTATTTCTGTACGTGTACTACAATTCAAGAATCTTGATTATTTTGGAGTATTTCTCGACAGCGTTCTTACATGTTTCATGAATTATGTACTTGAACGTATGAAATTTTGAATGAATGAGAATAAAACCACAAAAAGATATGAATGACCTTTTGTTCTGCATTTATTTAATCGATGGACAAAAAAGAGAATTGGAAGAACCAAAAATGAGAGGATAATGTGTGTGTATGGCATTGAAGAGATGAGAACCAGTCGACCCAAAGGGCGTCTTTGAAATCAATGATGTCTTTGAAACCAAGACCGCCAAGCCCAAGAAGCCTGCGATGTCTTATTTGAATTGATCGTACATGCACTTAAAAGATCAAACAGTAGTATAATATGCACAAACTCTTCGTTCTTGTTTGCACATAACTTTAGTTCAGTGTGCCAATGTTACGCCCGTGGTTCTTGTAGTTTGATGTTTTTTTTAACGATTTCATGCAGTGAGAATGGCACCCTTGCGTAACAAAAGGTACTAGTGTGTTTATATTTGCTTCAATACATGTATAATAAAGATTTTATTTCGTGAGTCTCCGTAAAGGCCCGGTCACACAGAAGGGACGCATGCGGGACGCACGGCCGGCGCATGGAAAATTTGCAATTTTGGCCAGTGCGTTGTCGTTCGCTAGGCGTGCGTCATCACTCGTTACTCGTTCGTCGAGCGCGCTGGACCAACGCTGGACCAGCGCTATGCATTCGTCGTCATTCGCTGTGTGCGTCGGGATTTTTTGAGCATGCTCAAAAGTGTGCGCGGAGCTCGACGCATGAATGTACACGCCAAAGGCACGCCAGACGTGCGTTGAGCGCGCTAGACCAGCGCCAGACATACGCGGGGCACACGCCCTGTATACGCACAGCGCGCTAGCTACACGCTGTGCATTTTGTGTCAGCTCGCTAGCTTTTCCAAAATCATGACAAAAGTTAGGCACACGGCCTTTTCCGATTTCCAATGCGCTGGCCGTGCGTCGTAGAACGCGGTGCATGCGTGGACCATTCGTCCAGCGCGCTAGCAACACGCTGTGCATTCGTGGAAGTTGTTATCATGTGCGCTCTGGGTACGGTCTGTATGCGTACTGTATGCGCCCTGTATGCGCTCAGCGCGCTAGCAACACGCTATGCATTTGGTGTCAAAAGTTGGGCGCACGACAACGCACTGGCCAAAATTGCAAATTTCCCATGCGCTGGCCGTGCGTTCCCCATGCGTCCTCCCTGTGTGACCGGGCCTTTAGAGCTCACATGAGAACCCACTGTGCGCATGCGCAGTCATATCACTTCGCATGGTTTTAAGTAACTTCTCAGAGCGGTCAAATTTTACGTGAAAATTCCACTTTTTCTTCGTCCTAGAGAATTGTTTCTTTCGAGAAACAAAGCTTGCTTACAGATTATTATCTGGATTTATCTGTTTCGACTTCTTCGAGAGCAATTTTGAGCTCCGAAACTTCTTTTGATTATGATTATTGATGTCAATAACTTGCAAACAAAGCTTGAACAAAAATGGAATTTAGCACGTGGGAGGGTTCACATTATACAGCTCTTCTAATGCCGATGCTGCTTGAAGAAGAAGAAAAAAGAAGAGGAATAGGAAGAAAATGAATAAGGAGGAAGAGGGGGGGGGGGGGGGAGGAGAAAAGGAGAAGATATATTGCAAATGCCTAGGTATCTTTCCTACTCCTACTCCTTCATCCTCTACAAACCAATTCAGTCAGAGGCATCAATGGAAGGAAAGGGGGGGGGGGGTGATAATTGCTCCCACTGTATCGTGTGTAGCGATAACATGTTCTCAAAGGAGTTGGCCAAACCCTCCTCCCCCTTTTCTGTCTTCATAGTTGTTTATTCTTTATTTTCTACAAAAATCTTCTTCATATTCTCTCTCTCTCTCCTCCCCCTTCGTATCATTTCGTGTATACATGTTCCTGTTTTGCCCCATTTCTCTCTTCCTTTTTGTTTTGTTTTGTTCAATTTCTTCCCCATAAACCTACTTTCTCTCAATATATCATCGATGTCATATAAATAAAATACACACAAAGGCTTACTTCATCATAATTTCATGTTTCTCCGTGATCGTACAATACATCATGCTTACTATTTAAAAAATATAAGACATAACATCACAATATATGCTTACTTTCTCCACACAACACATTATGTGTACATTTTCATTTCCCAAATTCATAATACAAGTAAAATATCACAATTAATTTTTGTATAAAAGAAGAAGAAATGAACCCAGAAAACAAATACAAGTGTACATTAAAAAAACGAGAAAAGAAACATTTAACAGTGACGAAGAAAGGGATTCAGCTGCGTAAAAAAATGTAATATTGTTTACCAAATACCAAGTAGAAACACTTTATACAAGATCTACATATTTGTCAACTTTGTCAAGTAACTTTATAATACTTTGTCATAACGAAAGATAATCACGTATAATACTCCATGGTACCACAATACAACAAATCAAATATGGGCGACTGTTAATTTATCGTCAGATTGGACCGTCAATCGAAACTTCCAAAGACGGAGCTCTATTAATTCTATACTACCAACACACTTAACTATTTAGGCAACACAGGCTTTGGTATAACGAAACACAGAATTAACGAGGTATTAAAACCCCACTGCACTACTTGTATCAGCTAGTTGCGCCCTATATAGCAAACAATGCCATTGCCTTATCGGTGACCGTTGGTCCCCCATGATTCTCCTGGCCAAATTAGTGCAGATAGGCTTTAATTTTAAAATGGGATCGCAAACCCTGAATATCAACTCTGTAGTTTCTAAATTTACCACGCGCAACTGGGGCTATAAACTTTGATACTTTGTTTTTTGTAGTAATGACTAAAAAATACGGTACCTCCTGCCCGAATATGAAGATATATTCAGGCACCTCGTGAAAGATATAGCGACTAAAGCATGATGAAATTAAAAAGGCAAGCATAACACCTGTCTAGTCGGGTGGTCGTTTGGCTCAACGTATATCTCACTTTACTGATTTCTACTTCACGCATCTGATAAATTTGATAAGAAATAATTCTTATCAGCTAACCAGGTACCAGTTTAAGACGTAAAAACAATATCAAGTAACTAATTTCATTTCTCAAAGCTGTATTTTAAAAGTATTATGTATAGTCCTAGTCATTCCTTCGTTAAGAAGAAAAAGAGAAGGTCGACACGCAAAGCACAAAGTGACCTTACTTGATGTTTTAATTATTTTGGAAGCCTACTAAATTTCATCTCCCATTTACGTAAATGTGTTATTAAAAAGATACGAGGGGTTGCGGCTCTGGTGTTATCACTTTATAACAAGTCGTTTTGGGCAGGCGAAATTTTCGATGGAATTTTGAAGAAAACAAAAATCAAAATGACATTTAACTAATTCTTACAATATATTTCATTTTCTAGAATATACCCGCATAAAAAGAAAAAATATATATATTAACAAAGATAATTACAGAAAGAAAAAGAGATAGAAAGAAGACTGAAAAAGAAAGAAAGAAGTATTCAATCCAACTTGGCATTACATTCAACATTCAAATGAATTTACAATACATTCCGACAAATATCGCCAACAATATAGCACACATCAAGAAGGCAACAATTAGTAATCAATTGTCTATTTAGTGCAATAAATAATACCAATTAATTAGAGCCCGAACGCGAGTACACATTACTGGTGAACTTACAGATATACAAGAGTTAGAAAAAAGTGTATGTTTGTGACGAATAATACTAACATAATTCAAATTACAAGTCAATCAGGGGTAAATGATACTGTGTGTGTTATGGGATACCTCTCTACAAGTACGACACCGTAATATCATGAAACTTCTCAGTACAGGGAATGAAATCGTACTATCGTATTCGGTACGATACCATACAGATCCAACCACGATAAGTATCATGCATGAGGTAATTTGCGGCAGTGTTTTGATTGCGGTTTATTTAACAATAATATAGCAAGATAATATACGAATTTGGCATTCGTCAGCACCCCCCCCCCTTGCAAAAAAAAAAAAATGGCTACAAATCAATGATAACAAAACTTAATTTTGCTTTTGCTATATTATCAGTACATATATTTCACAATCAAACACTAAATCCGCATTTCGGATGATTTTGAATGCCAAGAGAATGTGCTTACATTTATTATCCATTAATATTTTTTAAAAACAAAACCGCAAGAGGAATTTTCACCTCTTACGTAAAAGCTGCAGATTTATCTTTGACACTTTTTGTTTTCTTGAATTCTGATTTTAATAGTAGTATTAAGTTAATAACACAGATCTCTGGCTTTATATAGTAGCCAGTATTAGATGTATTTCCCCAGTTCATAATGATACTATCACAATATTTGTCTTGCATCACTTGTATCTTTTCTCAAGAATCTCGCAGACCACAAGTTCGTCTTATCTGTCCTAACAATTCCGAGTTTCATGAATGCGACATCACTGCATGGGGGGCTGTCCTGTCGGTTGCATTTGATTAACAGGAGGGCGTTGAGCAAGAAGAAGTCTCAAAGAATTCGCTTCTTCACGAAGAGTATTCAATTGCGCGCGCAAGAAATCGTTCTCTTTTTCCAAATAATGCGCGCGCATTCCCACCTGTTCCTCTCTGATTTTCCGTGCGTCTCTCGATCTCTTTGCGGCCTTATTATTTCGGTCTCTTCGTTCATAGTAACGATTGTCTTTCTCGTCGACAGGGACATCTCGCTTGTTACCCCGCCGCTTGCTGTTCCTTCTGACCGCCGAAGATCCTGCATGAGATTGGACAAAGAAATCATAAAAGTGTTTCTACAATACCCGTTAAAAGTTGACTTTTCAAGCTACATGTATTGTCATATAATCTTTCGATACACAGTGAACAATTGAGTTGTGGCGTCATTTAAGTTACACTTCAAGCTACGTAAAAGAACCTTAGTTCGAAAGGAAACTTACCAGGACCTTGCTGATTGCCTTCAACGCCATCAGGCATTCCTATTCCGCCAGGTCCTGGACCAGCACCGATCATTGGATTTGGTTGTTCAACCATGCCGTGTGGTGGTGGTCCAATGTGAGGAGGCATGCAAACGACTGATGTTGGTACTTCTTGTTGTTGCTGAGGAGGTAGAACCTGTGCGTTGCCGTAGTTACCAGTCGCTATCGAGCCTTGAATTGGGATCGGTCCTGGACCAGGAATGAAATGTTGTGGGATAGGACCACCGAGTGAAGACATGCTCTGTGCAGGGGGATTGAGTTGCATCAGGTGAGGAAGGCCTGGTCTTTGGTTGGTACCTGCTTGGACTAGTGGTTGCATATTTTGAGCATTTGAAACCAAAGTGGCAAGAGAGATCTTCCGCGAATCGTCGTCTTGATCGTTTTTCTCCTCTGCAGATCCTGTTAATAGATATTGGGAGGGGCAGGTAATATTATCAGTATTTGTAGTATCTACGAATGATTGTAAGTCAATGTTCACTTACTCGTGATATCATGCCTAAATGCAATACTTTTAAATTAAAGAAAATGATTCCCAGGTAATTACTGAATGAAAAATGATTCCGAGGTAATTACTGAATAAAAATGTGTCCTCAGTCCTGAAAATGCTTTTAAAGTCCATGATATATTTAGTTTTCTTTGAACATTAGATTACTCAGAGAGTACTCGTTATCATTGGTAAAGAACTGCACAAATGCATACCCATTTTTTCATTCCTGGACAAGACAAGACATTGATGAAACTATGTTAAACTTAAACGTCATGGTGCCTAGAAGACAGGGTTAATAATGTACAGTGTACAGGATGTAGAGACTTCTTCCATACTAGTCACTCCGACGTGTCTTTAAATGTTTGCACAGCTCCTGTATACGGCTTCGTTTTCTTTTTATCTCTCTATTTTTTTCAATTATTCAATTAAAAACAAACAAATAACTATCAAGGGTAGAAGCAGCACCTTAGTTCTTACCATTCTTTGGTGGTTGGTGCTGATGTTGTAAGTGTTGCTGCAAGTCAATATTGTGAGGTAAAACTGTCGGTTGTACTGGTATACTATCGTTAACATAAATGACACTGGAATTAGGTTGGACTGGAGCTGGCATGCTGTAAACGGGTTGACCTGCAGAGGTCAAAAGATGCATGGCTGAGGTAGAGTATTGCATCATCTGGTCTGGGCCACCCGCTTGTATTATACCTGCTGGATATGGAAAGAGATCTGTAAAGTTGGATGATGTTCTAACTCGAAACATTTCATATTTGTTATCAGTTGCAATCCATCAAATTCATATAACCAAAATAAAACATGTCCATCGGGAAAGATAGCATTTAGTGGATCCCTTGATTGGATCATTTCCACAAATTAGCTAACAGCAATACACTTACGCGTGCGAGGCACATTATATACAAGATGTTTTCAGGTCTAGACTGTCACGTCATGTAGCAAATAAACGAAAATAAAATTGATGACCCTTATGTTGCACCAAGAGGGTAACTCAGGCGCCGTAAAATTCAAGCTTATAAAACATTCTGGTTTTAATTATTGGAGTGGGACGAGGGTATATAAAATGACACAATTTGTAAGAATGGTTATATATCTGAATGAACTAACCTTGCGATGGTGCAGATGTTGATGTCATGAATGGGATGACAGTGTGGCCCTGTAAAGACATCCCTGCTGGTACCATTGTAGCTGGAATAGCCCCACTATGGATAATGTGAGACGCCTGAACTCCATTTGTCTCTTGTGACGAACTTGTGACTAAAACCTGGTTGGAATACGGGAAACCGGCAGCCGGGGTGTTGTAAGCATGTGGTTGTTGTTGTTGTTGCAACAATTGTTGGTGTTGCGTTGGCTGCTGTTGCGTCTCTTGAGGTTGTGAAAGTTTTTGTTGTTGTGACGGGGAGGCGACCGACATCGATTCTGAAGAACTGTCAGTGTTGCTACTGTCATTGTTGTTGCTTTCAAGATTAGCCATCGACTGGTTGTCGTCTTTAGAATTGTAGAGTGTCGTGGGATATCCTTCTGTCTCAACAATAATATTAATTAAGAAAAAATGGATGGATAATGAGTCATTCAAGTTTGTCGTCTCATTTCTGTGCTTCATTTTGTATTTGTCTGGGGGTAAATACATGTAGCATCAGTTATTCACATATGACATCTTGCCTTCCCAAATGTAGGACATTATCTACAACATACACATTGGAGCCAGGGTGCTTAATTTAATAAATATTAAATTATCAATTACAAAATCTGTGAGAAGTTGAAAAACAAAGGACATGAATTGCAAAGGTATGATAAAAGATAAAATTAAATCTGCTTAGAATATTGAAAATAACGTAATACGTATCAGCATAATATCTAGAAAATGGTTGATTTGAGGGCACGAATTACAAGAAAACAACATTTTTCGATGACCATTATACATTCCTTTAAACTGATAAAAGTATTGAGTACACGTATGAAATCTTCCGACGGGCAATATCCGAGGGATATATTTCTAAACTTCACTTCGCATAGTCACTTACAACTTTTCAGTCAATATTGAGCACCGATGATGATGATGATAATAATGATAATAATAATAACAATGGTAGCTTTTTGTTTAGCGCTCATATCCACCACACAGAGCGATAAAGAAACTATGATAATCGGTTTAACCTATATGATATACTACCAATATAGGTACATGCAGCATTCAAGGATTTTTCCCTACACATGTGAGGGCCACGGTTCAGTGCTCGAATCAACAACCTTCAAATCTCAAGTCAAGAGCTTAAACCACTTGACAAAGATACCTCTTAAGTGTAAGTCCCGTCCTATGGGACATTAATTTGATGTACGGGGTACTCGCACCACGAGGAATATATAGAAAGTTTTATAGTGTTGTTAGTCAGATTCTTCTGATTTTATTTTTAGTGATAAACTACAAAAGCAAATATTTATTTAACGTCTCTAGGTAACTGTCTGAAAGTGGCAGAGTGGTCTTGAAGAAGAGGGAAATGAGGATGAGGGGTAGATGAATATCAACGGGTTAATCTCGTATTAATTTTGGAGGGGGCGGGCTCGGATTACTAGGTGTATACCCCCCATATTAAGACATATGGGGGTTTGCAGGGAAAAATCCACGGGGGCTCAGGCGAATTAGCCCCCGAAATACCCCCCAAAGAGCCCCCGAAAGTCATAAAAGAGCCCCCAAATTTTGCATAGAGTTCAATGCAAAACAAATTGAAAAGTGTTATTTTCATGCGAGCAAGCTTGAATAGTAGCCCCCAAAATTTTAGAGAATTTTTTTCCCTGGGGGTGTGCCGCTCTAATGGGTCACTTTTTTCACACAAAAAATCCCTAAACATGGGTCCCATTTTTACCCCCAAAACCTCTAAACAGTAAACATGGGTCCATTTTTTCAAAATTGTCTACAATTTTTGTTGTTAAGCACTCATATCCACCACACAAAGCGATAAAGAAACTATGTATCCCCGCTTTAATCTATATAAACTACCAATATGGGTACATGCAGCATTCAAGGTTTTTTTTTCCCTCCACAAGTCATGTAACAGATACCCTTCAACACCTGGGTGGAGAGTGCTAAATAAATTAACATCTTGCTAAAGTAGGCCGACATAAGTGCCACGGTTCAGTGCTCAAATCCACGACCTTCGAATCTCAAGTCAAGAGCTAGTTAAACCACTCGACAAAGATACCTCTACAATTTTCTACATTTTAAATTTTCGTTAAAGATACTACAGATATGTCCGTTTTGCAGCCAACATCAAATTATGTAGAACTTTGCAGGAATTAAGAATATGTCTGTCCTATCTGTGAAATTTAAACATTAGCAGTGTTCTACATGTAGTATTCACATTATGCAAGGAAACCCGTTTACCGTCTAGATTTCACTGTCAGACACTAGTATTGACTGACTGACTGACTGACATCTTGTTTTCTTTGGTAATAACATAAAGTGAGCTGTAACAGGTACATGAGCATTTGTCTACATCAATAACCCACTACTTGTAATGACCAAAATTAAACTGATTGCATCTTTGTGTAGCACAAAACGAAGGACCATTCGGTAAAAGGGTCTGAAAATCAGACTATTACTTAGGTGATTGCAATTACTTAAGTCGATTTGACAACTAACGGTCGTTATTATCCCACTGAAAGACATTTCCAAGCCCTTTTGTTTTGAGGGAAGTTCTAAATTAGTACTGTCTTTCAAATGCCGTTGAAATTTAACCTTTTCATGTTTCTGGCCTGCAAATGGGGCATAGTACCTTTAACTTCACCAACTACCAGCAAATTGATAATTAGGCCAATAATGTTATGTTATATACAGTCAATACGGACCGTCGAGACCCATTCAATCATGCAATCAATGACACTTGATATCAGGCGAGAACATCGTTTTGATGCTCTCAAAGAATTGAACAAAACTTTTGAGTTGTCCGAGATAACATTGAAGATAAATCATAAATGTTCATTCATTAGCTTCAGATTCACATCACTTGATTAAAATGTTGCCTATTCTTACACTTTGTCCCATTTCCATTCACATTTCATCTTTTTCGCCAAGTTATAGCTTTCCTGACCCAACTTAAAGCAACAAAAAAAAAAAATCATTATCATACAAAATATTAAATTTTAAATTTTAAAAAATATCAATAGTAATTTACATATATTTCTGAAAATATAATATTAAAGGCAATATTCGATTAGCTTATACAAATGGAACAATAAAACAAACAAATTCGCTTGGAAATCTCTGTATTTTTAAATATTTAAAAACTTATACATGTATACATGTATATAAATCACAGAAAGATTTCAACAAAGTAGGTTCCGATTACAATTCTTACATACACTACACGAATATATTTTTTGTTTACAAAGTTTCAAATATTAAAAAAAAGGGAATACATGTATTATATTATATTCAAGGTGGGAAAAGGAAAATCTAATGATTACCTGAATTACCAGTATGATGACGTACACCCAGCAAGTCTAAAGATTTGACGAGGGCCATTCAATTTCCCTGATCACATAACGCTCATCAAATCAATCCTCATACAGGATCAAACATTAGTTTAAATATCTATTTGAAGTGTTTAACTTTATTTAACTCTCATTTTTATTCTACTTTCCTCATAAAATAATAAGCAATGACAAAACAACATTATATCCTGAGAATGAATATCTCGTCTAATCATATATCGGATATACTTTATGTACCATCTATAAATATGCACCCCCAATCACGAATGGTTGCTTCATGCAAATGTAGTTACTCATCATGCACAATGGCTTCTTTCGCTTGACCAGTGCGAAGCGGACGATATTGTACAATATAAATGGACATGGTCAACGCCCAGAAAAAACCAATGCCCCGGCTATATCTTGAAAGATAATGCCGCAACAATGTCATATCAAACTTAACTCCACAAATGTATTTTGTCTTTGAAAATTTCATTCATTCATGCACAGTCCAGAGTCCACTGGTCAACCTCAAAGGGGAGCAAGAATTATATTCATTGACCAACCCCAACATGAATGTTACACAACCTTACGCAACGACTCAATATGGCGTCGCGGCGTTTGCATACGTAATTGTGTTTTGTCCTCTACAGCGGTATGCCGCTATAGAACGGTACCGAAGAAATTACGACAACTTACGTAACTTTGACTGCAAAAACACCGCACTACATTCACTCTCGCATGCCAGGGTCACAACAATCACACGTGCTCAGATCAAAACAATCATATCCATGAATGTTAGAGGATGTGACTGAGATGGGTTGAGGGAGAAGATGATGAACATTTGGAAAAGCTTTGGGCCCTAAGAATTCTTGAGAAGTTGAGACCATTCTACCACAGAACGCGCACTGGGCTGTGGAAGCTGGTCGTCAATCTACACTGGTCAGCAGTGCAGTGTGGCTAGAGAGCAGCGATGACGGAAGCAGTACAGACGATCTATCTCAGCTCACATAAACACATCAAGCCAACATAAGTTAGCTAAGAAGGCAAACAGGAATACCGTTTTATTAAATGGAATATCACACTTTCGAGAAGGACATAACCAACATGAATTCTTACCTGTGCCGTTACCAGTTCCCTTGGTAAATGTGCTTATTGGTGGAATGGATCGCTTCGAATCTGTTGAAGATTTCTCTTCATACTCGCGGTTGAATTCGTAAATGTGTTCCTCTTCGCTCATTATGAAAGAATCTTCAAGTTCTGAACTTGAGCTGAATGAAAAGAATCCTTTTGTCGATCATAGAATGCCCCCCTATACAGCTATACAAAGTATGGCAACAATGCCCTCACCACCCGTTTCCAAATATCCCGTACATAGACTCTGTATGAACGAACATACATTCACAGCGAAACATACAATGGTCAGTCTGTGTCCACACACATTTACATGAGGGCCTTGGAAGGACACAACGCCTGTTCGTTCCTTCACTCGCTACGCTAATTTGCATAGGGATGAGTGAGCTTCAATATGTTACGTAATCTTATGTAATGCTAATTTCCCGAAGCAGTGAAGATGCCCCTTGAAGAACAAACTCAAGGGAACGCTGTCTATAGTAATAGACAAAATTATTACGCATGAATATGAGGGTTATACGCGTACATGGTTGTAAATACATTTATGATCGGGTCAATTTGGGTGGCATAAATATTTGGAGTTGCCGGAAATAATATACAAATGTTTGTATGAGGTCAATTGTCGTTTTATAAACGTGTTATAAAGTGATACGAAGTCACGGAAATACATTTGTAAAAACAATTACAATGACCTTATTAGTTAGCCATATTGCGGAAATTAAGACAGCATTACTGATTATTTGGGAAAATATGAAGAATATGCTGTAGAATTATTATTTTGTGGTATTCAATCTAGGGGGCAATTTTTTTCCCTGGACTAGAAGCAATTTAACAGGGATTAATTAGGTCAGATGACAATTTCAAAAAAATGAATAGGAGGATATTTTCATATACAAATAGATGTAATTGTTCACAAAATAACGAAAGATATAGTGGAGGAATAAAATTGTTCATCACCATTTATCAGCAGACATTTATCATTATTTTATGAACTTTGTAGAGCGGCCTATCTAAGGTTCATGACTGCAATTCGTTTCTTTCATTACGGAGTTAATTTATCAAATTGTATTAAAAGATGTAGTATATCGTTGTACGCTGATGACACATGCATGTATTACCCTGGTAAAACAACAGAAACTATTGAAAATGTCATTAATGCTGATCTTATACGTCTTTCAAAATGGTTGAATTCAAACAAATTATTTCTCAATACTAAAAAATGTGAGGTCATGTTAATTGGATCTAGAACCAAAGTTAAAAATCGAACGATTAATATTTATATTAATGATGTAAAACTCAATCAAATAGATCATTGCAAATACTTAGGTATATATATATATATATATATATAGATCATAATCTCGATTGGGATGACTATGTTAATTTTCTGAGAAAAGATATTATTAAAAAGCTGTACCTATTTAAAAGAATAAGGAACTATATATCTCAGAATATATTGCACTTATGTTTTATAAAACAATATTACAAAGTAAACTTGACTATTGTGATGTGGTTTGGCGAAATATTATGAAAAAATCTGTTAAGAAGCTTCAAGTCCTCCAGAATAGAGCCCTCCGAATTATATTAAAAGTTGATGCCAGATATTCTACAAATTCCCTGTTTCAGCAGTTAAAGCTTGATTTTTTACCCCCCTTTGGTATTTTTCTGTGTGTAAACCCCCCTAAACCCCCTAACCCCCTACCCCCCCTTTGTTTGTTAAAAAAAAATATATATATTACAACAAAAAAAAAAAAAAAAAAAAATTCTCCTGGCTGACGTAAAAAAGCTGACCTCACCCCCCCCCCCCCCCCCCCCCCCCCCCCCAACGAAGCAAAATGTCAAATTTTCAAATTTCGAGACCAAAAAAAAAAGAAAAAAAAAGTGACCTGACATGATTTTATTGGCTCCTTGCTGCCCGAAAACGGTATTTTCAATTTACAGACGGGCTGGAACCCCTAGACCTCCATCTCGCATCGCCTATACCCCCACTTAGAGAGAGAGAGAGACAGAGAGAGAGAGAGAGAGAGCTAGAGCCCTGGGGAAAGGATGGAATTATCGCTGATAATTAATTCCCGGGATTTCATTTTATTCTATTTTTCTGCTTCATCGCCCCTCAAGCTTCGACTGTGAGATATCTGGTGGATGGCTGGCGAGATTCGCCCCATTTCTGACCCACCCATCCCGGATGCGCTCCTGTACACCACTATCTGCTCACACTCCATTCGACTACATCCCTTCTCATAAACCAACCAACATTGTGTCTAAAGAAAAGGTACTCTGTTTCAGCTGTTTTATTTAGAGCATTTTACTACCGCTGAAAAACTGCCGAGGATATGGTACTTCAAATAAATAAGAGTTATTTTGTTAAGGCATAAAGGGGAGGAATCTACCGCCAGAAAGGTTTATTTTCATCAGTTCCATGCATCATGAGAGGGGTATTGTTCACTAGTGCCGGTCCCGCCGCTGAAGATATAATAGGGGACCGTGTCATGAATATGGTATTAACTATAAGGGCACAAAGATAAAGATGTGGATGGGGAGGGCTTTACATGAGAATTGAGAATGCTCCCTACAGAGATTATAGTCATATCTGCAACAGTTATATTAAACAAGTTACACTACACAAAGTGGCATACTCGTTATCGAGCGAGCTAAAAAATTCCAACCTATATCGAGTCATTGAGGTCCAAATGTCATAACCTCTCATCTCCCAACTGCACGCCATTTTGATAGCTACATAATCAATAGTTCTGATTACATTATGGTAAATTTAATTCACCCTGATTTTCATATTCCCCGAGGGGGGAAAGGGCGGGAAGGGGGGGGGGCGTTGATTTCTCTATTCTGGGCCCCGTCTTACAAAGAGTTCCGATTGATCCAAATCAATCGCAAGTCCTCCATTCAATCGCAAGTTTGCAGACTCCTATCTCTTATGTAAATAGTTTCGATTGATATCAACTCTTTGTAAGACAGGGCCCAGGTGTGGAACAACCCCATAATATTCTTTTCACTAAATTATTATATCAGGAACTGAAAAGACCGTTTTCGTAATGTAACCAAATTTATACTTAAGTGCCTCGATTAGAATAATTGTATTTCAATAGTCAGAATGCAAATTGCAGATACATGTATTAATTATTGATGTTAGGTAGGGCAATTCAAAATGTTTGTCCTACCTAGCAACAACTGATATAAGCGATTTGGGGATGATGAATTGTTACTATTAAGATACATTTTTCGTAACAGGAGGATTAAATAATTCGTATCGAGGCGCTTTACAAAGGCATATGCATTAAATTTGGTTACATTACGAAAATGGCCTATTACCGTGTTTCTATCCTTATCATGAATGACGATTTCTGTCATTAAATAATGATTTACGTCATAAACAACAACAAATAATTTCAAACATGTAAATATCTATATAGGAATATAAATCTATATACATGTATATATAAACTTAACTTTTTATGTTGTTAAAGAAGTTTGGGGTTGTCTAATTTCCTTGCTCTTCTGTTCCTTGCTATCATACTTTCGTTTGCTCGGTATTTTAGGGGCGACTGTTCCGTGGCTACGCACTTGGAAGAGCTGAGCCCCCACCTCTCTCTCTCTCTCTCTCTCTCTCTTTATCTACTTCCATTTGCGTTTCCAGTTAACTCCTCACTTTGTCTCTCACTAAATTGTAAAACAACACTTTTTTCTCACAGTCGTACATTTGCAAACTTAGAAAAATGAAGTTCTACTTAGACCCCATCAAATGCATAAGATTGTTTAATGGATATTGAAACCAGTTAAGATTTAATTCAAACACTTTTGAAGCCTTAGGTTATTTCTATAGTATGTCCTGTGCAAGTTACAGGTTCAAGAGCGAAACGCATTTAAAATGAGCACAATCGGGTCTGACATTAATTCCCAAATATAGATTATGAAACATTAAAGTATTTAAAAAAAATATATTATGTTTTACTATGGTTTTGCAGAACCGATAAGATTTGAAGCAATTTCACACACGGATGAAAATAATGACCACCACACAAATCTGCTTTTAATTTGACCACATCTTCGTTTTATTGTATATTCGAGCTGGTCTAAAGAGAAGACTGCTTCATATGATATTGACTTGTTAATCGAATACACGAAGAATCGTTACAATAACACACCACTGATAGAAAAACAAAGAAGACCACCTTATTTCGTAGTATGATTAAATACTTTGGCAAACTTTTTAAAGGCTTCCGTCTTCCAATAATGATAATAATAACAGAAAAACCTATTTAGGGTTAAGGTCGTCACATCGGTATATACAAGCTGAGACATCAAATACGAACAAGAAAAATTAGTATTCTTTGTTTTCTTGTATATAATTCTCACTTTATTTTCCGATAATATCTTGGACTGTTCAAAAGGGTTATGGTTGTTGAATGATTCTCTAGTCTCTGAATTACTTAAAAACTCACATCTTCACAATTGATATTCACAAACGTTGTGTAATAAATAGCTGATAAAATAATTATTCTACAACTATATACAAGCTTATACTACATGCACGCCATATTGTTAACAGCACGACGTGTTATAATTATACAATGAATACTATACTTATGTCTAAGGAGAAATCGTCAGAATTAAAAGTGGTTGGATATTCCATCGTATTTTGTCGGAATTAAATGCCTGAATGACAGCTGAAGGATTTTTTATTTTTTATTTATAATTGTTAATATATTACAAGAACATGATTGTGATATACGTTCACCCGTAAAATTGCAATATTCTACCTAAACTCCTACGAATAGGAAGAACATGACGTTCAAGACGAATACTGAAGTTTTATATTGTTACTAAACAATTATCACTCAAATACTAGTAATTAGTTGGTTTCTTATTCAAATCCAGAAGAAAACTTCCCAATTGTAAGAACAATTAAGCGATCACTGACAGAAATTGTAAAATGGTTATTTTCATCATGAAAAGGATAATTGACTTTTTAGAGTAACATTAGGCTGTAACAGTAAGGCACAGTGGAAAGGCCACATGGTTTACAAGGTACATACAGTCAAACCTGTCGTAGTGGGCACCTTTCTACAAAGGCCACCTGTTTATAGTGGCCATGCATTTTGTCTCCTTGGAGAAAGAAATGTGTGTTGTAGATCCTGTCTAGAAAGGCCGTGGGTGGCCCTGATAGACAGGTTTGACTATATCGATGCCAGCTTCTATCAATACATCACATGATATACTTTGAGTCATGTTTTGTTTAGAATGCCATTCTTTAAAAATATACGTATCTTATCAATTTCCCCGTATCAGTTCAAGATGGCTTATAAAAGTTCATTTTGTCTTCATGATATTATGTCAACTTTACAATAGTCCAAATTTATATACACATAGTACACGATTATTTACATTATATATTATACATATAGTACAAGTTTATTTACAACCACCCTCATCAGTTTCACTACAAAATGTCTGTTTTTGCTTAATCTCTTAATTTCATCTTAATTCAAGTACTAATATACATACAAATATTATCAAGAAATATGTTAATTTCACCACCTAATTTACATTTACATTCGCATAATAAGATAGCATACCGAGATCCACAGAATTATATAACTGAGCATTAACGAATAACAGTACTGACCTTGTTTGGAAATAACTCAATACATTTCAAGTCATACATTTCGTGCCTAATATGTAATTTCAGAACTTTTCGTTAAGACTATAAAATACCTTCTTTTCTCCCACATACAGAAACTGTCAAAGCTAGAAACTATAAACAATCCTTTAAATCATATCAGTTTTAAATTGGTGCATGAAAATTATGCCATACAGACATTTCAAAATTAAAAATCACATACATGGGTTCATTGCGCCTTAAGCATCTCTAGGATATGTTGCGCTTTAAACATATTGTTATTATTATCATTAATACATTAAGAAAAAAAAGATTATTTGGTTTATAACCTTGCCCTGCGATGGACAGCGTATTCCTCAGGAAGTGCTTAATACTTGTTATATTTGAGACACTCTAAGTAGTTAATTTCCAGTTACCCCCCCCCCCCCCCCCCCCCCCCGCCAAAAAAAAGTGACTATCACAAATTGTAAATGACAAACTTATTTATATTTGGTACAGAAATTTATATTGAATATATCTAAATAACATTTAGGTTTGACAAAGTGCTTTTAAAACACATGTTTTGGTTTAGTATTTCCCCTTAAGAACACCGTAGAATAACTCCCGAATATACATGTCCAGTATTTACAACAGAACAGTAACCATGGAAACCTTTAAGCCCTGGTAGGGTATTTATATGATCCCTTCTCTCTTCTACTGTGCTTATTGGGGCCTTGGTATCGGTATTAGCCACGAGAGAGGGGTTGAAAGGAAATAATTATCAGTAACAAGACGCTCTTGCGTCGTCGTTATGAAATGTAACATTCATTTACAAATCGTTGGGGAAGAAATGCCACTTTGTCACTGCGCATTTGGACTCGAGAACCTCAGAGGCACAAAGTGTGACGGTGTACATTTTAAAAGACACTATAAGCAAGCACTTTGTTCTACTTTCCCTCTACATCAAAGCAAATAATAACACAACGCAACTGTAAATAAAAACTGTACACAACAGTAATATGTAACAAAATGCGATGGTTTCACAAGCACGGTCCTCAAAGGACGTCATAACCAATAATTCGCAAGCAAAAGTATCGGTTGATATAACTTCAATGTGCTTCTTTTCGTCAGGCGCTTAAAAAGCAATTCTGCAAAGCAAATTAGCAACAAAAGCTAGTGCAAAAGAGAAGTAAATCTGCAAAAAAGGGCTGAGGTCTGACCTTGTATATGGATACATGCCACAAATACATGTACCAGAAAAGGTAGAACCTCCAAACCACCGCATTGCTCAATAAACTTCATCATCAGTGCTGTACCCACTCTCGTGACTATGGACCCGTCGATAGTCGTAGCCTTTAGTAGCACCAGTGGTCACCCCGTGGTCGTCAATCCCCTTCACGTAACCGATATCATCAGCTTTGTGAGGTTCCACCCAGTTGCCGTAGGTACCACCATGAGACGTGACGTCGCTACCATAGAGATTGTAGTTGTCCTGGAAAGAGAATGTCATCATGGAATCCCTGTCAGGTACAACGGCAGTGTCATCATAGTAAGGCGAAGAAGGAACCCATCCGTAAGTCACTGGCGCAATGGGTGGTGGTGATCTCAAAGGCTTCATATCGGTGGGTACCGTGGCTACTTCGTCAGGATAAGAATGGACGTTGGAACCATCCTCTTGCCAGTAGAGGGCGTCGATACTGCCTACAAGGACGTCTTCTGATGGTACGTCGAGGTTTCGGTCTTGATCTTCAACCATGGCTTCATGATCACTCCAGGAGAGAGCCATAAGAGAACTGGCAGCCTCACAGGGTTGAAGGAACCATAAGAACTGCTGGTAATCAGCTAGGATGACCTCTTCATCGTTTAAGGATTCACATGCCTGTTAATGAGGAAAATGAAAAAGGAAAGGGATGATAATTTTACTTGACAACAGCTAAACTTAGAATTTGTACAGCTGTTCCAAATATCATCTCGGAACTTATTGAGATATTTCTTCGAGAAAATGTATAGAATGACAATATATTAGTCGATATGAGAAGAAACAAAATCAGACATAACTACAACAGGTAATATTTTCTGTCATGCTACGGCATGAAGCAATACTTTTGTTCTTCTTAAAACCGTACTGTTATGCATAATAACGTTTCATCACGACAGAATGTAATATAATGATATATTTCATTATATGGAAAACAACCGTCTTACCATGTGACCGCTCTCTGCTTTATCGAACTCTTCCATGGCTAGCTCAAGATAGGCCTGCAAGAGAGAGAAAAAAGGTATGATGTGAATAATATAACCGAATTGACTATGAATTTATAATTTATATTGTGTTGCAATAGAAAAGATAATACATTAATTGATATCTAAAGCAGTCAAATACTTTGCCAAGCTAGACCTGTCTGTGCATGGTCATATCAGTTTCGAATGCATCATAGAAATCAAATTATGATTAGATAAAAAAAAAAACATAATTTTATATTTTTTAAACTCTTTATAGCAAATGCAGCTAGCAATATCTTTCATTAGAATATGTGGAAAATATTGCACCCTTATACCAAGCTTTAATTTTCGTTGATCACTGTTTTAAAGAAAATAGAATAAATAGAATAGATATAATAGATAGAGATAGAGATAGAGATAGAGATAGAGATTTTAAATGAAAATGAAGTAATGTATGTTGTATGTACCATGAACGACATCTTCTGATGACAGACAGGAGAGGTCTCTTTGGCGCCTTGAAAATTGAAGGATCCTTGTTGATAGTTGATGTGGAAGAGGCTCTGGTAACCTGGACCACTTTCTGTGTCTTTCCATTGACGATGAGTCCAGGAACCGGTCTGTACATCAAGGTGATACTGCAAGGAAAAAAATAAATATTTAAAATAGAATTTCAACTTTTTTTCCTTTGTTCCTTCTTCATGTTCAGAGCTGAGCTTGGACACTTCCTAGCAACGCCTGCAAGATAATGACAAGGAGTTATCTTCTTCTGCAGGTTCGTTTCTCGCCATGATTTATTACGTGGATGGCAAGGTCTTACTGATTATAGACGAAATTAAAGAAACCATAAATTAACAAGCCCTAACACGCTTTCGTAATAAAGTCATTATGGTGGTACATCTTTTACATTATTACAAGGCAATTATACCTCATGCTTAAGTCAAGGTCTATACTTGTTAAAATGATTAAAACAGGATGAATACTTCCCCTGGATAACATACTCATAGGTCAACACCCCGTACCATTATCAAATAATATCTAGTTTCTTCCAAGATCTTCAAAGTATTAAGCCATATCCATTGTGTAATTCTCCTTTTCAATGCACTGGTGATTTTCTAGCGTTATAGATAGAATATTACTACCTTCTTAATATAAATACGGATGTTTTTGTACAATTTATTAATTGAGTACACAAGTACTTAAATACTTATGGATAGTTCAGTAAGGAGACTAACCTGGGGAAGCATTTTCCATCCATGTGTAGCTACGAGGTCGACAGCTGTCAACACGTAATCGATGACGTCATCAGGAGCGAAGTAAGGCAAGTTTATTCTCACAAATCCAGGTCTAGTTTTAAGAAAAAATGATATCGATACATGTTTATAAGTTAGTGGTGAATAATATTGTGAGGTCTTCTCATGATAACAGAACTCGGTGGTTCTTTTAGTTAGCATTGAAAGCATGTTCTAAATTTGACGATCATGATCCATTTTCATAAATTAAATTAACTAGTACAGAAGCTTTTATTACCCTTGATGTTGTGCACAACAGGGTTCATACAAAATACAGAATAGGTAGGAGCGGGAACAACCCTTTTTAGCATGCGAAGGTCGAGATCTAAGAGATTCTCGGAAAGGAAGAACACGGATTTAGAGTGACTCAGCGATTTACAAACCCTCTTAAGTGTTCAAGTTAATTTATAATCATTCAGAACCTTTGATTGTATACATATATTTTGTATATTCATTTATTGAGAGAAAAAGAAGACTAATAAACATTCGTTATAATTTGCTTCCCAAAGTTCTCAAACGAAAAGGAAAAAACAAAAACCCAACAGATAAATCTTATAAAAGTTATTTATACTGGTAAAATGATCTTACCTGACACTTTCCAGAGGCTCTTCGTTACATTTGTTCTTCCTATCTTCACGAATCAGCTCAAAAAACTTCAAGGCGTTTTCCTCTGTGATTCCTAGCAAGTCCTGGTAAATAAATAAAAAAGGAAAGAAATGAGACAAATTCGTTATGATTATAAAATACGTCAATTATAAAACATGATCAATAACAGCGGCTTTATCATACCCCGATAGAAAGGTCGATTGCACTATTTGTCTACGCTTTCCCGTTCTCTACCATCTTCCTTGTAAACTCTTTCAGTTCGTCTTTAAATTCTATCTTTAAGCAGACTTTGTTCACGAGGTATCATTTCAATCCCTGCTATATGTTTGACAGCTGTTCACAAGTATACCATCAAAAGAGATTTAGAGGCATTTATTGGGATGTTTGTAAAAGCGCAAATTGATCAAAAGACATCAAGAAAATTACGGAATGATACAATTTTTAAAAATTCTACTCGCTTTCCTAATACGATGAGATTAGGATATCTGGCTTAATCAGGGGTTTCATCGACCCCAGAGATCCAGTTTTCCGCACATTGATCCCTCGATGGGGTGTAAGTTAGTCTACTAATGCAAGTGAAGAGGGGCACAGTGGTGACAGATAAGCTCAAAAGTACAGTCAGTGCACCCCAATCGGGATTAAACTGTACCTCATCGTTTAAGGGAGTAAACATCGAATCATGTTTTCTGACAGTGGTGACCTTGAACTTAGAATGACACTGGCATTCATATTGTGTATACTTTATCATTTCATAAGTGCAAGGAATTGCGATGGTACAATCTACTTGATTGCATGATTACAGCAGATGATACCACTGCAATATTATAACATCTTCAAATTATAAATGGAATTGCTTCTGTTTCTTTTGTTTCACTTTATACGTACTATGTATCAAATGATAATTATCTATATCAATAGTTTGTTCTCATATCATCTAGTTATGATAAATGTAAGAAACAATCGGCTTTCTCTGACCACAGAAACGAAGTCAAATGATCACCATCTACAGCGCATAACAATATTGATAAAGATCTCTCTATTTCTAATCGAATTTCACGATCAGGTCACTTAGGTGGGGTTTGGTCCATGATGAGATATCTCAGATGCACCCAGACCCATATTATCTATTATTCTGAATTCATCTTAAAGGCAATGTCTTAAACAATGTTAAATCTGAGATGCATGGCCCTACGTGTTATCAGTGTCTGTGATGCGCTTCAAAATAGTCATGTAGTGCCTCAAAAAAGTAAAAAAAATCTTCGAGTGACCGGTTTTAGTACCATACTCATTTTCCCCAATAGACTGTAGTGTTATGAAAACCGTTAGTAAAACGAAAAATGAAATTTCGATTTCCAATCATAAATATCTAGATAATCAGCTGGCGATTGGCATGTAAAAGTCATGGTATTACTGGCTGACCTAAATGTTTATAGTTATGATTGCAACATGAGCTAAATCCAGGATTTTGTTTCAGAATCTGAGGCAATGTTACTGAGTCACTTTAATCCTAGTAGCACTTACATGTGCATAGGGTCCCGCACAGGCACACCCTCCCCTCGCCTGGATGCCGAAGAGATCGTTGAGGAGCACGGCGATGAAGTTATGATGGAGAAGCTTGCCCGTCTGTGGATGACGGATCAGAAAGGAGAAGATTGGCAAGCGCGCCACCTCCCGGCTGCCAAGGACAATCAGATTCTCATTGTGCTGCCATCTTGTAAAAGCTCGTCTGTAAAGATAAATCAATGGAGCGGTCAAGTATGTGTATTCGGTGGTAATAATCAGTGGTTATGTCATTGAATGGTAGATAAAATATTCATAATCACACGTCCCTATCAAGTTGATAGAGTCATAGAAATGAAGCCAGTTTGATTTTGATAAAACAGGGAAAGAGTGTTAGCTAGCATTCACATATTATATTAAAAAATGTATATGCTAAAAAAACAGTGGTTAGAATAAGTTAGCTTGAATTCCAACCACTACCATGACATGAGTTTTTAATACAGCAATACCATCAGGTGAAAAACTAAGCCTTTTAAGATTTCAGAAAATTTCTTCATTGGGAGGGAAACCTAATTATGGGAGTGACCCAACGTAGACTTTCTTAACCATGGCCCATCATCATTATCGGGTTGAAGCAGACTCGAATCACGTCGGAACCTCGCATTACATCTGATTACGTGTTTTTTTCTCTGTATTCAAAGGGCCTAGAATAAGTGACACGATAGTACGAAGCGTCTGCTCTCATCAATGTTACACGGAAGAAAATTAACGCTGTCACATTTTGACGGTTCGTGGCAATAGCAAAAAAAAATCATGTAGCGCGCGGAGACACGGGAACAGATATTGTGTGATCGTGGTTTGTGTTAGGGATTTAGATGTAAAGTGAAAGATAGCAGGATGGATTATCAAACTGCTAATGAAATTACGACAGTTGCTGAAATATGCAAGACTCGGATATAATGATGAAAGAAAAGGAATGGTGATAATTCAAAGAGGCGAGAAAACTAAATAACAAAAAATGAAGGCAAATTATTTGTTTATAGAAAGATCATCGTTTAAACCAGAGGGTTAGCACATTTGGAAGAAGAAAGACAAAGGGAGAAAGATAAAGATAAAGACAGAAAGAGAAAGTGTGAGTGAGGAAGGGAGAGAGAGAGGAAGAGGGGAAGAAAGCGATAAAGAGAGAGAGAGAGAGAGAGAGAAAGAGAGAGAGAGAGAGAGAGAGAGAAGAGAGGAAGAAAGAGACAAAGATAGAGAGAGAGAGAGAGAGAGAGATAGAAAGAAAGAGAAAGAGAGAGAGAGAGAGAGAGAGAGAGAGAGAGAGAGGGGGGGGGGGGGGTTAAGGAAGATTACTACGATGTCATGTTATGCTACTCGAGTTCATGTATCACTAATTTCTGCGTGTAAAGGAAAAGGGGATATGTTTGGGGATATTGAATTATGTCGCCAGCGGAACTATGAATGGACGAGGATATTTTGTGGGATCTGTGTATAGTTCACCAGGTCGATTTAAATATCACCGTGCATCCATCCTCCTACGTCAAAGTCTGTCTCTCTTGTTCATTCCACCACATTTTGCATTAAATGTGGTTCATATTTCACCATTACAAACCATTGTCATAAAACCAGACCTTTTGCGTCTTTTGACAAGTTTGAGTACCTACCCTACCCATTTTAGTGCTGACGAAATATAACAGATGAAACAAGTTAACTTGGCCAATGTTTGAGCAGAGGAATACAAATCAAGACAATAGAATACTGATATCAACCTTGATATATTTTATGCAGTTAACACACAAAGACAAACTGGTCGTGTCGTAAATGGGTTATGGATTAAGAGAGAGAAGTGCGTGTATAACTATAATCCTTCTACCCTTCCTTAAACCTTAAGCTTTCCGACGTCATGTAAACCAATACAGCGTTCAACCATGAAACGATACGCTGCCAAGTAAGATCTCTTTCATGTTGGTAACAGGATAAACAAAGGATTAATCCTACCTGGAAAATATAACCAAATTCTTACTCACCGTGCCAACTCTTCCTCTCGCTCTTCGATAAAGTCAGGTCCGACGGCCTACCAGCAAAGGGGGCAGAATATGAAGAAAGGGAAAAGTCAATTACAGTCGTCACCCAATGTTACACTAAAGATATCGTTGGTTTTCTTATTTAAGTTATGAGGTTGGGTACAATAATTGGAAAACCTACCCAAAATTAATTATAACGATCAAAATAGTTTCATTTTGACGGCGTTTGAATGATTGAATTCAGTCCTGAGCACCTGGAGCAAGCACTTTTAAAAAGCAAATTGTATGCATTTTTTTTTGTTTTTTTGTAATATAAATTATTTTTAAAATGCTTAGCACACGAAATTCAACAAAACTATCACAAGCCAATTGCAGATTAATATGATCGACTTGTCAATATATCCATTATATTGCAACAGAGCTCTCAGTTCTGCATTTCTTGAGCGAGGCAATAAATCTTGATGGCGTTAGTCGAATGTCGATTTGCTTTCCAGGGTTTATTAGTCATAATAATATGCGCAATGGTCCGAGATTGGCAAATGACTCAAATTGAGTTTGACATCTTCGAAGGCTGCGTACTAATTTGTCTATGTAGTGACATAGTCGGTATACAGAAGGAAAAAGGTGATTGATCACCTGACCTGGCAAATGATACCCCACCCTAATGAGAGACAATGATTTCACCCGGCAACACAACTATGTATGCACCCCACCCCAGGCCTGCCCCCACCCCACAACTAACGATTGACAGGTCATCTACGTCATCTACCCTGTGAGTGTGATAATATTGTAATCCATTAATTACGTGCTTTTCACCTGCCACTTTTTAAAAGTTTAGGCACATGCACTATTGATCAACGCTCCTCAACACTCAATGTTTGAATGATTATGAGAAACATGTTAGATTTATAATTTGTGCAGGTACCTACCTGTTTGACTTGGAAGGCGAGACCAGCCCGAATCGATTCAATGATGGCTGGTGTACCACCCTCTTCTCTTGCCTCTATGTCTTTCAGATAGTGATGCATCTTCCTTGACACCTGAAAAATGAGCACCAGTCTATCTTATTATATCATCGGTTAAGGGTAAAGAGGGAGTTAACTCATAATTTATAAAACAAAGAGTTAACGCCTTTCTGGCTCTGAACAACTTATATTCTTGTCCTATTTTTAATTGTGTAGTAACGAACTAATGCTAAAGTTTATTAACACGTGAAATATAAGTAACAAAGATTATTATCTAAAACATAATATTATGATGATAATAATTATTTTGTCAATCTCAAAAGCCGCCAGATTAATCCAGGTTTTTATGAGGTTTCAAGAAGAATGAAACTATACTCACGTAATGGACAGTTCCTCCACCTAGAGCATGAGGTACATTGTTAACGAACAGCTTCTTCTTTGCGATCAGAATACCTTCATAAACAAACAAAAAATACAGGTAAAGGTATTTTCTCTTTATTGCTTTTAACTATAATTATGGGTGAGAGAAAGAAAGAATGAATTATGATATACGTCATGAAATCCTAACATTCCAAGACGTTCAATAATTTATCGTGGGCAAAATTAATCACAAAGAAAATATAGGTCTACTTGAAATCATCAACATGTAAGTCAAACCGAAATAATTATGTCGGTAAACGTTCGTTGAAAACTCAAAAAATTGACAATAACGAACCATGAAAGATCAGACAAGGGAAGTATTTGGCATTCTTTCAAACAAATCATTCTGTGCCTTCCAGATTATGTTTGTTATTTTGTTTCTTTCCTTTTCAACTAATCCGTAACCTAGTTGCACAAACCACTTCTTGAATGCATTACCATTGATCCGTCAATGGGTTTGTGAGGAAATACACGATAGTACGTGAATTCTGTATATGCCAGCACTTGACTTGGACTGATGTCATGTCAAAAGAGCTTCGATTGACCTGGGGTAATATAATAATTTGTTACTACTAGGAGAAAGATACTCTTATCAGAATATTTATTTTTGAAATACTTATTTCATATTCATGCATACCTGGTGTGCCGACTCCACCGACAAACTTGTGCGTGGAAACGAACACGGCATCTTTGGAACAATCCACTTCTTTCCTACAAAAAAAATAAAAGATAATCAAGAAGATAAGGAATAGAATTAGATCAAAATAAAACGTTTCTATTAATTGCTTTATAAGCAGGTGTTAAGCTTAAAACGAAATATTATATGTAAATTATTTATGTGTAATAGTGAGACTATGATTTGGCATTAAATACAAGCATCGAAGCATTTTGTACCAAGCTTGGTTATTCTTGTAATGACATTTTTAAAAACAAATTATAAATCCCCTTTTGGCCATACTTTATGCTATGTTCAAGCAAAACATATTGTTTTTAGAAAAATGACACTACGCGTTTCACAGGTAATCTTTCAGTGGAAATATGGCATTTCAGCGGGTCAATTTCTAGAACGGCTCTGTAGGTGTTCCGCTTTCATATCAATTATCATTTGCTATGATAAGTTATATTTCTGATCATGTGAAAAACATTTGGCTAGAAGTTACACGTGACTAACAGTGAGATCATAGAGATTTATGAGCGATACTATACAGCTGTTTCATGCAGGGGCGTACGGCACTCTAACATTTTACAAAAAAAGAAGTGGGAATAATTCCCTCATGCAATGATTGAAATGTTAGTCGACTTACTCATAACCGACCGGATTCATGTCGATATCCAGATAAGGTGCTGCAAATTAATTAGATAGGGATAACAAGACATATGAGAATTAGCTACTGTGTTTTGATTGTACATGCACAAAATTGCACTCTATTTTTCATTTCGGCCACAAACCCAAACATAACCCACTCTTACCTCATATTCAGTCAAAATGAACTGTATGGTTGAATAAAGCGATTGGAATCTAACCTAATTCAAAGATAAGCCCATCACGTAGTCTATATTTTCTCCACCAATACATTAAAAATTACACACATCTCCAATACATATCATACTTACAAGAATAACGAACAAAATAAACGTAATAATCGGGAGCGCCATCAGGAGTGTCAAGTCTGACAGACATGAGCGCTATACAAGAACCTACTTCTATCATTATTATCATTAATATATACTTGGGTGGAGAAGTATATCTACTTTGAAATATATGGTTGGATTTATACCTGCCGTGGCGTAGTCCCAGAAGGAGAGGGCGTTGTACCGGTGGAGTAAGGCAGAGACAGCATTGGTATCTGTGATGATGCCTGTAACATTAGACGCTGCTGAGAAACATCCTAACACATGTTGGTGTGTCTGTGTAAATATCTGGTGATAAAATCACAGAAATACTGTAACAATAATTTCAATAATTATTGCATGAGTGTAGTGGGACAAGTTTCAAGTTTGTTGCTAGAAAGAAAAGCTTTCAGTTGGTAACAATCACCAAAACATGGGTCTCGATGACGTTTCCAGAATACATGATAGACTTGCCTGGGGAGAAGAAATGTATACCTCGCAATCGCTACATTACAACATTTTTATAAATAGAACACAGTAATTAAGGCAGAAGAAATGTACATAATATATTTCATATTCTTGAGGTTTCACCCCATAAGTCCACGAGGTGTAACCAAATACGAATAAATACTGCCGTATCATGGTTTGTTCACAATCGGGTGACATGTATGCTTATTATTGAGTATCCTGAATGTGGTATTTTGCCACAGAAAGAGAAACTTCTCAACTAAAACAGTTGGGTTCAAACCGATTATCATTCCCACGATAATATCCTTTTTGTAGATGTGTATGAACGGCGTGATTTCATGCTCAATGTACCTCTGATGAGTACACAAAATATGATTTTATATGCCGAATATGTTAATCACCATCAGTAAATTAAACATCGACTTTTAAAACCAGTCATCCAGAACGTAAATATACACCCACAGTTAAAACAAAAGTGTACTATAATATAAAGCGATTATTCATGCTGATTTTATTAACTTTCTGGTCAATAACACATTTAATTGCAGATCAAACGTCATATATCGTGTGTGTCTATATAATAATAAAGTACCATTGTAGTTTTAAAAATGTTATTGCATTTCACGACGAGAGGCAGAGAAAAGGGTAAAGCGAGAAATGAGGATGAAACGTCACTGAATCTCATTATTGTAAATTATAATTTTGATTAATAAACTAAAATCAGAAACAGATTTTAACCTGACTCAGCTATCTGTTCTGTTGCTTATCAGTAGATTATTTCCCATTCTCTCTATTTTTTGTTGAGTCAGCATCGACCCTAAAGCGATGTAAGATCGTAAATCAATTCCTATCTTTCTCACTTGAAGCCCTATCTGCTTTGATAATACCTGACAGATTTCGTTCTTAACACGTGCTAGCTTTTCATTTTCCCTCCCCTTTCCGTCTGTGATGACACCCGCTTCCCTCTCACACTCGACCTCGCTATTCATTCAGAATTCAATCCAGACCGTTCGTCCCGCCATCCACATTGTGATAAAGTACAGCTCATTTTTTATACTCGACTGAGAATATCGTGGCCTAATCCAGGTCCGATTTAACCCTTGCAAGTCATGCAGCCGGGAACGACCCCTGTCATCATGGAGACACTTTGCAATCAATATGGTAAAACTATTTAGAAATGGTCCGTTGTTTCATTTACACGGCAAACATTGGTTGATGATTTGTTTGTATTTGTATCTGCCATCTGAATAGCAAATGGTATCTTTGCTATATTAACATTGCATTTTGTTTCATTACTAATAATCGTTACGGATATAGGACTGAATTGAACGCATATTTATATCTTTACCATTGTCATAGTCTGGCCGTAAAGAAAAGCGAAATAAATTTGAAGTTTCAATAACACAAGCATCGCAATTAGTTATTCAAACCTAAAGAATAGGATGTATCAGATCGACACAGATTGCTAAGCAACATGTATGGCTCTTGTATAATGTCACTTACTTTTAATTTAGACTCAATGTCATCCAGATCAACAAGTCCTTCTATCGTCTGCTGAACTCTCACGACCTGTAGGAAAAATCAAATCAATAACATGCTAAATACGTATGGAATGCAAACCCGTTTTTTTCATAATCATTATTAAATTGTTGAATGGTTGATACTGATACTTCAAGATAACAATTCAAGATAACAATTGATTTTAGTGTCCTTACATTCATACTTATCGCAACCTCCCTTGTAATTCTAATGAGACACAAGAGACAAAATAACGAACTCGTGTAACCAACGAGGAAACAAACAGACGAGAAGAAGACAATGAGTAATATTCAGTTGCCATGGAAACTCTAGGGTTTATAGAGCTGTCAATCTTCTGCAACAGTTGCGTGGTGATGATCATTAGACAAATTGCGGATGACAAATACGATGTAAACTGAATTTGTGAGACGGGAAAGGGTATACAGGACATCTACGATAGTTTGAGCTGACACACCATGCAGTAAAGGTGACCCAGTATAAGATGACCGCTAACTGTTCCTTGCTATAAAAAGATTAGTAACTCTGTTATGAGACCAAAATGCCTCTTATCATGTCTCTCGTCTACTCAGTGGAATTTGAAAAAAATACATTTCATGCATTTATTGATCAAGAAAAGGCTGTCTAGCACGCATGCAAGGGATTTGTGTAAGATAACAAGGACCGTGTTAAGCTGTCAATCATACAATTCAAAAACACTGATTTTGGACAGAAAATTAATGAATGCTTTTCTCTGACGCCATAGACAAATGTTGCCATAGCAAAGGGAAAAAATGGCGTCATAACAAGTAAATGTGCATAAAATTCGCCCCATCTGCAGAGGAACTTGCTCAACCATCACACTATAATCCTGATACTTTTGTCAATACAGCTAAAGTCATATTATCACAACGGTGGTAATCAAAAATTTAACATCTAAATCATTCCATCATATTTTCTACTCGGCCTTATTTAGATTTTAAGAGCATTTATCAACTTCATCGTGTGAGTTAACTTTATTTGTGAGTTAACTTTATATTTCGGTGAAAACAATTAAATGCATGTTAAAATACTGTATTTTCGTTCGTCTGCCTCTATACGAAATAACAATCAAATCTGTCATAATTTCCTTGACAACAAGATATGTATTTTAGCAGTCTCTTTGTGTTATTGTTTGAGGGTGGACATGCATGATCTATAGACGGTGAAGTAGAAAATTAGGCCAAAGATGGATGGGAACTTTTGTACCATAGACATGCACTCTCTAACCACAAACAAAATCTAATGACGCTTAATACACGCTCATCATAACCATTCCCCCTCTATTTTATAATTCATATAAAAGCAAATGAAAACCACAGAATTCAAAGCCGCAGAAAACAAGAGGGGAATCTGTTATTGGCAACTGCTATTATAGAAAACAGTGTCGTTGATATTGTATGGAATGATGCAAATGCTCCATAATTTGAACAAATGCCGTGGATGCTAAACCGCTGCATAAACAATACATGCAATGAATGAAAGAATGATCCCGAGTAATTAATACAACATGCAGTATATGTATATTAGTCTATTGTTCAGCTGTTTTTAAACATTTGGATTTTAAGGCATTTCTTAAAGAAGCGCTGACTCAGGAAACTCCTTCTATAAATAATCATTTAAACAAAAAAGATTGAAGAAAAAGTTAAGTAACAATCTGACAGAGTTGGCATGGTAGAAACCCATCATTTTGCACTTACAATCGACTATAGGGAAGATGAGGGTCTGTAATTAAGACTATTATACAAGCAAGTGGGCCATTGAAAGTGAATACGGCATGTAGTACATTGTTAACCTTGGCGCCACGCGAACCCCGTTCCTTTGTCAAGGCCATTCACGCTTCAATTTTCCTATCTCTACAAATTAATTTCCCCTTCATTTATTCCATTCTACCGCAGATGACGTATACATCATAATGTACATAGAGATATATATTTTGTTCACCTAATTTTTCTTTGTGTGTTCTCTATGAGAGGCATAGAGCTTGAGTCAAGGGGAACATGGATCTCAATCGAATGGCGTTAGAAAAAAAGGGGGAAAGGGTGGAGAAAAGTGAAAGGGGAAATGAACGTGAAAGTTGAACATCTCCACTACCCGCTCCTCACCTGATGACCTTATTTCTCTTGCAAATGTTATAATTGTATCTGATACCAGTGCCCCCTCCCATACCATGACACTAGTGCCCCCTCACTAGCTGAACCGGAGTAAGGGTCATCGACAATAATAACCTGTTAGATGACCCCCCCCCCTACCACCACCCCTCCCCATCTTATCAAATGTTACTTTGCTACGCCACGTACATTGATTTATTATAAAGCTTTCGATGTATTATCTGTTAAAGGTATAACTCGAATGATTCCGAGCCGGTATTAACAATGAAGCATAATACGACCATCAAGCATACAGACGTGACCAATAAGCCTAAATCAAAAGGTGCTCATCTTAAAAATCAAAATAGGTCACGGAAACCTTGGACTTCAAGCGGTATCATGAATGATTACGTAGACCAATCTTTAGTGGCGACATACTCTTTCACTTTCCAATTGTTTTGTTTTAAGGTCAAATGATTGTGATGCGATTAATCATGGAGGTTGGATGAAAACATCCCGCATGATGTAATAAAAGTTCAAGAGTGAACCTCGTTGTTATTTTGGAGCGAATCTAGTCCAAAACAACTTCCGTGTCCAGGACCTCTTTCTCGTCTTTTGATTATCCACCAGTATAACGCATATGCACGTAATAAACGATAACATTCGGAAGTGTTTTCTACATTGGCCATGAAATTTACATTGAGAGGTCACAGACTTGAAACGATATCTAATATCTGTTGAACTATCTACAATATTATTGTCGCGGTGTGATGTTCTATCCGCGTGGCCTTGTACGTGCAAAAATGCGATTAGCATTGTATCTGTCGCAACAATGTATGAATTTGTAAATACATTTACGAGAAATAAGGATTGAATTGCTTGCCAGTTTTCTGAACATAAAAGGAAATTTGATATTGTAACTTGTTTGTTTATTTATTTGTTCGATTGTTTACGACATAACTCCCAAGAGTTCATATTGAAATAACGTTAGATGAGTAGACTACCGTCCGTATCAGAGCAATCCATTCATCTCACATGCAAGATGACGGCTTTTAATCTTAATTAGAATTTGCAGCAAATTAAACACCGGCAGCCAATTGAGGCGTAATTAATTCCCCTTTTCAATTTCCCATTTCCGCACGGAAAACGTAACAGTGCGTGGCAATTCCTAATAATCCAATACAAGATTTTTCCCCCTCTCATTCCATTTCTGATCAATATTCAACGGGCACACAACATATAACATCCAGATATAGTGTTCAAGTTCTTTGGCAAGCCAAGGCAAGAAAAGGAAATCGCAAATTTATGCCTCCATCAAAAGCAATAATATTATGGAAGGCTTCTTACTGTAGCTTGATGTGACATTTTCATTATGAATAGATCCGCCGTTTGAATCAGATATTGATCAACCTTTCACTCAGCTTCATATCTTCCCCTGGTAGTCCACTCATGTTCTAGTTTAATCAATGTTTTTAATTATTTACATCCAATGTTTCTGTCTGGCAACGCTGTACAATAATTTCCAAGAATCATCTTGAAAGCTGCTATACACCACGCATGAAAAGTGAATATACCAGTTTTCAAAGTAAACATCTCCTTACCTGTGCTCCTATTTCTTTCCAGGGCAGGATATTGGAATGGTGTTCAAATGGCCCAACCAGTACTACCTGGAAAAATCATAATTCAAAATTCATATCATCAGTAACAGGTTTCTCAATCTAAGAATAATCACATCACGTTGGACCGTTTATAATAAAATGAGCATGCTTCATCTTGTCAAAATTCCTATTTTGTTCGATTTAAGATCATAATCCCTTTTAAATCGTCAAATGATATAGATTAATAGCGGCATGTGAGTTTTAACAAAATCCATCCATACAAAAAAATGAAGAAAGAAAGGGTCAAAAGTTTGCAGACAGTCAGGAGAGTTTCTGTGAAAGTAAAGACCCAGTATCGGACGACACATATAGTGCGGAAAGCTTGAATTCAATATCAAAATACATCTGGACTTGATCCTGCGATCATTTGACGGAAAGCCCCCCTTTCCTGTTCAAACAAATGGAATTAATGCCATTGAGTACAACAAGGCGAATCTTTCAAATTGCATCAGCAGTTGTCAAATCATCGCGTTTTGTCTCATATCTTTGTCATTGCATTTATAAAGCAAAATATTGTCACAGAACTTCCAGTCCAAATAACAGGGAATACAAGATAACAGATTTCATAATAAAAGGATAATCAATATACCGTGCATACGAAGAGATACTACGAAAACAATTAGGCCAATACCACAAGGGATGACGAAATAGATAGACAAAGCTCTATCTCATTTCAACACACTTTAGCAGCAAGTTCAAGTACGACTATTAAGTACATGTGACCTTTGTTTGAAAGCTGTTTGTCAACAGCTCATTTCAACAACCAATCTCTTCCTTCAAATCATCTTACAGCTTCATCATCATGATACTTTTTTCTTTGAACTTGTTCTCGTTATTCTTTCTCTATCATGACCTACATTATTAAAAGTACATGTATATCCATGAAAAATCAGTTGCATGATCTATCCTACGTAAATATAGTAATTACAAATAACAGTTTTAAAAATGTTCTTAGAATTTTGACAGCACGCTTCTCTATCTCATTAATTAGTTTACATGCAAGTATTCCTTAAAATACAAAGAATATACTGTTTGCCTTTCCAGTAATTTGATGGAGGATTCTGTCCCATTAAAGTGCATTTCCTATGGTAATCGTTGCTCACTGTCACTCGGGTTGGTGAACTATTTTGGGTCTAATTAGAGCAACTTGCACTTGCTAGTATCATAATGGAAACAGGAAGCGGTTGTATAGCCAGGACATGAAAATCAATCTTCTTCTCGTTACCAAATTATATTTGAGCATAATCATGATAATGTGAAAGTAATCTCCGGCATAGTGTCCCGTTTTTAGGTCTGAAGGGGTAATAAAAAATTCATGGAAAGTTATCACGTTGGTTCACAGTTATTCACATCTGATATTCTATCATTTCTGTAAATCACCAAATGAAAGACAATTATGTATAAGGATTTGGAAGAGAAAGAGGGAGAGGATAATGCCATGTCAAAATATTAAACACCCTCCGTACTGTCATTCTGTATCTACAGTCAAACCTGTCTATAGCGACCGCCCAAGGGAAACACAAAAAGTGGTCTCTGAAGACAGGTTCCTTTAGTACATGTTTCACTTAGAAACCATTTTCAAGGGAAACACAAAATGTGGTTGTTGTAGACAGGTGGTCACTAAAGCAGGTTTGACTGTATTTCCTTTTTAAAACCATCATTTTGGTATACACAAGAGAAGTAAAACATAATATTATGTGCGAAGTGAATGGTATTAAATAAAGAATCTGAACGTACTGTATTTCTTGCTCGTTCTCCTTGCATTTCCATAACATTGATGAGTTTATGAATTGCTCCTGTCGACCCACTGCCTGTGAATATAAGAGCGTCCTCTTCTCCACAATTTGTGCATTGTTTGATGATTTCTCTGCAGGTAAAGGTATATGGAAAAATGGTTAAGTCTAATACGAATAATTCCTAGCGAAGATGCCACAATAAATGCAAGGTACTATGAATGTAATGGTAGTTACGACTTCTCTCGCGACTCTCTCATTTTTCATGACCCATTTCGGAGAGACATGATGTTTTTTCCCCAATCCTATATGTATAATACAAATCTATTACAATACATAATTGCGTGACAATGGTAATTATAATTGATGTGTACGTTAGTCCATGCATACAATTCTCCGCAATTTAGACGCCTGTGTATCTCTACACTACGAACTACATGTATACACATGCTTTGAACTCTGCTCATATTTATAATTTTCGTGGCTTAACCACAGGTAAATACCGGCACTGTTTCGGCGTTTCTGTTTCATCTTTTACAAAACGCGGATGACAAATGGGCTTTAGAATGTATATAATGGATGTGTGCATCAGTCTGTGTCGTTGATTCATGAGTACTACAGAGTTGTCGATTCATGTTACAGGAATCAGAACATGAGTGGCAAGCTGCCGCACACACATGTCAAATGTCTAAATACATTCTTCATCTATCGTTCTCCCACAACTTCACGTTTTTCTCTCGACCACATGCAGTCACAACACAAAGGTCCTTGAGACGCACAAGGTTAATAACGGGATAGGAAAAAAGCGCGCGCTTTCAGATCGGACGAGCTGCAAGTGACACCAGATTCCACTGGAGTTTTATAAATAGTTTATTCATCAGATAGAGAAGGGGACGAGGAGAGGGGGAAGTTATGAAACCTTTTTGGGCGCTGTATGTATGTCAGACCTTTTTGTTTTTACTCCCCCAAGTTACGTTTCACATTTTGAACATGGCGGAGCAGCTGTTTTTGACTGGTAAGTCCCCTTAGGTCGACGGTGGTTGCAAAGAGCTCAACTTGTCGAATGAGTCAGCAGCATCAGTCCCCAACACACCCGGTATTGCCAGCCGGCTGGTCCAGGCTATTTGGCCCCTGATCAACCACCGTACCTACCTTACATTCCCCACCCCTTTTTCAGCTACAGCATGCGTGAGCCACATGAACTTCGACAGGTCTCCATGGTATGTTTTAAAACCTTATTCGCAGTCACCCTTAGTTACTCTTTCTTGCCAAGATTTTTTTCTTCTCGCTCGCAAGAGAACTTATAAATTAATTGTAATTTTTCAAACTACCATTAAAGTAGATAGTTGGCCAAACCTAGTAATGTACTGTACCGAATGCATAAACCGTATTAATTTGGTTAAAATAGACTGTTCACTTAATGGGGGGGGGGGGGGGGGAGGGAGAAGACTTTTATCGACCCCTCCCTATCTGATTCTATACTACGGAACAACTCATCGAACACAATTGTGATTTGTAATGATTATTGTACTCCGAGATCAACGTACTGGGTGGTCTTTTGCACAACTTGTTAGTCCAGCTAGTTAAAGGGACTTTGCAATGTGGATAATCATAATTACAATATGGAGAAAAAGCTGTCAAATGTCATTCGAGGTATTATTGAAACAGTGTGACGAGATAGTGACACTGTGACCGCTACTTTCATTTATAAGAAAGTCGCTTATACCATCGTGTGTCAGTTCATGACAATGTACAAGTTTTGGCCCGCTGTATTTTGCAGATGAGCATGATACAAGATTCTGCCGTCAGAACTTCTTAAAAGTCCTATAACAGCTTCTGAAATGCAGGACTTCTACACTGTATATCACGTCATATAAAAAGCTATAAGTAAAAATCCAGATATTAGGCCTGTATACTTGCAGAAATTTGACTAGGTGGATATTCGAATGTGTGTGTGCGCGCGTGTGTGCGTGTGTTGGAGGTGACCAGACTTTGTGACTGTCACATTAAAAAATCTTATCCTTACTCTTTTTTTGTATTGGTAAACATGCTACATATTCACGCACCTTACAAAGTATTGCCTTTCGTGAAACAAAGATCCTACAGTGTATTAATTCAATCTATAAACTGAGGAAAATTGCAAAATAAGTGATACTTCGTCGTACCGGGAAAATTACAAAATAACATGTATTCTCATAATTATGTGCGTTTTGATAAGGTCCCACAGGGCGTGGCCAATATAATTCATTTCCGCTATCGTGTAATACCCCTAAAACAAATTAACGACAGCACCTGACTATTGTTTAAATAGTAGCAAAAAATATATGCCTGTTCCATTTTTGGAAAGACAGCTGACACAACCGAAAAGCGATCTAAGTGGCGATGTATCATTCCAAATATTTTGTCATACATGTATGTATGATTTATAAGTCCATCGATTTAATACACTGAATTTCCGTTTAGAAACCGAATAGAGAGATTCGGAATTATTAACTAACTCTTCTCATGGTCAGAGGAGATTCTTCACATTTATAATATGAAATTAAATTATGCACTTACCTCGATTCGTGCCTGAATCTTGTTGTCTGTTTAGATGTGATGGTAGTGGTGGTGTGGGTATTGGCGTAGAATGGATAGACGTTATCAGCTAGAAAATTCTCAATAAATCTCAGTGGTCTGTATTCAAAACAAAAAATGACATTCATGAATAAATAGGTAAAAAAAGAAATGAGAGTCATGAGTTCATACGCAAAAATAAATTAATTGATTGATAATATCGGCCAAAGTCAATCTCCTCGAAATAATGAGAAATAATAAAAAGGGGTGTTTGATATCTGAGTGACGTACGAGAGGTATACAGCATGAGGTTGTATTTCTACCATCATAAAATCGATTACAATTTACATAATTTAAAAAAATTATGAAATTTTCTTTTTATAGATTGCTTGAACATTATTTGCACATTGATTTACATCATTCTGCTTGTTTCGTTTACATGTCATCTAAGTAACAGAGGAACCACATCGATTTGGCAATCTATGAGTACATAGTAGTTGTGATAACTAACAAAATAGAGATGAAACATATTCAAAAGACAAATAAACTTACTTTCCTGATGCAGTATAGTCGCAGTAGACAACTGTTGAATAACAGAGAGAAAAGGAATATAAGTTTTAAACCAGGTACATAGCATTTGGGGTTATTTGGATTCATTTTTTAATTTGTAAAGGATGCATGAGATCACCCTTTTGAGTTTTTTTTAAAAATGTCATTCATTCCATAAGCATGACTGATAAACATATAACCCAAATACATGATTTTGACTGACCCACAAGATGTTCCCTCCCTATTTTCCGAATCCCAATCTTTTTTTCCTCTCTCATAACATACCACCACCCCAAACGGCATGGAAAATAAAGCAGTCTCATCACATGCTTAGCCTTCCTTCAGAAGTCACCGCTTGCGTCTTTTCATTCCCCAGCCAATAACTTACATGAGATGATAATGTTTAATGATCATTGATACCACATAATGCTCATTGCAAAAGTGTAAGCTTTAGCTTCAAGAGGTCTTTGCCTTTATATACAGTGCAAATAGATCTATACATTTATCATGATATCAATGAATATGTAATGAGTGTCTCGTCAAAATGAACCACGAGATAATTACACTGGCTCTTGGCACTGCGATATGTCTATCCTATTATACAGCAGTATAGATCTTAATCTTCAATCTACATTTTTAACGTCTAGACAAGGATCGTTTCTGGAGCGATAGTACAGTGACCTTGTCCTGGATTTCTGTCCTCATATGTTTGATTGGATGATGCTGTTGTTCATTCACACTGTTTGATTATGTTAGAGATCAGCGAAGGCTTACAGTGACGAGACCAAAGCCGATTACATGATTGTGGTCAGCCATGATTGAGTGTATAAAGAAGACAAATGCTTTCTTTTCTTTCATTCTTTTATTTTCTATTTTGTTCTTTTCGAGTGACAGAAAGTGATTGAGCAATTAATATATCACGTGGTAAGAACGTGGATGACTCGATGGACCTCCAGTTTAGGTTCTAGAACTCGATTGCGGACCACGATTGCCACGTTTTACTTAGGAAGTGCTATACACGTCCCTATCACATCCGTTGTCCCAACTGCTAAATAAAATTGCTCCCCTTACGAGTCATTATGTAACACAGGCTCCTGGATATGGTGACGTAATCACTGACTCGTAGTCTAAAATTCATGTCTAAATAACTATTTGCTTTGCTCATATTATATAGAATGTAGCTAAAACCTTCCCGAGGCTTAAAAATGGCATATTGCACCGAACCAAACAAAACCATCAAAAGGAACTTCAACTTGCATGATTAGTTTGCAATATAGCTACAGGTATAGTATTTCTCCCAGGTCAGTACAGGCACAGAGAGAGCCTAACAACAACATCATCTCACTAGGAGTAGGAATATTAATGCCAAACAGCTTAGCGTTCATCAGATAACATACCGTGCTTTCCAATAGTGGGCCAGATTGATTTCAAAATGATTTCTATCAGAGGCTCAGATACGAGAATTAACTACTAGTTTTCAACAAATAAAACATCAAATGGTTCTGCGAGTAAGACCAGACGGTCCGATGTGACCTTATTTGCGTACACTTTTCACTATTCAATTATCCAGGTTTATTCTTTGAAAGATGTCTGGGGTTCGTCGTGCGACGATTATGTAATGACCTGATCTCGGTGCAGGCAGACTGGCCAGACAGTATCAAGGTGAGACAAACATTAAAGCTGTGATCCAAGAACGGTAAGGCTTCTGTATTGCCGCATATACATGACTTATATAGGCATGATTAAAATCATATAAACATGTAATATAACTTTAATATGGGGCGAGTTAAAGAGAGCACAGTATACACACGCTTCGCCTGTTTTATACTCCAACCATTATTTTTGTAAATTAAACTGCTGTCACTGAGTAATAATCTTCTTTTCTTCTGTGGTTTATAAAACAAAATTAGAGAGCAAGAATTAACAGGAAAGTTGACTATTATATTCGTGGCATCATAAACATATGCCGGATCGTAAAGGATATATAATTAACAATTATTCTGTTCATGTGTAACCTTACGTCTAGGCCTATTCTAGATATTCCAAGTACCACGTGAGTGAAATTTAATTCATAGTCGAGGAATAGACAAATGAAAAATACGTTGCATGCTTCCTTTAAAATTGGCGTCTAATGTTAGACAATATCCGTGCTATTAAGACTGTCTGGAAGCTCAGTATGTGTGATAGGGTTATGGATAACTTTATGGATGACCCGAGGGGACTACTCTAATTATAGGTGCTGCATTTTGTATTGACAGTACAGAATGGTTTTTTAGCGAGGGCCCCGGTCTCCAGGGTCCGATGATTGTTATAACCTTTTATATCAAATGGTAGCCCTAAAATGTTCCTTGGACAAACATTTCTTTAAATCTATTGAAACTAATTCAAGAGATAGAGCCTACCATTCAGATAAAATGAATTGGCAATTGGCGACAGATAATATCAGATGTATAGCTCTCTTAAGCTCTATGACAAGGAATAGCCATTAGACCCATATTAATCTAGCGGTAAAAGATCAGTAGGAGCAAAGTATGTGCATTAAAACATAAAATTTCAAAATCCAATCGTAATAAAGGCTTCTAAATCTTCATCCAAACTACAACCATGGAGATATGCAACAACCTCGATTACCAATGACTTTAAATTTCGTTTACAAATGAATTTAATTTCTCTATTTTCCACTTTTGGAATTAAGACTCTTCAAGCAGTTTTTCTTCTTCAGAAGAAATCAGTTTCTAAAGGGTTAAACGAGGTAGGATAAGGCTTACTTATGACATGTGAGGGGTTGCGTCGGATTTGTAGGTGGAAACGCTGGAAATGTATTAAGATCAAATCAGTCATCGTAATGCATTATGACTGTCATGGCTGACGAATACTGTTTGACAACTTGCTTGAAAAGCAAAAAAAGACGGCCCAAGATGGGGGAAACGTACATTTTGTGACCAATATGGCTATCTTGCTAAAGCGATCTCAATTTGTTTGTGAATATAAGTTTTCATTTGCGGTGTGGTGTTATATACGCTACTGTATATGATGTGATCTTGCTAGCCATGTTTACTCAATGTGATGTTTGCCCGTGTTCTTGACCTCATGTTAGCTGCTTCACCACAACACAGGTTGGGTATTTAGATTCAGGGGGCTCAATTTAACACCACCGTGCTCTCTCTCTCTCTCTTTTTTCTCCCTGATATTATTTGATAGGATTGGCATTTTGTGTGACGCGTGGATGATGAAAGGTTCGACAATATTTTTGAGAATGGAAAGAGTCAAATGTGGGCAAAGATAGATACGTTATCAAATAGAGCAATCAATTCATGTTTTCCTTTTATGCTGATTGATTGGTTGATTCGACTATATTCCATTTCATATCAATTGTTTCCACAATACAGAACATAGTTGACAAAGTAAGTTCAAAATCATGAAATGAAACGGTATCCTACTGGAAAGCATAGCTTGTTCTTTGTAGGTTCCCAAGAATGCTTGCTCCACCCAGAGATCTAAATCAAGAATATTATCTCACTGAGGAAAATGTACAAGATGAACATTTAGAACTGTTATCCTCGATATCACAAATACTTTTTTTTCTTTAAATAATTCCTTTTAAATTCAAAAGACACTGATTTCACTTTTCTTTCTGTCTATGTGTTGGATACATAAACTGTACTATACATCCTTTCTTATTATGAAAATCGGGAGTTTGTGGAAATTCATCGTAATTAAAAGGGTATGTTGTGTGCGATGAAAGAACAGTTGTTGAGATCATGTCAATCATCGTATTCCGCAAATCAATAACAAATCAAACAAACAAATTTATAAGGGGGAAAATCTCAGAGATTTCCGGAATGGGAGTACACAGAGTAAGAGGGAGAGAGAAAGAGAAAGTCGAGAAAGTCGAGAGAGGTAGAGAGAGAGAGAGAGAGTATGTGCCTGTGCGTGAGAGAGAAAGAAAGAGAGAGAGAAAGAGACATGGTGAAAGATATGGAAAACCTTGAGCGGAGATATGAAATATATACACGTAGGCCTATACATGAAAGAGGTTTAACAAAAGATTTGCCAGAAATTATGAAGAAAAAAAAATAAAAAGACATAATGCAGTGAAAAGAAAACCAATCGGTCAAACAGAACAAATAGACACGTGTTAGATGTGTCTTTTTACTATTTAAATTTTTTCATCGCAGCAAGAATATAGGCGTTAAAAAAAGGGTGAAAAAAAATGTCGGACAAAGATTAGATCACTGTGTTAATTATGGACAATCATCAATCTATCTGCTAAAATTACGCTCATTCTTGTTAAATTTCTCATGATCAAGCTACCTCGACGATATTAAAACCCAAGTTGAACTACCAATTAACACATGAAATAAAATAGAATAAGTCTAGTCATTCTCAATGGCTGCACAACGGTATACAGTAAGAGGACACCTCACGGCGTTTGGCAGTAGCACAAAAATGAAACACTATCTAATTAGGAAATGTGCAAAGCGTTAGATTAGCCAACGCTTATTGCTAAACGAGCACTTCATATTGCCAATTTACCCGAACGAGAAAGAAAATATCTTCAAAGACAAGAAGCATATACTATTCTAGACAAGAGTGCAAATGCATATCTGTATAGGCCTTCATGGTAGACATATTCTTTGGTTGCCCCAGAAATCTTATACTATTTTTCATTTTGTCCTATTTATGTTGACCGCCACGTCAAACGTATCACCACATGGAGAAAAGAAAAATGCATAGCTGATATATCAATATGTTCAATGAATTTAAACTGTTGACACAAATTCTAAACTGCATGTACAAAATGAAGTATAAATGAATAACCTGCTACTTGTACGCAAACCATTCGTAACCTCTTGTACACATGTATTGTCTGGGATTTATTTCACATAACATCTTCAACCCAAGAAACATTGAATATCAGAATAAATTGTTTTCTTCAGAGTTAACTCTTTAGTTTGAATACTTCTTCTTCGTGCAAGCAGACATAGAAGATGGAAACACTTCTAAAAAAACTACCAAACTATGAAACAAATATCTGTCAATAATTTTTCTTGCACAATACTTTCGTATCACCATCCCTGCCCTGAGGAAAGTAAATATATATTTAAAAAAATCTAAAATATCTTGGCATCCTTAAAGTCTCAACCTTGTCAAGAGACTTACCTTGTTTTTCTCCAAAAGGTCCTGTAAACGTTGAATCTCCACCAATAACATTATCACTGATATGTTGCAGGAGAGTTTGTCGATCGTCGGCCAGCAGCATCTCTGCTCCAGTAGCAGCCTGCTGATGATGGGTATGCTCAGGCAGCATCTTGCTGATTCTGATCACCACGATCAAGCGAAGGATAATATCCGAAAAATGAGTTGATGCAAAATCAGACGTCAGACTGTGTGTCTCTATATTCTCTCCGAGATGATGACTGAAAGCGAGGAGACAAATGGATGATACTGAAATCCGAGCGAGCAACAACCTGAATCTCGACTTCTTCTCAATGACAGGTTCGAGTTCAACGTGTGCGGGAGTCCTTGAATGGGGAGCTTGATATCACTGCGAATTCCCTGTCGGAGATCAGTTGTGTGATTGACGGTAGGTAACACCTCTTCTACCGATCCTCACATGGAAGCTCCAATATATAGCAAACTCTTTCACATCGCACGTCGATTGCTCCACTGCCACAAAACGGACTCGTCCATTATTATAACAGGGGTTTTCGTCAGAGATGATATAATGCTATCTTCTTTCTTTACTAATTGGGGTTTTCTGTATTTCATTCATATCAGATTGGTGTGACATAACATTATAGGTGTGGAGGTTGATTGAGTGTTGTTTTATTAAATGATGTACATGTCGTAGAAAGAAATGATTTCGTGGAAAATATAACTTTCTAGAGCCGAATTTCCAGTTCGAGCGAAATTCAGATGCCGATTCCAGTTCTTTACAATCACATTATCTGCTATTTATTCTCCATTAGTATCTTCTTATCTTAAATTACTCTAAGAAATTGATCTGGTGATATTTTATTTAAAACAACAATTTGGTCTAGATGTTAAGTCCTGCTCAAAATAGACTCATGAACCCAGTTATTTTAGTTCTGTCGAATTTATCTTTTCCCTCTCTCTCCCAGACTTATTACAACAAGGTAAAGAGAAAAGGTCGGATGAATCTCGGTTCTTTCTGTGAAGTTTAACTCTCTGGTGTATTCACAGTGGACGATATCAGTTTGATTTGCTACTGGGCATTCTGATAAATCGTAGTACCTTAGTTTTCTTCAGACTATGTTATGGTCTGTCTTGTTCTGAAGTTTTCCGAGGCATTAGTAGGAAATGCATCATAACACAAAAATGTATTTACGGAAGTTTGTGCAGGTTCGGGCAGAGTTGGAAATATTTTTTGTTGTTTAGTGCTTACGGCACCAGAACAACCCACGTACAATCATTTAGTTTCTTTCTATTCTTCATAAACATGGAACAGAAAAGAAAGCTCCTCGAAAGTAGAATGCCTGAAATAGATGTGTAGTCATGGTAACGTATAAGTTAGTAACATACACAATTTTCCAGCAGTATAGTTCTTTCAAATTCGACGCTAAGGTGGGCATATTGATTAGAAGGCTCCAGTATACTTAAGATTAACTTAAAAAAAAAAAGAGATATCATTAAATGAAGTTCCCTTATGTTGAATGTTGCATATGAGTTTAAAAAAAGTTCCAAGCACTGAATTAGTGCATATTTATGTGATGATATGAAATATAGAAATTGAGGTATTTATCTGGTGTGATATTTTTTCAGTTTAAACTTTATACACTGCCTTAAAACCTAATCCCCAAAAGAGAGAAGCTATGAACACTTTTATAGCGAATCAGCCGTGAGTCCCTTTTTTCGGGGGGGGGGGGTATTAAACAATTTCAACACTTATTTTGAAATATAGGTTTACCCAAAAGAACTTATTTGACGATACATTCCACGCTGGTAAGTTGGTCTGATAGTCTGGAAGTCGAATCATTTTTTTTTTAAAATTACCTAGAGAGAGAGATAGAGAGAGAGAGAGAGAGAGAGAGAGAGAGAGAGAGAGAGAGAGAGAGAGAGAGAGAGAGAGAGAGAGAGAGAGAGAGAGAGAGAGCATTCGAGCAAAAGGAGAAGAAGAAGAAAAAATGGAATAAAACATTCGAAGATTAATGAAATTGAATTAAGCTACATATTTGGAGCTTAGATGCAAGATGTAAACACGTCTATATAGATCAATGAAGCATTAACGTTACATAACAAGGTCAATATGTTTGTAATGTGACGTCACATGCATGCACAATGTACGATATCACTTGTTGTTGTTTACATTCGGCTATTTGTTGTTGTTCTTTTTGGTAGTGGTTGATGCAAGTAAATACAAAATCTCGGCCTTGGCAGTGCGACCCTGGTCCGGTTAAAAGTATAGTGTTTGAGGAAAAGATTTGTAAGACAAATCTGATGACATCCATTAAAAGTGGATAACAGCCCCCCCCCTCCACTCCCTCTACTTCCCTCTCCCTCTTTCTTTTTCGATTTGGCCGTTTCTACTGTCACCTTTTTTCACTCTATTTCTTGCATTCGGTCTCTCCATATTTCTCTCTCTCTTGCGTTGCTCTCTGACTAGTTTATCTCTTCCACGGAGTCTGCTTCTGCTTCTCCCCCCTCCCATTCCTCCCTCTGTCTCTCTCTCCCGCTCTCTCTGTCTCTCTCTGTCTCGCTGTCTTTTTTCCTCACTCTCTCTCTCTCTCTCCTTTTCTCTCTGTCTCTGTCTCTCTTTGTCTCTCCGTATTCTTCTCTCTCTTTCTGTCTTTGTCATCTTTTCTCTCGCATTTGCTCTCAATAGTAGACTATCATCGGGCTGTTGGAGTGGATAGCCTAGGATGGAGAAGAATTTTTGTCGCCGACGTCCATCCGACAAGACATAGGGCACGCCCGTGCAGACTCTAACCGTTAAAGGTGTACTTTATGGGCAGAGGGAAGGGGGTGGGGGTGGGGGTGGGGGGGGGGGGGTTCATCCACCACCACCCACCCCGTCCCCCTTCCCTCTTGCCCATATAGTACGACCTTTATGGTTAGAGTTTGCATGGGCGTTCCCTATGTTTTGACGGCCGGAAGTCGGCGAAAAACTGCAAAACGGAGCAAACATATCTTTAGTGATGACTGAAGCTACGGAGCCGGATGACATTTCTATGATCAAAGCAATAACGGGTTTCCGACTATTATTTCATCCATTCATGATAACGCGTTCATGACTTTTCTAAACTTGGTGTGGTAATTATATAACCAGCAATATTGGTTCTAACCTTGATTCTTTTGCATTCACTAGATCATTGCGTGCAACTCGTGCCATTTTCATATTAGAAGAAATAACACCGTGATTAGAAGTTCTATGCAACATGTGATAAACAAATAATAAATTGCTGTTACAAGGCTTTTTATAAAAGGATACAAGAAATCGGATTACTCCTATTGTCAGATTAATCTATTGATTCGATTTATCTTGCGGTTGTTTACTTCTTTGCGGTTTGAAGCCCCTGAATGTGTTTTTCTTTTGACATAGAGTTTGAAGGTATCGTACCACCCCTCAGAAAAATAGGATCACCCCCATCTGTCCCTCTGTCTCTGTTTCTCTCTCTTATTAGCGCTCTCTCTCTATCTCTCTCTTTCTCTATCTCATTATTTCCGTCTCTCTCTCTCTCTCTCTCTAACTAACTATCTCTATTTCTCTTTACCTTTGTAACAATAAAGATAATGTGACCAGCTAAAAGTGTATCACTGGAATCTAGTTTTGAATAAAGCCTGGATTCCAGTCCACGGATTATTATTATTTTTTTAAATTGGATTATTATTGATGACGGCAAAACTTTTGTTACCCCCTTTTCTCTCTCGCTCTCTCTCTCCACATATCTTTTCATCCCTCTTTCTCTCTGCCCTGTCTCTGCCCCTCCTTCTCTCTCTTCGTTTCCCTCCACCACTTCTATTCGCTGATTCTTTGGGCCATGGAAGTGCACCGTATTAAATACGTGATATCAACAGATATAATAGCTACGTTTGTCACAGGTTTTTCTTCAAACCGGCCCTTGACCCCGTGAAGAAAGTAAAACACGAAGGGGGAATTCCCTTCTTTGCACTTCTTTGCCACTGCCAATGTTGCCAAACTTTTCCTACAAGTGCATAGGGCCTACGTCAGAGTGCTTAATCATACTTATGTTCTAATGCCATGAATATGTAAGATGGTAGAGATTGAAAGGGCAGTGAACCCCTTTATATCTATGAGCAAAAGAGTATAATCATTATTGATTAGATGTTGCATAAGTCTGATACCTTGACGGGAAAGATTTGACACTTTGGAACGACCCATGTCATGTCATACTCGAAGCGTTTTATAATAACTATTTTTTTTTACAAATTCTGTTTACAAAGTTAAAGTGGGAAATCCTGGACGTCTTGCAATACTCGTTTTTTTAATTTTTTTTTATATCATATCAAAAATATTTACATTGTGTTTGCTTACAACGCTCATTGTATAACAAAAATGAAGAACAAAAAATGACAGAGGTTGATAGAGGGGAAGGGTTACTTTACTCAGGTGAGAACATTGTTTAAAGAGATGAATACAAAAAAGTAACAGGAACGACAGAAAGATAGACAACACTTTGTATCATCCAAAATATCGGTGAAATTGAAGTATGGCGGGTTGGGACACGGAGTGATGGAAATTGTGGAGACATGTGATTTTAATTTCCAGGCAGTGGCTATACAGACGTACCCGAGAGGAAAACAGCATTATAGCGACCCATCTTATAATGACATAATTCAAACATGTCTCTCCCCAGTGAGAAGTAACGAGGATACCCCCTCCCCCGAATGTTGGCACACATTGTCATTGTTTATCTGTACCAGGTAAAGGTTATGTAAATTTCATTAGACATGTTAGAACAATCCGAAAAGTGCCTGAGTGTGTGAATGAATCGAGATTCTAAAAACCTTATTGACGATTGTGCCTTATATTTATATAACTAACATGCCCATGAGCATCGCTTTTTAAAAGGGGTTTGAACGGGTGAGGGGAGAAGGTTAGGGGGGGGGGGGGCTAACATCAAAGGCTTTCAGCAATTTTTATGATACCACCCTCCCCTACCTTTGGAAATAATCTCGTGACGCCCTATCTTAGGATTACTTTTGGAATACTACCGACACTTTTTTATATTTTTTTGTTTCGAAAGTTCAGTTCAGTTCTTTATGCAACACAGGGACATCAAAATATACAAACACGTATATAGTTAGAATAACAAAGAAAAAATAAGCATGAACAGCAACTTAATATGAAGTGTTAGGAGACTCACGAAAAAACAGTGGTCTTATTTAATGCTGATCCACATATACGTAGGAATGCCATCGTAAAGAAGATTAAAAGTTCAAAGTTTGAGCAAAGCGACACAATGCATTAAAAAACAAAGTTGACCATAGGCCTATTTTTCAAATGTTCTTTCTCGTAGCTTTTGTTAAATTAATGTTACAAAAAGAACAAGCAATTTAGCAAACAAGTATAATACATTTATTTCTGTCATAATAATGTTCCTGTCATA